TTATTTTTTTTATTTTTTTTTATGAATTTCTTTTTTTTTCTTTTGCTTTTAATATATGTCTGGATATGTCTATAATTGTTCAATTGAGACATGCTCAAATTTGGTATTGCTTGCTGGCTAGGACGACTGGACGTGTGTGATGGTGGCATTTCTCATAAGCGCGAATATCGAAAGCAAGGATACGGACATACAGTTCTTTATTTTCGATAGAATCTTATATTTACAATGGAAGAGTTGAAACGATTAGAAAAGAAAAAACTTGAAATTGAAGAGGAAATGAAGGAATTGCAGAACGTTTTAATACGGGTATGTTAGCACCATTGTAGATGAGCTTTGGTCTCGTGGTAAGGTTATGGACTAATTCTTTTTAGGAAAATGTTACGATGCATACTCCTTTGGTAACAGAAGATGGCTTTCCTAGGTCTGATATAGACATTCCTACAATCCGACCTACTAGGCATAAAATAATTACACTTCGAAACGATTACAACAAAATAGAAGATGAAATTAAAAAAGCATTGGAAAATGTTCTTTCTGCGCAAACAACCAAAAATGATGTCTCAAGCTCAGTTGCCAAAGCACAATGGAAAGAGAGTGGTGCCCAGGATCAGGGCGTAGACACGGATGCATCCTTCGTTAGTGGAAAACAAGCCAAGGTTCTACAACGAGCTTCTATATTGGGAAGACCTAAACCTTTCTGTGTCGTAGACTCGGTGGCTGTTGGAAGCCCGGCTCAAGAAGCTGGCCTTTGCGTCGGAGACGAGATTATAAGAATTCAAACATGTACAAGTTTGTCTTCCTTACCCGCTCTCGTTCAAGCCAACTTGGGAAAAAGTTTGAGTGTGCTATTGATTCGTGGATACGACGCAGATGATTCACCAAGAATCTATCGACTCTCCCTACAGCCCCATACTTGGCAAGGTCCTGGCGTACTAGGCTGTCATTTACGCTAAAATAAAACAAGCAAAAATAAAGAGAAGAGAAGAGAAAAAATAATTGAACGGTGCATAAGAAACAAGCTACAAAGTTGCATGAACAAGTGTTATGAATGGAAAACGACTTTGTCCTTTTCACTTTTATATAGACTCTAAATGTTATAATAGTTGACGACTTGCAAATTCATGAAAAACTGGTCGGTTTGATTATATATAACTACATGCAATCATGTATATAACTTATGTAAGAAATAAGGTCCATTAATATTCTCATAAAATAAAATAACTATTACAAACAACATTAACAAAAAAGATATGCACCAGGCACTAAAATTTGTACAAGAAGTTATTTGAAAAAAAAAAAAGAGCAAAGACCCTCCCTAGTCTTCTGTGATCTGTATCAATTTTTCTAACGTACAAAAAGGTGAAAAATAAAACATACATACACATTTTGTATTAATCATCTAGATTTTTTAGAAAGTGCGACATGTCGTCTAAAAGGCCGCCGCCCGGTGAGAGTTTAGGCTTCTCAGTTTTTAATGGTGTAGTTTTCTCAGAGTCAATATTCTCCCACCACAAGTTCTCATTGGTAAAATCTAAGCACCGAAAAGACTCATCAAGAGATCCGCACAAATCGGGACAAGCCAATGATTGCAGGGGAGGAGATCCCATAGTCCATGGAAGAACAGCTGACTTGCAGGGATTCGAGTCGGAGAACTGGGAGAAAGAAGTTTCCAAAGGGTTATTGGAAGAAGCGCTTCCATGAAGATTGGTAAATTGGTCAATTTCTAGACTAAGAGGGTCAATAGAACCGATAGGATTACTGGAGACGGTGAACGTCTGGGAAGCCAGTTCATCGGTTTGAACGACAGGAGAAGCAGTGTCAGATGAGTCTGTGAGGTAGGATGAATAGTCAAAGTCAGAATCACCCAACAGTTGAGAATGAGCAGATGTAATAGAATTCGAAAGCTGATTCTTGGAAGGCTGAAGGGAATCGCAAGAGTCTTGCTTAGGAGAAGGAGCTCGCTGGACTTCAGGGAGCGACAAGTCAGATAACATAGGGAGTTGGTCAAAAGGCTTGTTCAAATATCCGTCTTGGGGAAATTTCGTAGTAGAAGCAGTTGAAGAAGGACAGGGCTGGGTTGAGAGATTCGAATTCGGAGTAGAAGGGTCGACGGTAGAGGGAGAGGAAGTAGAATCCAAGTAGCTAGGGAATTGTTGCTTTTGGTATAAGGATGGTTGAAGAGGATCGTGATCAACGAATCCAGGAACGGATGAAACAGAAGAGATGCTAGCGCTAAGAGAAGGAGGAGGAGAAGAAGAAGACGATGCATACGGTTTCATAGGAACCGTGGTAGGTGAGACGGGATGGTCAATAGGACGGGAAGGAGGAGACATGTAAAGTGAGGAGTGAACAAGGGGAGAAGAGAAAAAAGAAGTTGTAGAAGGAGGTTGGTTATCATTGTAAGAGGGAAAAGTTCCAGAAGTATTTTTGTTGGAGTCATAGGGGTAAAATAATTTGCGGGAAGAAATAGGAGGAAATGATGCAGCATTGTGAGGCGGCTGGGAGAAGGACGTATTAGTCGTTGCAGCAGGAGGAGCGCTCATCGATACAAAGGAGGAAGAAGATGAAGGATATGAAGAAAGTTTAGAAGGAGCGGAAGAAGCAAGAGGGTAAGCGGAAAGGGAAGTCGGGTCTCCAGAGTATTGAGGGTATGAGAGTGAAGAATAAGAAGGAGAGCCTGTGGAAGTGGGAGCGGCGGGAGTAAAATTAGGAGGAGAGGGAAGAGAAGTAGAAGTATGAGGAGGACAATGGAAGGGAGTCGACCGTTTACGAGAAGAACGCCAAGAAGAAACGGAAAAGTGGCATTCGGCATGGGCTTTTTGACAGGCTAAGCAAGGTTGATTTGAGAATTCACTTGCAATGCAGCGAATTTTTCTACGACGACATCGGTCACAAGCAACGGCAGTACGACGACGAGGGCCGGTAGATTTCTGAGGCATATTCACAACAAAAGAAGAAAAAGAAAGTAGGGAAAGGGGAGTTTGAATTAAGAAAAAAAAAAGAAAAGAAAAGAAAAGAAAAGAAAACAGAAAGAAAAGAAATTATAGTATTGTTGGAATGAAAGAGGGGAAGGAAAAGAAAGGGGTATAATTAATAATGTAAAGAGAAGATCAACAAGAGGAATTATTGACGCATAAAACGGGTGATACCAAACACAAAGCGAAAACCGTTTGGTAGAGACAAAAGCGTTCACTCGTGGATGAAAGTACAGAGAGAAGAAAAGAAGAGAGACAGGGAAAAAAACGATACCAGATACGACACAGTTAAGTCCGCGAGGTAGGTGGATTGGAATTCAAGTTCAAGTCGAAAAAGAAGGGGAGAAGGGACCAATCCAAAGGGATCTAAAGTTCAAAACAAACTGATGGTTCAAACTAAATGGTCTTAAAAATACGCGAAACAAAACAATTTCTTATTTCACACACACACAGAGAAACAGAGAGGGAGGTCAGAGAATTTCCTTATGAAGTAGAGGTAGTTACAAACAATTGCAACGATAACACGTACGACAATTGGAACAACTACAACAATTGCTATTAAAACAATGAACAGAGAAAGAGAAAAACTGAATACAATCGTCTTGGCGAAATTCACGAAAACCTTATATTCTATTATTCCAAAGACAGAGAACAAGAGAAGAGTAAAGGAAGTGAAGCGAAGCAATCAAAACCGAAACAGATGAAACCAAATGAATTGAAAAATTAGAAAAAGGAAAAGAACCCCAACTAACGAAAATATACAGACACACACACACACACACACAGCAACAAAGACGAACTAACGAAACAATGTTAACGAGGTTAACAAAATATAATAACGAGGAAATCAATAAAAGCGGACCATCTTGAAGAGAAAAGAAGTCCTCAAGATTGAGGAAGGAGGGCCATTTATAAGAAGTAGGTAGTGAAAACCGAACAATCGAGATCCCTGGGATAAAAGAAAGCAAATGCCGAACGTAAAAGTCCAGTACCATAAAGAAGACATGGAGATGATGTCACGAGAGGAGCGGCCGAGCGAGTCAAGAAGCGAGTTAGAGTGGAGGAAGACTGAAACTTGCCGACATCAGGTTGATGAAAATATCGAAGCGGAGGGTAATATAAGGAGAAAATGGGGAAAACGAGGAGTAAAGAACAATTCGAACAAGAATGACGAAAGCCAAAAAATGGGGCAAAGAGGAAAGATTCGGCAAAAGAAGTAAACACATTGGGTTTTTTTTTTATATTTTTTTGCAAGTAAGAAACAAAGAAAAAAGAATGAGAAAAAGTGAATCTCCCGAAAACAATAATGAACCGTACCGTTCCAAGAAATAGTTGCTTATCGGTAATGAAATTCGGTTCGTCCAACAATATTTAACGTAATGAAAACAAGAGTCCATAATGTGGAGGATAAGAGGGTGAGAAAGAGAGAAACTTTGTGGGGGAGAAAGGCAACGAAGAACAAGGTTGGTAAAAGAAGCTTAAAATAAACGTTCCAAATGAAAATTCAAAGAAACAAAAGAGGAGAAAACACAATGAAAAAAGTAGCAAATAAAATCCCAGAAAGACTGGAATCCTCGTTTCTATCAAGAAAGGAAAGAAAAACAACAGACAAGCATCCTAAGGAAACCAGCCAAAACGAAAGAAAAAAAAAAAAAAAAAAAAAAAAGTTTACCTCTCTTCTCATTTCTTTCGTTCATCATTGTCCAGACAATGTAAACTGTTCCTGATCTCTTCTCTTTTCCAACCAGAACCAGAGGTGGGGATCTCATGCAAGATGACATCGACCGCTTTAAAAAGACTGGATATGTATGGGTAAGTGTGATGAAATGAAAACGTGGTTTGATGGGTTGATATCTTTAAGGGAAAAAACGCCAATATTATTTTACCGCTATGGATTGGAGTGCGGTATTCAAATGATAGAAGTAGCTAAAGACGAAACTAAGCTAGCTAAGTTAATTGAAACAAAATGAAATAAAAAGAAAAACATTACGAAACCACACATCTGTAAAGCAAGAAAAAATGGAATTGTTGCGTTTCGTTTTCCAATTTCCTTACAACAACAACTTTGTTCTTCCTCCTTTCTTATCCCCAGATGGTCTTTTTTGCTCTCTATACGCGCGCCCTCTTTGGTTCACTCTCAAGTGCGGTGTGGTGGGTCGTTGACGGTCTAAGGCCGATTCATCATAGCAGTACATTGGACTAATAACTCTATCCCCCATCTCTTCCCCTCCCTTCCTCTCTGCTTGCTCGTACGAAGACGTTCAGCCATGCATGACTATGACATGAGATGACATGACATGGGTATGGTATGGTATGGTATGTGTATCTTCACCAGACGGACGCTTTATTCCTTCACCTTGCTTTACCGTGCGTCGCTGAAATCGAGTTTGAGGAACTTTAGTGAACCCAAGTTATTTTCGTAAACTGATTTTACGCTCTTCGCAATGGCTCCCAATTCTCGAGCTCTTTGACCGTACCGAAAAAGGTGGAAGGTGTGGACGGATTGGATTGTCTTTGGTTTTAGAGGTTTCTTTTGGAGTTTTTTTTTTTCTTCTTTTTTTTATTTCATCTCCTTTCGCCTTCTTTCCCTTTTTTCGGCTCTTTTCGATGAATTTTTATTTCCTTGCATAATCTATGCTACAAGAAGGCTGGTGATCACTTTTTCATCCTTCATGGCTGGTTTGCTTCATGCACATGAAAATGATGTTGTCTGAGAGTTCTTTCATTAAATTTTAAAATTTTTATCTCTTTCTTGCTCTTACCAGCCATCGTTTCGGTTTTGCTTGGCTCCATTCTCCTATAAATCCTCTGGGTTTTCTTACTTTTTTTCCAGAAAACGAATTCGTTACTCTTTTCTTTTTTTCTATTTCATTTATCTTAGCTTAACTTAAGCCTTGGTTTCGCTACATTTCTTTTTCACAATGCTCTTTGTTCGCTCTTTCCTTCAAGGTCTCCTCGCCCTCGCCTTCTTGGCTCTTCCTACTCTTGCTGACGAAAGCCTTTCTACATCTACCGCTTCCTCTTCCTCCTCTCCTGCTCCCACTGCCCCTGCTACTACCACTGTTTACCTCGTCCGAACTGTAGATGCTCAAAACAACCCCGTCTCTCAACCCGCTGTTACCGTTTACAATGTCTTGAAACCCGATACCGTCACCGTTACTGCCTCTCCCACTGCTAATGTTAAGCGTTCTATCGGCACCAACGATACCGTCACTTCTTCCTCTTCTGTTGGTCCTCGCATCTATTCTGCTGTTGTCCATGTTCCTACTGGCGGTACCAATCCTCCATATGCTACTGCAAATCCTCTTATCAACTCTACCGTGCCCTACAGTAGTTCCATCCCTGCTTCAACTCCTGCTTCTACAATTGGATCTTCTTCTGCTGTCTCTTTCTTCGCTTAAATTCCACTATTCCAGAAGACTTCCTCGTAAGTACTACACCTTGTAGCATTTTGTGGAAAAATGGTTTTTTAAAGAGCTCGGTTCTGCTTTCCCTTGCGATAATCGTTGATGTCTCTTGATGAATTAGCTTTTCCTCGCTCTCGTCATTGTATATATCTTCATCAACATTGCTGCCGGTCAGTAATGCTGTATGCCTACCTATGTAAAGATTCTACATATCTGTGCATTTTTCTGCATTTCCTTTGGCTTCTACCCTTGATGTCATTCGGATCCAATCATTTTGTATATAGTTTGACTCTTTATTTCTTTTGTATATAAATTTTAGAACTTGAATACATACTATTGTTCTTTTCTGTTGATTCTTGCTGGTTTCTTGTTGAATGCAACTCATCTTTCCATCGTAAGCATCCTTCCAATCCTATCATTTGTTATTCTTCTACGACTACATTTCTGTTTTATTTTTATATTTTTATTTATCTTCACAAGCTTGTGTTTCGTCGCTTCTTTCTCTCTTTCCCTACCCAGCCAGCCAACTTCACTCATTCTCTTTACCAATCCTCAACCGATTCTTCCTTTTTCCTTTACTTAACTTCACACCATGTCATTTCAATTAGACACGAGCTCCTTTGGTTTTGACATAAAAAAAGCACATGCTCAAGTCCTTAATGGTTCTCCAGATTGCTCTTGGGCTGTTTTTGGATATGCCAAAGGTCAAGGAAATACTTTGAAAGTGATTGCTACTGGAAGTATGTATTTTCTTTTATTCTTTTTCTTCTTCTTTCTAACATGCATTTCTTACTATAGATGACGATTATGAATTTCTTGATGAATTTGATGAAAATGCTGTTTTGTTTGGTTTTTTGCGTGTAAAAGACACCAATACAGGTCTTCATAAGTTTGTGTTGGTTTCTTGGTGTGGTGAGGCTGCTCCTAGTTCTCGAAAAGGCTTATTCCCCATTCATTCTTCCTCAGTTACTCGCTTATTGAATGGTTACCATATACAAATTACTGGCCGTGAATCTTCTGACCTCAATCTGGACGATATTGTTCATCGTGTCGCTGACGCAAGTGGTAGTAAATATTCCTCGAATACTTCCCTTTCTCCGACCCCTTCTGCTGCTTCCAAACCTGTCAATGTTCCATCATCTGCTCCTGCTCCTGCTTCTTCTCGTTCTCAAGCTTCCTCTCCTGGCTCCCTTTCCGCTACTATGCCTCCGCAGAAACCTACTCCAGAAGATTATCGTTGGAACGATACTTACACACAACGTCCTTCTCGACAATCTTCTCTTCGTATTCCCGTGAATGCTAGCTGGCCAACTGCACCTACTTCTGCTGCTCAACAAGACCCTGAAAAGGAAGGACATACTGATTTATCTGCTGCTGCTCCTGTTCACCCAATTTCACTTCCGAAGCCCGACGCTTCACATACGGTTCCTTCTAGACCAATTTCTTCGCAACCTATGCCTTCCTCTTCTACTGCAACGCCTGCCAAGGAGGAGTCGAACCCCTCAATTTCAGAGACATTTGCTGAATCTACTAAAAGTCCCGCTTCAGAGTTAGAACAACTTCATGCTAGTGGAAACGTAAATTTGTCTGCTAGAAGGGCCATGTTTGAACGCTTTCAGCAAGACAATAAACCTTCTACTGGTCCTCAAACAAAATCCCAGCCAACCAAGTTAAGACATAATTTTGAATCTGCTGCTGCTTCAAAAGCTCAAAACCCAGACTTCAAGCATGGCCCAAAAGTCGATGCATTTGCAAATAACAAGAACGATGAGCCTAAAGAACCGACAACGAATCCACCAAGCGTTGCTTCTTTACGATCTCGCTTTGCCAGTCAAAATTCGAACAATGAATCCAATTCAACTGCTACTACTGACGTTCAGTCTTCTAAGAATGTTCCCTCTGTTGGTAATCCTCCATCTGCTCCGGAATCGATGCCTGTTCCTGCTAATGCGGCTCCCATGATGCAAGCTCCTTCTGCGCCAACTATGCCTCCAAGACCCGAGTCTACCAAAAAAGTGCAATCTCATCCAGGAGCCTCTTACGCTCCATCACCTCCACCTCCTCAACGACAACAAGAGGTTCAGACACAGGATCTTCCTCCTGCCCCTCCTGTCCCTCCTGTCCCTGAGCAGACCGCTACGCCATCTGCTGAAGCAAACTTGCAAACTTCTTCACCAACTCCACCTGCCATGCCAGCCAAATCTGACGAGGAAGCGGAAACTGACACTACTATACCTCCTCTTCCACCTGTAGTAGAAACACCTCCTCCACAACCACCTCTTCCTCCCACTCCTGAAATTAAAACTCGGGAGAACGAGGATGGATTAAGCATTGCACCAGAGTCTTCTTCAAAAACGCCAGCTCTTGTGATTTATGATTATTCGCCAGAGGAAGAGAACGAACTTGAATTGACAGAAGGTGAAAAAATCCAAATCCTCGACTTCGTTGACGAAGGTTGGTGGTTTGGTGAAAATTCAAATGGCAAGCAAGGATTGTTTCCTTCCAATTATGTTGAGCTTTTGCAAGAGGAAAAGATTGCTCCAGCTCAGGCACCTGAAAGTAATGTCGAGGATGGTTCAGGGCAAACTTCCGTGAAAGCCATTTATGACTATCAAGCTCAAGAAGACAATGAATTGAGCTTTTATGAGAATGATTTTATTACAAATGTCGATCAGATTGATCCTAATTGGTGGGAAGGTGAATGCCATGGACGCCGCGGTTTGTTTCCTTCCAATTATGTTGAAGAGATTTAGTCAATGATTTCTCATATTCAATTCTAGTTATGACTAGTTATGATTTTATGTTTTTTCATATTACTTTACTATATTAAATAAATGAAATTTTTGTTTTTTGGCTTTTATTAAAATAGCTCGCTGGAATTCGCAAATCGTCTAAATATTATTTATTTACTAATGTTGTAATTTCAACAAATATTCATTTACTTTTAACCAGCATCGTTATAGATAAATATCATTAAAACTCATTTTAATTTGTTATGAATGAATGGTCATGGGGTCGAGCCATCGATAGCTGGCCGTAACGGTTCTGTAACAAAGCAACATTGGAGAAAACGAAGTGCTATAGTTTCTTCGCAGGATGTAAAATCGGTACTACAATCAGGAGACAGGGAAAACGATGTCGACCTTCCTAGTGGGACCAGTGAGTATCGAAAGAAAACTCGTAGAAAGAGGCAATTTATTTATTTTTCGTTGGCCGGTGTATTGTGTCTGTTCGTTGGATGCGCTATCCTGTATTCGTTTTACTTTTTGTTACATAAGTACAAATTAGGTGGATCCATAAAACCTTCTGAAAAATATCGGTTAAGTTTATCTCGATTTGATGATGGGAGCTTGCTGCCATATCATCAGGAAATCGAATGGGTAGTTTCAAAGGAAGGTGTTGAGCTATACTATGATCAAAGCAATTATCTTCCAGTATTTTTTCTTCCTCAGGGCTCTCTATATGGACCCAGCATGGACCTTTCAGTACTCCAAATTCATGAGTTATGTAACTCATTTACTAAAAAGGTAGCTTCGTCTGACTTGGAGTATGTGGCATATTTCTGCAGTACGCAAAAGAGGTGGAGATATTCAGTTTACAATGAAATATATATTTTGGAACGAAAAACTGGTCGCGTTGCCCCCCTCAAGCAAGACTCTCAAGTTATTGTCGCTGAGTGGGCACCTGTGGGTCATCATATGGCGTTTGTGGATGGTTCAAACCTGTACGTTTGGCAAGGGTTTGAAGATCCGATTCTTTCCATAACGGACGCCGAGGAGTCTGAATCTATCTTGAATGGGATTGCAGATTGGCTATACGAGGAAGAGATCTTGATGTCACCGACTGCTTTGTGGTGGTCTGCAAACGGTTCTTGTCTGTCTTATTTGTCATTCAACGATTCTCTTATTCCAAAGTACATTATTTCACAAAATGTGATTGTCCCAGTCGAGGGCGGCGCAACAGAGAACCATAATGCTTTTCATTACCCTCGACCAGGTGATCCCATTCCAAATGTTCAATTATTGAGTTATTGTTTTTCTTCTGATTCTGTTGCACCTCATCCACTTCACACTCAAGAAACTTCTCCTTTGGAAGAATTTTATATTCAAGATGTTTGGTGGGTTCAAGATGAGTCAATTATGTTTGTTGAGACTTCAAGAGGTAGTACACGCAGGATAACTCATAAGTATAATGTAGCTACTTTTCGTCTCGATACTCTTAACGAAGAGCTGGAGGAACCTACTGTACCGTTGAGTTCTTCCTTAGGAATACGAAATATCGTTTGGCAGTCAAAAAATGGCTATGTACGTTATATGGGTGACTCGCAAAGGAAAAGATTGGCCTTTTTTAATTTTGACGATAACAGTTTTATGTATATAACGCCGGAAGACTTATATGTTTTGGAATTTTGGTTGGTTGGAAAGTTTTTGTAAGTACTTTTTTTTATTTTATATGCATACTTACAATCTAGATTTTACACCGCTCTCCACCCAAACGATCCTTTTGCGAATATTTTCTGTTTATCCACGGAGTTCGCAGCTCAAGCAGAAGTTAAAATATCCTCTTCAGATGGCTCGAAGTCTATCAAGATCTCGCCCGACGCAAATTACATGTTGCTGAATTATTTTGGTCCCGGGATACCCATGCAAAAAATCTATTTGTTAAAAGCTTGCTTGAATAACTGGCTAAGTAAAATTTCTAGTGGGGATTTCTCTCAAACAGAAGAGACATTAATTCCGGAATTACTCCGAGTTGTGGAAGATAATAAAGAATTACGAGCTTTACTTGGAAACTATGAGTTTCCATCTAAGCATACTGAAACAGTGAATGTTCACAACGTTACTGCTTCTTTTCAAGAAATAAGACCTAGCAATTTCAATCCAAATAAGAAATATGCTACCGTATTTGAAATTTATGGCGCTCCAGGTTCACGATCTATCACGGGAAAGTACGAAATGGATGCAAACGAATTGATGGCATCCTCGTTGGAAATTTTGGTTGTAAAAGTCGATGTGAGAGAAATAGCTAACAGCTCTCTATTGGGAAATGATTTTTTGACATTACCTTATTACTGGATTGATATAATTCGCTGGTATTCTCATAAGCAGCCATATATTGACAGTTCACGACTGGGACTTTGGGGATGGAGTTTTGGAGGTTACCTTGTCCTTAAAATTTTAGAGATCACAGATATTATATCGTCTGCATTAGTCGTAGCACCTGTTGTGGATTGGCGGTTTTATGATTCTTACTATGCCGAAAACCTTCTTGGCGCTTACTCTGCGAATACTAAAGACAGATACGAACAGAGTGCCTTACATATTTCTGAAAACATAAAAAATGTACGAAACGTTTTGATTGTTCATGGTGCTAAAGATGATAATGTGCACCTCGAAAATACTTACCAACTAACGTCTTCATTAATAAAAAACAACCTTGAGAATTTCGTGCAGTTAATTATTCCTGATGCAAATCATGATTTCTCTAATATTCAAGTGTACCCTTATTTGAAAAAGAAGATAGCTACCTTCTTTGGCAGTTGTTTTCATAATTTATGAATAAAATTTTGGAACTTATGTGATTAATATACATTCAAGGTAGCTACTTATTACAACAAACATTAAAAAGATCAATAATCGAGCTTTTATATTTTATAGGGCTAATCGCTATTTAGCTAATAAAGCAGCCTGCAGAAAAGCAAAACTATACTACCTTTTGGTAATGAATAAGTGGGGGGACAGATCGTAAAATTATCAATTCAGCAAACATATAATTGATAAATGGCTGATTCACCGACAGGTAATCACAAATACAAAAGATATTGAATCGTTCATTTCATTATTAGGATAAAAGATAGTAATCTCATGCAGTGACAGCACCTATCGAGTTGAACCTGCGAACTTAGAAGGAAGACAAAAATTCAGTAATGAGACCCTTCAAGCTCTCTTCAGTGGCAGGGCTAAGGACACCTTCCTTACGGATAGCTTCAGTGACAGAAGCACCACTGGTTCTCAAGAAAGGAAGGAACTTTTGTTCAAATTCGACAACGCGATCGACGGGAATCTTGTCAAGGAAGCCCTTGACACCACAGTAAATGAGAGGAACTTGTTCTTCAACACCCAAAGGAGAGTATTGAGGTTGCTTAAGCAATTCAGTCAAACGAAGACCTCTTTCCAAAGTAGCACGAGTACCAGCATCTAAATCAGAGCCGAATTGGGCAAAAGAAGCAACTTCACGGTATTGGGCAAGGAAAAGCTTAATTTGACCAGCGACTTGCTTCATAGCCTTAACTTGAGCAGCGGAACCGACACGAGAGACAGACAAACCAACGTTAATGGCGGGACGGATACCCTTATAGAAAAGTTCAGATTCCAAGAAGATTTGACCGTCAGTAATAGAAATAACGTTAGTGGGAATGTAAGCAGAAACGTCACCACCTTGAGTTTCAATGACGGGCAAAGCAGTCAAAGAGCCACCACCGTGTTCATCGCTCATCTTGGCAGCACGCTCGAGAAGACGAGAGTGAAGATAGAAGACATCACCAGGGAAAGCTTCACGACCAGGGGGACGACGCAAAAGAAGAGACATTTGACGGTAAGCAACAGCTTGCTTGGTAAGATCATCATATGTAACCAAAGCGTGTTTTCCATTATCACGGAACCATTCACCGATAGCACAGCCAGCGAAGGGAGCCAAATATTGCAAGGGAGCACTTTCAGAAGCAGTAGCGGCGACAACAACAGAGTATTTGAGAGCATCATTTTGTTCTAACTTTTGGACCAATTGAGCAACAGTAGAGCGCTTTTGACCGACAGCAACATAAACACAGTATAGCTTCTTGCGTTCTTCGTTGCCACTGTTCCAGCGCTTGTGGTTAAGGATAGCATCCAAAGCAATAGCAGTTTTACCAGTTTGACGATCACCGATAATCAACTCACGTTGACCTCTACCGATAGGAACCATGGAATCAATAGCCTTCATACCAGTTTGCATGGGTTCACAAACAGAAGTTCTAGGCAAAATACCAGGAGCCTTCAACTGAGCACGACGACGCTCAGTAGTCTTGATGGGGCCCTTGCCATCAATGGGGTTACCCAAGCCATCAATGACACGACCAAGCAATGCTTCACCGACAGGAATGTCAACAATATGGCGAGTACGTTTAACAACATCACCTTCACGGACGAGACGGTCGTTACCGAAAAGCACACATCCGACAGTGTCTGCTTCCAAGTTCAAAGCCATACCTTTGACACCGGAAGAGAATTCAATCAACTCTTCAGCTTGTACGTTGGAAAGACCGGAGACACGAGCAATACCATCACCAATGGACAAAACACGTCCAGATTCCATCATTTGTGATTGGTTGTAAGCTCCACGGATACGTTCCTAAACTGGTTAGCATATGTCCATTTTTTCCGTACAGGTTCTTCTTGGTTATCCTTCCAGTCTCCCTAATCATCTTTAAAATGAAGCTACGGATCATATAAGCCAAAGATGGAGAAAATTTTACGGGTCGTAACATGCTTGTGGACGCTCAAACCATCTCTGTCAAACAATAATCCAAAAAGAATTTAAATGTTTATAAAGATATTAGGGGTATTAAAAGGGCTTCCAAGTGTTTTCCGATTCGCATACCTCTAAGATAGAAGGAACTTCAGTAGGAGCTGCTTTTTCGGCATAGCCACGTTTACTACACTTCTTGGGTTAGAAATCCGTTCGGAATAAAATCAAGAGAAATAATTGATCGTAAATAAGCCAAGATCACAAAAAAACTATGAGGTTCGGCAAGTTCCGGCGGGTACTTGAGCGTGTTCCCGTCCCGTTTCAAACATAGCCTCAAAATCTTGTTATAAAACTTACAAAGAATGGGCGGTAGCCGCAAACAGGAGCTCTGATAAATCTAGATCCTGCTTGTCGAAGCATTTTCGTGAGTAAATGAAAGTATTACTGTTTGCTTAAACTGAGAGGAGGAGAGGAAGCGTTTGGTTTACCAGGTGTAAGTAACATTATTAAAGCCGGAAACCCGAACCCTGGAAAGAAGCTTAAGTGACAAAAGTGGAAATGAAACCACAGCATGTTACCCGAAATGGCCAAAAGAAATTGCAAAGTATCTTAGAGAATGTAAAGAAATAAAATTGAAAAAGCTGAAAAAAAATATAAAATACTTTTGTAGTTTTGTAATTTTTATTTGAAAGCATAATTTTGTAAAAAAAATGTGTAAGAGTTGTAGCCATACACAATAGATAATGGAGTATAAATAAGTTAAAGAAAAAAAGGAAAGAATGAAATCTATTCTATGAAATTGTAATGAGTTTTCTATATTGTGGCTTTTATTTCATAAGTTAAGTTGGGACCATATATATTGTATTCGTTAAGCAGGATCATCTTCTTCAATCGGATCGTCTGGGTCTTCTAAGGCTTGGTTTTCATTATTGATGATTGTTTGAACATATTCGATCGTCGAAGACTTACCATAGATAGCCGAATAATCATCTAAAGGTCTATTGGAAATTTCGTCTTCTCGCCATCGATGGAATTTTATCTGTCTCCACTTTCGAGGAACTGGCGACGGAAGATACCAAAGAGTCCCTTGAATAGCAAACCATAGAGACATTTCATCTGCCTGATACGAATACGGGTAATCGATTGCCATGGTGTCTGCGAAGCTTAGAATATCACACACAGAATAGGCTTCCATTTGGTTTAAGCACGAATCAATATAGTTCTCAAAGATACCGTATCGAAACATGGAACCTGAAAGGCCTGCCTGCTCAATCGTTGTTTTGACGTCCACCAAGCTTGGGCGTTTTTCTAGGGCATTTGCTTCTGTAAATAAACCAGAATATAAGTTTAAATTTCCTTTTTGTCTTTGTTCTTCTTTTCCGTTTGGAACATTGGACGAGGGTTGAGCGTTTGATGACAGTACTTCGTCGTCCCCTTCTCGTTTATTCCAGATGACTTTACCTAGTGCATGTAACATTCCCAAACCAATATCCTTTTGATATTCTTTCTGTTTATCATCATCATCCTCCAATTTCCATCGGAATGTTGTAAGTGCCGAGTAGAGTGAATCCTTTCTACCAGATATCCTTGTCAGCATTTCGGAAGCTTCTCTAGAGGTGCTCGACTGACTCTCATACTTTCCGTTGTTTTCTTTCGATGGAAACTGTTTATTTTTTCTTGGTAAATAAAACTGGAGAGCGTTCAGGACATTTCGCAAATCACCTTCGCTGGCAGTTACTAAGTCTTGAATGAATGTGGAACTCTTGGATTGAAGTGGGATATTTTCCTTCTTTAGAATGAGATCTATAGCTTTCTTCATAAATGTTGTAGCGATAGGATTCATCGGGATCACAGAGACATGATGATGATCTAGTAATTCTGGACCCAGGATTTGGGTTCCAAAACTCATTTCTTTATCTTGAAAAGTAGTTCCCTCGGAATTTATGGATTTTGTTTCAGTCAAAATTAAGATGATTGAGTACTGGCCTCTCGACTGTAATGCGGAAAGGAGAACCTCCCGAAACATTTGTAAAGTGCCTGTTTGTTTTGACAAATATGGTAACTCGTCTAAAAGAACAAACTTTTTGCTTTCACTGGTATTCTTTTTCCTCAAATCTTTTGCTGATGAATGTAATTCCAATTCAGGATATGTTTCTGCCAAAGACATAAACCGTTGAAACTTTTCTGTCAGCGAGAATTGCTCAGTATTATAGTCTTGATAGTTCTGAGATCTTGTATCCATTGGGTTTGACCACTCAACAAGGCTAGCACCCATTTCATGAGCCAAAATACGAACAGTAGTACTTTTTCCGCATCCCGAGGGACCGGACAAGACCAATAAACGCTTGATATTTGTTAGTTTGAATTAAATAAAAAAACCCAGCTTACACTATAAGGACAGGATTCATTCATCCACTGTCGAATAGCATTGACCTTGCCTTTATGTACGGCTAGTTCAGACGACTTTGTAGGCTGGTACTTTTCAAACCATAAGACTATTGAAGAACGTTAGTAGGATCACAAAACCCTTTTTCTTACATGATGAGTTAGAATTTACAGGTATGGATTCTTCATCAGAAATGGTTTCGATTTCTTCGTCCGGCAAAACATGAGTATCTCGACGACGCTTAGCATTCGCAGGAGAATATTTGATAGAACTTTGTTTTCCCTTTCTCTTTGAGCTTGCTAGAGACTTTTTAGGAGTCCCACTTAACGACAATCGCCGTTGCATGCCAAGAGGAACGTGATGACTAGTAGCTTAAAGTCAAGCACTTGGAACAGGTAAATGAAGATCAAAGAGAAGTACAATGAATTATGAAGTTTATAGAAAACAAAATCACATATAAAGCTGAATGGCTATACACTTTTCATGTAGAACCGCGTATCCGGAAGAATACCGTCAAGAGTGAAAACAAAGGCAGAGAAAATTGTTTTTACTCGTTCAAATTTTTTAATAAAAAAAAATCAACGACAGATAATGGTTCCCTTATAAAAAGCGTCGTCTAGAAACATATGCGATTTTCACGGGTATTATACTAAGAACTTTATATGATGGAACGTATGATATTAAAGAGGATTTGTGAAAGTGCAAAGCAAACCGATTGTTGCTCCTGTATACAGAACAATAGAGCCGAAAAGAAATAGAAATAATAAAATAGACAAAAGATATAGTTCGCAGATGAAAAAAATGTCGGGGCTCTATTTCCCTGGTTTTTTTTGGGCACAAAGGAAGATGTAAACATTGGCATAGGTTTATGAAAAACGAACAAAAAGCCCAGATAACGGGTTCTTTATCTTAACGCATTCTTTATTTTCTTTTTTTTTAGTTTGCAAAGCCTAACCTGGCTTTCTGTGCTCTTTTCATGATTTCGGTGTTTGTTTACACTGGCTATAAATATAAAATAAAAGGATAACCCACTTCTTCAAGTATATGCAAACGAACGAAAATAGTATTCTTATTTATTTATAACTATTGATAAATTAAATTTCTCATGCGAGGGAGGCATCAACATAATAATTACAAGTCAAAGAGTGCTTTCTTTGCTTTTAACCGTGTAAAAAGGCAAGTGGACCTATAACCTTTCCAAAAAGTTCTGCAATAGAAAAAAAGAAAGATTCTGTATTCAAACCTCTAGAAGACCTCATTTTTTGTGGATATTGTATCCAAGATGACTCTCAAATGGTTTCCTTTAAGTAAGTAGTCTACTCTTTATGGAACTTGTTTAGACAAAAAAGGAATATATTTCTTTTATTTTTATATAATTCTGGGTCTTCATTCCCCCTTTAGTTATGAATTTTGAGAATGAATCTCACGTACCCTACCCTTTGGAAAAAACAGGACTACTCTTTTTGAGAGTAGTGACAGCATCTGGTATCACCAATTCGTATACATTCATTGGGCTCTGAGAGTTACGAATGCAATTCTTATAGGTATGTAAACAAAAGTATCCTTCAATAAGCAAACTAAACAATGACAATTCAGTCGCATAAAAATCATTCTTTTGTCTCCATACGTTCTTTTTTGTAATTTGGTTTTGGTTCATAGATTGTTAAACTGTTTTTTTTTGTTCAATTATTATTCTTGTTATTTTGGCTTTCTTATTTTTTTTTTCGTTTTTCTTATTTTCTTTTTTTTGGTACATCTTTTGCAAGTACAAATTGAAGCAATTTTCACTATGCAATCCCCATCGACTAGCGCTAGCGTTGTCTCTTCCAGCTCGTCGTTGACGAGATCTTTGGACAAAGATGTGTGCTCTTCTGCGATGAAATCCTATCAACATCTCATTTCTCCTCCTCCTTCACCGCTTTCTCCTAGCCTTTTGTCCGACAACGGGGATGTGATTCGATGTAGTCGAGCTACTACACCTTCAAAACAAACGGTCAGTACTTCTACTCTTCGGTCTACGTCTTCGCCTGGCGCTCGTTTAACTTCGCAAGTGTGCAAGGGCTACCAAAACTCTCCTAGAGCCTGGCTCCTAAGGGAAAGACTTTGGCTTCGACGACATTTACCTGATGTCGCTCCTATATCTTCTCCTGCTAAGCGCCCTCGCCGAATGGCTAGTACCATCTCCACTACTGTAGAAACAAAAGTCGCTGCAGATAACCCAAGGGCTTCACCTGACTTTTCAGATTCTCGCCCTTCTACTCCAGTGTCTTCTTCCTCTCGAAGCCATTATTACTCAAAGTCAACGACTACTAGATTCAAACAATCCAGCCGAGAGTTTTCTTCCAGCAGTCAGGTGCTTGACGTTGCTAATACCCCTTACGAAATGCTTCCTGATTACTCACCAGACATGTCCATTCTTGACAAAAAAGCACAACCTCGCCCTTTGCGCAGTGAATGGAAAGGTCCCCCTCTTGACCTGTCTAATGATGAACATCGACAGCTTCTCCACCCAGCTGAATTACAACTTGCTGCGACCCTTCGCTTGCCTTGTCTTATTTATCTTGACAACAAGCGTCGTATTTTCGCCGAGTGGCACAATCGTCGCTCTGAAGGACTTAGTTTTCGTAAAACCGATGCTCAACGCGCAAGTCGCGTCGATGTAAATAAAGCTAGTCGCTTGTGGAAAGCTTTTCACGATGAAGGATTTTTCGATAATTAATTCATTGATCTATCTGTCTTTTGTTCCCTGTGTCATTCTTGCTGTTTTGGCAACTTCTATTCCCTTTTTGTCTTTGCTGTTTCTTTTTTATTTTTTAATTTTTGTTTTTGGGATTTAGCGGTCTATTTTGCATCTTGAAATTTCACACGTTCTTTTCTATATACACAAACATGGAAACTGCCCTTCGTTTATCCATACCAACTCGCTCCTTTCAAAGTACCCTTCTTTTCCTTAGAAATGTTTACCTTCCTTTTAAACTTAATTAAATTCTTTCATGGATAAGTCATGAGTCACCACTTGTGGTTAATGTGAGCTTACGATATCTCTTTTTTACTTTTTCTTACCTTATTCCGTACAATTCAAAACTTATAGATTTCACGATAAACATGAATAGAATAGAGATTTTATGCGCTAGCAATACTAGTTTATTAATTATAGCACTCACTAAAGTAAACTCATTAGGAAATCCAAAAAGTATTATTCAACAATCATAAAATAAATAGCACCTATTAACAAAGTGGAACCATGCTATTGTATATGCATTCATTCAAGAGAATGACTTGAGAGATATTTCATCAAAGCAAAAAAAAATATCTAAAAGACCATTCTTATACTTCATTGTAATGCTCAGAAAAACTGCTTGCAAAAGATCTTCACAAGAACGTGATCATCTTCAATAAGATTTTGTTCCACCGCTCCTCTTAAAGCAAATGTCATATTAGCAATCAATGAAATAGCTAAAGCAACTCCAACGAATAAGGGGCCCCTGTACTCAGTCATAGGAGCAGGGCTACGTGTCATAATCAAGTTACAACGCTTTGCATGAAGTCTCCAAGCGTAAAATCCCATGAAAACGGCAAGCATCACATAAATACTACCGAAAATACGTCCCGTTTTGGCATTGGCGCTGTTGAATAAAGCTAAAGAAAGGGAACCAAACAAAACAACAACATGAAGCCAGTTAAGATATGTACGCTCATTAGCAAGCCAGACTTTTGTTTCTACTTTGACAGGACCACTGACACGAAGAGGAACTTCAGGCTTCTGGATATGAGGAGGGGTCGTGTATGTTTTACCGGGACGATAAATTGATCCATAGGTGGAAGGCTTTAACAAACCAGGAATACTTTTAAAATTAAACCGATCTCCATGAGGATGCTTAAACTGTTGTATGTGGGGTGCTGCCATTTCAGCATTGGGAGCCTGAGAACGTCGCGAAACGACCGGTGCTTTTTTGAAAGTTTTTGGGGGCGATTCACTAGTAAATACAGTTTCATCTCTTCGTTTAACATAAATATTACTTGAGCTGGCAGTATCTTTGGAAACGGGGTAGGTAGTTTCGGGATCTTTCCTAATGTCCTGCTCCATAGAAAACAACCACATCGGCAAAAGAGGGACATATCTTTCAAACAAAACGGCTACTCCATGCTCATACTTAGAAAATCCATCAACCTCGGAAATCAAATGAGAACTGCGAAGTTCAGAGACCCATAGTGGTTCTTCTTCATCTGGTTTTAAGCACTCTCGAATTTCAAGTATGCTATAGGGAAATCGAAAATGCTCACCCTTACGAAGATGTTTATAAGGAAATTCGGCATCGTCAATATCATGTCGATGCCAGTCAATAGGATCACGGCAAGGTCGTTCTTGATCAAATGAATCTTCCCGAATCATTACCCAATCTGAATCCAAGTTAACACGTACAGAATCATCACCGGGGATCTGGAATGCTGTACGGGTATAAACGGACCTTAGCACGGGTTGCAAGTTATACTCTGTGATAAGCTTTTGGACATCTTCTGTAAGCTGCTTTTTTTGAGAAGAATCTGCGGAAACATCGGTAGAATCGTCTCTACTCTTCTTTCTTTCAGGATCGTAAGCTTCTTTTAGAAATTCATTGAGTTTCTTCTCGCGTAAAACAAAACGATCCTCACTATGAGACAGACTGCTGCCTTCGCGAACCATGCGCTCTACAATAATATCGGTTTTTGAATTCAACTTTCCGTACCAATGCAGGCGCAATGAAAACGCTCGCTCAGATCGTTCAAGGTTTTGGCTATACAAATCAAAATTAGGATTATCAAAATAAAGACAAGTTGAAATCGGATCAAGTACACCAGATACAGCAGAACGGTCTCGATCAAAGCCATGTTTGCCAGAGTAATATAAAACAGGCAAGCGTCTCATAATAAATGTTTTCACTTCCATGAGGTTGTCATGATGGACCCAGAATCGATAAGTTCGCCTACGATATACGTTGTCATCTGAAGAGTGAATATGTCGGGGAGCATTCAAAGAAGGTTGACCGCCAGTAAGACTTGCACGCAGCGGGTTGTATAGAGCAAAAATTCGGGCCAAAATTGGATTATATTGTACATTACCAAGCGAACAGGCACGGAGTCTAACTTGTAAAATAGGTCGAAGGGAATATGCACTGTGTAATTTATCGTGCTTTTTAACGATCTTATAAAAACCGGTAAGATTCAATCTCGTGTACTTCTCTAATTTTTTAACTAATTCGGTACAAGAGTCCAGTTGCTCTAAAAGCTTTAAACGGTCTTCATTTGTTAAAGATTCATCGGTGAATTCGTTGGAAGAGCTAAATCGGGCTTCGATACTCGTCAATGATTCATTCAAGTCCTTCCAAATTTTCTGATGAAAACCATAAACCTACCATGTTAATATTCTTGCACTCCAAGAACCCTGAACGAAGCTTCTTCAACCAAGCGGCACAATGTTCGAAAACATTGTCATGCTTCACACTTTTCATTCAAATCCTAATGACAATACCTTTTCTAACTGATCATCCAAAGCAGATACGAAGCGGGATTCGTCGTTTTCACCCCAAACAGGGGATTCTTCATCAGCCTTCAAAAATTGTTTCAACTTTACATAATCCATATAATGTTCCCTCCATGGTTGATAAATCCCAGCTTCCAAACTGTCACTAAAACGCATTGTTTCGATTGACTTAGAATCCGGCGGTGAATGGTTCTGTTTAAATTATGACAATAACACACCTGAATCAATTTAAAGAGTTACAGTAAAACTCTGTAAACGGTAAACATCACCACCATAAGTGTTGACTGAAAGAAGGAAAGAAGTAAGTGTAGAGTAATAAAAGGACATCTATTGTTTAATTATTGTTTGTGATTGTAGTAAGTAGTTTTGAGTGTGGAAGATTCATAAGTAAATCCAAGTTTAGTAACTTGCAGTAAGTCTTGTGAATTTGTCTTTTTATTATTATTTATTTACATTTACTCTATTTTATATTTAACTTGCTTGCAAAATAGTAGATATGACGACCTTTCCAAAATATAATAAGTTTTCTTTTATTTCAATTCGCGTAGTTACATTGCATGCCAAACCTTAGTTTTATTTTGAGCTGTGTATCCTTGAATCTCACACATTGCACCAACAGAACCGTGTTAGACAACTGGTTGCCTTTCTACTACGGATTCATTGTTTCCAATCTTTTCTGAACTTCTCTATCCTCTTTTACGAATTGAGTTATTTATTAGCAGGTTGTGTATCTGTTCTTGCTCTAAATAAGCAGTTTTATGTGAAATTCACTACCTTTATCATTGCTTTCTTTTTCTGGCTCTGAATAAGATGGATTTCGACTTAGACTTACTTACAGGCTTGCAGATTTTGAGCCAAAAGACTCCTATGTCAGTAACAAATGGACCCACGAAACGAGCCTCCGTCGCCGTAATCCTTGCTACAGACCCTCCTCAAAAAACTTCTTCCCCTTATTGGATTCATCAAATTCCTTCTAATGTCGTTCCTCATGTCCTATTAATCCAGAGATCTTTCCGTGAAAAAGACCGATGGTCTGGTCACGTTGCTTTGCCTGGTGGCATCCGTGAAGCAGATGATAAATCTGACGTCCATACTGCTATACGCGAAACAAACGAAGAAGTTGGCATTGATCTTTGCGAGCAAGGGGCTTATTTTGCCGGCTCTTTAGATGAACGAATCGTTTCTTCCAATTGGGGTAGTACTCCTTTAATATTGCTTTCTTCTTTCGGTACGTGAACCTTTTCGACGTAAACAATAATTCTAACCACTTGTTGTCTATCTAGTTTTCGTCTTACCCAATCTTTGTGAATTACACCTTGATGAGAAAGAAGTGTTTTCTGCCCAATGGATCCCTCTCACCGACCTTTTACGCCCAAAATATTTTACCTATATAAAAGTTGATCCCTCTCGGGCTATTGCAAACCAGACCATACCTTCTTTGCAGCCTTTTTTGCAATTCTTTGTTGGCAAACTAGTTTATTCAGCAATTCGTTTGGAACCTCAGATAGATTCACCAGCTCTTCTGCTTCCTATCAACAAAAGACCTTTGTTATGGGGTATTACACATAGCATATTCGTCGACTTATTTGTTTTCTTTTCCCCTTCTTCTGCGAAATCCTGCATTATATGGACTTTGCCATACTTTCAACATTACGACTTGCGAGTTATTACAAGTTTAATATCATGGAATTACAAAAGAAGAATGTCTAGTAGATATCCTCATGGCAATTGGGCTATAACAACACTTAATGGATACTACAAATATTTAAAACTGACTTTAATCATTGGGTTTCTGTTCCGTATTACTCTGTTTTGCTTTCTGCTTTCTAATTTATTAAACATGAACATAGCCACGTTCTATAAATAAGTATTTTTTTATGAATGCCTACTTGTGTAATGCGACAGATATATACATGTATGGCAGTAGTAACTTACAACTCCAAATGATTATGTACTCCAATGATAAATCTAATTGATTAAGATTATTTATTCTATCAACAAAAAGCACGACGTGAAGTAGCCAAGCAAAAAAGGTACTTGTACATTCTATAAGATGAACATAAATGAGTGGTATTAATATACAGTCCAGAAATTGTCAATCAAAGGCACGCGAAAGGCAACTAGAGGATAAATCCCTGATAGTATTCGACGAAAATTACTTATATTTTCGGATACATTATAAACAAAGGTGTCACATTAACAGAGAAACGGCGATGAATATCTATCTTTCTTTGTATACAAGATGGGCAGCAAGAATCTGCATTAAAAACAAAGAAAAATTTAAAAATCAACACCATTTTCAACGAACAGTCAACCGATATAATAAACTCAAGTGAGCATCAACAAGAGATTAAAAAAATAACGTGCCAGTATATGCATTAAAGTTATAAACATTAGTACTCTTCTCAATTAAAGGTCCAGTTTTCGAGGCCATCTCTTTACCTTGTCGAGAAACACTAAAATATGGACTATTGCCTGGTACCATGCTGATTGAGAAACGATTAACACCTGGACTGCCAGTGAAAGTTTTTTTGTTTGTACCACAAGTGATAGTGATCTCAGCAGGCTGCAACAGATAAACAGCGGCATAAATTAAATCTTCATTATAATCACCACCGGAAGGATATCCAATACTATCATCAGTAGGAACACTGTATTTAGAGGTTGGCCTGTACCAGTAAAAGAGGGATTCAAAATTAATATAAGGTTTAGAGGCTCCATTCTTAAAAGCAGCAATGTATGGGGCTATCATGTAACGCCAAGCCGCGTGATCGAAACCATTAACATAGTCATCGGATCCAGAAGGTAAAGCACCCTGGATTTTACCGATATAATGAGACTCACCAAAGTCATTCCAGGTCAAAATCTCAATCATATCAGGTTGGACATCTAACATTTGTTGCAAGCGATCCAGATAAAGCCAATCACTTTTGTAAGCCCAATTTTTATACTGTAAATGGGTAAAAAACCAAGGTGAAAGAGGTGCAACGTAAATTTTACCCAGAGAGTTTGCTAATTGTTTATAGTAATAGTCATCATTAGCATTCATATCAGCGGAACTTGTGGGCCATGTGTTCCAGGAAACAAAGCCATCAGTTACACTTTGTTGTAAAGCTCCTCCTCCCAAAGCAGTCCAACTAGGAGCAAAAAAGATTGGACATCCAGCGGATTCTAGTGGCTCTTTTACGGCTGAATTCCATCCAGAACTAACATCAGAGCGTCCGAAATTATCGGTTTCACCAGAAAAGGTTGATACAAAGATTTTATTATCCCACCTTAATTGATTGGGTTTGTCAGCAAATCTTCTTATTAATCCTTCAATGAAATCCGCATCTGCAGACATAGCTGTCATATCAAAGGATAGAAACAATTTAAAATCAGTAGATACACTAGCAGCTGCTTCGTAGGCATCACTGATACGCTCAACTTGCCAAGCATCAGCACCAAAGTTCAAAGCGAAACCATCAACTCCAGTTGCGACAGCATCTTTAATGTCCTCTTTCCAATTGTCCACCGTATATGGGTATGTATTACCGACGATGAAGTGTGCGACGACTAACTTACTAGCTTGAGCCAGGCTGGTAAAACTTAAGGCTAGCAAACCGAAAAATAATATAAGCTTCATTTTGTTTGAAAAGTAATAAGATGTATTATGGCTGGAAGATATCTTTATCCCAAGGGGTTCTATAGCTTTCCTTTGTCCCTAATTCTTTGTTCTCACTTAAACAAAGGAAGATACAACGTCGCCAGCGACGTAATTAAACACTAATCTACAGAAACACTCGTAGCCCCTGAATTTATCTTTATATAGGATTTCCCCTTAGAACAGGGCTTGTGAGACATCTCTGAAATTAGAATCGGTGGCTGGCATATGCCCGAAACACCTATAGAAAGGCAAGAAGTGGCTGGTTAATAGCCATTCTTAGTTATAACGCTATTTGTAGATGACGCTTAGTGGATATTGATAGAACATGTGCATATTTGCTGCATATTGTGTTGTATATGCACACCCAATTCTATTTCCCTGCTGGTATAGTAGTAAATAAACTTGCAAATCAACCTCACCAGACATAATGTAAAAGCCACAAAAGAACTAACTAACAAAACAGAAAGAAGCCTTGCTTCTTTAACAGACATATACATCGTTAGTAGGTCCTACCGTCTAGTATCCATGTACCCTCAATATTTGCAAGGAAAACCTAGAAAGCATTTTGGAATGGTGTAGACTTGTTTCATGATGGATTTTAGCCAAAACCCATACTCATTTTCCTTCTTCATTCTATGGGTTGTGGATTTGTCCTTTCTTGGCAACTCTTTTCTCTAATTTCCGAAGTCGCAAGCTTAACTCGAGTAGTAGGTGATTTTGAAGTAACATTGGCTCAATGTAATGAAATAGGATAAAATTAACTGTTCGTTTAAGCATTTCATGATGTTCGCTTAAAAGCTGTCGAAGACGCAGAAACTGCTTAGCAGCGACTTTTTGTTCGTTTAAAAAAATTATGAAATCTTTGACAAAGTTCTTTTGTTCATAGCTGACAAGTCTCTTGGTATCATTAAAAAAATTCATAAGACCATCCAAATTTGATAATTCTGGTTCAAAAATAAGATTTTCTTTCTCTGAACAAGAAACAGTTGATTTAAAAATACTCTTATGTTCATTATAAAGTTCATGATATGCACTTGATTCTAGCAGTCGAACTTCCGTTTCACATAAGTACTTCATTTGATTAGGATCAAAAAAGCTTAAAATTAACTCCAAATGTTTTAAACGTTTCTCAAGGTTCTCTAATAAAGTCTTAGTTAGCATTTTTTATATTATCTCTATCTTGATATGAGTATTTGGTAAAAGTTTAAGACCAAAAGCACGAAATGGGAGTTGACGCGTCGACGCGTTCAGAAATAGGAACCTATTACGTAGCCTTAGATAGAAAATAGAATGAAGAAAAATCATACATAAAGCGAAGTAAAACAAAATCGTAACTCGTAACGTAAGCTTGCAAGCTACTGTACTTTAGATTAATTTACCGAATTTAGGTAGACAAAATTATTTTCGATTTAAAGGTTTGTAGAGTCTCATAAAATAAGTTACCACCAAGCAGATAATGTATAGAACGGCACTCACGTAAAAAATAAGATTAGGGAATGAGGTATCGACAGAAGCGGCATATATGTAAGCATACATGGGGCCTCTTATTATTAGAGCAGCAGCTTCGAAAACGGCAAAAGCAGCCAATATACGTCCATTATATTCAGATAAAACTCCGTTTAGAGCGATAGATTGAACACAAGGAATTACCATATTTGAAATGGCTTGAACAACGATAGCCACAAACAATGAAACATCTGTTTTGGCACAAGCAAGTAATACAGAGGAGCAAATTGCGACAATATAACTAAATCTGGCATTCCAAACATCACGTTTGACGATAGTGTATTTTTCGTCCAATGTGTCAGCTCGAAGGACATTCTCATTGGTATACCCTGGAAGAGTCAAATAAGAGAACACATTCCGAATACCTTGTAGCGTAGAAGGGTTATCGGTACGTCTACTTAGATAATTAAATAATCCCTTTGAAGAGTGAAGCGTTTCCAAAACTCTTTCTATTACTTTGGAAACTAAAGGGAAGATAGTAACCAGCGTGAAAGCGCTAGCAAACGAATCTGTAAACAAGATTAGACTTGCCTTCATTGGACCCCAACCAAACTGGAAGTCTGTATAGATAGGCAGTAAAGCCATAGCTCCTGCTCCAATCAGTGCTAAAAAAATTAATATCGAAGCTAACATAACATCCCAATGCCTTCTTCCAGCATGAGTATCGCAATTAACATCGTATTGACGAATGGAACAGCTTCCTTCCGTACAAACAACTTGAGGCCACAGTACCTTCAGTGGTTCCAAACAAGTACCTATCGTTGAGTTTAAAGAAAGACAAGAGTCATGAGTTTGGTTATCGATTCGGTTCAGACTTTCTGGTAAAATAAGCCAAACGTAAAGTATATAGAATGTCCACAATACTGCTGTTATAATAAATACATAATACATTTTAGAGGAATACTGCAAAATGTAGCCACTAACAGTCGGGCCAAGGGCAGTTCCAACGTGGTAAGTAGCAAAATTCAAAGCCAGATACCAAGCTCGGTGTTCATTCCGAGTGCAATCAGCAACAAATGAATTTTGTCCAGCAAGTATTGTAGAGATATATCCTCCTAGTCCTTTCAAAGATGCAGAAATTAGGATGAAAGAAAATTTACTTGACATATATGATTGATAGAGAAGACATAAATCACCAAGCAGAACAAATGATACAGCTATCATTAATACAAGTCTCCTACCATAAATATCACCTAAAGTACCATAATAGGCTGTGGACAACAGCCCAAGAAATGCAGCCACAGAGCCAAAGGCGGCACGATATTTTGAAACACCAGCGGTGATTTCAGGAAGACGACACATTGGATCACCTGGAGCTAATTCAGATGGATTTAGCCCATAATGTTTGGCGCAAAGCCCTTGACGAAGAAGAAACAAAAGAGGAATTTCAATCATCGCCCATGCAAACGCATTGATAAAGTTCAAAGGTAATACTAATAACGGCGAAATCAGTCGTCTTCTAGGCGTATTATCCATGCAGCAGTCTGTTCTACCGCAGCTTTCATCATTAATTACTCGACTTTGGTCTTCGGGATCATTAAACGAGATAGGTTCATTTGTGTTGTCGGTAGCGTTATAACTCTTATGCGAAGAAGAACTTTGAGGTGTTGATCTATATTTGCTTTCCGTACTAGTCGTATTACCTAGTGTTGAAGAGGCACCGTTATCATTGTCCGTAGAATTTTGTAAAAGCAAGGGACAAGAAGAACAGTATTCTCTTTTCGGAGATGGAGTTCGCGAACGATAGGCTCTATTTACAGATGGGTCGGAAATCAATAAAGGGGTATCTTCGTCATCTCGGGAACTCATAGTCTTCTATTTTCTGTCTTGGTCGTTCTAAAAATTATTGCTGAATAAATCGTAAAAAATGACTATGATGAACGCTCCTCTAAGTAAACAAATGTCAAAAAAACAAGGTTGAATCCCAACACAAAAGGTTATAAGTGAATTCTATATGAACACGGGAATTCCAAAACGTGTAAGACGGGAATATCACTTTTCCAAATCTGATAATAAATCTATCCCAAGAAATTCCTTCTTATAGATGATCCCTAAAGCCTTCTTCAACAAAGATAGATTTGTCGCCTATGTATTATATCAAGGCAAGGTTAGGCTTATAGGTCACCAAACCGTCCGAAACGCTCCAAAAAAAAGTAATGAAAGTATTGCTAACAGAAAACTTACTTTCTATGCAAAATAAACCATGGATTTCCAGCAATTGTATGAATTGAACCAATATGCGCTGCTTGTTGCTTACTGGTTCGGAATACGCTACTTGAAATAACTCTGAGTTGTCACTTCTCTGCCGTTACTTGAGTTACGTTAAACACACGAGATCGGATTAGTACTGTTCAACTTGTTTTGTTTATTACAGAGTTGAAGGATTATTAAAAACAATATTTATTTATACCCTTCATAAAAATTATATTACGTACTATGTATATTGGTTCATATTTGGTAGAATTTGTTGGGTTTCGTAAAGCACTTTTAGGAAGGTAGTGGAAGGAGAAAGAGAACTACAACACGAATATATTGAAACAAGAACCAAAGTGAACCATATAAAAATTGGCATTTTTGTACCGAAGATTGCTTTTTTTTATTTTTTTTAAATTTATATTGGATATTTTTGGATCGAATTGGTTTCTTTTTCCGGAAGATTTAGCATCAGGTTTTGGCTATCAGTCATTGTCGACTAAAAACGTGCTTTTTGTGGGAACCAAATAGCTCTCTAGGTTTGTCAGGAGAAGATAAACTGTTTTAATTGAGCACATTTCTCTCTTCGTTCTGAACTGGTTATAAACTTAGAAAAAAACGCAACTGTACTATCCTCCCTTTTCATCGTCAGAGAATAAGGTATTTAATATGGCCTCTATATTGGAAAATCCTGAGAACAATGCAAAGATTCATCAGCTTGTGGAATCCAAACTGGCCGATTACGGCTGGGCCGAAGAAGCAGCCTCTCTTACGGATTTCATTTTCGTAATGATAAGTAATGGAAAAGATCAATCACAGGTTACCGAAGAGCTTGTGGACTTGATAGGACCCGAATTTGATTCGAATTTTTCTCAGTGGCTGTTTGACGAATTACGAGAGTTTGAGTCCTCACAAGGCGCACAAACAACAAATGAAGAACAGGTTTCTGGTCAGAATGAGCAGCCAACTTTAGCAGAAACCTCTAACGAAAGATTGCCGGAAACCAGTGCGGCCGCGACTGCTGACACAAAAGAGGAAGTGGGTAAAGGAAATCCTCCTCAAACAGAACGTGTTGGTCAAAAATTAAAGAGTTCTGCTGTTCCAAAGCAGCGATTCAATCCTATGGCACCTTCCTTTAGTGTAACAAAACCTATCGTACCGCCTGCTAAACGCTTCTTTAAACACGACGAAGAAATACCTCTTTGCAAATTTGCCGACAAATGTGCTCGCGCAGATTGTATTTTCGCTCACCCTACTCCCGCTGCATCTTCAGGAGAAGGAATGGTTTTAAGCAATAAGATGTGTCCTGCGGGGAGAGATTGTAAAAATTCAGACTGTGTCGAGGGGCATCCATCTCCAGCCTTCGCCACTACACTTCCCTTCAAAGGAACAATTCCTGTTGTCTGCCGATATAATCCCTGTTTGAATCCTAGTTGTCGCTTCCTTCATCCTCAGAAAAGCAAGAATATGACATGGACACCTTCTTCACAGTCGATTTCACCAGCTTCTATAAGCGAACGTAAATTTGCCGTTGAAGATTCACAAGAACATTTGCATGTATCTTAAAAGTGAAAATAACTAATATTTATCGAGTGTCTGTCTTTTTCTTCTCATTCAAGATTCCCATGAGCGATTGTATACTTGGATGGTAAACCTGACAATGATTCTGTATTCGCTTAGCTAGAAGGCTACGTTTATGAAAGTTTGTATAATATCAAAATACTTAAGTATCTTCTTATAAAATATTGGGTTATAGCGGACATAATGAAATTTGTCGTTTTCGTTTAATCTAACCTTGATAGTTTTTCTGATACCCCCACTCCCCCACACAAAGTTGTTTTGATTCTGAGCTATATGTTTACATTCAGCTGAATCGTAGCTACCATAATCAACCATTGATATTTTCCAAAAAAAGTGATGGAGGAGCATCAACCGTATTTCGATCCTCTATATGATGCGTATTCTCTTCGTGTAATTGATTTGCGTGAAATTTTAAACCAACACCAGATATACTTTCCATCCACTGCTAAGAAAGCACACTTAGTTGAGTTGTTCGACAAACTACGACAGGCCAAGAATGGTTCTCTTTCAATTGATGAATTGCAAAAGGAAAATGCTCTTCCGAATCGTAGTCCGCGGCGAAAATTATTGGAAATGACTGCAATAGAGCCTGAAACTACAACCCTCTCAGCAGCTAATACTCCAATCCGCATTACTAGAAGCTCTGCGAGAGAAATAGGTAATTCAGCAAGACGGTTTCTCCCATTTACACAATTGAGTGAGTCCTCTGATGAGGAGGAAATAATCGAAGATTTGAGACAGAAAAAAGCACAGCAAGAATCTCCTGGTTTCCTTGCTTATAATGAAACTAGTCAAACATCTCCAAACCATAATAAGTGGGAAGAATTAATGGATACACCTGCTGTGACGCATTTCCCGGAAGTCATTAAGGCCCATTCCGTCCAGCCGGCTAACAATTCTTATGCTGAAAATTTGAAAGATGAAAAAACTAGGTCTAAAGGAAAGGCATCTTGGGGTAGAACGTCCATCCCGACTGTTGAAATCCCCGTTCATTCCAGGTCGCCATCTTCCTCGCAAGCTTTTTCAGCCAATTCGGGGTTACAACATAAGTCATCACCTGTATTACCAGAGTCTACTAATTCAATGAGCCCCACTTTTCCTTTGAGATCCGCGAAGTTTCATGGGGTTGAGCCTCAAACATCGCCATTCGTTTTGTCTAAAAATCTAAAGTCATCGCCGGACGTTCAAAGCTCCTCCAATACAAGTATTTATGCATCTCCATTAAAGTCGCCGTCAAAATTTAAGAATTTTGCGAACCTGTTTCCTTCTCATCGCACTCCTTTAGGTGAAACTAATTCGCAATCTGTCATTCATACTACACCTACTCATAAAAATCTACAATATCCTTCTGATAGTGAACCCGAATTTTCACCGACATCAATGAAGACTTTGGTATCCAAAGACAATGATAAATTTTCATCCTCTCCAGTCTCTAATTCCTCGTCAATGTTTGTTAGTCACTTAAAGAGTTTTTATGCCAAGGATCAAGCAGCCCCTACAAAGGCTACAGCAAGAACACCTTTAAGCTTCTTTTCTGCTATAGATCGACCTCAAGGAACCTATTCTCCAAACGAAGAATTTGCCGAAAGTTTATTTTCGCAGAAAGGCGTACGGTCTGACAGAACAAAATACTTTCTCAACGACGTCAGTCTTTCATCTACTGAAAACTCGCTTTTTGGAGAACAAGAAGAATCTTTAAAAAACGATTCTCGTAAGTATTATAACAAGATGGGAAAGTTTCGAGTATATGGACTGTTCTTGTTTGTGTTGTTCATTGCTATGTCACTTGCATTCTGGCAGCAGGAAGTTAAACGAGTTGGATTTTGTGAAATTCCTGGTAAGTTGTCCACCAAAATCTTCATGTTAAAAAATATCAAGTTTAACAAATTATAGAAGAGGCTTACCCTAGTTACATTTCTTCTCTCAAACCAGAGCCTGTTCGATCAACCTTAAAGTCTGTGTACAGTTATTTGAACGAAAAAGGACTAAAAGCCAAGTGTATACCATGCCCATCTTCTGCGAAATGCGCCAGTAATAGACGTTTTGTTTGCGACAGTGAAGCAAAGCCGCATATACCGTTTTTGTCAAATTTCGGATTCAAGCCCTATCCTAGTTGTGTCACCGCTAGTTCTGTTACAGATCGTCTAGAGAACATGGTTAAGGCTTGTGTTAACATGGTTGAAGAATGGTATACGCAAGATGGATTAGAATCTCAGGTTCCTGTACAGCAAGAATTATCCGAGAGTCATTTTCATTCTTCAGTTATTGATGAATTCTATGAAAAGTTCAAAGGGGAAATGGATTTGGAAATCGCAAAGGATGAGTTTAAAGTTTATCTCAAACAAGCTTTGGAAAGGCTAAACGCCCTAAAAACAAAAAATAAGAAGTAAGGACGGCATATATTGTGCAATGTACATACTAACTTGAAACTAGAATTCATGAAGGCATTTTTACTATCTATTCTCACTTTTTTAGCTTGACGAATTATCTCGCAAATATCATAAACACCAGCATTGCCGCTACCTTGCATTCTAAAAGCAAGTCAATTGCTCGTTCGATAAATTCATATACTTCTTCCGTGCATCTTAACTTGTTAAAATATGCTTTCATGAAGAGACTCCAGTTGATTTACTCTACTACCGGAAGCATATGTAACCATCTGGGCATGATTATGGGTGAAATATCTCTTAATATACTGGCGAATATTAAAGAGACGTTTCTTAAATCATGGAAAAATCTCTTAATGGGAGTTTTGGGTATATTATTGCTACGTATTGGTACCTCGCTCATTACTTATTTATGGTCATTATTTATCTCTTTTTACAGCACAGAACAGCTTGTAAGAATTTGCGTCAAGCACTGTGTTACTCGTTTACGAAATACAAAAAAGAAATCTCTTCAAGATGAATCTACAAATCCTCGTTTACATCTGGAAGAACTCCGTACGGAATGTTTTGTTTCTAATCTTAAAAACGATAAAGACCTTAATTACTTGAGAGAAGCAAGCAATATTACTCAGAAGAGAGTTTGGCAACGAAGCGTAAAGGTAATTGACCAGATGGTGAGTGTTCGGGTTTGTGATGAAAAATCAACAAACAAACGCACTTGGGAATGGATTGGTGTTTTACCAGACAATGGATATTAAAATATTTTAAATGGAGCAGAATGGTATTTCTCTTTATATAATATAGTTAAAAAATTGGTTGGTATTGCCAAGCTATCAACAAAAAGAAGATTGCATTAGAAAAATAAAAGTTTTTATTAGTTAACCTTTCATATAGACAAAGAAACAAACATGCGTATAATTTTAAACTAATCAGAGCTGTTCTATATGACAGTACTAGTAAATTCAAATTTGTAGGAAAGGAAAGCCATAGAGGAAATTAGTGAGTGTACATAAGCAATCTAAGATAAAATAATGAAATAATCGACCAAATTAACAGAGGAAAACAGAATAACCAGAATGAAGGGGAAAATATGTAGTAAAATGAGAAAGGAATATTCTAATTCAACAAATCGTACGAAACAATATAATTGGATAAAACGGTGCTTAAAGTGAAATCCAAGATAAGCAAGCATTATACCTATCAATGAAGTGCACTACTGACAAGGTTGCGAAGGGCTTTACAAAGCAGAGAAACATCACCCGAATAACGACCGGAAGCATAAAAGTACTTTGTATCGGAATAAATCCAATGAGAAGCAGTCGGACCAGCTTTGTACTTGTCTGCTGGGATAAGTGTAGAAGCATAAGCAGATGGATTGGAAACGCCCAACAAATAAGATGTTCTTTCCATATAAAGAGGAGTAGTTGTCGATTTAATTTGGAGATTTGGAGCGGCACAATGGACGGCAATAGCGCCTTGGGCAATGGTTCCCAAAACGTGGTTACCACTTGCACGGGAGCACAAAGGAATGTAATCGGATAGTAAGAAAGACAAGCGAGAACATTGAACAAATTCCAAAACTGCCGGATCCTGGCCACCTGGAATAAGAACTAAGTCATAGGTATTGAAAGTGAAAGATTCAGAGGACAAGCTAAGAGGTTTCAAAAATTCAGTAGTGGTAGACATTCTTTCGTAAAGCCTACAAGTTTCAGCAGTGGCTCCAAAAAACCAAGACTTAAAACCACCTAAAAGTCTCTGATCGGCCTGAGCAACATTTCCTGTCAAAGTTGCAAAATGCACCATGTATCCTTGTTTCAAAAAATAATGCCAAGAATCGCAGACTTGAGTAACATCGTAACCAGTATCAGGTAAAACAATACACATTTTGAGCGTGCGATGCTTTCTATTTGCGACGTTCTGCACGGGAGTAGGAGCCCATAACGGGTTAGCAAAAGGCTGGAGAATAGTCGAATTTGACTGGTCTTCACGAACTATTTGCATTGACATTTTCAATTCCTGAAAAAACACTAAAACAATGGGTACTTCGTAATTAACTATAAAAGTCGTTCTCCGACAGAAAATGGGATCCGTTTTTTTTTCTATAAAGACTCTATTTTCACCAATTGCTTCAAAAATGCCAATTGAATTAAAGAAAACAAACTAAAAATTGGGAGCTTTCTCGTTGGCAAACGACAAGAAAAAACTCGACTGTGGACAGTAATATCCGTCTATGAAACTAGGTTTAAGCTATACCGAAGCGAGTAGCAATACAGTAGTAAATAAAAGATAGATAATTTATCATAAACAAACGCAAAAAAAAAAGTCTTTGGTGTTGATAATTAGATATAGAAAACCATTTGTTTTTGAAACTTTATTCAATTTTCGCCGATTTTTATGGGATGACTTGTGTCTATAGTGTCGTACGACGTTATTAGAATGGTATGAATAATATATGAAGAGTTTACATATAATAAGTAATTAAAAAAGAAAAAAGCAACAACAAAAGCGCTTAAAAATATCCAGCCGATCAAAATTTACAAGGAAGTCGAATCCAAACGGATTTGATACCTCTCTTGGTAAAGAGTCCTGTCTCATTTTTTTCAGGTACCTTGTAGCAGCAGAACCTTTACCATTTCTAGAGTTAAAATTGCTATACTTGTTTAAAATTTATACTTCAACTCTCTGAGATATAAATGCATATACTCAATCCGCTTTATAAGACATCTTCCTTAGTATAGGGGTAGTACACCAGCCTGTCACGCTGGCAGCCCGGGTTCGAATCCCGGAGGGAGAGTTTATTTTTTTCAATCTTACGGATTTTTAATTTTGTTCGCATGAGGAATGTTCAAAGGAAAAACCAAAGCTAAAAGATGTACGTCAATGACTGACTCTTCAAATGTTCATAAACCCCATTTTATTCAAGTTCGTTTCATAAGCATAGCTTACGAAGTTTGAAGTACGTAATAAATTATAACCAAGTTTTGAAAACGTTAAGCATGAATAGCCCTTCTTTTCTTCAAAGTTTCTAGTTTGAGTGTAAATGTGTTTAAATGATTCATAATGGATATTGTTTAAGAATTCGAGTTTTATACAATTTTTCCAACCGAGATTTGTGTCTAAAAAACCAAGGGTGTTCTTCTGCTTCCTGGACTGTTGGACGTTGAATTGGGAGTTTTTGCAGAAAAGAAGAAATTAAATCTTTAGCTTGTCTAGAAATAGTTTTCCAGACCTCGTCTTCAAATACTATAGTCCCATCCGAGGAAAACGTAGGAGAATTTCCTGAAAGAAGCAAATACATGATGATTCCTAGGCTCCATATATCTACCTCTTTGCCATACCCCATATTCATTTCTTTGCAACGCCTGCTGCGACCTTTCAAGTCTCTTATTTCTGGGGCCGTGTATTCCAAGGTGCCCACAAATGTCGACATTCTTTTCCCCTTTTCCATACATCTGGCAACACCGAAGTCAGTCAAAATGATTCGGAACACGCTGTCGTTTGAAGAAACAATTAATATGTTTTCTAATTTCAAGTCTCGATGCGCAATGTTTTGAGAATGTAGATAACCTAATGCTTGTAGCATCTGGTACATAATAAACAAGCATGTCACTTCAGGAACTGTTCCCATCTTGGTCAGATAACTAAACAAATCGCCGCCTGTAACCAATTCTTCAAAGATAAAGCTAAAGAAGTTAGCAAATTAAGAATAGGAATATTGTCATACAATTGGTTTTCAGAGTTGTAGTCCATAGCTACATGAACGATATTGGGATGATTTAGTTTTTTCAGAATGGAAACTTCATGATCGTCATAAAAGCGAGTAGAAGACACCTTTTTCTTATCAATGATCTTACAAGCATATTGTCTTCCTGTTTTGTTTTCAATCGCCATGTAAATACGCGAAAACCCTCCAGTACCAAGTAGACGATGGGTAATACTAAATTCATCACCATCATACTCATGATGATAGTCATCATCTGTTATATTTTTCTGCTGATATAAAAAGGAAGCGCAATGACGAACATCTAAAATGTCACCGTCAGATAATAATACTACATTTCCTTTACCAATGAGACAGTGATTCAAAAATGTACCATTGGAGCTTAAGTCTTCACAGTAAACCAATGGATCCATATCATCATCTACAAGCACTGAATAGACTCTAAAGTGTCTATAACTTGCCGTCGATTGAATTAGTTGATACGTATTGGTGTTTCCACGTCCTACAGTCACGTCTTCGTACTTTCTTATACTTATAGCTATACAGGAATTAGAAAAATATACTTACGAAATGATTATCTACCTGTTTGGGGAGATGTTGACGAGAAAACAAACAGTCGGCCCAAGACCCCGTCTTCAGTTTGCTGAATGTCAAGCGTGCTTTCATCGATTTGACTCATTTCACAGAGGATTTGCGTGGATTCTGAACGACTTAATATAGCACGCGACAAAAATTCCATTTTCTAACAATTTGACACGCTTGGTTTTTGTTAAGTAAATGTACGCGCGTCCATCATCAATCTACACAAGTAACAGCTTATTTACCAACGGGGTGACAATTGGCATACGCTTTGTTTATTTACAAAAAGAAAAGAAATAAAGAATAAAATATAAAGAAGGTAGCAGTAAGCAGTAGAAGTTTACGAATTCAAATTGCAATATTACACTTATGAAACATATGAAATGTTGATAGAACCAATGTTGATTTTGATTTGGAGAAATACGGAACTTTGGTTTCCGTGTATACTACTTTTCTCAAGTTTATCGTCCATCAGCAGCTTAACCTGTATTTCAATAGGTCTTTTTGATGATTTTAAGGCGAACTCGCAGTTCCAAGCTCCATAGGTAAAGCCAGAAGAGGGAATTCGATCGACAGCAAACACTTTTTGAAAACCTGCCCGTAGATGCAAATCAGCAAGAAGGTCATCCCTTTATAAAGCCCTAACTTAGACGATTCCTCTGTGCGGGATCCATAAAGGTGTTCACACGAGTACCAGCGTTTCCCATTTCAAGGTGTTTCCTGGGCAATGTAATCGTCTGCAGCTTTAATCAAACCAACATAAAGAATGCAAAATTTTAAGTTTTCAAAGACGGGTTAACCATCCTTATGTCTTTGTGTCTTGTGTTTCCAGGTCCGCCAGTATTGCCCAAACACTCGCTTTAAACAATGTATGTACTAAACCAATCTCCTTTTCCAATTCTCTTAAAGAATCGAGAATATTGTTTGTTGGATTATAAACCATTTCGTGCAACAATTTTGCAAGCTACGTGTCAGCGCTAACAGACCTTTGTAATACACACTTACAGCATCCATATTCATAGCTAATTTCGTATATTCATCCAAAACCTGTTTTTGCAGAACTTGTTTCTCCTTTAAAGAGGTCGAATCTTCAGACATTTTCTTGGAGGTTCAGAACTTGCTCATAACAACATTTATTAAAGTCAACTGGAGTTTATTGTACGATGGAGGGCCATAGGCCTGAAAAACGAAGGAGAAATAATCCAAATTATTTCACGTAAGTTGTTCATTCACATAACGAAAACGTTATATAATTTTTTATTGTATAGGCGTTTTTGCTGACTTTTTCATAGATATGCATACGGGAGCATCGTGCGGGTGAAGTTGATCAATTTTGTCACATATGAGTACTGTGAGTTTTATCCAGGTCCATACTTAAATATGATTATTGGCCCTAATGGCACTGGCAAGAGTACTGTTGTATCGGCCATTTGTTTGGGCCTTGGCTGGTCTCCAAAGGTATGCTCTATTGGCATGCTGATGACTTATTAACGGTTACTTAGTTACTTGGAAGGGCTAAAGAAGCTAGAGAGTACATCAAGTATGGAAAAAACTGCGCTACAATCGAATTGGAACTGAAACTTAAGGATGACAAAACAGTAATTATAACCCGTCAAATCAATCAAGACAAATCAAGTTCATTCTCTATAAATAAGGAAGCTTGTTCATCTTCAGCAATCTCTCATTTGATGGAAAAGTTCAACATTCAATTGAATAATCTTTGCCATTTTCTGCCGCAAGATAGAGTCGCAGAATTTGCACAACTAGATCCGTTCACTAGACTTATTGAAACAGAAAGAGCTATTGACCACGAAGGCTTATTGCTTGAACACGAAAAACTGATTGAATTACGAAAAGAGGAAAAAGATACTTTGCAATACAAAGATCAGGGTCAGAACACTTTAAGCTCGATCAAGGAACGGCAACAGGCTCTTGAAAAAGAAGTTGAAATTTTTAAAGAACGTGAAAATATTCAGTCATATCTCAGTACACTAGCTATAGCGAAAGACCTTATAATATACCGAGAGAAGACAACAATATATAACCAGCTAAGGGAGAATAAGGTGGACATTAAAGAAAAATTAAAGCATGCTATTGAAGAGTTCCGTCCGATTTTGAGCATGAAAGAGCAACTTCAATCGGACTTGCAAGATAAAAAAGAGGCTTTTGATCAGTTATCTTCTTCTTTGGCTGGATTAAAGCAGAAAGTGGGAAGAGAAAAATCATCTGTGTCGAACTTCATGGAAAATGAAAAGCGAATCTACGAAAAAACAAATTCGAATCGTGTGCTTCTAAAAAGCAACCAGTCAGCAGTCCAAGAAGCACAGCAGGCACTTGATGGATTGTTGGGAATGATGGGTCCGAAACCTTCAGAACAAAATTTTGAGCTTGTCCATCAGAAGATGCAGGAACTTAATACAGAGAAACTTCGTTACGAAAACGAGAAATTAGAGAGTTCGCATGCGCTTGGTAATATACGTACCTTTAAAGCACAAAAACTACTTGACATCGATAATCTTCGTCGCGAGCTTAATGCATATAATGATCTTACTCGAAGGAAATTGAAGTATATAGCAACGACGCCTGGTTGGGAAGATGCTTATCATACATATCAACTATTAAAAGAGAATGAATCAAATCTTGAGGAAGCAGCATATGGGCCTATATATATGCATCTAGAATGCAAAAAAAAGAACGTTGCTCCTTTAATTGAAGGATTTTTCCGGGCTGATACATTTCGAACTTTCGTTATGTCAAATTATTCTGACTATTTGAAGTTGATGGATCTGATTACTTCTAAGACGAGGTACACTCCTACTGTACGAGAATTTTCAAGTGAACGATGTAAGAAACTTGATGATTTTCAGTGCATATGTTCCCGAGAAAAGCTTAAATCATTTGGATTTGATGGATATTTATTAGATTATTTGGAGGGACCGGAAGTTGTCTTGGTAGCCTTATGCCATATGCTGAAAATCCATCAAATTCCTGTTGCAGAAAAGGAATTATCTCCAAGTTCTGTAAATGCATTAAATAACTATCGTTTGCCCAATGGTGACCCAGTATTTAAAACATACCTTGCTGGCTCTTCTGTACACCTGGTGTTTCGTTCCGCTTATGGTAATAGAGAATTAACCCAAAGGACGGATCCGCTTCCTTCGAATAGCGTCTACTTTTCTGAAAGTGTTGAGCCATCATTAGTAAAGGAAAAGGAAGAGCAGCTAAGTTTACAGACGTCTAAACTTGAAGAGTTGCAAAGCAATGAAAGAAACCTACAGGGTAAAGTTAGCGAATGCGACGCGCTGATCTCTGAAGCAAATGAAAAGATTGGAGATTTACGCAAAGAAAGAGATGAGAAATTAACTCCCCTACGAGAATGGCAAGACCTGAATGATAGAGCCAATCATCAACGATTGCTTTTAGAGCAGCGGAAAAAAATTCCAAGTCAATTAGAAAAAGAATTGGAAAATAATAAGGCATCGCGTAAAGAAAACTGTATGGCTCTTTTGAATTCTATCAAAAAAATGAAAGACCAGAACACGAAAGCAACTATTGAGTTTGAAAAAAGCCTCGGGTCACAATTGAATGTGATTGAAGCCAACTATCGATTACAAAAACACGAGTTAGATGCGGAACAAGTAAATAACCATCTTCGTGAACTACATGACAAACTGCAAGAAGCTTCAGGAAAAATAAGTACAGCACGAAAAGACGCAATGGAAATATACAATTCCGTTGTTGAACGCTTGCAACATGAAGATCCTGAACGACAGGCGGCCATTACAGAAGTAAGCGAGGAATTTGCGACAGTTTCTGAGGTCGAAAACAAAATCAGCGTTGAAGAAACGAAGTTGGGCTTCATGAATGTTAATAACTTTGTTATGGAACAATATGATCGTCGAAAGAATGAAATAGAGGAACTAGAAATGAAAATGAGTAGACTCGACGAGTCCGTTCTTGTGATACAAGAAAAAATAGAAGATATCAAAAAAGCTTGGTTAATCAAGCTAGAAAAAGTTATCGAGTGCATAACTGAGAGATTCTCACAGAGCATGTCCAGCATGGGTTATGCAGGAGAAGTACGTTTGGGAAAAGCTGAAGACTATGACAAATGGCGCATCGATATTATGGTTCAGTTTAGAGAAGCAGAAGGATTACAAAAGCTTACTGGACAGCGCCAGTCAGGAGGCGAACGATCTGTTTCAACCATAATGTATCTATTAGCTCTTCAGGGTGTCGCGAGTGCACCATTTCGTATCGTGGATGAAATTAATCAGGGTATGGATCCTCGAAATGAGCGCGTCGTTCATTCTCACATTGTTAACTCAACATGCGAAACCCCTTCTTCCCAATACTTTTTGGTTACTCCTAAACTTCTTCCAGACTTGACTTATCATCGAAACCTGAAAGTGCTATGCGTATGCAATGGAAGCTGGCTTCCAGATACGTTTCGAATGTCTCTTTCTTCATATCTGGAAGGTTTGAAGAACAAACTACTTCTGCCTGCTTCTTGAAATCATTAATTAAAACCAGCGTTTTTCTACTCACAGTCACTGTACATTATTTGGAGTTTTTATTTTGAAGTTTATTTCGTTCCTTTCATATTCAATTGTTTTGATTTTGGTCTATATTTATTAATTCAGAGTTACTTTTCTATAGATGAAATCTTACGTGGTTTATTCAGTTGAACCCATTTTGTTCATTGTAATGTAAGAACACACATAATAAATTAAAGAAAAAAAAAAAACAACTCGAAAGATAACTACATTTTCGAAAATAAACAAAGAAGTTCGGAGTTCTATGCTTAATATATAGAATATGACAGTAGACTTCAGTAGCACCACAGACGTATTTTACCATTAACAAACTGCCATTCTGAAAGGAGGATAAAGTCCAAAGTAAGAATTGAGCAGGAAATTCGTTTGTTGAAGCACCTAGCTGTGCTTTGCCAACTTTCTTAAGTTATATAGCACCATATCGCCAACTCATTGCATTTCATGCCTTTGGAAAAGAAAAAGTTTGAAGCATCCGGCGGGCCATCACATAAGCCTTTTGGAGGTGGAACTTGGGACGAAGATTATGAGCTTGTTAGTTTAAATTCTAGTCAAGATGCCTTGCATAGCTCATTTTCGAAATCTACTCCTGTGGACTCGAACCGTACTTCTTCTCCATTAAGGATAGAATCTCTGAGCTCCTCAACAATTATGATAAACACAAAACAAAGGGAGTTTGAGATAGGAGAGGGAATTCCTGAGACCCTCGAATCGAATCAAGCACCGTTGGAGACGGACGACTCTGAAGAGATTATCAAGTCATTTCCTGGCTCTAAAGCTGAAAGTGACGAAGAGGAGGAACAGGAGGAAGAATTGGAAAGTAAAGAGGAAGACGATGATGAAGAGGATGAAAGTATATGGGAGTCTGATGAGTCTGAAGCTCGAACTGAACCTGCTCTCGCAGCTGTTGAGGCTCATAAAGGGAAAGCATTCATATCACCAAGCTCTTCTGGAACTTATGAAAGCGAAGCCTTGGAATATGATGTACCTACTATCCCGGATCTTCGCTTTCAAAACTCTTACTTAAAGTCAATTGAACAAGCAAATGGCTCAATTCCTCTTGTATGTTGGATTACTGTTCGTGATCATATTCTTTTTCCTTTTATAAGCGGCGGGATGTGGGTTTTTGTCCGTCATTTCTTGGGCTTCTTAAAGATTCAAGAGAAAGGATTTAATTTTGGTCAATGGCTACGCAGAACATTCGGATTTTTTTTCCCTTCTAAGAAATGATGCTTGTTTTTTAAATCGTTTTTTTAATTTGGTGCTTTATGAAGCGATTTTTTCACCTGCCTTAATTCGGATTTTATTCCTTGTATGCTTCAATAAAGCCAAGTAATGGCTAGCGCTTTTCATACTCTGCAATATGAAGACAATATCATCACTTACTTGCCATTTTCGTAATGATTGTTAACGGTTTTACTATTTTATTTGATTGTCTGACTCTGAACGACATGTTTAAGATGGATTCGAGCAAGCATGAAATATTAAATAATTCATTCAACAATAATGATGGATAGTGACTATGAACAGATAATGCTATATAAGAAAAGAAAAAGAGAGAACAATAGAAACCATTTCGTATGCGTGTATTTTTTGGGACTGATGGTAGTAGATAATTCAAATAACAATCATCGTTCCATTATGTATGATTTACCATGAAAAAAGGATAAAGATGACGCCTTAAATTAATTCATTAATCTTGTTTAGAAGAATTTCAGCATGATGTTGTTGGAAAACAAGCATAGGACGAAGACGGATCGCTGCAACACCACATCCTCCTACGTTAATACCATTCATCTTCATACGAGCAACAAATGTATCACGGGCAGCAGGTGATTCACAGTCCCATGCGATAAATGTGCCTTTGCCTTTACCACGGAGGTTGTTTATTTTTCCTGGGTGTTTTTCAGCCAACTTTTCAAGAGAAGTGTATAAAAAGTCACCTACAACTTTGACATTATTAAGCAGATCCTTGTCACGGATTTCTTTGACAATGTATTTGGCCTGGATAGCACGAAGAGGATCCCCCATCCAGGTATTGAAGTGTTGATAAGCATGGGGGCGAAGTTTCTCGTCATGGTAATAAACACCGGCTGCTTGGAATTTTTTAGAAAACGTAACCATATCGGGAGGAGTAGGCAAGTTCCAATGCTCATGAGCCCACATAGCACCAGTAGCGCCCATACCAGTTTGAACCTCGTCAACGATGAAGAGAACATTGTGCTTGTTTAAAGTGGCTTGAAGCTTATGGAAGAATTCATTCGAAGCATGGTTGTCACCACCTTCGGATTGAATAGGCTCAACGATACAAGCGGCGATAGGGCAATGATGAGAGCTTAGAATTTGCTCGACTTGTCTGATGCAACGATTTTCTTCAGCCTCGTTTTCAGCTGTATGTTTTTCGAGAGGGTATTTCAATGCAGGAAAGTCAGCTTGAGGCCAGTTGAACGCAGGCATACCGAGCTTATGGATAGGTTTGGAGCGAGTAGTCGAAAGAGAGCCAAAAAGACGACCATGGAAAGAATGGCGGAAAGAAAGGACAGCAGTCTCGGGACTTCCAGGAGCAGAATTGTTCATGCAACTAGCATTTTCTTCGTCGGTGTAGGTACCATTAGCTCTGGGCAAATTGTTGAAGCGATATAGCATGGCTAGCTTGTAAGCAACTTCATTGGCATCGCTGCCGCTCATTTGGTAGTAAACATACTTTTGACCCTTAGGCGCAAAGTCGATAGCACCTTCTTGTACCATACGAGCCCAGTTTTTAGGAGGATAATTTCCGAGAGCAGGACGATTCATCATAGCAGTAGCAGCCTCGTCGGATTTGGCTGCTTCAAGAAGAGTTGGATTGTTGTAACCAACGGGAATAGTAGCAATTTGAGAATAAACATCCAAAAGGACATTTTCATCAGCGTCCACCACGTAATTACCAATTGATTTCTCATAGTCAACAGGGAACTTGACAGCACCCACATCATGAACCTGGCTGATTTCTTCAAGGGTAGCCTTGCCCTTGGGACCAGGAACAGTGCTTGTTTTCACAGAGGGGCCTTTGGGCTCATTAGGAAAATAGGCAGAGCCATCTTTAGTAACATAAGTAGCAGTCATATTGGACAAAAAGGAAAGAAATGAAAACAAGTACAAAAGTTAAAGAAAGCAAAAAAGAATCGAATTTAAATTCAAAGAAAAGAGTCTAAATTGAATTCGTAAGAATGAAAAAAGAATACCAGACAAAAAAAAAAGGAATCTAGAAACGAACAAGACAAAGAATTCCAAAGAGACTTTTAGAAAAAGAGAATTTGATTATTGTCAATCTTTTTACCTCTAACGAAAAGTGTGTAAGGCACGCATCTAAATGTGCTACATGCACCGGTATTTATATCGTTTTCAGGCGGAATTACTCAGCTGATTACAATCCCATCATGGACGATTTCCAATCTTTGCTTCAGTCTATATCAGCGTTGCACGGCGTGGAAGTATCGACCAGAGATAAAAAATGACTTGGCAGGCATCGAACCATCAGTAGAGGTGAAAACAACAGGAAGAAAAAAAGAAAAAGGCAAGAAAAACAAACAGAAACAAGAAAGAAATAGAAATAGAAAAAAGAAAAAGAAAAAAGTTGGTCTCTTGTTTTTCGGCTTCCTCCCTTGAATGAGATATGGTTCCAATTGGGCTCTTGTAGCAAAATTTTCTTTTCATCGACTGCTTCTTTCGAGTAACATAACGTGAATCTTCTCCTCCCTGATCAAGAAATGATCCTTCACTCTTCTTTCGTTTTGTTTTCTATCATTGTTTATCAACGCGGCAAATTTAAACTCATTATCGTAATTTATGCAAACAGCTCGTGGTGTTGAAAGCAAGAATAAAGCAAGCAAACGCATTGTTTCTATATTAATTACAACGCAATAAAACGTGTAGTCGTTATAGTAACTTACCAAACCATTCCAGTTTGCTTAAACACAATAAGGAAAGCTAACCACATCCGTATTCGGCTCTTCTTCCACCTTGACATAAACAAACACCAAAAAAAACAGAAAAAAGAACCTCGTTAGGATTCCATCTTTTGTTAGATTTTTTTGATACTTTCTCTCTTTATAGATAATTTTTGTTTTTTTTTATTTTTCTTTCTGGAAAGCGGCTTTTCTTGTTTCTCGTTCCATAATTATATGGTTTTGCTAAATCTGCCATTAGAAAGCATTTTGTTTCTTTTCTAAGCTTTTGAGTCAATTATTTCTCTCTACGTTCGTTTCAATGCATTACGAATTTGCTTTTTACCAGGTACGTCCTTCCAGCACGCCGTCTGTGTCAGAGCCCCATGAGATTGCTAGCTATAGCCTTTCGGAAGATCACACCTTTCATCTAGACGAACGCCAACTCAAGTATTATTATCCTCCATTGCCTTACAGCGATCTAAATAGTGGGTATCCTGACAAATACCATCCGCCGAAAGCAGGCGCATATCCCATTTCCACAGCCAAAGATATTTTGGAAAAGAAACATATTAATGCAAAAGCAGAGCTGTTTACCTGGAGGGGTCTCATCACCAAAATCATGTGTGCACCGTTGTACCCAAAAAGCCAGTGGGAATTGAAGCTGCGGATGGAACCTGATAGTGGTACAATTTTCATGGAAGAAGGAGAATCCTCGGAAAAACCTTATGAAAATCAAGACAGAATGTGCTATTGGGGCTATAAATTCGAGGTCATTTCTACATTACCCACTATATGGGATGCGTGTTCTCGATCCGTCATCGAGGGCAGAGACAACCAGCCTGTGATCCCAGATGAACAGTACTGTTCCATTGTAAAATACCATATAGGACGTACTCGATTAATTCTTGCGGGGGAAGTCGATTGCGTCTGGGACGCAAAGCCAGGTGTAACGCCAGATTCCGATTTGGATGGAAAAGTAGATAGTCATGTGGAGCAGTCTGAAGCACTTAGCCCAAGAGAAGAATCCCTTCCGGATCCCAAACGAAGGAAACTGGAGGAGACGCATGATTCTTCTGATCCGTCTCCAACACTCGAAAACCCCTCGCCCCACTATTGCGAATTAAAGACTTCGAAAAAGCAACCGCTTGACCATGTTGGAATGCGTAGGAAGCTTCTCAAGTTTTGGGCTCAAAGCTACCTTTTGGGAATTGGAAGAATTGTCATCGGGTTTCGAAATGACGATGGAATCCTTACGGAAATTAAAGAGCTACCCACTCGCCAAATTCCAAATCTTCTTCGTCCATACGCAAAACCACAAGACTGGACTGCAAACCGCCTTTTGGTAGTTTTAGAGCAAGAACTTGACTGGCTAAAAAAGTGTGTTCAAAAGCATCCTCCAAACACCAAGTTTACTTTACAGTACTCGGGAAATGGCAAACTGGTTTTGCGTGTCCATCCACATAATTAAGTTTTGTTTTCTTTTCACATCTCATTTTTGGCTCTACCCCAAGCACTCGATTTTTGGTGCTCTCTTTCGTACATCTTCAAGGCGTGTTTCACCTTACGCACACTGGTTAACCTAGACGAGTTGTCAAAGTAAACTACAACCGGCAGAATGTCTATGGTTCAAATTACTCGTAAAATTGGCGATCAAATTTATTTAATTGAATTGCAAGCTACAGTCGAAAAAGTCTCAGAAACATTCGATATAGGAACTCTTGAAATTATTCAGGTATACACCCATACTCTGACTCTATCAGGCTATTTACTGACCCTTTAGGAAAACAATAAAAAAAAGGCTGCTATTTACGTAGGAAATCAATGCATGGAAGGTGTTGTTGAGACTTTGCAGAAGCCTTTAGCTGTTTTACAAAAATCGCATGTTGGAAACGACAGTTTGCCCATTCAAGAACTGAATATTGTTTCTTTCATTAAAGAGAAAATTCGCTTTAGTTCACGTCCTTTACCTGTGAAAATTTAGGATCAAGGCACGATGACAATTGTCGCCTATATGGCAAGTGCGCCTACATCCTACTGAGAACCAACTCACACAAATTTTATTCAATCTCAAACTGAGGAAAAATGAGAATTCTTAAACATCGTATGTAGAAATATTTACATATTTAAATACTAATTCCTTTTTAGATGAGCAGAAACTGCTGAAGAAAGTTGACTTTCTCAACTATAAGCAAGATGATAATAATCATCGTGATTTGATGGTCATGCGCCGCTATCATATTCCCAAACGAGAGGAATATCAAAAATATAACATTGTTTGTGGTAAATTTCGCCAATTGGCTCATCGTATTTCCTTGCTAAGTCCTACGGATCCTTTTCGCTTAAAGTACGAAAATCTACTTCTGGAGAAGCTCTTTGACATGGGGATTCTACCTTCAAAATCAAAGATGTCTGATATCGAGAATCGAGCCAACGTTTCTGCTATATGTCGTCGTCGCTTACCTGTTATTATGTGCAAACTGAGAATGTCACAAACAATCTCTGCTGCTACAAAGCTCGTCGAGCAAGGTCACGTTCGTGTCGGTCCTCATGTTATTACTGATCCTGCCTATCTTGTTACAAGAAATTTAGAAGACTTTGTTACATGGACCGATACCTCCAAGATTAAACGAACCGTTGCCAAGTATAATGATAAGGTATGTACCATTATTTTTGTTCTTGAACTAATTTACTAACCTTAAAATAGCTGGATGATTATGATTTACTCTAATTTGGCTTCGTTTTTGGCATCCTTGCCGATTCATTCTGCTTGTTCAGAAAAAAAGTGTATTTATATTGGGGGATTATACTGGATATATAGTACTACAGATACATAAAATTTATAATAATTGCATACCGTCTATAAACATTTAATTTATATTGTAGCTTGAGGTCTATTGGTAAATAAAATATGTATACAGGGCAACAACACCATTCCTCACCCATTTCATTTACAGATTCACAATGCTGTATTATACTCAAAAATATTGTAAATATTCAGTATAAAACATTTAGTTCTATATAATTTCACTTTTTATGACTCATGAATTTTCTAATGTATTTGTAACATCCATCATGTTAAGTAGTAGCTTTTAAGGCCCTTTTTTTCTTTTTCTTATCATAGAGCAGAATCTAGAAAACGAATCAATAAACAATAACAATATAACATAAATAAAATAAGCATCTTAAGCAAATCCAAAACCTTCAGAGCCTTCATTAATGGCTGTGAGCAACATAGTCCTCAGCTGCTCATAGGTTTCATACTCGGGTAAATCGAGCTGGTTAAAACATGTATGAGATTGAGGTAAACGATTCAAGGACCCGTAACTTTTATGGATATTAAATCTCTGGAAGCCAGACATGCCTTCCAATTCTTTGAATCCATTCAAAGGAACTTTCGAGGTACCTGTTGCAAATTGAAGAAGCTTAGCTCGCTCCTCTTCGTCAAAGGATCGAACAGCTCGCCAGAACCATTGAATTTGAGGGGATGAAACGTTATAACCGTGATATTCAGTATTGTTACGCCAGTCATCAATATCAATTTCGGGAAGACCTGAAATTAATAATTCTAACTCTTGCTCGTTGAAAATTTGGATCAAGTTGGGAGGAATGATATCAGAGAATCCTTCTAAAAGACTCTGTAATTGATCTTTCACACTCTCAACCAACTTATAGTCAACCATCCTATTAACGTAATCATGCTTGTTGAGCTCCGTAACTGGAATGTTTCTTCCATTGGGAATTAGATCAACAATCGTTTTTTCACCAAAAACGTCTTTTTCAACAGCAAATTCTTCAGTAATAATATCAGTAATATCATTATTCAACATCCACACCAAGGACTTGCAATAGTCAGGATCAAGTGATTCAATATCCTTAACCGAGACTGATCGATGAAGCATATGTTTATAAACAGCACGACTGAAGTGACAATCCAATAGTCTACCATCGTAGACGGATTTTCCGATAATTCTGCCAGTAAACTTGAAAAACGATAAATGATCTGGATTAACGGAAGAGTCCCTGTTAGGATGGAATGTGGTGGCGTCTCCCGCAACTGGTAAAAACAAAGCATAATCGGGGTTAAACATCTGTCTAGCCAATACCTGTAACCATTCACGAGTTACGCCGCCAGCATCTACACCTTCTTCTTCCCTGAAATGGATATTAAGTTTGCTGTATTTAACTTCATCGGCGTCCTTGAAATGCAACGCACGGTAGGAATCCAAAAATACTTGATCACGTCTAACATTGATATTCAAGGGAGGATACTGCTCCTTTGCAGCTTCAGCATGAAGTTGACGGCTAAAGTAATTTCTCTTATTCTCAAATTCAAGCACCTTCGGATTCTTGACTAGTAGAGAAAATGACCCACTCATAAGCGATGGAGTCGTGAAAACCATCATGTTTATAATTTTGCGATGTTCTTCAGTAAACGTGATGAATAATGTCTTCAAACGTTCTAGCATAGGTGAAATTTGCTTGCAAACTTCCTCAGGCAAGTCAAGATAAACGGGGCGACAAATAACCATTAAAGATTCAATTAGTGGAAGCAAAACTGTGGAAACATGCGTGATACTCGATTGCTCCCTCATAGAAACCAAGCAATCGCTTAATACATCCCACAACGCCACGAATTGTAAATTATCATAAAATTCGAGTAGCTGAACAATATTCTGCGGGCTCTGTTCTTCCCTCTTAGGACGACGCTCAAAGATGTAATCTAAAGCTTTCAAGCAACGCAACAACTTAGCCTGGTTAGAGCTTGCCGGACAGAAAGGAGCCAAAGCATTTTGAAGTTCGTTTTCATTTCTACCACGCTTGATCTCTCCGCAAAGTCCTGACAAATCTCCTATAATTGCATTTCCATATTCTTGAGCATGTCTTAATAGCTCTTTACCAATAATGTTCTTCGCATGTGGAGCTGAACACAAATGAAACATTACAGACAAGGCATTTTGAAAAGTGCGACTTGAACAAGAATCAGTGGTAATTAGCGAAGCAGCCAATCTTAGATTTTCATCTGTAATTTGAGGAGGATTAAGCGATTTTTTACCTTTCTTCTCACCAGGCGCCGATGATCCTTCAGCCTTCGGAGCACTCACATCAGTATTTTCTGAATCATCCCTCGTTCCAGCAGATACTTTAACATCCGCTTCAGGCTTCTGGTGTTTATAAAATGACAACAAAGGTCTGGTAAGTGTTGATAACAACTCTGAAAATGTATTCATAACGAGTGTATTGCCGAATATTTCTTCACGACCTAACAAACCCAGAAGAACATTGATGGGAGCTAGCTTATAAACATTAGTCTCTTTCGACTTCTTTGATCCTGACTTCTTGTACGGTAACCCAGTGAAGTCTTGCATACTCAGGAAAAATGAAGGAAAATGATCAGCCCAAGTTGAGAGGTGAGAAAGCAAATCGATGCTTTGCTGCAAAATTAAAGAGCGAGATGAAATTCCGTTAATCACAGGTACTTTACATAAAGAATCAAGCAAACCGTGATACTTTTTAAATTCCTTTTGCTGAGGAACGTTCAAAGATCTGACGGTCAAGTCCTTGTAACATTTCTCCGTAGAACGAGTACTAGCAGAAGCTTCCTGAAGAACATATAATAACAGTCCCAAAACCTCCGCTCGTTGTTGTTTATTTTCAGATACATTGACCACTAAGTCATAAAATGGATTCTTGCCATTATGCTGTGGGATATAAAGAAGCCTTATCATTGACAAAATACCAGAGCGATCCAATAAAGGCGGGACAGGAACCTTTTTAATTGGCTTGACCGATCGTTCTTTCTGCTCATCATCAGCTTCGTCAGCTTCATCCAATCCTTCCATTTCTAATTCGTTATCAGCACCTTCGTTGTTTCGAGCATTATCGAACAAGCGCATTTGGACGGCTTCTTGAAAGAGAAGTTCATCACGAATATCAGAAGGTAACACTTCTAAAAAGGAAGGATCCAAGCGACGAGAAGAATCACTTATTGATTCTATATGTCTCTCTTGTATATGTTGAAAAACGATTTCCTCTCGCATATCCTCTGGTAAAGCGAGTAAGAACGTAGGATCAATCCCCAACGAGGATACATTAACATCTCTTCCTCGAATATTAATAGTTTGTCCTTCATCAACATTAGTTGTCTCCTCGGCAGGACCCGCCTGTTCAGTCGTAACACCCTCCATTTCGTTTGATTCCTGATTCTGATCATTTACGTTTTGCTCTACAGGAGGAACGGTTTCCGCTGATCTCTCATCATTCTGGGGTTGACTTTGCCTTTCAGATTCTTCCTTTTCACGGTTGTGGTTTTCCAAAGCTGGAGGGATAAGACCAAATAAAACAGATCCCGTGACACGTAAAGCAGTAGAACCAGCAGCGTGACCAAAGAACATAGAAACAATGCCGCTCCATCTTTGCATAGTAAAAAGAGGTGTAAAATCAGAAGTTGCACGTAAAGGATCATTATGGATCTGATTCTTTAAAGCAGTCCAACCAAGTGAGGATGAATCACTTGAAGATGTATTCATAGAGAGATAGAAAAGAAGTCTTTGGGATGCCGCTCCGGAAGATACATGGCTATCCAAATCAGATAAATTTTCACATAATTCAGCTACTTTTTCATGATTTGATAAATAATTTTTCAGAAGTAGTGGATGCTTGAGTATATCTTCTGACGATCTATTATTCAAAAATGACCTTGAACGAGCATTATCGCCCGAATTAATTATCATAACTCGACGCGACAAGCCGGGCAAAGGGAATAAATCTCTCAGCAGAGCACCATGGCGACTGATAATTTCTGCTCCAGAAGGGACATCAGCATTCCACTCCCAATGAAAATCTTCATCTTGCTCAGAGGAACTACCCTCCTCATTATCAAGGAAGTCGATTTCCACTGGGCTTACATGATCAATGGCTTCGTCGTCATTTTCGTCTTCAGAAGCTTCTGTAAAAGCGTTTTCCATGGCTTCGAAAGTAGTAGAGCCATTTTCTTCATCCTGGTCGTTAAATTCCTCATCATGTTCATACTCTGACGTGTCATTTCCTTCGTCTTCCCATTCGTAGGGTTCACCGCTATTATCAATGTCTTCTTCATCAATAGAAATGATATCCCCATGACTAGATTCATCATCATCATATGAACTAGTATCCTCTTGTTCAGATCCGTCTTGGTCCCCGTCGAGCATAAATTCAATATTCATGTCGTTGTTATCACTGTACATAGTATCGTCGTTCTCATCTTCACTAACAACACTTCCTGGACTTCCTGACTGTTCATCTTCAAAGTCCATTTCCTCATATACGTCGTCATCCTCACTACCTTCATAATTATCATTGTTTTCATTTGCAATGTCACCTTGGAAGATACCAAGCACTGAATTCCGATAAAGATCTGGTGGTTCATCACCCTCAGATTCTTCAGACTCATCACTTACTGACTCATCAGTGTCAGCCTCCTGCATATTGCCAGACAAACTCTCTGGGTTTGTTTGACTTAAGAATATAGCTTCCTTAGTCAGTAATTGTAGAGGCCTCAAAATATGGCGAATCACTTTTCTGGAAACAGGATAATTCATATCAATCTCGGAGGTAGCACTTGTTAGAGCCGGAATGAAGCCAAGATCGATCATCGCTTTTATATTGATGTCCTGAGACTTTCGTAATAAGTGGTTTGGCGCTTTTTGTGAAACAGTTTGAGCGTCACCTAACCTATAGCAAAGTTCAGCAACGACCAATAATTTACAGTAATAAGACTCTAGACTTTCAGAATTAACAGAACTAGATCTGTAAAACTTCAAGACACACGATAAAACTTCTCGGCGAATTTCGTCAACGACATCAGTTTGTTGATCATTCGAGTATGCACACAAGAAAACCAAAATGGAAATGGCCCAGTTAGAAACAGAAAAAGCTTTACGAATTTCATTATCCTCTGACAATCGTATGCTGCCAAAAGGCAGAAGCTTCTCTAGGAAAAAGCCAACAAGGTAAGAGTTGTATTTGCGAGATAGTGAGAAAAACGACGATTTTCGTTTCGGCTGATACTCCATAAAACATTTTTTACAAGAATCGTAGCCAGACAATAACTCAGTTAGGCATTGTAAAAGGAATACATTGTGCATGTACATAGGATCAGATTCGGGTTTAAATTCAGCACTTGCATTCTTTTGCATTCTCCTTCGGAAGTCAACTGTCTCCATAATTTCATCCAAGAGAGCAGAAACCACCTTAGAGCTGGTTTGTAGCATTAAAGAAGCATCAGAATTTATCTGGTCCTTACCGTATGACTCCGGAAGATTTTCCTTCAAATCCAAGTAATGATGATCAGCATTTGGAGCGAAATGGGCCAGCTGACAAGTTTCCTTAATCATCTTCGTGAAACAATCAGGGGAACGCAAAACCATCTCAGAATTTGTCCTTATAAAATTAAGAAGCTCTGTTTTACGAGCTCTTCCTTGAAGCTTAAATATATTGCGTAAGTCATCGAACATGATAAGTTCAATAACCCTTTCAGACTCTAATAGTCTTCTTAATATGCTGATAAAAGGAATGTGTAATGCTTCGTTGCAAACGGCAGCACAGGCCTTCATAGCGCTAAATAAAGCTTCCAAACCGTTGGAATCAACAAATACGTGCACCATGTCATAGCTAGCAGTTATTAATACAGTTAGTCTCATCGCCGATGTCACCACGCCAAGATTTGAACTATATTGCTTCATTAACTTTATCAAACAAACCAATATCTTCTGTTGGGAAACATAGTTTATAGAAATTGAACCATCAATAAGCTTCAGTGAGCAGTCGGTGGAATTGAATTCGAACTCATCCGGCTTCTTCGAATTCGTTAACAAAACTTCCAATAAAAACAGAATTGAAACAACCCAGGTAGCATTAATATCCTTAATAAAATATTGAGGCATAGACTCTAAGGCATTCAAGAAGAAATCCAGTTCTTCGAGTATGTAATTCTTCGCTTTGTTTTGGGTAAAATCATGGCTCACGAACAGAGAAAGCAAACCAACGGCAGGCCCAAACTGGGAATTACGAGAGTCGGCTTTATCCAACGAAGCAAGAAATTTGATTTCTTTTACCAAAGCCATTGTAGTATCAAGTTGGAGGTTAGAATTCATCTGAACTTCATCGCCTGAGTATAGTAAGTCGCAAAGACTTTGATTAACATCACCTTCATAAGAAGACAACGAGACACAAGTTTTAACAAGATTAGATTTGAAGTTATTGAATTCTACAACCATATTAGAAGGTGCTTCCCGGATCAACAAGTTAAGAAGCGTTTCGTCATTAACAGTGTCACTGAGCTTGGGACCTTCCTGTAAGCCCTTTTCTTGATTGGACTGGCTATGAGATTCGGCAGAGTTACTTTGTGCATTTTCTGAAAGTGACTTAATACCTTCCTCAAATTGAAAACAATTGGACAATACGTTGGTTACTAGCGCCTTCGTAATATACGGCAACCTGTAATCGGCAGCGGATTGCCATATTTTAACCATTGATAGGAAGGCATGAGCTTGGAGTAAATGCATGAGCTTAGATCCACAATCGTTAAGCTCATTATTATCTAACTGAATTTTCAAAGAGAAGTTCAAAGGCTTCTCCGTTTCGGACATAAAATCGGCACTTGTTAATGTAAGCACCAAGTTTAAGAGAGTCGAAGACAATGCTAGTAAAATGCGATTCTTTCGAGAAGTTATATCCTCATTTACAAGTGCAAAGTAGGTAGTTACTCGCTCACAAAGCTGCAGCAGCAATTGGAGTGTCTGAGAGCCAGCAAAAATTCGACTAATCAAAAGAGTAAGCGTAACTTTAGAGTCATCCTCTCGAATTATTGCTGATGCATCGAGTATAGACATCAAAGCAATATGTAAGGTGAGCTCATCAGGCAGTCCTTCACGGGTTAGGATTTGATTGCAAGCCATACCAACTAATTCATCAACGACAAGAGCAATATTACTACCAAGCTTGTATATGCCCTTAAACTCATTGATATCTTGGATACTTGAATTGCCCAGAGCCCGAGTTAAAGACGTGAAAAACTTGGAAATGCTGTACGTCGTTTGAGTGAAATTTGTGCGAATATTTTTGAACTTGTTGAAGGAAGGATCTTCCTTTAAATCCCGCTTCTTATTTTCTAGGCTTTCTTTTTCCTTCTTATCAGCAGTAATTGACGCTAATGAACCACAGCAAAGGGCATAGTCACTAGATGCTTGGGAACAGAGGAAAACATCTACACTCGTAGAAATGTTTTTTATATTACACAAAATATCAAAGACGCCGGCATAGCGAGAAGGACTTATAAAAAGCTGGACTAACGGAAGGTTGCCAGCTTTTTTTAAAGCGGCATATGATGAAAACAGCTCAGAAAACATCGAAATCAAGTTACCAATTATAGTAAATTGAAAGAAACTTTCAGAACTCTGTAAATCAACAAGTTGTCCATTGAGCTGACCATTGACTATTACATTTATTGAATTTAAAGATTGTTCAACGTTACTATTTTCGCAATTGAAAATAATGCAATCCAATAGAGGACGGAAAACTTCCGCTGCATCAAAATCAATGATATGATGCAACAGGACAAAAAATGTATTAAATGCAGAAGAATCGACGAACCCATAAGCCAACACAGGAATCTGCATGAGTTTAAGAATATGAGGAATAAGACCTTTAGACATGAGGTTCCTTGCATGACCTTCGTTAGAAATGATATTTTCTAGGAAGCTAGAAAACGTCTCGAAATAGACCAAATAAGGAAAATCAGTTGCACCAATGAAGTCTAAAGGATTGAAGGTACGAAGAAGATCTGAAACCTTATCCACAATTTCAAAAATCATTGTAACGATACCATCTTTCAAAGACGGCTGATGACGCATCAACTCATCTATGTAGGTTCCTAAGATTGCTGCATTATCACTAGATGTTAGAGATTTGCAGTGGTTGTAAGATAAGAATACACTAAAGAAGTGAGAAACAGGATTCTTTTCTAAAAATAGATTGAAGCCTTGTGAATTCAAACAGATTGCACCAAAAGCTAAGGGAATTGAAGTGATTGCATCAGATGAATTCAGAATCTGTCGATTCACAGCGTCCAGGAAGGCATGTGAAAGTTTTTTCTCGTGAATAATTCCATAACATGTAGGTTCGTTATGAATAAAGGTAGACATTATATTTGTAGCCGATGCAAACAAATTTGACCCAAACACCTCATGGTGATCAAGAAGAAAAGCAAGCGAAGAAATAAGAGAGGAATCAATAAGATTGCGAAGTTCTACAACAGACCCACCAGTTTGGATCAAATGTAAAATAAACTTCAATAAATTTTTAAGTAAAAAGTAACGATCATATGGTATAGCGTAATCCATATTCAAAAATATTTCTGTATTTCCTCTGCCCGATTTCACATCATCCAAACCGGCCTCCAATTCGAATTGCAAACGATCTACTAAAAGATCTAAACCCTTGGATTCTGAAAAATCAGGAAAAGCCATAGAATAGCCATCAATAAGATGATCGAGCATGGCAACTGATCTGGACACTACATATAGTGCACGAGGACTTTTCAGGGATAAATGATGACCCAAGAGGGATGTTAAACCAGCAGAACAAGCCATATTACCACCTAAAGGTGAAGTAGTCATAAACTGAAGAAAATCATAGAAACTATCAACATAGTCGCGACTGTAGTCAAACTTTTCATCAGAAAGATTATTCGAAAAATCGCGGACCAGATTCATCATTAAACCGTAACTAACTGAAACATTAAGAGAGGCTAAAACAGAGGGTACCATGTTTTTACGGAAAAAGAAAGCTTTAAAGCACTCAAAAACCACGGCCTTGAATTCCTGTGGAAGTTTTGTATCCACGGAAACAAGAGTAGCTAAATGTGTTGTGATTTCAGGGTCTGCTAACATGAAGCGTGATTGCACAGCTTGTGAATGAGCATAAACCAAGTTGGAAAGCGCCAATAGTCCAATACGAACCATCAACCGCCGCTTATTTAAGTCCGGCAAATTTTTATGAAGCAAAAGAGATACGAGTAAATCGGGAGCATACTGCTCAGGAATTTGATTTTCGTTAGATAATTGAAGAAGCAGTTCGTTTGCTGACTTTGCAGACATTTCTTCGGGAGAAAGCTTCAAAACTCGCAAACCTTCTGAAGGAAGGGAAGCAGGCGAAGCTGCTTTAGACGCATCTGAAGCCGCAGAAGGAGAACTTTTATAATATGAAAACTCCAATCCGCACCAAGACGCAGGGATATCATTGAGAAATAATACCGATTCATAATTTTGGGCAAGTCCGCACTTCGTAGCTTCTTGAGGAAGGAATGAAAGAAAGCGGAACAAACGATCCTGTGAAAGAGAAAAAAGTTGTTTTCCTCTTCTGGAAATTGTTGCCTTCTGAACAATATGCAATAACAAAGCTAATGTAGCATCTAAGATCTCCAAGTCGGAACTATTCAACAACTGTTCCAAATATGTCGTCGAATTATATATAGAGCGATTCGCGCAATGTTTGAGTAAATAAGTCGAAAACTTTAATACTTCAAGCAAAACTGTGAATATCAAGGAATCAAATGGACGAGCTTGAACTTTATTTTTTAATTCATAGTCTTCAACTATTTTCTCCAAAATTGCATCGAACCGATTTAAGACAGGGATCCACGAGTATAAATCGCCACGAGGGTAAGCCCATTCTCTTTTGCGAAAATCGGAACATAAAGAAGCAACTTTTTCGATTGGACATGTCTCTTCATTTTGAATTTCTTTTATAAATTCAAGCACCCAAGGCGGAGGTTGGGAATATTGGTTTTTCGGAGGACTTTTAGTGATCCTCATTTTATCTTGGATAACAATATGTATGAACGAAGAAACTCTTCAATATGTCTTTCAATAAATATAATAAACCGTTATAAACCAGTACCAACGAAACAGAAGGGTATCACCCAGCTGTATGTATGGTAGTATTTGAAGTGATTCTGCCTAGTAGAAGGCCATTAATTATAGCGAAGCTATGCCTAGAACAAACATAGTGAGTATGAGCGTTACGTTGGAAGCTTCAGTAATCTGTTTAGTAAAATACTTATTATCACTAAGTAAAATAACGTAATATAACGATTAGTGTTATTTGGTTTTCAAGTCTGTTATTGCTTTGTTTGTTTAAGCGCTTAAAGTTGTTCAAGCTAGTAAACATTGAAATTATAAGAAAGCGCTGTATTATAAAAGGAAAGATTTTTGAACCCCATATTTTTGTTCTATTAAGCAAATTATCCTAACCTTTTGTATTTTGAGTAATGTACAATAATTTCTGTATGTTCATATCTTTAAATAACATTATATCCTTGTATCCTTTTCATTTTTTTTTCCAGTCAAGGTTCCGTTCTCCTGCAATGAGAAGCATTATATTAGGACCATCATTGTAGTTGTAAAGTTGCAACGACAGTAATGCATAAATTGAAAGAACGAAACAGACAATCATGCTTTTGTTGAGTACCCAGATTCCCTAACACATTCATTAAGCTTGTCAAATTTCTTTTACTTTTTAATTCTCATTATTTTCATCTTCTTTTCCAGGCGCATCGGTATCGTCAACAACTTTTTTTGATCGTCGAGGTGGTAAAGGAGCTTGCTCAAACAATTCTTTGTGAGAACCTGAGACGCGCGAATTCATCAGTCTTGCCGCAGACATAAACTCACCTCGTATACGGTATAAACCGGAGCTGCTGACCGTTCTTCCCACCTATGCAAATGTTAGTTAAAAAGAATAAATACAAATAAGCATCATTGCTTACATTATGAGTAGTCTCAAAAGGATCTTCTATGGCTAATATATATCGATCTTTGATAATTTGATCTGCTGATCCAGTATGCTCGGTCTAGGTATGTTAGAAAACGAATGTTGACTACTTCTCACAAGAAGGTTTTCTTACCGCCGATGTCCAGCCCTTTTCTTGTTTAGTTAGAACCCCGTCTTGTCTACTGAACGTAATCACTCGTTCTCTTGGTTCAAACTTGTAAGCATAATATCGGAAAAATCCATGCAACAAGCTTCCTAAACTGCTGATATTACTAGATGGAGGATATCGCTCGATATGTTCATCAAACCCAACATCAAAACCTAACCGGTCAGTACAGACAGAAAATACTCATATTCCATACCTTCCACAATTTTCTCCCGTTTTAAATGTGGTTGCTGCAAATTAGGAAAAACCGGTGGTTTTACAACGTGAAGTAAATAGTAAAGTAGCATCAAAGCATAACCATAACTGCTAGATTAGTATATTTGAGAAGGAAATAATTAAAAAATATTAAATCAATGATTCTCCTAACATACCTAGAAAGAGTTCCAAAATACGGAGAGTTGATCCGTTTTTGTTTGGCCCAATATTTCACTAACAGCATTAAGGGACGAAATCTACTATCCAGCCGCGAATAGGAAGAAAGCAGTTTTGTATTATGAATTGCCAAACGATTATTGAAACCTATATCGCACTGAAACCCAGAACCAAATCGTTCCTTCTCGTCACCAGTCAATTTTATAATGGGAATTCTAGCTTTTTGTAAAAACTTTCCTTCAAATCCTTTACAGCCTTATTTAGTATATTGCTTTCATGCCAAACTTCATTCTCTAGAGACTCCTCTGCATCATTTGCTCAAGGCTCTAAAGAATGGAAATTTCTTTACCTTCTTTTATAAGTTCTTCATAAAATAGAGGAGCAAGTGGCTCACTTTCCTCCACAGATTCTGTAAGCACGCACAAATCCATATCTGAATTCTTTAAAGCAAATCCAGACTCTAGACTTCCAAACGAAGCTAATACGGCATCTACTAAAGTTAGCATTTATCTACTTGAATTTCTTTCTGTCTCGTCCATGCAACATTACATACCTGTGCTTATTCTGCGTAAATATTCGCTTAGCTCTCTCATAGCTTCGCGCTTTTGGATGATTTCCTCCTCTGTAATCTTGATCTCGTGGTAAACCTCCCAACAAAACTTTGTCAATTCCTTATACGAAGAATGCGGCTTCGATGCATAAGTCTTTTTGGATACATGAAGATTGGCAAGCTGAGATTCAATTTCTTCAACAGTATGCACTCCAGGAACAAATTGTATAGGAGGGACGCTCATTCTTGTTTTACTCAATGTTTATGTTTACCTTTTCGTCGCAATGCTTCCAACTGCTTCCCAAAGGTTGCCCCTAAAAAAGTGTTGTACTGGTGAAGACTGCCTTCTCTTAATCGCATCAGAAAGTATTTGTCACTTGTATGGCAAGAAGTAACCACTTGAAGGATATGTGAATGTATTTCCTTATTTCTTTCAAGTAAAAGGAAAAATTAAATGAGTCTTTTGCTTTTCTTTTCTTTTTTTTCCTTCGCTCCTTCGTTTTCTCCATCCACTCGCCTTTTCCAATTTTATGATATTAAGGAGGTGGGCTAACACGATGTAAACAAATAAAACAAGTCTTACAAAACGGAGAAATTTAGAAACGTAAGTAAAAAATTAGAAGAATGAGTTTTTATTGGAATAAGAAAGCTCTTTTAGTGGATTGGCTACTAGCTCGTGAAGGATTTTCGCATCTTTAAATAGAAAAATTTCTTTTGCAGAAAAAATCGTCCGGTCATTTCCACAAGCATTCTTCTTTTTAGTATCTATTGTTTCTAAAAAATCTTACGAGTACATCACTCACTGCTAGCTTCTAATAAAATCTGTAGAAAGTATAAGGCGAAATACCCTTGGAAGGATCACAAACACACATTGCAAGATGAAAAATGACAATTGATGGACAGAGACATCATAAGAAGAAAGAAAAGAGACAAAAATTCTATACCTGCATGTCGTTTCCATTTTAAATTCGTCCTTTGTTTTCGCAATGAAAAGCCAGGTTTTTTCTTCGCTTTTTTGCTTTTACTTCTGTCTCTCCTATATTTCTTTTTTATAACAAAAGCTTTACATTCTTTCTTTCTAATAGTACGACTTTTATGAACCAGCTATTCTATACACCTTTTCCATCAAGTTGAGCTTCTTCTACATAACGATTTACTCGTCGATTCATGACAAAAAAATGTCATCTTGGCAGTGTGGTTCTATGAAATATATATATAGAATTATTTTCTTTCTAACGTTTATACAAATTGCTTTAGCTTCCCAGAAAATTCCTATTTCCTGTTCCATTACGAATGACAGAGGTACAAAGTTTTTTGACCATGGAGCGATTGCTATTCCTGAACTAACATTTGAATCAAACAAACAGGAGTTTGATTTGCAAGACTTTGAAGGATCTTCCGTTTTGCGATGCGGTTACCGAAATAAAATCTCTGGCCATTGGTCTGCAGGCACCAGTTTCTATAAACTGGGAGACTTATTGGAGTCACATCATGCTTATAAGGATTGTTTCTTTTTACACACTTCAAAAAATGCAGATCTAGAATCGCTGGACGATATTATTCAAGTAGTCCATAGTTTCAAACCCGTAAGCAAGGGTTCAAATGAAGAAACCAAACCAGACATCGTTTTGATTTATCCCGAATCTCCTGAACCTCTTCTATCTTTCCCTAAACGAAAGCCTCAAAATCCTGCTTCTACAGCCGGTTCAAGAAACAAACATACTTTGCCCAAAGATTCACGGACGAAAGACAAGTCCTCAGAGGGGAACGATGACACGGGAGATACAGAAGCATTACCCGAGGAAAAGACGTTTCTTCAGCGTTTTGGTCTCTATCTTATTCCAATTCTATTCTTACTTTTTGTTGGAACCTCCGGAGGATCCCAAGCTTCTGGCAGTAGCAACAGGTAAATTGATCTTATTCAAAGTTTCAACCGATGTAACAGAAAATATCATGAAGTTTTTCATTTTCAATTAATTCAAAAAATTATCTTTCTATATTACTTTTTTATTCTCAATAATCGATAAAATTTTCTATTTACAAGATATGCTTTTCGTCGTAATAACATGATGATGATGATGACAATAATCACAATTATAACCGTAATGACAATCATAATAAAATTCATAAACTTTTTATTAACAACCGAAAGAATGCATGGCCGTCATTAGTTTTCATAAAACGAGCGTAATTAGAAAAAAAATTAATCGTATTGCTCGTTAACAGAAGTGAAAGTGCATAATAAAAATAAAATAGTATACAACGGTAATGCAAATAGTCATTAAACAGGTATCACCTTATGACTCTTTTCATCTTCGAGTGGAAGGCTTGCCAAGTACTCCGCCATGGAATATAAAAATCGAAATTGACTAAAAGTTTGAACCATTTTCATACGCTGACGTCGTAAAGTATCAACCAACTGAAACAGTACATCTTGTGAATCCTCCAAACTCGCCGCCCTAGTTAAGGCACTTGGCGGCATCCTAACTAGCTGATCAAGTGCAATATAAGTCCCGGTTCGTCCAACGCCAGCAGAGCAATGCACAAAGACTGGTCCAGAATTCGGAACTTCATTGATATGCCTTATAGAAGCTACTACCTGCTTTTTGGTCGCAGGGCACCCTCCGTCAGTCCAAGTACGGAACCTAAAATGTCGGATTATTTTAGCTTGAGACTGATTTCGAAGACAAAAAACGCGATACTCAATATGAAAATCATCAAGTGTTGTTTTCTCTAATAACTCCACACTTGATGTTGAAGTAATCTGCATAGGTGATTGCTTGGAGTCAGGCCAGTAAAAAGCGCATTTTTCATTTCCCGCCTCATATAAATCTGTTAGCATAACAACAACTCCGTCGGAACCTGTATAATGCCAAATCATTTCCCAAAAATCTACTAGGGTATCGGGCTGCGGGGCTTGACAGGCTATATAATGCCCAAATCCGGAAGATATATGCGAAGCATTAATATAATCGGATCTTTCGTCGTCAATAACCAAACGAACACGGGTTTTGTCGTAGGGTACAATATCTGTGTAACGATTCTTGCGAGCTACGGAGAAGTTTCTACTGGACGCTAAACAAGACCAATCCGATCCTGCATCATTGACTAGAATACGTCTTCTTTGCTCGAGTTCTTCCAAACGCTTAAATTTGCAAAATATTGAGGCAGTTTGCAAATCAGCCATCATCTCAGCCGGAGGAGGAGTGACTTGTTTAAAAGATCCCCAAGGATTCGGTGAAGTGGTTTGCTTATTATCAGACTTAGAAAAGATTCCATCAAAATCTTTTCCAAAAGATGGCTTATTCATTCTTCTTAGACCACCGGGCCTCTTCTGTAGGAGTTTTTTGCCCGTTCTTGGATTGTTTTCAGATAGACCTTTAGGCTGGATCTTTGCGGAATTTATGATTCTTTCTAAGTTAGCATTAGTAGAATTCTTTCTGGGAAGCTGATTATGAACAGGAGATTGCTGTTCTGAGCCTAAAGAGCTAAAAGAAGAAGAAGAGCTCCATGACCGTAACAAGGGTGGCCTCTTCCTGGGACTTGAAGGAAATGAAAACAGCGAGCGTAAAGCAGGCCTAGACGCAGGTGATTTGTGAGAGATGGAGGGAGATAAGGGATTTAGTTTATTTTCAATAGGAGAGATGGGATCAGAACATAAACGAGACACCGGAGGAGACATCGGCATAAATGGGAATTCATTTTGAGCAGAATTCACGGTGTTTATTGAAGAAAGTAGTTGGGATGTATAGGACTTTTGAGGGTGAGGAGATTGAGGAGAAAGACTAACAGGGCTACCAAATTTTTCAAAGCCCGGATACTCCGATTGACTTGGACGTTCACTAAATGTACTTGATGCAACAGAAGGAGAGATCAAGGGGGAAGGAATATGAATAGGGACTCGGAGTGGAAAGCTATAGTCAGGAGAAACCGTTGTTGAGGCAGGAGGTGGGTCGAGAAACTCTACGGTATTACTTCGAGAGGGGATAACAGCATCATACATACAATGATCCACGAATTGTGATGGGTAATTATAATCAATTATCTCAGGACACGACTTTGCAAATTCTTCAAATCCTGAAGCCAGGACATATATATCGTTCGTATAGCCTCCACTGCGAAATTTTCGGACAAAATCATAGATACGATTCAAGCCGGCCATTGCAGCATCATATATGAATAAACACGTCAAGTCTTTGAAGTCTGCGACTTTTATTGAGTTACTGATGCACGCCAATGCTTTACCAATATCAAAGGAAGGACGACGTAGTAAGGCAGTTGGCAAAGAAACATTTATTGCATCTTTGATATGACCTCGGATATAATTTGATCTAAGCCGAAGATCAAAGATATGCATAAACTCTGCAGAACCACTTCTAACGGACTGCAAAACTTGATAAAATTCTTGGTTTGAAAGTAAACGAAGCATAATTTTATGGGAGACGTGTTTTACATATCAAACAATTCCAATAGCAAGAAATTGAGTACTTTTCAAAAGATAACCTATTGTAGAGAAACCGCAACAAAATGTTCCTTTCGTTAACGCTTGCTTCAATGAGTAACTTTTCTTCGTGTTTGAGATCATCAAATAACGCGTTAAAAAAGCGTTTCTTGGACCAACAGAGGGAAACCTGGATACTCCAATTTATGATCTATACTCCAGCAAACAATTCTTAACTAGAAAGCTGCTTTTCCTAGGAAATTCCTTTTATATGGTAGCGTAGTAATATTTCAGTGAATATTAAACGCGTTCAATTGCATAAAAATAGACCTGATCTGGTAGTAGGAAACAGCAGATATTTTGTGCCGAATGTGTTTATATTAAATATACGCCATGACGTCAAGAGATCAACTCTCGCCAAATATTAGCGCCAACCAAAGTGTTCAAATTGATGTCATATATGTTAAGACAAAGCAGGTAAACAAAGCAAGATTTCCGTAAGCTTTGTTTTCGTTTTACAAAAGGATTTCTTCGTCTTACAAAAGGATAAAAAGCACAAATAATTATAAAAAAATAATTTGAACATTAATTATCTGCGTAAATTTGAAACCATAAAGAGAAAAAATAACAGGAACGAATTTCTTTTGTTTCCCGAAGAATGTGACATCACTTCGTCTAGAACTTTTTTAAGCTTCTGACGGTGAATGTTAAAACTTATAATACCAGCACGGCTCTGGTATTTTCCCACATATAACAACAGTGATAATAAAACGTAGTAAATAAAAGAAAAAAATGAAAGCAGAATAACAAAATAAGTAAGGAAAAATTGCCTACACTTTTATGAGATACTAGAAGAAAATCAAGAAAGTAAACATCATGGTAAAATTTAGACTATTAGCGATTTAGTCGCCTGAACATTAATTTTAACTGTGGGGATAAGAGGTAAATAAATTACGTATCCATTTTTGAGTTAAAGGTATAAACAAAACGGGAATTGTTTCTTTGACTGCAAATTAAATTCAAAATCAATGTTTACATACTTCATAAAACCAGTGAAATGGGTGGGGGAAGATTAAGAAAAGAACGTGATGATATCAAACTTTGACCACTTTTTGACTGTAAACAATGACCATTATTGGTAAAACCTACTACTGAATGACTTGTTTTGACAAAAAGAGTGTGCAAAAGTGACGAGACAGAGGAAGGACATTGTAGGCCGCCGCGTATGATTTAACGACCATTTTAGATAATTTGATAATCTGGTAAAAGCCAAACGAGCAATCGAACAATCAGTCAAACAACGTCCTACATCTATTCCTTGGATTGGAAGCTTTTCATAGAAAACTCAGTAACCATCACGAGGAACCTGTATAACATCATGAAAAGACATGTTGGGTTTAGCTTTCCTTTGTTTAATAGTTAACAATAAAGGTTTCAGTCAATCTGGAAACATTACGGAATTCCTCTTTCATAGTTTCAAGGGAAGGAGTACAAATCAATTCAGCTTTGATCTTAATTCAGTAGAAGATATTCATTTCGTCTACTATAGCTTAACTTTGAATTAGTTGGCATTTGATCACATGCACGGAGCAAATTGACTACAGCTATAGACGTCGTCAATAATTAAAGATTGCAAAGTAGACCAAAATTCAAGTTAGGAATAGTAGCTATTTACCAAAGATGAGGGTTCGCACCAGAAGATGAACAAGTCCTCGAGTTACTTTAGTTTTTGCCTTGAGTATCATTAGGTGAGAGCTCTCGAGGAATAGGAGGAAATGTTTTAAGCTTTGCATTGCAATCAGCATAGGCTTTACCGAGACCAAAGCCTAGACCTCCCCAAACAGGCCAAGCAGCACCTAAAGATGAAAATGGTTATTATGAGAAACCAAGAAATAGTGGAATCTAGCTAACTTACGACGAAACATAATGGCGGAACTGATAATACCAATGCCAAGACCTAGTGTTGATTGGACAAACATGTTGGAGAGGCACACATCCCACTAGAAAAGTCAGTAAATTGATTGTCTTTGCTTTGCCAATTCATCCGGCCGCAGGAAAGGAAGCAGCGTATTGGTATGAAGAAAAACGGCTTGTAAATGCAATAATATACCTTGTAATTAAGGGTTTGTTCACTGGAAACGGGTTTTGACATTTTTGAAATACGGTTAGAGTAAGATTACGCCTGGAAGTGTCAAATAATAAAAATATTTATGTAATCAAGAACAAATGAGTAAAAAGCAATGAAAATACACCTAAATTATGAGTGAAAGGGGAGAAGTGGTTTTTAATGGTGGAAGTCTATCCTATGCAATTCACTACTCCATGGTGGTAGGTACGGTAACATAAGAGGATTGCTACCTGTAATTAGAATTTTTGAAACTAATCATCCACATAAACATTTATTTGTCGATTCTAACGATTTGGCAATGCAATGAACAATAAAACTCTAAGAAATAGGTTATAATATATTCTTCTTTCTTTGTAATTGAAGGCAGGATTGTTACCCATAATCTTTCAGAACTGTTCAACAAGGGGACACATACTGCTTGAAAACCTATATATGCTTATTGATGGGTGCCTAAATATACGAAACAAAAAAACCACAAGAAGGAAATGGCAAGCTTATAGGAAGGAGTAAACATATTGAAATAGGATAAATAGAAAAAATAATCAATGGAAGGGGGAATTATAAGCACACAAAAAAAAAAGGAATGAAAACAATTCCAGAAAAGAGATGATAGAATCCCTTAACATCCAGAATAATCAACGAATTGTCTAAAATCAAAAACAGAGATTTGTAAAAGGAGAGGTAAAAAAAAATATATAAATAAAGAGGTGAAAAGGAAAAATCAACAACTTGAAAAAAAAAAAAAAAACAAATTGACATGACAGATGAAAGATGACGGAATCAGGTTGTTTCCATCTAGGGTTATAATTAACAGAACCGGTGCTGGATCAAACATAATGATCCAAGGCAAGGATCCTACAGTGAAGAGGACAAAAAGGCAATTGGAGGTTGTATGATACATTCATTAGCGTCGATTTCATCGCGAATCAAAGAAGAAGCGTTCAATTCTAAAATATAATGTCCTTCTTTATACTTCTCTGATGGCTTGTACGCAAGTACATACTTCCAACCCACATTCGCATGACACCGGCAGCAATGTATACGGCGGACTATATATTTCCCCGACAGCATTTCTTCAGTCACCGATTGCATTTCAATCACGTTTTCGATTTTCTTAATAAGAGCGGCACGACCATAACGACCGGTATAGTCACGGCTGATTAAGTGCCCCTTAAATGCAAGGTGCGTTTTGCAGTGAATACAAACATAATATTGACTGGTAAGGCGTAAAGGATAATGTCGGCCCATGAATATATTCGGAACAGGAAAAGGAAAAGGAAAAGCAGGGATCAAAAAAAAAATTGCAAAACTGGGATTCAAGAAACCAAAGAAAATTGAGGGAAACCCTTTGTGGCGAAGTAACAAACAGATAATTTCCAATCGCCAAGTCCAATTCAAGAGAATTAGGTCTGTGGAACTATTAAGATAAAGAATATAATTTGAGATGTAAAAAGTATATAATATACGGCCAAGGGAAGTTATTGTCTAGAGTCAATATGAGCACGAACAGTTTCAGAAGAAGGAAGGAGAAAGCCTAGAAAATTATATCAAATTTGAACGTGATTCGATCCCAATTGTGTCGATTAGTAAGCGATTCCTTGTTAGGTACAAAGCTGAAAAGGCAATGGCAATTAAAATTTTTTTTTTCGACAAATGAGTATGGATTAGATTTATAAGAGATTTGTAGAGTATAAAAACTAAAAAATAAAAATCAGTAAATAAAGATTTATATTAGTAAAAAAACCTCGACTGAAAAGGATGAATCTTCGCGCAATGGCTAAAGAATACCTTTCGTCGGCTTAATAAATGGGCGTTGTATAAAGGTAACTACTACCGGTTTAGAATGCCGAATATAATCCATCATATGTTTTTAGCGTAGCGCTATTTCTTGGATCCTGTTTCGGTAAGTAATAAATTATTATTCAAGTCGGACGAGAGACATGACAGAAGATTATTTAATGATACTGTAATGTTTATGAACAAATTTGTTTTTTCTTTGTTAATTTTAGATCGAGAATCACAAAATAAAACTACTAAAAAAAACAAGCGATTTTTACATGAAGGACATCGTGCAGAATGGTCATAGGAAATTCGCCGCATTCTGTGTAATTTATTTTAAAAGTATTGTTTTTTATAGGCTTAAAAAGCTTACGATTCATATTTTCACGGAAGAATATTGAGAAACGTGAATTTCGTTTTCTTGCTTTTCTATGATTCTATCATATAGCAGTAATTAAGATCCAATTCCAACAGATGATTCAATCTTTTATGGAGACTTTCCCTCCTCAATTCATGCATAAAAACATCAATAAGATATTAAAAGAATGAGCACTTATCCTTGCATTCTTACTTGGTTTTATTCTGGCAATGATGTATTCAACCATGTTCCCTATAACCACTTCTTTCCTATGATAATCAGTATAAAAATAGCATAGCTGCTTAAATGAAGAAGAACAACATTCACTGAGAATTCATTCCTTTGCTTCCATATTCAGCCATTTTTCGTTGTTTGTTTATATTACATCATTTCGATTCCTCTAGTAGCAGGGCAAACCAGGATAGGCAGGTAGGGATTAAGAAGTGTTCGCTTTCTTGATTCAATTCATTTTATTCGTTTTTATTACACTGTTTTATTATTTTTACATTTGGAATGTCGTGAAAATTCGGATTTTTTCCTCTTCATCTTCGATTTTGGTGAGATTGATTCTGCCCATAATAGAAAAAACAAGCAACACCATCATTTACATGAAAAAGATAAATATGATAAACGACTTAATACCATCTTTTTCTTAACTATTGTTTTATATTGAATCGTGGATTTCGATTGTTGCCTCTACTCGCTAATATTATATTAGCGTAATACGTAATATTACAATGTCATGCCTTTTTCAGCGAGTGCCTTCACTGCCTGTCAATTACTACCCAAACTAGTTTTGTTTGTGTACCTGTTTTAGGCTTGGCATACAGCATCTGCATTTTCTTATTTACTTTGCATTCTTTTCTGGAATCCTTGAACTCTCCTAGCTACCTATTGCTATGGTGTAGGAGCTTTTGCAGCTTTTCTTTAGAGGAATTGGACAAAGATACTTATTTCTTCTTTTAGCCCCTTTGGTTTTATATAATAAACTCTATTTGCTTTCAATTCGGGTTTTCCGTTTCATTTTTTACAAGCAAACTATTTCTGGTTTCGTTTTTTTCTCTATTCTACTTCTTCTGTTCTCTTTGTCCATTCATGATTCTCTCATATGTTTTTTCTCTCTGAGTAATCCAAAAAGCTGTTTTTAACACTTGTTATTGTATACTGTATCATTTGTATCATTCTAAGTTATTCTTAACTATTGGTTTGGCGTTTCCTGGGTTTCACACACACAAAAAAAAAAGAAAATTGAGCAAAGCATATGCTTCATTTTCGTTTTGTTACATTATTATAGAACAGGCTTAACATGGATAATTTATCTGGAAAGTCACCATCCTCAACTTTAAAATCCCTTTCTGAATCCGCTAATTGTCCCCCTTCTCCCTCGACTAGCGGGAAATCTAAAACCAAAACGACTCTTCAATCTGCATTTCATCGTTCAAAAGGAAAACGTCCTCCTAAACTTACTGTAACGTCCGAACTCTCTAATGCTTCTGAAAGTTCTCCTGTCTTGTCACCAGGTTATGCCGTAGACTCATCTTCAGAGTCAGAACATCGTCCAGAATTTAGCACATCTAGAAATTTGTCGAATCGCGTTTCCAGTGCATTGAAGTTAACAATCCCTAAACGCTGGAAGCGCTCCTCAAAACCGAATTCTCCTCAATCTACTTCTGCTCATTTACCTTCCGTTTTTCATAAAAAGCCTTACCATGCTAGAACGAACTCCCCAGAAAAGAAACTTCACTCCTTAAGTCACTCTTCGTCTTTCCCGGCTCAGTCATTAAATAACCTCGACTCTCCTGTATCTGTCAGCGATGTTCCAAATTCTCCAACACAGCCTAACACTTTAGGAGAGCTGGCTGCTTCGACCCTCTCTGTTCTTCCACTGCAAACTTCCAAAACGACTTTCTTTGTGGGCTCACCTTCTCGTTCTTCTAATGAATCTCTTGGCTCTCATATGTTTCGCACGAAGTCTTCAAATTCTTTCTCTTCTAGCTTAAGCAATCCTAGTCCAACATCGAATCGTTCTGCTAATTTTGAAGAACACCGAGCTTCATTGTCGTCTGAATCAAATAGACCCAGATTAAGCCTTTCTGATTTTTCTTTACCTTCGGTCGAAGATGGCGAGACGCCGGCTGCCTTTTTGGACCGATTACAAGCCTCTATTCCTTCACGTTTTATTCCTAGTCTTCTCTCACAGTCCAATCTCTCTTTTATGAAAATTACCTTACGGAAATATTTGTCTAATCTACCTCTAAAAGACATCGCGCTAGATATGGCTCTCAGGAAATTTCTTGCTCTTTATGTTCTTCCTCAAGAAACACAGCAAATTGATAGAGTCTTGAGCTCCTTTTCTGATCAATACTATCATTGCAATCCAATGTTTTACGAATCGTCCGACGAATGTTATATTTTAACCTTTTCATTGATGATTCTCCATACGGATTTTTACAATACAAATAATCGTCAAAAAATGACAAAAGGCGAATTTATTTCAAACACGAATTTGCCCAATATTTTGCCTGAAATTTTGGAATGCTTTTATGACAATATTACTTATACTCCGTTTGTTCATGTTGAAGAAGATCCTAATTCGATAATTTCACCTTCTAGTGACAGACCCAGTTTTTCTCAACGATTCGGTGATTCTCAGTTTCGGTTATCGAAAAGAAGTTCACTAGCTACCGAAAGCGACCTCTTAGCGATTGAGGAACAGTTAACAGGGTTTCGAATAAATTTGCAATCAATTCTTGATTATAATCATTTCGAGGGTATTTCTATTGTTGGCAGTTCTATTTGCCCTAACGCCAGTGATCATTATAAACAGTTTATGACTGCCCCTTACATACAAATAGTGTCCCATCGTTCACAACCCCAAGCCTTTTCTTTTCATTTTGCTCCTGAAACGGAAAACGAAAGCACAAATCCCGCCGTTGTGAATATAAAAGTGTTCAAGCTTGGGATTGTCTTGCAGAATGAAAGAGCTCGCAGAGATCGATTTATATCTGGAAGGGAAGTTGGTGTATTTTTGACAAGCTCCCAACTGATGTTCTTTAAAAATATTTCTTGGGTAGAAGGTTTAATGTCACAACTGCAAGATTTTCAGTGCTCTGCTGAATCTCCTCCTCATTATTTTACTCCTTCTTTGACATCTCTTAACCCAGATTACATAATTCCACTTTCAGATTTGGTCGCCTTTACTGAGAAGAAACCTGACATTTATGGTAGTTATTCCTTTATTATTAAACAAAAAAATTCCACGACTTACATGTTCTCAACTGAATCGGAACAAGAAATGAACGACTGGATACATAAAGTAAATTTTGTTAGCGCCTTTGCCACGTCCGGTATAGCTCCCAGAGAAAAGCTCTGCTGTGTAGATAGATCGGATAACAGCGTCAAAGCTTCAGTGAGTATTCTTCCGGAAATCGAAGAAGACAAGGATGCTATGACCAAAGTATCTCACGAAACAGGATCCGAAATGTTAGAATGCTCAAAGCTTCGGATTTTTATTGTTCAAAATCGAATTTGTAAGTTGGAGGAACGTTTACATCAAGTGGAGTGCAAATTCTCAGTCGAAAGAGGGAATGTGGAAAATCTGTTACGTATGGCTCCAATTCAAACACGGACACGCGTCCGTCTTGTGCGTGCCGCGAACAACTTGAAAAAGGTTTTGCGATTGCAAATGATTGAGCTTTGCAAGCTTCAGTCAAGCATTAAAATTTTGAAGGAGGACTTGGAGTTGGATAATCATTTACAACAATATCTTCATTCGGTCTTTCCTTCTCCTCCGTCATGCAACGAAAATTCGTCCGCTGTACTGTACCCATCAGGATACAGTGGTAATCGGTCGCTATCGAACGCTTCTGTACGAAGGAATCAGTTGAGGCTGGGAAAGAATTCCGACTTACAAAATTTGCGAGGTAAATCTGGTGAATCAGAAGCTTCGAAGACTGAAGATCAAGGCGAAAGCGAAGATGCAAATCGTCCAACCGTAAAACAAGATATTGTCACACTCAAAGGCCAAAGACTCAGCGTTGTCGAGGTGCCAGATGACTTCGTTCCTGAAAAGGTAGCTCAAGAAAGCAGTCAGTCAGAAACTTTAGAAGACAGCCTAAGCATATCTACTAGAACCACCTTGCACACAGCAGATGCATCGTTGCCTAGTGAAAACGAAAATTCATGATTTTATTTAATAGAAATTTTATACTTATAAATAAATAAAATAATATATTTATTTTACAAATTTAACATTCAAGGACTTTAGTAGTTAAAGTATGGGGTGCTTTTGTATAGCAAGAATCCAGCTTGGACGTAAAGATCGCATTCCTTAGTACCTTGGTTATTGCCAAAAACGAAGAAATCAAGAATTATGGATGGAAAGGAGAATAAAATAGTGAAAGAAGAACATCCGTCAAAAGAAAATGATCAAGTTCAAACCAATGACTCCATGGATATAGACAAGAACGAAGGGTCAACAGTTCATAATGATCATGCTGATAAACAGCCTTCTGACGAAAGAAAGGAACCTACTGAAAATAAAAGAAGTAAGCGAATGTTTGGTGCTTTGCTTGGGACTTTAGGTAAATTTCAAAAGGAGGCAGAACGTGAAAAACAGTCGGAAACGCGAGTAAGGCGTGCTGAGTTGGAAAAAAAATTAGCCAAGCGTCAAGAAGAAGAAAGAAAAGAATTGGATATACAGGAGAGTCAGGAGCAAGAACAGCGAGAAAAGGATTTGGCCCAGGAGAGGAGGGTCGCTATGGAGGATTTAGAATTGGACTTGGTATGCTAGATTTTCTTGTTACAGCTAAGAGTGTACCAGAAACTAACGGACTTTTAGAAAGATTTGAAACAAACGCTAAAAAAGCAAGAGTCTACTTTTCTGAAAACGAATACAGAGCCACGCTTGTATTATAGACCTTATTATTTATTGCCTAGCCAAAAGGAATACTTGGATCAAGTCCGAGAAGAAAAGGACTGAAAGAATCATAAAGGATAAAGAAATAATATTTTGGCTATGATTTATATTTATTGTTCATTTCAGTGTCAATATCTGTGGGTATTACTGGTTATGAAAAGAAAAGCAGGATGTGCAACCTGTTGGTGATGAGAATCATATTAGCTTTCAAAGGTTACAGGAATGATACTAAGAGCTTCTCTGTTGTTAAGTAAAAGCTTACAGGAAGAAGAATTTGTTTTTCCGACGACGAGCTGAGTTATCAGTGTACTTTGAAGGGTATGTTCTGGGCATCCATTAATATCTTAAGTATCCATCCTCATTGAGAGAGTACTCATTATTGAAATCATTAATTCTGAAAGTGTTCCTGGATTACATGAAAGCTAGATTTGGATGGATGTAATCCAAAAACCAACTAACTTCGCATTCGCTAAACTAATGAACAGCAAAGGAAACAATATGGCTTCTGGAATGATATACCTTAGATTTAGAACTTATAGAATCTCTTACTTTTCTTTTTCTTATATATATATTCCTCATTAAGACATTCCATACAGGATTTGCTAACATTCATCCCAAGTCAGAAAAAAAAAAGGGAGAAAAAATTTTCACTCAATACTTATTTATTTTTCTATTAAGTTCTTTATTTATTTTTTTTTCTTTATTTCTTTTTTTAAGCTTCTAGTAGATTGGACTGACTACATTCCTTCGTCCTTAGGCACAATTTCTTAGCACTGAACTTGATCTTTCCCCCAAAGTACCACCAGCACTACATTGTAAGTAAAAGGTGGTATAATTCTCAAAAAAGAAGCCTTTGGAATAGTTTTTAACATTAATAGCTTTCTTTTTTCTTAAATACGTAATTTATTGCTGTTAGTTTGGAAAAAAATATGGTTCGCGTTCCTTTGACAGCGGGAAGAATTTCTAAGGTTCTTTTGAACAGACAGTTCTCCCACGGTTTACGTACTGTTACCACAGCCGCAACTGCATCTAATGCTGACCCTTCGAGTGTTCCTGAAGAGCGCAACAAGCCTTTTCCCGTCAAGCTCCACGATGGTGTCTTTGAGGGCTACAAAATTGACATTCCTTCTATGTCCATAGATGTTACTAGAGACGAGTTGATGAGCATGTATGAAACCATGGTTACTGTTCGTCGTCTTGAGCTTGCTTGCGATGGCTTATATAAAGCCAAAAAGATTCGCGGGTTCTGCCATCTTAGTGTCGGCCAAGAAGCTGTTGCCGGTGGTATGGAAAGTGCTATAACTCACGACGATAGCATCATCACTTCTTACAGATGCCACGGATTTGCCTATACTCGTGGTTTGCCACCTCGCGCCATTATTGGTGAGTTGATGGGACGCCAATGCGGTGCTTCCAAGGGTAAAGGTGGTTCTATGCACATCTTCGCTCCCAACTTTTACGGTGGTAATGGTATCGTTGGCGCTCAAATTCCTTTGGGTGCTGGTATCGGATTTGCTCAAAAGTACTTGAACAAGCCTAACGTTACATTTACTCTTTACGGTGATGGTGCCGCAAACCAAGGTCAAGCTTTCGAAGCTTTTAACATGGCTAAACTCTGGGGCTTACCTGTTGTCTTTGCTTGTGAAAACAACAAGTACGGTATGGGTACTAGTGCTGAGCGCTCCTCTGCCATGACCGAATTTTATAAGCGTGGTCAATACATTCCTGGTCTTCGTGTCAACGGAATGGATGCTTTGGCTGTTAAGCAAGCTTGTAAGTTCGCCAAGGACTACACCGTTAAGAACAGCCAACCTTTGTTGATGGAATTCGTCACTTACCGTTATGGTGGTCACTCCATGTCTGACCCTGGTACTACTTACCGTAGCCGTGACGAAGTCCAACAAATGCGTGCCGCTAAGGATCCTATTGAGGGTCTTAAGCGTCAACTTATGGAATGGGGTGTCGCCAATGCCAATGAATTGAAGAATTTGGAGAAGAGGGTTCGTTCTTTCATTGACGCTGAGGTTAAAATCGCTGAGGAAAGTCCCTTCCCTGAAGCTAACTATGAAACTTTGTTTTCTGATATTTATGTTAAGGGAACTGAGCCTAAGAATGCGCGTGGCCGAAGCACTTTGGAGTGGAATAACTACTAAACCCGAATGCTTATGATAACTTTGCAAAAGCAATTTTAATCTTCGTGAAATAACTAAATGAAAACCTCTTGAACTTATATGTATCAATAGTCGTACAGTATCTGGCTTAACTGGCTTAATATCTTTTATTTAATATTTGCAAAAATAAAAGATGGCCTATAACAAATAGTACACTAAGTGGTTATGGATAGTTTGGCAGAATTGACATAGGTTTACTGTTCAAATGGATAGCTTCGTTCTTGTTATATGAAAAAAAGGTAGAATTTTTAGGGTTAGTACGATGGTTTTCACTTTTATGATATTGATTCATAGAGTAATTGAACTAAAATAGGAAACAAATTGCTTTCATCATCGTATCATTCATAGCAAATTCACATGATTATAGTGGTAAGCTTTCGTGCACAAAAAGGTCTAGTCATAACGGAACTGAATGATAGATTTTCCATGCTGTTCAATAGCATTTAAAAACGTGTCGTAAAAAGTCTTCCCGTCGGCGGTTTCGTGAAGATCAATGAGCTTTGAATTTGCAGAACGCAAGACGCCTGTCCTGATTAGTTCTTGGATTTCAAGAACAAGTTTCTCATATTCTTGAGGATGTTCAGATTTCCACTTCGTTACCCAAAATCCATGGAAATGAATATTTTTAAAGATCAACAAGGACACAGGAACAGGAAGAGGCTGGCGTGACATTGCTCCGTAAGTTGCCATAGTAGCTCCATCGGTCATGTACTTTGCCATTTCACTAGCAACTCGACCACTCACGCAATCGAAGCCTAGCTTGACCTTACCGCCTTGAGTCCATTTTCCTACGTTTTCCTTCATCCACGCCCGATTCATGAATTCTTCGTCAGTAAGTACGACAGTTGCACCCATGGAGTGTAATTGTTCCTTAAGCTGGTCGACATCGGGGCGATTACGGATGATATTAATGCTATTGTAACCAAAATGTTTGCCAAGTTGGATAGCAGCAAGACCAACCATGCTATTTGCACCGTCTTGAATGAACCAGTCGCCTCTATTCATGGGGACGATCTTTTGTAAAAGACAATAGGCAGTGCAAGGATTGACGGTAAGCGTAGCGGCTTCAGCGATACTAGGGAAAGCAGTCTTATCCAAAGGAATCAATTGATCAGAAGTCAAGTTGGTACGAGTTCTCCAGGTACCCAAGTTTGTAGAGGCCATGACAGCCCATTGTCCAGGAGAAAAATACTTCTTCAACTTTTCACCGACGTCGGTGATTTCAAGAAGACCTTCATTTCCAGCAACGGCAGATGGCTTGGAAGGAGAAACCTCATAAGTAAAAGGAGGTCGTGAAGGATATACACCTTGGATTTGATTGATATCTGAGGGATTAATTGGGGAAGCTAAAAAACGGACGGAAAGTTCACTGTCTGAGCATTTGGGAACAGGATAAGTAGCTGTACGAAGTACATCTCGAGGGTTTCCAAATTCAGAGTAAACAATTGCCTTTGCTAAAGTTTTGGACGAGTTGTTTGCCATACTGGAAAACTGACGAAATGTGTTGGTTGCAAGCATTTGGAGGATGGAAATGAAGAACAGCTTATAAAGTATCGAGAAAAATAAACTGTCACTACCGAATTTTCTTTGGAAGGATGCTTATGTAAGACCTGAGCGACCTTGACCTGTAAGAGAGACGCTGACCAATCCAAGATTCAACAACAATAAATGCCAAAGAAGATGAATCACGCGTTTGTGTTTTTAGAAAATCCTTACAATGTGGAACAGACGAAAACTTAAAGAAGCCTGCTATAAATAAACGAAACAAATGAAAAAACCAGACGCTTGTTGGGTAGTAGAAACGATGTTTTTATGACGAAAACTTATTATTAATACCTTCTTATTGGGTTATATAATAATAACCCTGGCTAGGAATTACAAGAATCCTTTCTGAGACCAACGGACATTATTGAATTAATCCCCACTTTGTTATCATGTGGGATATGGGAAAACCACCACCCTAACTGCAAGTGGGATGTGAGCAATAAAACTCATAGGGTTCATGGTACTTGTGGGATTCATCGTAAAAGGTTCGTATATCATTCTACAGACGTTGAACGGGTTGTAAAAAGGAATAGGGAAGTCATCGGTAGGATGGTTCAACGATGAATTTTGGTTTCCAATTTCGATTAAAAAACTTTTTTTTCATTCATGTTTATAGCCTGTTTGTTTTTTATGCTGAAAATAATGTTTACCTTTTCGGCGGTCCTACTACGGATTCATTTTGGTTACCTTAAAAGGTAGAAAGCGGGGCCAATCAAAAACTCTGTTCTGGATTCCATGTCTCCTGAAAGTGATAGAAAAGTACGGAAATTGGCAAAGTTTCCACCAATCAAAGGAGACGGGGTTATGTCAAGTGTTGCAATCACGCTACTCGGAACAGAAGATTAGGAATAGCGATCCAATTGTTGAAGAAGGCGCAGATCCGGATGAAAAGATCGACAGGGTAAACAAAGCCGATAAAATGAACTTAAAGAATTATCGGCTCGTTTAGCAAGACTTGATCAACATTTGCTTGTTTTCCCTTGAAGAGGAATACAATCCTGTTCTAATATAATAATAAAAAAAAAAAAGAAAATATTCCCATGTAGTGGCTATTGATTCGCTTAACTCGGGCCTATATCGAACAATATTGCGACACGGTCGGTAGTTCTTTTCGATAGGTCTGCCCTGGTCGCCGTACCAAATTAATAGAGGAATCGAAAGAAACCTCACCCCTTATCAAAAATAAAAGATAAAAAATACAAAATAAAAAAAAAAGTATGAACATGAACAAAGCAAAATGATTAAAACCATCACGCATTTGTCTTTCATTCAGCCTTTCAAGGCAAGGATTATTATCTGATCAAATATTTCTCGTAATCAAACCCGTCCCGGAATGAACCGATTTCCATAAGACAGGAACGAGTCGTTGCGAGAGAAAAAGGGGCGGGGCGGTTACGTGTTATTGCGAAGAACAATCCAAAGTGTTTCTCCCTTCCCTTCTATCATACTAAATAATCCGAAGGAAAAAATGTTCCGAGGAGTTCTATGGGCATTGGTATATAAAGGCCCTGACCCCGGGTGCAAATTTTCCACCAACAACCATACAACTTTCGGTCACAAGTAACAAAATGTCTACTGCTTCTGCTCCCAACCTTCTCGTCCTCGTTCGTCACGGTGAATCCGAATGGAACAAGTTGAACTTGTTCACTGGCTGGAAGGACCCTGCTTTGTCTGAAACTGGTCAAAATGAAGCCAAGCTTGGTGGTGAACGTTTGAAGAGCCGTGGTCTCAAGTTCGACGTTGCTTTCACCTCCTCTCTTCAACGTGCTCAAAAGACTTGTGAGATTGTCCTCAACGAAGTTGGTCAACCCAACTTGGAGACCATCAAGGACGAAAAGCTTAACGAGCGTTTCTATGGTGACCTCCAAGGTTTGAACAAGGACGAAGCTCGTCAAAAGTGGGGTGATGAACAAGTTCTCATCTGGCGCCGTTCTTACGACGTTGCTCCCCCTAATGGTGAATCTTTGAAGAACACCGCTGAGCGTGTCTTGCCCTACTACAAGTCTACTGTTTTGCCCCACATCCTCAAGGGTGAAAAGGTTTTCGTTGCCGCCCACGGTAACTCTCTCCGTGCTTTGATCATGGACTTGGAGGGTCTTAGCGGTGACGAAATTGTCAAGCGTGAGCTTGCTACTGGTGTTCCCATTGTTTACCATTTGGACAAGGATGGCAAGTACGTCTCCAAGGAATTGATTGACAACTAAATGTCATCACGTTTTGTTTGTTGATAGTAAATGAATGTAATATTTGTGTATGAGGTTCACAATGATGATTGTAATATTTTTCCTTCGTAGCCAAGTGACGTGCGAAACTTGTATGTCCCCCAAGTAACTGGTTATATCATTCTACGCAATTACAGTATCCCTTCGTCTAAAATATCTTAAATAAAATAAAATAAGCGAAGACACTGAAGAGAAATTTAAGCGAGATTAAGAAACTGGTGCAAAAGAAAGTTGTTGCGAATTTCCCATGGAGTTTTTGTTGCATTCATTATTATGTGGACGCAACTCGTCGATTTGGAAGAAGGTGGTTAATGAAACTCTGTTATTTTTATTTGATTTTTTTCTCTTCTATTTTACTTTGATATTGCTTGGTTGTTTCCAAGTCTCAAACTTAGCTTTCCAAACGAAACGTATGGAAATTGTAGCATCATGAGACTACTAAGGTGAGGATGAGAATGACGGTGGAAGACAGCGAAAACCGATCGAATGATTCAACGCGAAAAATAAAAATCAACGAAAAACTACGGAATATGTTTGTCCTTTCGATTGGAAACGCATTGAACTTCCCTTTTTTTTTTTGTTCTTGGTTTCGATCGATTTCCCTCTTCTCTCTCCTGACTGCAAAGTTTCCTTTCGATTCCTTCAGTTTCGGTTGTCTTCTCCATAAATTGATGTCATGCTTACGTAGACATCCCTTTCACGGACATTATATATAACCCTGTTTACCCGGAACTGCTTTTCATCACTATCCGCAACGTATTCAAATAGAAACGTGGATTTTGAGATTTGTTTTACTTGATTCAATAGTTCGATATGTCCGTCCAAGACTACACTAAGAAGGCTCACGAAGCTACTTTCACTCTGTACAACGGTGATAAGATTCCCGCACTTGGTTTGGGTACTTGGCAATCTGAAACCAACCAAACTAAGGAAGCCGTCAAGACTGCTTTGCAATACGGCTATCGTCATATTGATGCCGCTCACATCTACGGTAACGAGAACGAAGTCGGTGATGGTATTAAAGAAAGCGGCATTCCTCGTAAAGACATCTGGGTTACTTCTAAGTTGTGGTGCAACGCTCATAGCCCTGAAGCCGTCTCCAGTGGTTTGGAAAACTCTTTGAAGGAGTTGAAGCTTGATTACTTGGACTGTTACCTTATCCACTGGCCTGTTGCTTTCAAGACTGGTGCTGAGAAGTTCCCTAAGGATGACAAGGGCAATTTAATATTTGAGAATGTTACCCTTGAAGAAACATGGAAGGCCATGGAGAAGCTTGTCGAGTCTGGCAAGGTTAGGCACATTGGTATCTCCAACTTCAACGATGAAGCCTTGGAGCGCATTTTGAAGGTCGCCAAGATCAAGCCTTCTATTCACCAAATGGAGACTCATCCCTTCTTGCCTCAAACTAGCTATCTTGACAAGCACAAGAAGCTCGGCATTCACGTAACTGCTTATTCACCCTTCGGTAACCAAAACGCTCTCTACGGCACTGATATTCCTAAGCTTATTGAGCACCAAAACATTAAGGAAGTTGCTGATTCTAAGGGTGATGGTGTTAGCGGTGCCAATGTCGCAGTCTCTTGGGCCATCGGACGTGGTACCTCTGTCATTCCCAAGTCTGTCAACCCTCAACGCATCAAGTCTAACTTTCTTTACGTTCCTCTTTCCGATGATGATATGAAAAAGATTAACTCTATCGATATCCGTAAGCGCTTTAACCACAGTTTCCCTGGTACTCATGTTTTCACCGGTTTGGAAGATGGTGACGTATAAGGTTGCTATTAACAATAATGCTTTTATGATTTAGTTCTCAAATTAATGATTTAGATGCTTCATCTTTTGGTTTTCCGCGGAAGACGTTTTGTGTGTGAATTGTAGGGAAAAGTAATAATGAGGGTAATAAATATGGAGTAGAATTAAGTAGAGAAGGAGTACTTAAGCAGTTGCATGGTAGTGTGTTCTACATTGTTTAGAAAGCGTTGGTTCGACCAGCAAAGAGAGAGTTCGTTGGAAATTAGGTGTGCTTTTAATGAATCATATATCTATCAAGTCAATTTTATTGGAATTGTTGCTATGCGGCGTACAACGATGGCGAAATATATATTTAGTAATATTCTTTTTCCTAATGTATTGAAAGATCGAGTTAAAAAATTTGGCTTCGCTGTCCGTATATTGAATCCCATTTGTTACCATACTGTACACAAAATCTATGTAGTTCAAAAAACAAGTAGTTTGTAGAATAAACAACTATTACAATTTTTCGTTCCAAATTCTGGGCTTTTTCTCTTCTCCGTTGATTCGCTTTACCAGCAATAGTAAATCTTCCAAGTCATTGACAATCTCCTCTATTACTTGGCACTCAGCGTAGTAGTACAAAACCCCTTCATTGCCATGGAGCCATAAGGCCGCCGATAATGCCGTCGGACTAGACTCGTCGGAGACGAGTCCCTCTTGTTGACTTTCATTGCTATATCCGCTTTTAATTTGTATGTCTTTCATAATTGCTTGCCGTAGGTTCCAATGGGCGTTTCGTGAAGACGGTAAGAAATAGGGAACCGGTGATTTAGCTATAATGCTATGAGACAAAATATACATAGTAAGTGATATAGAAGCAATCAAGTTTTTTCGATAACGAATGACATTTTCCACTACCTCTTGGTATAAATAAGGCCCAAACCGTGCTCTTACCTTATTCAGGACCACCAGCCGCCCGGCCATATTGCCCAGTTTGTCAATCAGTTGCTGAAATAACTTATTTGGAAAAGGTCCTTTTAGTCGGAATTCCATATTTGTAAGCATCAAAAGATCATTTGCCTTTAACAAATGGTATATAATTTCGTTTTCCATATCCTCACATAGACTTGCGCTCGCATGATGAGTCGAACTCAACATATATTCTGACATGGTGTTATATAATTTTAAGTTTAATTGACAAGCTATTCCTATTTCTTTGATGAGGACACGTCGAGCAAGATATGGAAAAAGTACAGTGTTTACCACAATAGCCATGCCAATGCCAACTATCACATCAAGGAAACGGAATACTGCCAAATGAAAAGTAGAGTTTTTATTCCCCAAATAAGCACCATATAAAATAGGTGGAAATGTTATATTAAAAACAGTTGCAACGCCAGCATATTTGGTATGATACATGACATAACAAGATAACCAGGAGACTAAAAACGTAAGCGCAGCAATAACATAACTCCATCCACGACTAATTTCCCATGTTACATATGCATAAACAGCACCAGATAAAGTGCCCAAAGCTCGAAAGAATCCAACTCGCAGAGTAGCTGAAACAGTAACCTCTAATACGTACAGTGTAGAAATCAATGCCCATTGACCATTCCACTTTCCATAATCATGAGTTGTAGATCGTTGGAAAGCTACTATACTCAGCAAACTAATTCCGGCTGCCATTTTTAATCCATATTTCACATCTTTGGACTGTATAAGCCAATGACTTACTTTCCATAATCGTCGACGATGTTTTTGCAATACTTGCTTCATTTTTCCTATAAAATTCAAACTCTTGGTATCTTGACTATCATCATCCCAATTATGTTCTTCGCCACGAGCTACTAATTCCTCAACAGAATTCTCGCTATCTGGAGTGCCTTGGGAAGCGAAAGGAGCTGATAAAATTTGAAGCTCATCATGATTTCTTCCTCTTTCCTTGAGCATGCTGAAAGTATGGAAATAGAACTTCCGTCGTTTTGTGCGATATTTTTTCAAGTACAGTAAATTAGCTAAAAGACTTCTTGTCTCTTTCGCAACTTCAAAAAGGTTAAAAAGATAATATGCAATCGCAAATACATCTTCATCAGCAGCGAATTTGTATAAACCAGTAAAAGTTCGATTACATCGACTAAATTCAAATGCCATTTTAATAGCATTTCTTATAGTTTCACCTTCTTTAATATTTTCTTCACTCAAAGATGAGATATGGTCTAATAGTTGTTCATCTGAAACCGCTGGTGAAGATGAAATCAACCATAGCAAAACACTATGGGCTGTTTGTAAAGAAGACATGACTCTATTTGATATATGATTCACGTTTTGTGAGAAATAATCAAGATATGTCGTAAAGATTTCTTTGCTTGACTGCGGTCTAGGATTCGAATGAAGACTACCTTGTAAGCGAAATTGTGGTGTGAACAAGTCGGAGTCTATTCCATCATAAGGCATATTATTCTCCAAAGAGTAAGCGCTAACTTTACTTTCGGAATAGTTGTGGGATCGACTGAAATTGAACGCTCTGTACAAAGATACACAAGCAGCAACATTCGCAGACATAGTAAGGGAAGTACGTTGAAGTGCTTTTTCTAAATCTTTGAGGACGCCTATAGGTATGAAAGAAAAGTTCAACTCAAACTGGGAATTTCGAAGATCTGAGCGAAACTTGTTAAGACGGTCTCGGAGAACAGTACGATAACTGGTAAGGCGATACTCTTCCGACGAGGAATACGAAGTAGAGCTTGTATTAACTGAAGGGAAAAATCCTTGCAAACAGCCATTTAGACAATTCATCAACTCTTCCAAATAGGAAAGCGCGGAACTTCCTACCAAATCTGATGCCATCCTTGTTGGAGGAATGAATAATGAAGCCAAAAACACCACACCTGCTGCTAACAGAGAAGGATAGACAAGGCTTGTATAGAAGGAAGAAGGAACACTCTTTCCATAAGGATCGATTGTCATTAGGAAGCAGTCTATGAAAATCCATATGATGCACATGTTTCGATAGCCATACCGGCTACGAATATAACCGGATATGAAAGAACCTATGGCAAGGAAAATTGCCAATACCGCTGCACCCGAATAGCCATTTCGGTTCGCAACGATTGCCAAAAACTTTGAAGCAACTGCCCAACCTAATCCAATAATTGTCCCTAGTAAAGCTTCGTAAATTACCTCTATTTGACCACCAACAGTGGCTTGGATGGGATAAAACAATGTCTGCATGGTGAGTATGAGAAATGGGTAATTGCCAATTTTCCTGCTCAAGGGTCGTATCAGCACTAAGACTTGACAAACAAACAAAGCAACTACCGGCTTCAGTAGAAGGTAGAATATTTGAGCGACCGGTGTCCATCTTTGTCGACTGAAGAATTGATTTCGACGAAAGTTTAAGCTTACTGAACTTAATATTCCCATGGATCCTTACAAAAAGCTCATTAACAAAAAAAAATGGATAGGAAAACTCGATGAAATATTATCCTTTCTCAATATATACAACTATTGCGATATATAAGGTGTAGAAATAGGAAAAACAACGACGGAACAGAGATGAAGAAAAAGTATCCAACACAGCTTTAGAACATGCTTATTATGCCTAAAACGTAGTCAGTATTATGTCTGAATACACGGAAAAGAGAATTCACAATACAGCAACGAAAGAATGTCTAATTCGTCTCCATAATAATAAAAATAAGTCTCAAGTTTAAAAAAATACCTTTACAACGCTGAATAGTAAACAGTTGCTGTGCACACAAAAATGTTGAGGAGTAGTGGTTATGTTTTTGTATGATATCGTCGTATGTAATGTAAACAAAACACAGAGAAACGACATTGTGCATTCAAACAAGTGCAAAATAGTATCAATTTGTTTTTAGTAAACCATTATGGTTAAAGAAGTTAATATAGAAAAAGATGTCGGCAGAAAGAATTGTATTTGATGCTTCTAATAAAAAGTTTCGCTTTGTTTATAATAATAGTGACAACCAAAGACAACAAACAGACATCCATCCTCAGAACTTACTACAAAGTATGGTCGATGAGAAAACAGATGAAGATACAGTGAAAATAAATGAATTGAATGAAACTAATGATGAAGTGAAACGTTCTGCAAATGATTCCCATGATAGTTCTGTCCATAACGACGATACCTATAAAGATGGAGATCATTCGTTCTTTGATACGCATAATGTGCTAGAAATGACTGCTCAAGACTCTTATGAAGAATTTTCAGATGATGTAGACGATGAATTTAATAATTATTCAGAAGCTTCAGCAGATGAAGACATAAAAGCTGCTATGAATGAAGCTTTAGATGAGCCGGCAGGACAAGGCTTGGAAGAAGGTGATGAAAGAGAAGTAAAATCAGAAGACTTGAATGGATTGGAGGATGAGAAAATTTCCGAGTCCGGACAGGATGAAGCTACTCAGAAAGAAAAAGATTACATGGATCACTCAAAAATAGAAGCCGCCCTAAACTCAGAACATGGAGAAGATATTACATTTCACCAGAAAGAGGAAGAAAAAGTTTCCAATGATGATGTATCAGCAACACAAAACGATATCCACAAAGCCACGGAAGAACAGGAAGAAGTGAATGAAGGAGAATCCGATAAGCGTGGAACGAATTTATCGTTTGAAGATCAGAAATATGATGAGAGTCAAATGAAAGATGAACAGTCAATCATTGGAAAACCTGATGAACTAGATAAAAGGTCAACATTTTCAGCATCTTCTTCGGCGTCTTCTTCTTCTTCAAAATCCGGAAAAGATGCTTTTTCTTATGATTGGCAAAGTGCTACTCCTCAGAGTAAGGAAGCAAATGCTGACAGTGCTTCGCATGAAAAGAACTCTCAAGAACATCCAGAAGAATATTCAAGTATAGCCTCTAATGGATCTCAAAAATCACACATAGAAGAAACGAAAGCAGAATTGAACCGTGATATTGTTCTGGAAAATAAAATGGATGAAGGAAAGGAAAATACTGAAGACGCTGAAACGGACACAAAAATGAAGGACTTGTCTGTTGCTCCAAAAGAAGCAACTACCTCAACGCTAAATTCTTTGGAAAGTGGAGATGCTACACTTCAAGCTACATCATCAACCCTTTTTGTAAATTCAACTCAGCGAATAGAGCCTTCTGAGCGTGACGTTGAAAATCAGAATTCTTTGAGTTTTCCAGCAAATACGGATGTCAATATTAGCAGTCCACAGCCAGCGAAAGATACTTCTAATGATTATACCGAAGATGAATTGCCTAACTTTGTACTTGATCCTGCGTCCGATATGGCAAATTTGAACGACGGCTTTTCCAGGTTGGAGCTTGATAATACATCAAGGTCTTCTAATAGTACTTACGAAGAATCTCAATATAATGGTGGTAGCTTGGAGCCAAGTACACAGATTTCTCGTGGTAGACATGATTCATTTTATGCTCGAGCAACTTCACCGGTGTCTTCTGCAATTTCTTGGTTTAGCTCTAAACGTAGTGATTTGAGTCCAGATGTTTCTTCAACTACCTCGTTCTATTTAGAAGAAGTCCTTGCAAAGAATCCTTCATTAATTGATGACAACCGGAAAAAGGAAATAATGAATTTCTTGGAGACTGAACGTCACATGATACCTTCAGAAGAAATTTACAATCTTTTATTCGAATTTATAGAGAACCCACTTAAAGTTTTAAGGGAGAAGTCAGAAGAGATCCACGATCTGATTTTCAGCCATGAGGTTCAGGGGGTGCATACAGTCTTATGGAAGTCCATTTCAGCTTGGTCCTCTTTTGAAAATGAGCGTCAATATTCTGATTTGGTAAGGAAGAGCTGCGAATCTGATAAAGCTATACGTAAAGATTTGGACAGAACATTCCCTCCTGAAATATTGGAGCGCTTTTTTTCAAACCGTGACCAAAAGTCTCCCGACATTGTGTCTGATTCAATTGCCAATTTGCACAAAGTACTAAGATCTCTTGCGAATGCTATTCCTGAAGTCGGTTATACCCAAGGAATGTCCTGGATCGCTGGATCTCTTTTAATGTATTTACCTCCTCCTCAGGCTTTTTCAATGCTCGTTTTTCTTTTTAAGGAGTATAATCTACAAAGTATCTTCTCTCCTGAGTTGAAAGGTTTGAGTCGTATCATGTATCAATTTACTCAATTGGTAGAAGATTTTATGCCCGCTTTGGCTATTCATTTGAAGAAAAACGAGATTGATACTTGTTCTTATGCGTCTGAATGGTTCCTTACTTTATTTGCATATAAGTTTCCTCTAAATATCGTTGCCAAAATTTACGATATATTGCTTTTCTACGGTCCTACTATTTTACTAAACATTGGTCTAGGATTGCTAAATAATAGCGAGAAAATCCTCTTGAAATTAAATAATGATGAACTTATAACATATCTGAAGGATAATATTTTCTCCTCTTTTATGCTGGGCGACGAACCTGACCAGTATGATATGACCAAGATATTACAGTGTGCCTTTGCTTTCGAAATCTCCAAGTCTTCCATAGATAAGTATGGACATGAATTTGATATATCTTTATTAACAGAGAGAGAAGTTGACACGCAATTGGAAACTACGAAGAACACTAACAAGTCATTGAATGATCACTTCTCGGTGTTGAGTGAATCTATGTCCAAATTACAAATTGAGCACGAAAGCATGTCCAGTATGCTAGTTCAGGAAAAATTGGTTTTAAAGCGACAAGCAGAAGAGCAAGCTGGAATGGAGTCAAAAGTCGCTTCTTTACATGGTCAGCTTTCCAAAATCAGATCCGAAGTTGAATCGTCTTTCCAAGGTGAGATGGAAGCTATAATTGCAGAAAATCTCAAAATTATGTCGGAAGGACAAGTATTGGAGGATGAACTTTTTAGAAAGGAAAAACTGCTTGCTGAAACGAAAGTCAACCTGGCTACTATGGACGGAGAATATATGTTGGCAATCCAAAAATGGAGTCAATTAATGAATCGGATTAAGAATGGGTAATCAAAGTTAACAATTTTGCACATGATTTATCTGAAGGTTTAAGGGATTGCATTCCATGATAGAAAACTATGTGCATTGTACATGAGATCTTAGACGACAAAGCAGCTTACTGATGTATAGCTTCACCTTATCAATATAAAGGTTACTGAATTCGCTTGCTTTTATTTTTATTAAGCCTGCTTAAAGAAACGAGTTTGTTGCTAGTATTATGATTCTTCTCTCGGCAATTTGTACTAGTTAGCACTGAATTTTATTACAAATGAAATAAAAGCTTGTTAACTTCATTCTTTTTTAACCGTTTTAATTTTTATCATCAAAAGCTGTAAGTGCTAGCACTCGATAATCATGGTGAAAATGATTTCTAATAGTAGACGTTATATGAGATCTAAAATAGGCAAGCAGTAGTGAAAAACAGCTAAACTTACAATTCTCGCTTTTTGAAAAAATCCGTTTATATTTACTAGACCTAATGCTATCTCATCTACACATCCACAAGGGAAGATCGTAAGCCACAGATATCCACTCATATATGAGGAAAATTCAAAAAATACATTCATTATATTAAGCTCAAAAAAGTACAAGTAATAAACACATTAAAAAATCAAAAATTGTATACGATTAAACCCTTCCATAAAAACACAGGTACCCAAAAGAAAAATTTAGACAAATCGTATATGAGAAATAGACACATGGGGAGCAAATCATTATTTTATTTTTATTAAAAGAAGCCACGAACCATAAAAAAAAAAAAAAAAAAAAAAACAAACAGTTATGATAGAACTGGGAATTTGGTATTGTTTTTCTGTAAGAAATCTATTAAGTCATAAATAAATTTAAACTGAGTGAAGCTTTGCACCATTTTCATTCGTTGAGTTCTTACGTGATCAATCTGTTGAAATACAACATCTGAAGAGACATCTGTACCTGGTGAAAAGCCACTGAACTTCTCATTAGGAAGGCGTAAAAGAGCATCTAAAACAATAAATGTGCCCGTACGACCAACACCAGCAGAACAATGCACAACTAAAGGTCCGGTACGATCGTAAGAGTTAACAAGTTTCAAGAAATTAATCATCATAGTAACACGTTCTGGAGAATTACAGTCGGTCCAATTTTCATATTGAAAGTGGTTTATTTTTTTCGAGACAGTTGAGTCTCCTCGTCTTATATCAAGTTTTCGTAAAATACAACCGCTGTCAATGATGTTTTTTTCCTCCAAAAGGGTTACCGTATACAAACCATACGTTTGGCGAGAAAAGACACCGTCTTGAGGCCAATAAGGGACGGACATTTCACGACCTGCCTCGTAAAAAGAGCCAAGCATAACAATGGATCCTATATCCTCAAAATGGTCCCAAGTCATTTGCCAAAAATCTTCTAAGGAGAGAGTAAGAGAAGCTTGGCAGGCAATAAATTTCGAGGTAGCTGTGTTGACATAGGAGGCATTAATATAATCTGTCCCTTTATTTGTGTCTTTGTTTTTTAAGTGAACGCGCGTCAAATTATAGGGCACAATGTCCGTATACCTATTTTTTTTATAGGTTAAGTTCGAAAGAGAATCGACCGTGCACCATTTCGAATTCTTATCTGCGCAACAAGCCAACCGTTGTTGTTCGAGAAACTCCAAACTTGAAAATTTTTCATACAAAATTGTAACGTTTGGATTTGTAAATGCATCTGGTATGCTGTGAAGAGAGGGTGTCCGAAGGGGTGCGTTATTAATTGACTTATCGGGCATCGGACAGAAAAACTTATTCAAGGAAAGCATTTCAACTTTATCTTTGGGCCGGGGTACACTGGAAAAGTAATCAGACCCTTGACTTGTCAAAGATATAGGGGCAGTTTGAGGAACAAAAAAGTTTAATTTTGAGTTAATGCTAGTGTTAACGCCCATTTTATTTGTGATAGGCATTCTATCAATCAAATCGGGATAGGTGTTTGCAAGACGGTTGTAGTCAAGGTCCAAAATGCCAAAAGTACCTGAAAAGCATTCTTTCTTGAATTTTTCACCGATAATCTCAGCAATAGTAATATGACTTGCAACCCAAGCGGGAAGACAAACAAAGATACAAGAAAGGTCTTTCCAACCCTTAGAAAGGTCGCAAACATTGTCAGCATCGTTTAAAGTGCTGATGATTCGAGAAGCAGAAAAAGCAGGGCGTTTGATAAGAGTAGCAGGAAGAGTGAGATTGACAGAGCCATTGATGCGGTCTTTTGAAAACTCGGATACAGGACGCAAGTCAATGATAAGGACATCACTGTGCTTCTCTGTGTTTCTATAGTAATCGAGTAATTTGGAGGAACGGACAATATATTTGCTGGTGGTCTGATAGCTCTTAGGCAAGACAGCCGTGCAAGAACCAGAGGGAGGCTCCATTGTAACAGTAGCAGCTTTCAAAATTTGAAAATCGGACATTAGTATGTATTATCTGCTTTTGAACGAATGAGATCCAAATTCAAATATAGGAAAAAGCAAGCAAAACACAGAAGCGGAAAGAGAGAAGACGATAGAAATGAAAATTATGCTATGGGTATGCAAATAATAAAATTGCAAATCTTTTAAGGGAAATCTTTTTGGTATCTTTAAACACGAGTAAGGATATATATATATTTATATAACCTTGGCAGAATTGATTGAACAAAGCAAGGAATTTGAATATTCAGTAGGATACTGAAAGCTGTAAACTCAAATAAAAAACGTGTGTTGCGCAAAAAAGGGAAAACAATTAAACAAGGATAGAATTGGTTAAGGAATGAGATTAGAAAAGAAAGGTATACAAGGCTAAAAGGGACACGAAGGAAAAAAAAAAAGAGAAAAACGATCTAACAAATGCAAAAGAATAAGAGATTCAGAAACCCTGATGGGTATACACAAAGAAAACAAGAAAAGGAAAGGTATATAGATCTAAATGAAATAGAAAAAGTAACTTTGTTCAGTGTATACCAAAACGATCGATTGAGGAAACGATAATTTCAAGTGAAATTTTCAGGTATTCAAATGCGGCTGCTAAATCGATGAATCTAAATATGATTATTAGGAAGCAAAAAAAAAAGCATGCGTTCTAGCAATTGCTCATTGTATTCTTAGAATGAAAGAGAGAGGTGCGAAAAAAAATGACAGAATAAAAAAGCCGAAAAAGTGAAATCCAGTGAATGCGAATAAAAAAATGTAAGAAAAAAACAATTCTATCGCTTCTATATAGAAAGAGGCAACGAAAGAACTTAATCTCCAACGCGCGACAAACAGAGTTTGAACAGGAAAAAAAAGGTCGAAAAAACAAGCGACAAACAAAAAGCTCTTACGAGCTAAAGAAGGAATCTATGAAAGTATCCAATTTGAATTGTGAATTGGAACCTGGAAACAAGCTGGTTTTGGCTTTGGTAAGAAAGAAAACAGTCAAAAAGAAAAAGAATAAAGAGAGTCGTTTAACGCAGTCCACTGATAAAGGAGAAGCGAAAATTCATCAAAGTAACAAAGCGAAGCGATCTAACGGTATAGTCGAAAATCGTAGAAAGACGAGTACGGTTAAATAAGAGGCAAAAACAATGAGATAAACTTTAACTAGAAATAGTGGAGCAGCGTTCTAGTGGCGAGAAAGGGAGCGTCAATAATAGATGGTAAAGCATTCGTAGCAACGACTCTCGTTGGTATACGAGGGATAATTCGAATAGTTAGGTCATAGGTAACAAGTAATCGGTTAGGTTACAAGAAAGAACAAAAGAGGCAAAAATAATCAAGAAAGAAGGTAGGGAAAATACAGTGAACAAAAAACTTTTTCTTATTTTGTTTTTATGAACCATCAATCTGATAGATTCAAAGTTCCTCTATTTCCATATATAAAAAGCAATAAAAAAATACTACCCCGAAGAAAAAAAAAAAACTTAGATGTGGCTGTACGATAATCATGATGTCATTATATGACGTTTATAAATAAATGATCTCATAAATGACGTAAAACGGAGAAGCGACGAGAATCGATGATGAAAGAAAGCGGGGTCCATGTCGAGAAGGAAGCACGTTTTAGGGAGAAGGAAGGATAAGAGAGAAAAACGTGTCTAAGAGTTGAGAATGTAATTAAAAATATAAACATAAACAAAACCAAAAACCAAAGGAAAAATAATAAAAAAGTAGCAAATTCTTCAAAGAAAGATTGAAATGGACCAACACTGTTTTCACGGATTTTCGGAGGTAATCAACTTTTAACATTAAATAGTGCGAATGAAATTGTGTTCATTTCCTTCGGAGACTGCCATGTCCACTTCTGTCCTAGAGATTTACAAATTGTTTCGCTGAAAAGATGGGTCTACGTCTACAAGAACAAGTTTCCAACAACGTAGATGAAATAAGTAAAAATGAAGGCGATCCTGTTTCCTTCTTCCCTAGGTTTAGGATTTCTCATATCATAGAATAGTGTATCTGAATACGATTTGTGTTTTCTTTCTATTGTTTTTATTTTTATGAAATAATATATATACATTTATGAATTCCTTTAGAACACCGGTTATTTTATTCCTTCATTCTCTCTATTATTCTTCATTTGTTTATTTACAGAAAATCATCTACCATATAATCCATGCTCTGAAGTAGCGCTTACTTGTGTTATATACGCCTTAGTATTATGCATTGGAAGAATCAGTACTCTTATATTTTACTAAACGGCGAAACTTCACTAGTTATAAATATTGAACGCGAAAACACCATTCAGCAGTGTTGCTCAATCCTTTAGTCATTTTAATATACTTTTGCTTTTTTGAACATAATACTTACTATCTCTGAAAAAAATTTGAACGTCAACTAGGTAAACCTCTGTCTTTCCTTAGCTCTTGTACCTTTGCAAGCGTGTAAATTGAAGCCTCTATCACTTTCCTTACATGTAAAAAATGAAAAACAAATATGATCATTTACAAACTTCTTTGGATGATTTAAATGCAGACGATGCCAACGAAGTAAACATTGGTCAATTACCAGTTTACACAGCATTTAGTGAAGATACACTACCGCCTCCCCAATATTCAGGTAAGAAAGAATGAGTTTGTCTCATCAAAATTGATTTCATATGTTGAACAAGGAGAAGCCATTATTGTAGGAAATATTAAGGATGGATTCTAATTATATCTAGAGGCATCTGGATTTTCTGATTTAGAGACACCCGACAAAGCGAATAGCGCATATGATTATTCTACTCCTTGGTGGATGAAAGTACCCGTTTGCATTGGCGCATTTCTTCTTCTGAGTCTCCCTTGTCTGGTACTTGCTCGATTCATGAACTTTTCTCTACACCATTGGTTATTTTGCGCTTTATATTGTATACTTCTTCCATTGGTACTGTATGGTAAGTGAATTTGAAATCTGGTATTCGTCTTCAATCACTAATCCAATAGTGACATATGACAAATGGATTAAAATTTTCAGAGAAGCCCTGGTAAACATCAAAAATGGATTGGGAACAGCTTCTTTGTCTATTATAAATGGGATCAAATCAGCTTTGATTTCCATTCTAGACGGAGTCAAGGAAGCAGTAGTGATCACAGCTCGTGAAACTAAGGAAGCTATAGGGACACAGTCTGTATAAAGCAACCATAGAGGTAAAGCGAAAACCAATTTAGTAGGTGACTTGGAACTACATAAACCGTTTATCCTACTGAACAAGTCAGGGTGTTTATACAAGTTGACTAGTCCAACCGGCCAACCGCTCGTTCCATATCCATCCTTTTTTTTATTTTTTTTTTGTATATGAATGAAAAAAAAAGGTTTTTTTGCTAACTATAACTTATCATTCACTTAAACGAGTTCCCTCATGTTTTTTAGACCTGTCTTATTGTCTCAGATATTTTCTGTCAGAGGAAGTCCCAGATATTAGCAAATATACTCAACGGCGATAGCAAAGTTCCGTCACTGCAAAAACTTTACATTTTTTAGTTATGTTCTTTGGGTGGAATAAACAGCTAAAGTTGTATTGCTGTAGATTTGAATTGGCTGCTCCCGAAATACGTATATAGATGCTAGTAATATCCAGGGATCTGCTTAACTAAATGAAATGTCTGAAAGTCAGTTTTACTTCGACTGTATACTCATGGATTTAATGACTCTTATGATACAGTCGACGCAAATTATTTCACTCTCCGATTTCGCACTCACAGTTTCTGTATAATGGTATCCAATCGTTTGTTTACTTTAAATTACGCGACGATTCTCAAGATTATGTCCTTTAGCTTGTATTAGATAAGTTTGACGACTAATGTTAATCAACTTTACGATGTAACCATCTGTGATATAAAGTAGTATTTGTTGTTTTTATGTAACGAAACTTTTGTAGTTTACGTTTTGTACTACCGACTACTCGCTTCTGCTCGAGAAATATTGGTGGCAGTAATTAAGCGAAGTTTATTCACCTCCGTGCGGTCTTCCACTGATTTTGAAATTACGTGCCGGTATGTCCCGTCTGTCTAGTCCTGTACTACCCTATTTTTACTGCAATGATTAGATGGAAAGAGAATTATTTCTGTCTTGGTTTAACTGTAAACAGTTTCAGATTCAAAGGAATGCTCGTTGGTATTTCCTGCCCTTAAAATAAGGGCTGCTTTTTGTTCCGACCTTGAAAATAAAGCTTAAATGGTAGAAAATTAGGCAATTCATTCTGGAGTTCTCATATAATTTCTACTAAAAGATTTTTATTATGGAAAACTTAAGCGACTAATGTACCAAAAAAGCTACTTTCCTTCATGAAAGTAAACTAATTATGAGGACTGTTAATTGCATTTTGTGATTCAAACGTATTTTCAACAATTCGAGTTAGAATCATTATAGGAGATAGCGTAACAAAACATATTGCTATCCTGACCAAAAAGCGATGCGAAATTTCCTGCTGCTGGCATTCATTCCATTATGACTGCTTTGAACTTTTATTAGAGCCGCTTTGAATGAAAGATTGAAGTTGAGTTCATTTGAACTACATTCCTTTCAATTTCGCTTTTCGTAGTGATTTGCGAAAATTGTTTCATCCACTACAGATCAAGAGCTTTTTTTTTGACACCTCTTTTGCTAATTGTACATTGAAATTTCTTTTTATTTATTTTGAGGATTCGGAAAAGAAGCTAAAATCCGATTCAAGCCGTCCTCCCACAAACAACCATGCTAATGTTTACGACATTGATCTCGAAAAAGGACTTCCTTTGTATACACCAAGAGACATAAACAACCGTTTCAATTCAACTTCTGTCAAAGCCAAAAAACGTTGAAAAAAATAAAAATCGTTAATGAATGAATTCGGCGGCTTCGATGCTTTCTTTACCGAATATAGGAAGACTGTAGATCAATCTTTCCCTGAAAATGTAGTCGTTGAACATTTAAGCAGGTTTTACATTTTGACATTATTTTTATCAATGCTTTGTACATTAGCAGTCGCCTACCGTTCGAACATTTTCTTGGCTACTCAAGTTATTAATTGAAAAAGCTACGATCGGGCCCTTTTTGTATCTTCAAGTACTTTGCGTTGTTTTGTTGTAAGTGGAGTATTTTTGTGAATCGCAAATGTTATTAGAATGTATGTTACTAATAAAGCCTAGTATACAATTGGTGTATCATTATGATAGTACGATTGTCGTTAAAGTCGTAATTTTAATTGTGGCTGGTTTTGAGGTTGGCTTCCAGATAATTTTCAAAGGTCTTGGGGCTGCCTTTGAGGAAATTTTTTAAAATCTTGAATTCCTCATTTGTGCCATCTGTTGGAGATTCTACAACATCCTTATTCATTTCCTTGAATTCGTGATCAAATGCTCAACTGAAAACACCGGTTTGCCTACGCTGCCCAAATATCAACAAAGGGATGATGCACTAGCTCCTCCGCCGACGATTACGAACGAAGAAATAGAGTTGCAGAGCAATCCTACCACTCAAACTTACGGCTAATTTGTTTACCTTTCTTTCAGCATGAGCTTTAACTCTTCCGATTGAAAGTCACTAAGTGGAAAAAAGGAACATTACAAGCGGTTTATTCCGACGAAGATTTATTTCTGTCCCTTTTTAAGTGTTCTTGCGGTTAAATATTGACTACGAAACTATCCTTGTATCAATTGAATTGGAAATGACGAAGAAAAATGGACAATAAAAAGGCATGCATGCATTTATCCGCCCACTAAAAGGCAATGAATAGGTTGTTTTTTTTGTTTGTATAAAAGCGCAAGAAAGCATTATGCTTTGGGGAACAGCATCTGAGATCGTTCTAATCGCTTTAGACTCGTATGCGATTGGTTCACCTTAATAATAACAAAATGTGACTATTGAATTTACTATCGAGTAGACATTTTTGGTATTTCGTCACCTCACAGGTAACATTCTGCGGTAAGTATAGAAAAACTCGATCTCTTTCAAGTAAATTGAGAAAGTGTTTATAAAAGAAACCAAAAACTTTCCAAAATAAAAAGAGACTGCAGCACCCCGGATTCCCATACTGTCTCCAACCATAGTATTACATCGAGCCCAGATTGTTCATCTTCTATATTAGTAGATCTTTGGTTAAATTTCTGGTCAAGAGCTTGTAACATCCCACGAATTTCAGACAAGTCATCTCGTGAACGAGTCTCTCCTGGAAGTTTGGATGTAAGGGCTTCATGAAGGCTCACCAATTTGCTTCTAAACGAGTCAAACTGATCCTGGGGAATCGCCTGCTAAAAGTCAGCTATGAAAAGGCTTAAGGAAGCATAAGAATCATCAGACAGCGAGGAATTCCAAATGGGTTCGTAATAAATCTTGAATCATTCTTGAAAAAGGGGCAGCGAAAATGAAGTATATAGGAGGATTCAGGAGAGAATAAGCAGACTGTATCAACTATAAGTCACAATGAAAAGGTGTTAGCAGTTGTTTTGTTTGTTTATTTTAGCTGGGACACCAGGTCCTCCATGATGTCAAAATAATGCAAGAAAGTGGATTTAGGGCTGCCATCGACTTCATTAAGCATTTAGCTATTTCTATCACTCGGTGCTCGCTATACTTTGTGTGCAAATAAACAAAAAGGTACAAGAATATCAACAAGAATTCTTAAAGAAAGAATTTCATGGCAGAAATCGTACGCCGTAAACAATGGATCTCGAAGGGAATAAACAAAGACAGTAGTAATGTTATATATTTCAAGTGGACGACTTGGTACTATGTAAAAGAATAGTAATAACATCGAAGGATTTGAAAACTAAATGGACGGCAGAAAAAGCAAACTTTTCAGCCTAACCCGTCCATTCTTCCAATCTCAAAATTCTGACTGCAGACAAACAGTTTATTTATACACCTTTACAGATCGAGCTAATTAATTTGTTCATTTATCCACCTCGTTTAGTCAAGTAAGAATACTTAGTAGATAAATAGTAACTATAAGTCTAATGAACTCTTAGATTTACTGTATAATTACCCATGACTTATACCATTCACGGTTGTAATTGTTCTCCCTAATATGGTCATTTCCATGACTATATAAACCTTTCAAAATCCTTATAATATCACTACAACGAATAATTCGAAACAGTAGGCACTATGCAGCATGCTTTTTCTATTCAAGTAGACAAACATAGCATTAATATCTTTCGGTACAAAGTCAATAGGTAAACGTTGGTTGATTCATAGTTGCTCTCATAAATTAAAGGACAAACTTTGGTAACAGAAATCGCAGAAAAGGGTATCGGTTAGAGCGAATTTCAAGACTACGTTTCTTTTGTTCCATAGCAAACGAATGTGAGTGTGTAAGAGAAACACTAACCCGAATATCGATTTTGTATCTTGTTTTCTTGTTTTCACACGCACATATTTAAAAAGTGTTTTCTTCAATTTTATTGAAATAAAAAGAATTTATTATTTTCGTGGCTGATCCTACCGGGAAATATCTTTGTACTCTATGCTGTTTCGTCTATAACTGTGTATATAGTTGTTTTTTGTTTGTTGTTTTGAGCTGTTATTGAAACTATGAAAAACCTTTACGAACGTGTTCAAAATTCTGGCAATTCCCTCAGTGCGCAGAATGATGATATTTCTTCAAGCGTTAGTTCACCTCCAGATTGCATACCGCCTTCATACTCGGGTAAGAAATGTTGAAGTTACAAAAGGAAAAGGAAGAAGAAGAATATGTTTGCGAAGAAGTCTTACGGAACGAATGATGATGCGAACATCTTTCTTTTTTCATTTACTAAGAAGGCTACTAGTGTTTTGACAGAAGCATTCTACAACGATGCAGCCCATCTATATCTTATTGGACCTCAGAATGGGACCAGCACATGATTTCATTACAAAATTTGCATGGAGTACATTACTTATGCTGTTATAATGCGTGGTCGAGTCTTTCAGGTTAATGACTTTCCAGGCGTCGCTTTATGGATTTGCCCAAATGAAACAGTGAGCGATTGGTATACTGTTTTAAGGAGTTTTTTATTGAGATTGATTTACAAATTGGGTGACGAAACCTGTCATTGCTTCTTTAATGGATTGATTCCGCTACACAACTGGATGGTTTCAGAAACCATGAAAGATTGAAGCTTGGTATCTTATGTACGTTTGTGTAAAACAAAACAGGAGGGAAAGGGATATCTTCGAAAACTCCTTCAACTAATCTTAGATATTGATGACCAAAACAATCTTCCATTGTACCTTGAGTCTAAACATCCAAGTAATTGCATCAAATATCAGCATTTTAGCTTTATCGCGGATTTTATTCCGGTCGATGTTGTAGTAAGAGAGCCGAATAGCTCTTTGGATTTCAGGGCAAGGGAGTAATGAATCGAAAAATACCAACATAATTATTACCCAGAAATGAGTTCATTTTTTTCATTATCTCTATGGTTATGTGAAAAATTTTTTTTCCTTTCCCTTTCCCGAAGCGTTTTAGCTTTACATCGAGCTTTTCTTTCCGGGTATTTTGGCAGCATGTTTGGTTTTTAATTCTATGTATAATCAATTCAGCAATGACTTTGATTTGGCTATAACTCGCATGCTCTGTATTGTTTTTCTATCTTTGTAAACAATATCGGTCAGTCTTTTCTTTTATTGAGTGATGGGTTAGCTTTTTTATTATCATTGTTATTTGCTTATGAATTTACGAAATCTAATTTAAGCAAAAAGTCAGACAAAGTTTGTCTAAGGGAAGGAGGACCATTCATTTGAAGCAACATAAATTCCATAGTCGAAATCATCTCCTTTTAAAACTCAACCGAGAATGGTGAAAATTTAGTTGGTTTGCTTTTTTGCTAAACGACTTGATTATTCAAAATAGTGGAAATAAAAGTGAAATAAAAAAGGTTTTCCGCCAAACAACTGTATTTTGAAACTAAAGAAGACTATTAGATAACTTGACGTTTTTATTAATTTGAGGAAATGATGTTTACGATGCTTAATAACTACAAACCATGGAACATGAGTCTAAGCCTTATATAAGAGTTTAGACTTAACAAAAATATTGAAAGGTCTAATTATTAAACAATGGATCGCGTGAAACGAGACACTGTCAAAGAATGATTTGACTGGCACTATTGTTATATGCTGCTGCTTGGATCAAGAAAAATAAACAATTGGTAGCCGAAATTCAGGGGCTCAATAAATTCGTTAAATGAGATTTATTTTTCTTCAAACTATATATTTGTCACGGGAGAAATCTCACACGTCATGAGAATGTAAATTGAGTGGAAGTACTAAGTACAATTACAAAATTGTCCATTAGAACTGGTCGCTTCAGTACTACGTAGAAGGATAGTATTACGTCTAGCGATTTGATTAACTAAAAGAAATGACTAAGAATCAATCTTATTTAGCCTGATCACTCAAATCTTCCAATCTTCCAATCTTGACTGTCAACACACCTATATAAATTATTTTGTAGATTTTTCGATGTTACTGACTTCTATAGTTAGTACAAATAACCATACGTATAAATTTTGATCGGATTATCTGCATTCAAAAAGAAATTTGCATTTCCAACTTTTTGTTTACATATTATTAAACACAACCTTTTAAGCTTATGAATATTAACTGATATTAGTTACTATTCCATTCTTATAACGGATTGTTATATAAAGTATACTAACGAAGTACACATTTATGACAAATATAAACAAAACACCGATCGTGACAACGAGAATGACAATATATATCTGTGTTTATAACCATCGTAGTGTCTAATGAAGACCAGAGCTAGAAAGAATAAAAAACATTTTGTATCATCCTTTTGCTTACCGTTTGTTTATTTTTTTATTTCACCGTATAAGCAAATTGAGGTGTTAAGTCATTCTCCTTTTATCTGATACCCGCTAGGCTCGCTTCCCCGCAACATGTTTATCTCCCACCCCGCCCATGGAGCTATTTATATAAGAGCGCTGGTACCTACCTTCAAGTAGAGGCCTTAGGAAAGAACGAGTAAACGCATAAAAATCTTAGACTTCGCATGGTTTTTGCTCCTTTCATTCAGGTTTGATTTATTTATTCCATCACTTTTAATTCTTTCATTCTTTTTCTACTTTATACTTCATTTCTCGGTTTTTGCTTTTGCTTTTTTTGTTTTTTTTTTTTTTTTTTTTTTTTTTTTTTTTTTCTGGTGATTTTTTTCCCACTGGAACAGATTTCCGCTGTTATATCTCGATTCAATCGTCTATCATGTTGCTTCATTTTGGTTTGAGTGCCCTGCTGCTTGCAGGGACGGCTCTTGCTTCTATGCCATACGAGGCTTGGCTTTCTCTCCTGAGCCTCAAGAGTTCATGTCTTGTAGTTAATTGAATTCTACTTACAATGATTCTGATCCTGCTTGTGCAGAAATACTTCAAAAGCCAAACACAAATAAATCGGTTTATGTCCGTTTTGCTCAGTACCCAGACCCAGACTTATTTCTAGCTTATAAGCATGCTATTGATGCTGGTGAGGATTATAATTTTTTTTAGAATTTTGAAAATTTCAGAGTTTGAATCCAAAACCTGATTTTTTTGATTTTGGTTCCAATTTTACGTCCGATGCAAACTTAACATTCTACAAGACAAAAATAACAGAACCGGGCATGTATAGTTTTCTTGAATACCAAGAGATTGATCCAACTGAAGATGATCCAACTGAAGATGAGTCTGAACCTATAGTGTATTTCCGTTACAAGTCTAGTGAATTCAGAGAAGATGGATCAAAACGTCGTATTTTTGCCGGTTTGCTAGTTATTTCCAGTAGTATAGGTATGTATTTGCTTATTCGCTGGCTCCGTAACCTTAGAAATCTCACCTTTACTCAATTTCTTTTGTTTGTTTGGTTCTTTGCATTTCTATCAAATCTTCTTATGAAACGAATCTTCATCGATGAGGATATTACGAATCAACCTATTCTCTGGTTAGTTCCGGTGTTTTCTTACTTGTTTGGTGACGGAATTGAACGCTCTTTATTTAATTCATTTGCTCTGGCTCTTTCACTCGGTTTGGGTTATCTCCGATGTAGTTCAGAAAATCTGGTTTTTTTGGTCATATTACTAGGTTGTGTTCAATCGCTATTTATGGTAATAGCACCTTTGATTTTCCCTATCCTATACTTAGTTGAGCCTCTCATAGCAAAGCCTTTGCAATTGGCATGGATGCTATCTTCCCTCAATTTTAGTAATCAGAGTTTTTCACATTTGCAGAATGCGCCTCAAATTAGGAAACGATTTTGATGATAAGTACATCAAATATAAGAACTTCCTTCCGCATATTTTATTATCGCTACTTGTGAGCGTGGTACTCCACGTACAAAGCGCACCAACTTTTAATGTAAAATATGAAATCATAAAAATTTGTGTTGGCGTTATATTCTTCTGTCTTCTTGCCTTTACCTTGATTGCATATAATAGCAGAGTGTTGAAAGATGACAAAGCAAAAAATCCAGAAAAATTGCAAAAGCCTTTGCCATTGTACAAAGACGATTCTGAGATGGAGTTGCCTGCTGACGAGAAGCTTTAAAGGTTTCCAGTTGCTAAAGTTTGTCATTCGTTTGATTCCCAAAAGACATACATGGTTTAACACCATTTCCAATCGATTATAAATAAAAATGAGTCTATAGTGTCACCGAAGAACTCTCACGCCGTTAATCATTGTACTGAGTTGGAAAAGCAACGTATACTGTACAATTGAACGTATATAGACGCCAGCAATGTCCAGGGATCTGGTTTACTAAATGAAATGTCTGAAAGTCAGTTCATCTCGCCAGACCAGTCGAATCTTCCAGTCCGAACGTTCGGACTGTAAAGTCATGGATTTAATAACTTTTATGATACAGTGGACGCAAATTATTTCACTCTCCGATTTCGCACTCACAGTTTCTGTAGTGTATCCAATCTTTTTTTACTTTATATTGCGCGACGATTCTTAAAGAGTATGTCCTTAAGCTAATATTTCAAACGTCAGATAACTTAAAATGATCTGTACTGTTAATGAATTCCACGATATAACCGACTGTGACAGGAACTATTTGTAAATATCCTTGTTAAGTAATAAATTATGGAAGATGAATGATTACTCAACCTATTGCGCATAATACTATTCTTAGCCGCTATAGTATCCTCCGTTGTGGCAGTACCTTTAACGAAATCTGATCTCACAATATTGTGGTCATTAGAGGACATGAACGATTACAGCACCTGTGTCTCAGAGAATCCAGGTATTAAAAGATATTCTTATTACAAACTGGTTAACAATTGTCAATAAATGCTTGGAACAGGCAGCGCGTTTGGACCTCTACTTGCAGGAATACAGAGTATGTTTCATCATTGAATAGGTCAAACTGCATTTCAGAATTAGTTACGTCCTTGCTTCTCCCGTTCACACTAGGAGACAACTCCTATATGTATGAACACGAAACCCTTTGAAGCACTGAAAATGACAAGGGTTAGGCTCGCTTTACTAAATTCGAAAAGTACAAGAAAAGTTATTGACGACAAGGGCAATTTCCTAAAATTTAAAGTCGGAAGCCATAGAAGAAAGAAGAAATAAATATTTATGAAAGGAAAAAACCAAGGCCTAATGTTCAAAATGACTAGGAAAAAGGTACAAGGACCGTCCTCCATACACAAGGTCAACGTGGATAATTCCACAGCATCTCAAGACGCATAGCCATGTCGAAGTTAAATATCAAAGTAAATTTATTAATACAGAATGGAGCCCATATGTCAATCTTAGAAAAGATCTCGCAAGAAGAATTATACCCAAATTCGACAACGAATATTGATCACAGTTAGAATCACAAGATATTTTTAAGGTTACAGGAATTTTGATTTTACCAGGACCGTGAATACTATGAAGCATATATCATACACCGTCTTGCAAATATAAAAACCATTATCAAATGGTCTCTTAGGAAGCAATGGTAATTTAGGTTTTTATGTGAAGAAGAACCTTTAAAAAAATACCGATAATAAACGGTATGTGGAACTCAACAGATGTTACAGCGTTACCGAAGTATGAAAGAACCTACAAATGTACCGGTGCCTGAACACTCAGGAAGGGATTGAAAGATAAACCAAAAAGAAATTACCAGATTATGTACCAAAGTTAAAGCGCTATGCTCAAAAGAAATCATTATGCATGAAAGAGAAGATATACGAATTATTAAGCTAAGGCGAATCCGTGAGAGTTCCTTCAGCTTTGTGTGCAAGCCATTTATAATTCCAAAGAAAGAACGGCTAATGAAGGAATAGTCATAAATTATGAGACTTTTTGTTGACAAAAGCAAATAATTATCCGCTGTTAAATTTGAAGAAATCGTTTATTGGTTTAAATGGAGCCAGAATTTTACAGCATCATAATAGCAGATGATCCAAATTATTTTTTGTATTATCGTTCATGTTGGAGCGTTTTTCTAATCAGATCTATCGCTCCAATTTTGGATTCTTCGTGATATCGTTCGACATAACGACTATACGAAGTTTTTTAGCTTCAATAAGCGCGCCTTTTGGCTTGAAAAATTGCATCATACATAATAACTAGAATTCTAACTTTGAAGTACAGTCACCCATCACTTATACCATTCAAAGTTGCATGAATACTTCTTGGTATTATTTCCCGATAAATTCTCATGTTTGCTTTCTTAAAGGCTGAGTCCCAGATAATATATTACAAAAAAGTTATTAAGCAATTTGAACACTTAGTCTAAGTGTAAATTGAAGGCTTGCGGTTTATAAAATTTTGGCCTTTGCCGGGTATTCATTGCTCAAATTCGAATAGCATAGTTAACGAGCTCATGCACATAAGAAAGAAAAAGGGTATATAAAAATAAGCTAAACCCGCCTTAACAACACTTTTACACTGTTTCATCTTAAGTGAACGTCTACTAATAATTCCGCTCCAATGGTCTAAACTTTTCTTTATTTTGTCAAGACCTAATGACCTAATAACCTAGTTTCCAATCTATTTTTCTCCTTTTCCAAAATAAGTTCCTAATCAACTTCTATAATAGCATCGTCCTCATCAGGTGGGTTTTGAGTAGCCTGTTCCACTTCCTCGGTAGCTTCGTCACGGACAAGCATTTGAACCAATCTATAATTGTTAGCAAATGAACTTCATCATTTGTACTTACTGATCGCAAAGGGCTTGAAGATCTTCATCCTCTACATGAAGATGAAGTTCACGAATAATAGGATAGAGTTTGCGAGTTCTCAAGTGTTCTCTTCCATCACGGGTTGCACAAAGCAAAATTAAAGATTCCACGTGTGTTTTCATCACAAACAAATCAGGTTCGCGCTTCTTGTCATCTGGGAGCAATTGCAATTCATCAAACATGCCCTCCATATCTTCTTCATCCAAGTCTTCCGGACCAGCCAAAGGAAGTAAGATATAGGGAAGCAAGTTTACACTTTCTTCATCCATAAGAATTTTATGGAAAGGTACATCAAAGCAAATATTTTTTATAATGGCTGCTACCCCCGTGCGGCGCAATAATGAGCTATGCTCCGTGAAAACAATCAACTTAGACACTGGATAAACATTGTCGTACTCTTGAATAGTCGTGAAATATTGTCGTCCTCTTTCAAAACGTGTCATATCAGCAAAGACATTGGCAAGGAAGTCAAAGTTTGCATATTGGTTGATACCGTGATTTGTTCCTTTTACAAAAAGATCCATCAATTGATCAATAATGTTTCTGCTAAGAGAAAACTCGCGGAGAGGAACCTGCATGTCTAAAATGCGGACAAAATCTTCCTCTTTGGCTAAATTGCAGAGAACCATACATGACAAATCGGCCAGACCATGCAAAGGATCAGTGACAATATTAAAAACAAGCTTTAAAAATTCATCATCCATTAAAACCCTACGAATTGCTGCATTCTGAGACACGTTCACCAATGCAGTAATCGCTTGACTAGCAATTTGGGGTTTATCCTTCAATAAAGCCTTTAAATCCTTTACAGGCTCACAATTGTTAATGAACCAAATATCAAATTGAGGGTTATTTCTTGCAGTATAAGGAAGTAAATGCTGAGTAGCCAGCATTCTCACCTGTGGATTTTGGTCATGCAAAAATCCTGCTAACTGACTTTGTTAGTAAATTTTCTATTATTTTTGCCTACCTCCTTTAATTCTGACATCTTTTAAATATAAATATTTTTAAAAATTCTACCAACCTTTGCCAGAATTGTGAAAATGCAAAGATCTCTAAATTTTTGCACCTGGTACGAGTAGGGGACAGCACCACAGCAGAAAAGGTGTCGAAGAAATTAAGTCGCTAAATACAAACAAGTAATGCTGACTTTGATAATACTTTACTAAATTGAAATTATAATTTTTAGGATAGTAAAACGTTGACTTTCTGTCTAGTAAATTTATGAACCATATGCCTTGCTCTGTATTCATTTTACAAGCATAAACCAAATCTAGTACAACAAAACAAAACAGCTATTATTAAGTTCTATCTATACCATATACCAGAACATGTATGCAATCTTTTTATGAATTCAGAATATTTAAGCCGTAACGTTTTCAAACAAAAAGGTGGGTTGTCCAGGAACGGCATTCGCAAAATTAGCAGCAATTTCAATTGCACTGCCAGCTTCAGGACCATTTTCAACAAGTCCGGTAATGGGAGAAGAATCATCGGCACGCTTTTGAACACGAACAATGCGGAGTTCCTTAATACCAACATTACCAATAAGATAGGGCTTAACCTCTTGTAAAACATCTAATTCGTTAAATCCTAATTCACGACTGAAAATCGATGAAGCAGGAACGTGTTCACCACGGTTAATAACCGATTGCTTGAATTGTTGAATGAAAGGCATAGCAACCTTCATAGCCTTCTTATCGACATTTGAAATAATTGCCTTATCATCAAACTTATTTTCTGCTTCATTGTAGTAATTTTGGAGTAGAGAAACGTATTGAGCTTGCCATTCAGGGAACTTATCGGCAACGAAAATGCTTAAACGCTTAGGTTTTGAAGGATCAAATAGCATGCCCTTGCCCTTCTTTTGACGTTTTAATTGACCAGCTTCAGCTTCACGAATAAGTTTAGTCAAGGTGCGAACGTATTGCAATGAGTTTGAGAGAGCAGAATTTACAGGCCCAGAAGCACGAGGGAATCTACCAGACACATGAATGCTAGTAGGCTTCTTGAGAGCAGCAAGCCAGAGATGTTCACTCCAGTGAGGAGTAAAAGGTGCAAGCATCAAAACTTGGGCTTCAATCCAGCGCATGACAAGGTCCCTATGCATTCCGCGATCAGCTGTAACTTCACGGTACCAATCACGAGCATTCTGGAAGTCGTAGAAGCAATTCTTTAAAGCGGCTTTGTAAGCAGTTGCGCTGTAAGCTTCATGGGAATACTCAATCAATAGGTTTATCTCATTATCGAAGACACTGTCATGATAGTTATAAGCACCAGTACGCAAATCATCCACCTTTTCAATCATCTCACGGCACCATGCTTCTTGGGTATAGAGACGCAAAATGGCAGAGTTAGCCATAGCTTCCTCAAAGTTAGCGTCATCAACCGTATCACCGGCATCGGCCAAAGCCAAACGAGTAGCATCAGCACCAAACTTCTTGGAAGCTTCATGCAAAGTCATAAAGTTTCCTGTAGATTTAGACATCTTTTCGCCATTCATAAGAAGGTGACCATTAGCACGAATACCCTTAGGCCAATATTTTTCGTCAAATATGGCAGTATGTGTGTAAAGGCAGAAAGTCAAATGGTTAGGAATTAAGTCTTTACCAGAGGCACGAATGTCAAAAGGATAAAAGTATTGGAATTCGCGGCGAAGCTTGAATAGAGCTTCATCAGAAATGGATGTATTAACAGGCTTAGAGCTGTCACGGAAAACATAGTCCCACACTTCAGGAGTCATCTGCTCAGGTTTAATGTTCAAAGCCCCAGGAACGCTTCCATTAGGACTTCCTTGAAGCAAGTGGGCAATAGTATAGAAAGCCATGTAGATGGTGGAGTCGGTCAAACTTTCAACCAAAAATTGAGGATCCCAAGGTAAGCGTGTACCCAAACCATAAGAACGAGCACAAGCCCATTGAGAGAGCCAATCCAAATTCTTCTTGAAGCCATTACGGACTTCAGGGGAGAACGTGTTTAAGCGTTCCAAAGCAACTTCAGTTATTGCCTTCCAGTTGGCCTCACCGTAGTCCAAAAACCACTGATCACACAATGCAACAATGCAATCATCACCGCTACGGCTAATGACTTGACCCTCAGGTTCGTTATAGACGAAAGCTAAGTCTTGTTTGATTAAGTCGGCGCGAACCTTGGGCTTAGCAACCTCAACCTTTTCACCGTTATAATCGCCGGTAATCATGGTACCCTGATAGAAACATTCTTTGTATGCCAATTCCTTTGCTTCGGCCAGTTGCTTAACATCCTTAGGACTCTGAATCTTCAACTTCTTGCATAAGAATTCGGCACACATATCACCAAAAGAAGGTGTGCGGATAATAGGGATAGGATCAAATTTCATCCAGTCAGGATTCAAATGATAAAATTCAGCCTTCTTACGGAGCTCACCTAGTGTAGCATAATCATCAGGAGAGTCACTAGGGACAGATGTAACTACACCGGTACCCTTGTTAGGCAAAACACTCTCCATAGGCAGGACATAAACCTCTTCATAAACAGACAAAGGAGCATTAATACGAGCTCCAATGAGCTCCTGTCCCTTAATAGTGCCGAGTTCCCTGACAACGCCTCGTTCACGCAAAAGGCCTTGGTAAGCCATGTTGCTAGCGGCTCTACGAGTACAGATGTACAACTCTCCAGGGACAAGACCCTCATAGACACCATAGGTCAAGCTGGGACCAACATAGCAATTCGTCTGACCATACATAGTTTCAGGACGAAGGGTGGCAGCAATCATGTAAACCTTGTTACTTGACAAGTCAATGGAAGCTAAAGATTCACGAGCAGCATCGGGGAAGTTCAAAACCTGCATCTTTAATCCGGTGTACTCTTGAGGGCCCAAACCTTCACCACTTTTACGGTCATGATCCATACAAGGTTGGCCATCTCTAATAGAATACACAGTGTAACGCTCACCAAACTTGATTTTGCCAGCCTTATGCAAATGGTTGACTTGCCAACGAACAAAAGAGTCATAGTAAGGATTGGCGTCAGTTGTCATGAAGGAACGGCGCCAATCTATACCTAAACCGAAGCCGGTGCAATCTCTACGACACAAAGGAGGGAAGTATTCGAGCCAATACTTGGCATCAGCAAACTTGCTGATTTCGTTACGAGGAATTCCTAACGACTCCATAATTTGAAATTGGTACTTAACAGCAGCTGTCTTAGAAGCAGCTTTACTCTTTTTACCACTGTGCTTAGTAACATCCTCATTCTTGGCATTTTCTTGTTTGGGAGAGACAGTTTGCTCCTCTTCCTCTGGGACAATAAAATTAGGACCGAACATTTCCATTTCACGGGAAAGTTTATCAGCACTAGCGCAGATGGGCATACCAGTGCAGTGGAAGCCCATGGGAAAAAGAACACGCTTTCCCTTCAAACGTTCGAAAGCACATGTAAATTCAACCTTGGATAAGGTGAAAGCATGACCAAGGTGAAGACTTCCATTCATATAAGGGTAAGGCATGTTACCAAAGAATTTTGGATATTTTTCGCGCAACTCTTCAGGAGACATGTCCTCTAAAGGAGCGTTCGCTTCGAACACCTTTTCATCTTCCCATTTTTTTTGATACTCCTTTTCCCATCCAATAAGCGTATCACGCTTCGTTGTGTTTTCCAACTTCAACGTCGCGGTTTTGTTTTCTAGTTGTTCGACACTGGCGTTGGTTGCTTCCATCTTGGACACTTACAGAACGTAAAGTTCAAAATGAAACTTTAGAACAATCGTTCCTCTTATTTGTTCACAAGCAAAGCTGCTAATTCCGGCGATTTGCTTGTCAAACAATTGTTTGGTATTTGGCAGGTTTGGTCTTACAAGTAGCAACCCTGTGAAAACTAGTAGTAACAAGATGCTTTAGAAGATTGCGAGTTGTGTTTAGGTACGCTAACGTTATACTACGGAGTCCTAACGCTTTGTTTAACAGGAAAAAAACAGTCACGAATCGAAACTAAGCAAACTATAAATTTGAGCTTTATGTTTACGTATATTACCAGTATCGTATATCCTTTATTAAAAGAGTCTTATGAAATGGAATGGTATGTTTATTTCTGTATGAACAAAAGACATCTCTGTATGATGAAAAGCATTTTACAGACCTGTTCTGATGCCTTCGGTGTTTGAGGATAACCTTATATTGCCTTTTTTCTGAAGATTTCTTTTGTTGCTTTTTTTTATTCTATGCAAAGTAAACTAACCCTGTACAGAAGAAAATAAAGAAGCTTAATGCATTGCGAATAGTCTAGTATAGTTTTGATGGCTTTTATATATAGAATAAAGATTGAAAATGAATATGATTATAAATATATTGAGTGGATTGTGCTTGTAGAATGTGTTTTTTCTGCAATTATTAATAGTAAAGTAATTTCATTAAGAATTATAACTCCTAACTGAAGCTATAGTATCCAACCCATGATTGTTTCCTTTTTTTTACAATCGGATTGAACAAACATCCAAACCTTCCTTCAATTGGGTTTTGGTTGGCATGCTTCCTGTAAGGAAAAGACGAGAGGATTGAGAGACAGTAGGATCCTTCATGATGCTGCTGACTCCAACAACTTTTTCGCCCTTTGTGTAAAATATTGCAAATTTGTAATCAGTAATGGATCCTTGGACCACAACGTCGTCAAAGCCTTCTGCAGCATTGTTTCCACAGTATCTGACTTGCTTGCCTTGAGCAGACCAAAAGAAGGGAGTAAAGGATTTCGTGGTGTATTCAGCGTTTTCGCCAAGCAGGATGTGATTTGCGGCAACGCGACCGGTATTTCCAGCAACATCCCAGTGCTCAATGCGTGTGCTTTGATCCTCTGGTAATCCTGCATAAGGGGCATGAGCAATATCACCGACGGCATATACGTCGTCAAGACCTTGAACGCGGCAGTTCTTGTCGACTTTCACTCCTCCGTCTTTTTCTAGCTGAACTGAGTCTGCAAGGTAGCTCAAATTAGGCTTGACACCGACTGCCAACACAATAACATCAGCAGGTAATGTTTCACCGTCTTTGAGAATGACCTTGTGGGCAATTGAAGGATCAGCAGTGGACTTTTCGGCCTCTTGGATGGAATTCTCCAAGTAAAATTGGATATTGTTCTGCTCATGTAGGGCTTTAATGGCATTGCCCATTTCTTTACCCATCACCTTTTCGAAGGGAGAGGACTCCATTCCTACCACAGATACATAATGATCCTTTAAGACAATGGCAAGTTCGAGTCCAATGAAGCTACTTCCAATGATGACAATGTTTTTCTTCTTACCAGATTCGGTTGTTACAGCCGCCAGCTTGGAGGCATCTTCCAGGGTACGAAGACAGTAAACGTTGGAGGCATCAAGACCCGGAATGGGAAGCTTATTTGCTTCGCCTCCAGTAGCTAAAATCAATTTCGTGTAATTCAACTGAGAAGAGTTATCCTTGCCATAGAAAATGGTTTTTGTCTTTGGATCTATTTTGTTTACATTGGAGTTGAAACGAAATTCAACATCTAGATCATCGTAGTATTCCTTGGAACGCAAAGCAAGTTTAGAATGATCATGAAGTAACGATTTCGAAAGCTTGGGTCTGTCATAGGGAGTGATGTTTTCACGAGTGAAGACAGTGATTTTTCCTTTATAGTTACGTTCACGGAGATATTCAGCAGCTACAGAACCTCCTTTCCCACCGCCAATGATGCAAACGTGTGGAGCAGCGGCATGGCTTTCTAGGCTTCCTTTTTGGTAAACTTCCTGGGCCTTGTTTCTCCAGCAACCCTCGGGTTGCAATACATGGGAGCCACCATCGCCCTGGTCTTCTACCTCAATAAAAAGACGGCCGTCCTCCGTAGAGGAGATCGGAAAGGTACGCAAGCCTGCAATGGCTGGTGAGTCTTCGACATCTCCTGTCGCAGTGTTGAAGCAAGCACCATGCCAAGGACACACAATATGGCCGTCTGAAGTCACAGCTCCGTTGACCAAGGGAGCACCGTAATCTAAAAACTTGTGTTAGTTTATCCCTGGAAGAGACGAAGATCTAGGAAAATACATCTCCGTCGAGAGTGCGGTCAGGTTACCGAAACGAGACTCTTCACAAGACAGATATATCATTTCCTTTCCATATGTCAAAGACAAAGACATTCATTCTTCTATCACATACGTGAACATTTACCAGCTGTAGCAAAGTATTGGTTTTTTGCACGGATAAGGAGAACATTAAAAGCAGTACCCAGCACTTTGGCTTCTGTTTTCGTTCCGTTCTCAGCGACTATAGAGCGATCAAAATCTAGCTCATATCTTCGGCTTTGTATGGTTTTTTTTCCTTGATTTCCAACTGAACTACTCATGCTGAAATAATGACTCTTAATTATAGGTTGTATAGGTTGTATAAACGATCTTGCTTTCGACAATGGTACAAAGTAATGTGGTTGGAACTTGGTAAATTTAAGTATCCCTTTCATCCTTTAAATCATCATTTTCTTACCGAAACACTTCCAAATGTTGCGTTTACCAAGGTACAGCAAGTTAAATGTTGAAAGATCTGTTTACATTATGCAACCCAAACGTAATCACTTGCTACTCTTACTTCACATTGATGTCGGGTTTTCTTTTCTCATTGATTTCTTTGGTTCCGTCTATGATACAGTCGAATTCGAATGGTACTGATTGGAACTCGTTACGTCCATAGGTTATTGTTTTGGGCCAGTAACTGAACTAAGAATTCAGCCAAGCACCTACTTGGATAAGAACAGAGTCAGCAATTAAATGAAGAACGATCGGGGGTATTAATAAAACGAGTACTTAGTATAATATAATATATTAGAATGGAATAGAAATGGAATAGAATAGAACTAGTGGGATCTTAAGTAACTTTATGTAATGCGTTGAAACAAGAGAAGAATATCGCATTCATTCATCCAAGTAGGGAGCTTCCATACCAAGGTACATTTCAAACCTCATTCAGTTCGGTTTATCCCACTGTTATTGAAACGAACTCTCATTGACTGTAATTTACTCTCATCTATTTTCATCCATTTCAATTTTCTTTCCCTTACCACTTTTAGTAAGCCATGCTAGACCAGACTAGAAGACTACTGAAAGCCTGTTACATATACACCATGGCTCTAGCTTCTATATACAGATGATGCTCGACTTTTTTATCTTTTTTTATACAAAATTAAATTTCATTTCTGGAACATGACTTTCATATTACATTTCTACTCATCCATCTTCCTTGCGCATTTCGTTTCCTGCAAAGTAAATGTTGTAGAAACAAAACTTTTGAGTCGCACACCAGGAAAGCTTCTCCCTCATGTACAATACCACCACACAATACCATCGGTAGGAATTTCACGCGGAAATGCAAAATGACCATCTTTCCATCTTTGCCAAATCAAAACAAACCTTATCCTAAAATACAATCGAAACTAGATGTTCAAATCGAAACTAATCACTTTACTTGCACATCTTGCCATCGGCGACTTCACGTCCGAACATAGGCTTGTCCCAAGCCCAAGCGTCTTCGAGGAAAGTCTTGTCTTCGGGCTTAGAAATGTCGAGCTTGGTGAAGCTATAAGATTCCCAGTCAGGAGCAACTTCAAAGGCAGGAACATGATCCTGACCCTTGATAACGAAAGCACCAGTGATAGTGTTGTCACCGTTCTCACCAATAACCAAGCAGCAACCAAAGATGTACTTACGAGAAGCTTCAAGTCTTTGGAAGAAACCGCCAATCAAGTTGCAACTCATAAAGATGGGTTGTTTTAAATCTTCAGGGTAGGCATAGTCAACCTTCCAAAGAGAGTAATTCTCGGGATCATAGTGGTCAAAGAACCAAGGAAGGGATCCAGTACGAGTGTCTTGGTTGGTATAGACACGCTTGAACTCCTCAATGTTCAGGTTACCATTGGGAAGGGCAGCAAGAGGGTGCTTGGGAGGCTTGGCAGCAGGAGCAGGGGCGGCAGCGGGCTCAGCAGGCTTTTGCTCCTTCTTTGGGGCCTCCTTAGCCTTAGGCTTAGGGATTTCAGGCATCTTCTCAACAAACTCGAGAGCACCGACGATGCTGTCCAAACCGCATTGGTGGTACATGGTAGTGTAGTAGCGTTGGACATTAGCATATTTGGCCAATTCACTCTTGACCAAAACATAACGAATGACGGACATCAAAGAGTTGACGGCAAAGACATCAGCCAAAGTAAGACGAGAGCCAACGAGGTAGGTCTTGTCAGCAAGCAATTGGTTCAAACGAGTTAATTCAGTAGCAACGGCAGCTTGGCTTTGCTTCTCAACATTGGCATTGTAAGGACCAATCAAGCGACCTAAGGCCCAGGGAAGACCAGCACTGGCAAACTCAGAGCTGAAGTAGGAGACGTATTGGAAGATCTTGGCCTTTTCTTCAGGAGTTTGGCCAAGGAGAACACCAGTCTTGTCGAAAGAGGCAACTAAAGAAAAATTAGTAAAAGTTCTAAATAGAGTATAAAAGAAAAAAAATAAGGTTCTTTAACAAAACGAAAGTGTTTCTGCGCAAATTCAGATTTACCATTCTCAACACTATGTTTTAGACAGGGATAACTGTAAAAAAAATTATTCTCATCATTAACAAGCAAAGATTTTCGTTTACTTTCGGAAAAATTTGCTCGGCGTAGAAACCTTTCGCTTTTCAGTCTTAACGACTAACATGTAAAAGACCTTCAAAAGCACGTTTACTTACAATAAAGAGCGATAGCCATGGATTGAGAAAGCTCAAAACCATCTTGACCAACGAAGACGGGAACTTTCTTTGCAGGGAACTTGGCAGCAAGATCAGCTGGGAAAGCGTCAAAGCCAAATTCCTTGCTATCAACCTTGACACCGGCAACGGCGGCAGCAGATAAAACAGCAGTTACGCGAAAAGAGAGTGTGTTTCCGTAAACGGTACCGACAGACATGGTGTTAGTGGTGTGGAAAAGAAGAAAGCGAAAATTTCCTCTAATAAATAAAAATCTGGTGCAAAAGTTGACTAAATTTTAGTTGTTATGACAACGCAAAAAATAGTAAACAAACAGGAAAATTTTCAATAAAAATTAAAAAAAAAAATGCTGTATATGGGAGAAGAGGTAAAATGCAGAATAAACTCATGGTGATGAAATGGTAGCATTATTTGAGCTGTGCGTGACAAAAATCTTGAAAAGAATTGAAAACAAAGGGCTGGTTTTGAAACAAGTCCAAAAAGAGGGTGAATGGATTCATGAAAGCGGTAAATTTTTCTTTTCACTTTTTTAGTTATAAGAGGAAGAAAAAGGGAAACTTGCAAGAAGAATAGCGTTGTATGTGTACAAGTAAAACGAAATTGATATATAAAAAGGGCACTTTAACGCTTGACCCAAGTGTACTTCTTTCTTGCTTTTGGCTGTCCAGTTTTCTTTCGCTCAACCTTTCGCTTGTCATTCTCAACACAACCGGCTTTGCGAAGAACATCTTGTAGGGAAGGCTCGTGAACTTTTAGAGCTTTTGTTAATGCAGCGTGGATAGCTCCGGACTGACCGGTCGGTCCACCTCCACCAACAGTTGCCCAGATGTTGTATTTGGACAGTGTTTGACTAGCCACCAAAGGATATATGACATGCTTTCGATGTACTAAGCGTTGAAAGTATGTAGCCATGGGAGCGCCGTTAACAAAGACTTCTCCAGTCCCAGGAATAACCTTCACAGTTGCTTTACTAGATTTACGTTTTCCTTTTGCCATAGCTATGCCATTTTCGTCAACCGTAAGCTTCTTTTCAGACTGAAGTCCCTCAGCGGAAGGATGAGTAAACCTGTCAATCACTTGTTGAATTGACTCGGTCCTATAAGTAGGAGAAATTTTATTAAGAGCATCAAGGAGTCGAACTATCCTTCTGTAACCAATCCTCGACGTTTTTGGATCCGAAAAGTCTTGCTGGTATTGCTGTAATGATTTCCACTTAATTTGGGGATGTTCTTCAGTATATACTTTCGGAGCGTACTTTAGTAGATTCTCTAAATACAAATAAATCTCATTAAAGCGTGCATTCGATGTAAAATACGATGAGCTTTCCGGTACATGATGAATTCCTCGGAGACCCCATTTTGTAGAAAATGGCAAAGCAACCGGGTATTTAAAAAGTCTCGGGAAACCCCTTATTTGAGTCAATGTTTGAAACATTAGACTAAGCTTTTACAAGTTCAAGTTTGAACGAAAGATGGATCCTGCTCCCGCCAAGTCGTGTGTATGTCGCGTGAAAGGTATGGTCGACAAATACGGAATTCTAGCGAAGTACACTAATATGTAAATAGAAAAGTCTCAAAATGGAAATTTCAAATTGTTTCAATCTGTAAAAACGAAAAAAGGAAGGAGTTTGAAACAGTTTAAATACTGAATGAGTTTTGACTGTCGATAGTTTGATCAAATAATCTACACATTCCAGTAGGAAACTAATTATAATATCCAAAAACTTTCAAATATTGTTATTATAGAACAAGTGAACAGGTTTAACTCAAATGTTTCTTTTTTAAATAAGTCAATAAGTCAAAAGGAGCATAAGAAACACAGAAGATCCTCGTGATTTTGACAAAAGAGAAAAGTTATAAAAGGAGAAGCTTTATACCCGTAAAACTTACACCTCTAGAAAGACTAGACTGTAAAAGCGAGATTTCCAAAAAAGAAAAATGTACCCTAAACCAAACAATAGAGAATTAATATTTGTTCCACGCTAATTTTAATTCACGTTTTCTTCAGCACCTTTACTCGGATTTTTTCTTTTCCTTTTTGTCTTTTTTCTCCTTCTTCTCTTTCTTGTCTTCCTTCTTTTCCTTCTTCTCCTTCTTCTCCTTCTTTTCCTCCTTCTTCCGCCGTTTTTCTTCCTTCTTGGCGGCTTCATCGTCTTCAGATTCGGACTTGCGTTTCTTGGTAGACTCGTCCTTCTTTTCAGCATCGGCCTCTACAGAAGGAGCATGCTCAGGAACAGACTCGGGGACTGGTGTAGGAGCAGCCACCGGGGTAGCGGAAGCAGCAGCAGGAGCAGCGTTAGGATCGTTGTAGTCAACGTAACTCTTTGACCAGTCGGCAGGGGTATTTTCGTTAGCACGGCCATACTTGTCAAGTTTACCCTCTTTCTTCATGCTCTTCTTCTTCATACTTTGAGGTCCAAGACCCCAACGTCTAGGATAAAGATCACGTTCCATGATGCAACGCTTAACCTTGGCAACAACGCCATGATCACAAGTAGAAAGCTCAACAGTAGACATTTGAGCAATACCGACGGCGATAGCTTCACCCTTAGTAGTCATAAGGACAACTTCATCATTCACCTCAATGCCGGATTCATAGCGAAGAAGACCAGGAATCATCAATTTGGCACCGTAGCAAATAGCATTCACAGCGCTGTCTTTGACGACAACACGTTTATAGCCGACGAGGAGAGACTCCAAGGGGCGAATGACACGACGCAAGTAAGACTCATCGCGAGTGTTGTCATAAAGCCATTGAGCATCTAATATATCATGCATAGTAATGATGTCGTCGTTCTCAGACAAACAACCAGAGCGGACACGACGAAGCTCCTGCATATGAGCACCAACACCAAGCAAGAGACCGAGGTGAACACAAAGGGTACGCATATAAGTACCAGCTTCACAACTAGCCCAGAAAATGGCAAGATTTCTGTCTTCGTCAAATTCAATCAAGTTGGATTCGTAAATGCTACGAATACGCAACTGACGCTTGACAGCGGAAATCAAAGGAGGACGCTGGAACAAGGCACCGGTGAGAGTCTCAATAGAAGAAGCAAGCTTGCGCTCGTTCTCAATAGCATCGTGAAGACGCAAAATACAAACGTACTCCTTACCAGCGCTTTGTTGAGATTTTACAAGACGAGTGGCACGATCGTTGCAAATAATCAAGCAGCCAGTGACCTTGGGATCCAAAGTACCACTGTGGCCAGTCTTCTCTACACGAAGAATTTTTTTCACCCAGGCAACAACTTCGTGAGAAGATGGATTAGCTGGTTTATCCAGGTTCATCACACCCGAAGAAACATAGTCAGCAATTGGGCGCTTTAAAGGATTGCTACCACAAGGGATGGGGGTATAATGGCCCGTACGAACAAGAAGCTTGTCGAAGTTTTTCAACAGCAAGGGCCATTCCTCAGTGTTAATTTTGCTAGCCGAGATGGCTTCAGGCTGGATCTTAAATTCAGTATCGGATTTCGATTCTGCCATTTTACTATCGAAACGATGGTAAAATCGAGATTTTTTACTGTAACTGTCCTCTGACCAGCGATGTTGGCAGGCGTCAGAAAATATTTCGCCGTTGTAAGGTCGTGACTACCAAGATTTTCGCAAACTCATTATACCTCACTATACAAAGATTTAGAAATTCGCTTTCCTGTGGAATGTGGTTTTACGAAACTGTGCAAAAATCTAATCCTGCGGTAGTAAATAAACAAGCTCGTTTGGAGAATGTGATATCTAAAATGGAACAGGTATATCTGTCTCTAGTTTAAATATTACAACAACCTGCTTACTTCTGTTATTGAACAAAAATAAAAGAGTGAGAATACGATGCTTTACGACTTGCCTGGAAAACGTTAATAATGCGTCCCTCACGAAAGTACTGCAAGGTGCTTTTTATAATCTCATACGATTCATTTCTAAATTAAGAATATTTTATCAATATCATTCAGTTGCTTAATGAAATAACGCTGACATGATTGTTCCTGACATTTATTTATGACAGTTTCATATTTACTTTCCCTTAGCATGAACCCGCTCTTGAAGTGTTTCTTCTTGTTCGTATTGACTTTCTATTCTTTCAACAGTCCCATTTCCTAATTATTATATCGAAGATTGCTTATACCTACTCAATTTGATGCATGTAGCATAGGAGAAATGCCCTTGAAGGACCTCGGTGAAAGGATTTCGCCAGTTTCTATGTATTCATAGTATATTTCACCTTTATGAATCTCATTCTTTTTGCTTTTATCCTTGTAAACAAAAGAGTAACTCTACGTGTATTTGTTTACAACCTGTCATATATGTTACCTTAGCTACTTTGTGCGTTTAGGTCACCTTTGGTACCCTGCTCTTGACTAGTACCAAACATACTGCTTCCCTCTAAACAAGAAAAGCTGGAAGTTTAACGTATCTAAACGGCTTGTAAGAGCATCTCTTTAAGATTTAGTTTATTATCGCGTTTTCTAGACCCAGAAAGCTGAAATATAATCGGAACAAGTAGACTAATAGAAAGATGGCTCCTTCAAAAGAACAGTTGGATGAAATGAAAGAGGCCTTTACACTCTATGATATAGACAGAGATGGACTTATTCCCACAAGTCATGTTGGCTCTGTTTTAAGAAGCTTGGGCATTAATGTTTCAGATGCCGAATTAACAAAGTTATCCAACGAACTTGGTGATGCTATAGATGGAAAAAAGTTTATGAATTTTGCTACTAGTAAATTAAACGAAACAGAATCCGAGGAAGAGTTTGTGAAAGCTTTTACCGTCTTTGACAAAGACAATAGCGGTTACATCGAAACAGCCAAATTTGCTGAGTATATGATGACCTTGGGAGAAAAATTACCGGAGCATGAAGTCCAAATGATGGTTCAAGAAGCTGATCCTACCAATTCAGGAACTTTCAATTACCATGAATTCGTTCAACGAATTATGGCCAAGTAAAAAAAAGATATAAAAGTCCCCTGGTGTGTGTCTCTGATATAGGTACCATTGATTGTATTCTTTTTTCACTTATTCCTTCTTTATGAAGCTGTCTTTTGACTCTTCGGTGTGCAATTGACTACATATCTATATGAATTATGACCTTTTTTTTTTAATGCTATGTGTCCCTTTGCTTTTATTATTCGTAATAAATTATACTTAAGTAAGAGCCTTTTTCTTTCCTTGAAATATATACTGCCCATAGATGATCAGATTTTTTTTTTTCGTTTTTTTTTTTTTATTTTCCAGGCGAACTCGTAAATCCTGTATAGAAATCATTAAACAACACAGGAGTTTAGTAGTTCATAAACTAAAAATAGACAATTTTTTATTACAAAAAGAAATATCCCGGTCTTTACGAATCGCCTTCTGAATTTGCAGCTTCGCGTTTTCTTTTCAGATATCGTTCCCGAGCAGACAAGACTTGCTCTTGTGTTGTTGTCTTCGGCGTATGAGTTTTCAGTGCAATTTCTCTTTTCTTTTCTTCTTCTTTTGCCTTCTTTATCCTCTGTTCCTCTTCATATTTTCGTTTTTGTTCTTCCACTTGCTCCAGAGAATAGATATCCTTAGACCCTCTGTGATTATACCTGCCCCTTTTCGTTTCACCTTGTTCTCGGCGTGAACCATTCGAAGGAGGACGAGAAGCTGGCAAAGACGATTTCGTAGAAGGAGGTTTTGGGACATTCAAGCCCGCTGAAAGTACTTGTTTTTGATCAATAAGCTCGTTATTATCGTTTAATTCGAGGGATTCATTTGCTTTATAACTTTCATGGAAAGCCTTCTCGCCGGCTTTCTCTTCATTATCATTACGTTGTTGGCTAATCGGTTTTGCAATGGTGCTTTGCATCGCTTTTTCATGCTCCTTCTCTTGTCGTTCGAGCATAGTAGCATAAAAGTCTTTCATACCACCACCACGGGAATTTTGAGCCTCCAGTTCTTCTTCCTCCCTTTTTTTATCCTCAACTTCTCTTTCCACTTCTTCACGATGCGACTTATAACTGCTGGTAACAAATTTTTCAGCCCCATCATCACCTTCTAACTCTCGTTGTTTTTGCAGTGCTCGCTCACGAGCAATTAGTATATCTCTTTTTCTGGTTTTAGCAGACTCTATGAGTTTTTCCATATACTTTGGGCGTCGCTCTTGAGCTTCCTGTCGCCTCAATTCCTGTTGTTCTCGCTCAGCACTCTTCATAGAATCATAATATTCATCGTAACCGTAAACTGATTGAAGATTAGTAAATTTAGAAAAAGAAGACTTGTATATACCAGAAGCATCGTTCTCCGTAGTTTCTTTCCACACAGGCTCCTCTACTGGTATTGATTGAACAGCCTGAATGCTAGAGGGCTGCGTAGCCTCTTCTTCAGATGAATCTTCTGCCTCATCTAAAAAATTTATTCTAGCGTTTTTGTTTTCCTGACTGGGTTTTTTCATTATATTCAGCCCATAATGAAAGCCTGACTGTGACATATTGTAACGAATCAAAAATAAAAGTTCGTAGACCTTGTTTTATGTGATAATTAAATCTTTTTAATTAAAAAAATAAACATCCAGAAAGAGAAATTGGATAGAACTGCCTAATTGATAGCTTTAAGAAATTCGTATGCTGAAGTTGTACGGCAAGAGAAACCCATATTTAACGTTTCCAAAAGAGTCGAGCTTTTGCAGTTCAATTTGCCTCATCCTTCAAATTTTTTTATAAATACTCTTCAATTTAAAAGGCTCTATTAACATTCGTAGCCAAATTTTGGTCTTATATGAAGTGAAAGAAGCTTCATTCTCAAATTGCGTTTTTTTCATCCAATACATCCAAAAGATCCTTCTCGGTTCAATATGTCTACAGAAAGCTTCCAAAGACGACTCACTGAACATACAAATACTCTCAATGCTTCCATAGACGGTGCTACACAAACGCTTCTGTCTCGATTTCAGGATATTGCAGATATAGCAATGAACCAAAGAAAGGATAAACACACAGTATCATCAGAAGTATATCAAATTGAGTGTCATACTCTTTCAATGATCCGTGCTGTCGAACAACTATTGGATATCTCAAGACAATTAAAGTCGTTCTGGTTATGCAATTCTTCACCCACTACCGTCCCAAGTTTGTCTTATAACGAAACAGACTTAGTGGGATTAAGAACAAAACTGACTTCACTTCAAAACATTGGACTCGATGTGAAAAATTCCCTGGTTAACAATACAGCCGAATCTAATGAGAAGAATGCAGACATTACGAGTTAAAAGGTTGTTCCTGAATGTCTTATTTGTTTTTCACTTTATTGTATAGAAATGTTTTTCCTTGAACTTAACTACAGGTTTAATTTTGTTATACTAACACGGTTTGGATGACTTGCAGTCTCTATGTGGTATTTATTATAGAGGCCATATTAATTAATACTTATTCCAAAAGACAAACAGAACCTTGATTTGTAGAATAGACTAGCTTGTGTGGATCTTCCATCCAAGCTAATTTAGAAACCAAAGAAGCCTCAACCTTGCTCACCAGGTTCCAAGACTTGGAGGCTTTAACAAATGAATGAATGTACAAATACTTGTCATCTGAAGAGGCCATAAGTTGGCAAGTTACATCCAATGCAGCTGTGGTCGTACTGGCGTCTGTCGGGACCATATGAACTAACTTGGATTTTCCTAAGTGCCAAATGGAGATTCCGTTTTCATTTGCTGCTGTCACAGCCAGCCAATAGCCATTTTCGCCAAATTGCAGGGATTGAATCGAACCATCTTGGGGACCAAATTTTGCTGCTTCAGCACCACTCACTGTCTCAAAGAACCGAATCTCACCGTTTTCTAAACCAACAGCAAAAATATGTCCATCTGGGTGAAAAGAAAGCGCAGTAATCTTAGACGGGATATTAAGAGAATAGACACTTGCTTTCATAGAATATAAAGTACAGGTCGTATCCGTAGATGCAACGATGTACTTTCCACTTGGATGAGCAGATAATAACATTACGGTTTCATTTTCGACAGGGATTGAAAATGAAGGTTCGGAGATCGATTCAATATCTGAAGGAACATCATAAACTTCAATCATCTTCGTATCAAAATTCATAAGAGCAATTTTAGAAACATCTAACCAGCAACATGTAGATATAGACGAATCAAAGGATTTTAGGGGCTTGTTTGAAAAACATTCAACTAGAGTAACCCGATTATCAACCAAGCAAAGAGAAACGCCTGCACCACCAGGTCGTGGGATTAATAAAGAATTAACGTCCTTTTCAGCAGAAGGTAAAACGGGAACCGGCGAACTATTTGCAAGTTTTTCAAGAGCCTCTGGGGTTGCCCAAGCAGGCTGTAATTTTGTTTGTTTTCTTTTTGTGGAAAGTTGCTTAAGGGTTTCGTCGACCGTAGTTTGCAAGGTTGCTTTTGTATCGTCGTTACCATCCTTCATTTCTACATCAGGGTTTTCAGCTTGCGATTGAGAGAGAGAAGAAATATTGTCAGAGAATTTTGCCAATGCTTCTCTGGCCTCATCGCGTTCCTTCGTAAGCCGAGAAATCACTCTAAAAGCAGCATCTAACGAATAAAGGGACGTCGAGAGTTCTTGTTTTGTTTCGCTCAATTTTTTCCGTAAATCAAACTGTTCCAGCGCTAAAGCATCCCATTCTTCCTGGAACAGGGAAAGTAAGGCTGGCAATGAAGTCGCGGAAGGAGGACGAGGTTTAACAAATTCGGGTACTAAAGGGAGAGTTAGTAATCATCTCTTTGAAGCTGTAAAAGAAAATCAAAAGGGAAACTAATAGAAAAATAATGATTAACTTGAGGGCATCTTTTCCAAAGTAGACGAATAAAAGTCTTGAGTTCAAGACGTCAACGACATTTTTCCAAAGACAATCCCTCCTTGTTTTTCATGCAAGGTATAAACACAGAACGCATCTGATGTATTATTTCACCATTCAGCGTTTTCCTCCAGCATTTCCACCTTCCTACTTCAAATCCATAATATTGCAAGTCATACCCTTTACAGGAACCAAATCTTCTAGCGTACACTCTTGCTGAGTGACAGGATCCTTGGAAGTTTCGTTTATTGCTTGTTCTATTAAGCGTCGTTCATATATGTTTCCTACAAAACGCGTTAGAGAAATTACGCTGGCAGGTTTCTCTTACCGCTAACCCGTGAAACAACCGGTTCTTTCGGCGTTTCTCCACTGATTGAACAAAACATCCGGCTCAAAAACAGTTTCGTTCTGTGCAAAGTATCTTTTTAGTGTCAAGGATTGTATTCAACGAGTTAGAGCGATGTCGATAAATATAGTGTATTTCTCGATGGTAGAATCTGTAAAAGCGTTCTAAAGAAAGAATGCTATTAATCACTAAATATATAACCATTGAGGGCGGTAAAGAAGATAGCGAAAAGCAAAGACAGTTAAGGAGTAATGCATCTGGGTAGATTTTTAATCATTTTATGTATTTACCATTAGCATATCACAGAGTATTAATAAACTAGGGACATAAAGGAAAAGGATTTATCGGAGGCTGAAAAACTAGTGAATAAGGATTAAGAATGGATAATACGGCTTTGTTGACACGCGGTGGTAACGTCTACGATAAAAAACGCGGACGTAAGCAACACCAGGAAGAAATTATTTTTGACAAGGAGCAAAGAAAGTAAGCTTCTCCATATGATTATAGGATTGAATGGTGATTAACGCGCATTAGGGAATTTTTGACTGGGTTTCACAAGCGAAAAGTAGAGCGTCAAAAGCATGCACAAGCTATGACAGAAAAACAACAACGAGAAGAGAAACGTGAAATGCGAAAATTGGTAAGACAAACGAATTGCTTTTGAACCAATTCCTGTCGAATTACTATTAACATGTGGTTTTCTTTGTAGGTCCGAGAGCAGAGGAAAAAGCAATTGGAAGAGCGAATTCAACTTTCCAGAGAATTAATGGGGACAATGGAAAAACCTGGTTCTGAAGATGAAGGTTCAGACGGTGCTGAAACTGAAGAAAAGGTCGTAATAGAAGATGACGATGAACCTCATACGCGTGAATATGAAGATGAAGATAAGCATGTTTCCGTTACCATTACAGAAGATGATGAGAATGATGGTCCAGATGAAGAGGAACTGGCAGATGGATTCAGTACTCCGCAAAATGATCCACCACCAAGTGTGCCAATTCGTCCTCACAAACAAAAGCAAGGGAAAAATAGGTTTCGTTATGAATCAAAAGAAGATAGGAGGTTGAACCAGAAAAAATCTAAAATCCAAAAGCTGAAACATGCCGTCCGTCACCGTCATTAATGTGCATCACAATCCTTTCTCTCTCAACAGAACGAATTAATTTGGTAGTTTGAGCAGCCATTGGATATTTTTATTAATATTAGAAGCAACAATTCGGTACTTGCGTTAGTAAGCGAACATGAAATCATGCTTTTATAAATACTTCTCAGTAAACCGAAAGTAAATGTTGTAGAGTCATCTTCCAAATGGGGTTTATTCTCTTCAGTCAAGACGAATCATTTCAGAATCGAAGATGAGCGAGTAGCTTTTACCAATCTCCATTTTCTTTGAATCCTCAAGAGTTCTCATTGGGGAAAACGTTTCTTTCAATCTTCCTTTTCTATTCACTTTTCATTGTATTCTTACAACACTGTTTCTTCTACCCATAGCATATAAACATTTTCCACCTCTCTAAAGAGTCTCACCCTTCCTCCTCAGCAAAGCAAACTTGGCAACCACATAACCTTCTAAATACGAGGATTTAGCTTTGCTGGTTCTATAGGCTTCTAATTTCTTCGATCATGACTCTGCAATAGAGCATGTCTTCACCTTTGAAAAAACTGAACCACGCAGTATCGCATAGACGTGATTTCAGAAAAACTCGCGGGCGAGATGAAGGCAGGTCCCTTTACGTGAAACAGTATGAGCGGTACCTGGACGTTTTACAAAAATATATCAATGAAATTAATAGAAAAGATGTTGTAGATTCGGAAGAAGCCGAATGGGGAAATTTAGAAGGTTCTTTCGTGGGTAATACTTTTTGGACTACAGATGAAAAACATTCCTTTTTTGAAGGACTTGCAAGGTGTGGAAAAAAAAAATGCGGAAAGGGTTTCTTTATGGATTGGTAGCAAAAGCCCTTCGCATGTTCAGCATTACATTGACGCTTTGGACACAGAATTACGCTGGCTGAAAAATCACGTTGATTCTTCTACTCGGAGCCGATGCCTAATCAAGTACGAAGATATTCCTGCTTCATCTGAAATGAGTTCTGAATGGGTTGAATGGGAGGAATATTGCTCTCAACGACTTATTAGCGCTTTAAATAAAATAAGCTCTGAGAATGAGATAAAGGAGTCCTCCATCAACCTTGAAGCAAATGGAAGATCAGAAAGCGAGTCGTTAAAGCCAGAAGTCTTGTTTAACGTTCCTATGATGGAAAAACTATGCTCTCAATTCTATTATAATGAAATGTCTGAGCTTGACAGTGAAGAGAAAAAACCAACTTATTATACCTCGTTGGTTTTACAGGAACTTCTAAACGTAGTGAAGCAGAAGACAAAAGAGTTGGTTTTAAATTCAGCTTTTTTGGCTGAGCTTCGGTTTGGAAAACTGGAGTCAAGCGCTGTGTTTCATCGAAATGCATCTATTCGTTACCGAGACGTGGAGCTGTCAGCAAGATTATCTCAATTTGATCGGTTCAATATTCCTGGGTTTTGGAAATATCTTCCTTTTCGACAAAAGCTACGAGTTCTTAAGCAGAACAAAAGGTTGAAACCGCAAACTTTCATCGAAATTTTGTCCAGAGATGAGGAGTTTATCCGCCATCGCCAAGGAAGAGCACGCTTGAGGAAAAAGCATGATTTGAATATGGAAGAACAGTTATCATCCAATAGTAAAGACTCTTCCTCGGTTGACTGGGAATCCGTGGTGCCTCCTACCCCTCCTGAAGCAAGTTCTGATTCCGTTGATGATGCTTCTGCTAATACGGAGAGCTATACGAGTATGCCTGATAGCACTGACAGTCCTGCTGAAGAAGACGAGGAAGACGACATCAATATGTATGATAGAGTACAGTCTAGAGCACACGAAAAGTCCCTTATAAACTATGTGATAAGTAAAGAAACCGAACCTTTGAGTGAAGAATGCGAGCAGATCGCTTTGCTTGAATTAGCTGTTCAAAGAGAACTTACTAGAAAGGTAAGTACAAGCGATGATACTGTTCATGATCCGTCGTCTAGCTATCCGCATAGCTCGCATACTGTCGATGAAGAATCCGATTCTGACGACGATGTTCAACCAATTTGCTATTACTATAAAAATCCTATTCCGACGGAGTCAATATCCGAGGATGTTGAAAATTTACAAAAACAGTACGTTGGTTTAATATCCTATGACATGGATTCCCTTCAGGAACGTATGGATCCTCATGGTTTATTAGCTCAGCCAGTGTCCTCGTGGGAGTATTCCTTTCCATCTGAGTCTGATGAAAACAGCGAAGAAGCAAATGCCATTCCTGAATCATAAATAAAACTCTAATCCTATAGTGTCTCTTTGAAATGCATTTCTTAAAATGCAATTTTTCTTTGAAACCCCTAATCCCTTGTTTTTTGGTAACCGTGTCTCGGTATTCCTTTATGCTCTGTCCTCCTTCCCTTGTAGAACATTCTTATTATTGTTGTTAATTAATTTTTTTATTTTGTATTTTTGGTTTTCATATACATCAAACAAAATCGCTCCTTCTATACAGATACGAAGGCTTTTTTCGATAGTTTCTTAAGACAATGAAATGCCTCCCCATTCAATTTCTTTTGGCTTTTTATTTAACCGTTATTCAATTCTATTTTCAGCCTACTTTCTTTTTTTACCAAGAAAAAATTAGGTTTAGCATAGCGAGCTAAAAGACACTGTAGGGTATGCTATGGTAGAGTATAATGTCATAAGACCAACATGCATTACCAAGATACCATGATGTCTTTTGATTTACTAACTACACCCACCATCATTTTTTGATTGTATACGAGTGTATGAGAGTATAACTCGGTTGGTATAATAAAGAACGGATTTCAATGGAAGCCTAAAACACATATTGTTTTATTAGCGTCTTTCGATTGGTTATAGTAGGGTTATAGGTTCCTATCATTTGATGAAGTTTGTTATTCTTTGATACGTTCAAAAGAAGAATCTGAAGATGGGGTTTAGGAAAAACTTATCGTTGGCAAAAGGAGGTAGTTGTTGTACTCGTTGTGGGCGTAGTTTCCAACGGAAAGAAACACCGATTTCGTTTGGAGGGAGACTTTGGCATAATAGCTGTTTTACGTGTGCAAAATGTTTGAATAATCTAGATCAAAGTAATCAATTGCTAATTCAAACATCCGATGGAAGACCTGTTTGCAGCGAATGCTCGCACACCTGCACAATTTGTCAAAGGCCGATTGAAGATTACGCCCTTATGAACGGGTTTGACTCGTATCATCGAGACTGTTTTCAGTGCTTGAATTGCAAAAAAACAATCAATAATTCAGAATTTGTGAAAGATGGCCGATCTGTGTATTGCAGTGACTGCAGCAGTCAAAACTGTTCTTTTATGCCACCCACAGAAAATGGAACCTTACGTGCAATAAGAAGTGATTTGTCCACGAAGCATTCCGAAATAGCTTCTTCGCACGACTCTAATCAATCCTTTAACCTGGAAGTGGTATCACCTTCCAAGTCAAGGTCCTTGACTCCCGAAAAAGGATTCAGTGAAGGTGTGCCCACTGTTAATAATGATTCTCAATATCAAGTTCAGCAAAGCATTTCTACCAATTCTCACTTTCACTCTCCTGACTCCTTATTTTCAACCACGAAAAACGAAAGTTCAACTTCGTTTAATAGCTTTAGTTCACCTGTCAAAGTTGATGGTCAATTAGATGCTCCTTCTCCGTCCGTTTCTCTTTTCCAAAAACCTCTCATAACTACAAATGATAAAACTCTTACCGCACATAATCCTCCAGAAAGGAAATCCTCCTCTCCTTTTAAAACAATTTCTTCTTCTAGCAGAAAGCCTTCTGAAGATTATTTGAATGACTTTGGGTTTTTCCCTCATCAAAGACAACCTTTTTATACTGCACGTCTTAACAGATCACATTCTAATAATAACATTCGTTCTTTACGTGAATCACAGAGCAATTCTCCTCATCAATCGTTTCTATCTCCTCATGATTATCCTAATGTTTTTCGAACTTTAAGTCCAAAATCGCAAGCTCACCGCAAATCATCTTCTCAACCTGCAAACATCTACGGACTCTCTCACTTTGTGTCCTCTCCTGAGGCAATTCCTTCTGATAAGGATGAACGTAGAAAGTTTAGTGAGCAGCATCATTCTCGTTCAGATTCGTCACAACCTACTCTCGTTTCCCCTTCTGATGTTCCCTTAGAGGCCAAAGCGTCTACAACAAACAAGAATGCCTCCTCTTCTTCCGATATTGCCAGTCTTTTCGAAAACTACAAGGTTGACATGGAAGCTTTAAAATTACAAATCAACAAACTCACACATTTAACGGAATCCATTTCGTCAAGGTCAATGGGTTCTGGATCCGAGAGCTCGTTAAATTTGACTGAGAATAGAGATGCTATACGTACCCAAAAGCTAGAAGTTTGTGAAAGATTTTTTTCATTTGGTGATGTTGCCGATGATCCTATTCTAAAGGACCCTCTTCATCAAAGCTTGGTAGGTGCAGCGGATGCTTACATGAAAATGCTTCGTGATAACTATTTTCAAGAAATTACAAACTTATTAGAACGACGGAATGAGCTCCTTCAGGACTATTCTAATGCCCAAAAGTTACTTAACGAGTCATTGGAAGCGTCAGTTCACTTAAATGCCAAAAACCTGGAATTAGCTGACTTGAATAATAATTTGGCAAGTCAGATCCAGCAAAGAAAAGAGTTGATGGAAAGCCAATCCTCGCAAAATAGACTGTTTATAGACACAAAATCTTTGAAGCCTCTTTCTTCTGATTCTGCAATCGATAATCAAAGTTCTTACCAGCCTTCGACTTCTCCTTTGCAAGCAAGTTTTAATAAACTTGAATTACGTGGATTAAAATTGCTAAACACCGGAAAGGCTAATAATCGAAAAAGTCCCTTTAAATCATTTCATGCAAAATCTAAGTCTGCTGATCCTGTTATTTTAGACGAAAAGCCAGTGTGTCATCATGTATTTCAGGTCAATGCTATATTTAAGCCGTCTCGCTGCTTTATCTGTTCAGAAACAATATGGGGTTCAGAAGTGCGCTGCATGAAATGTTCTGTGGCTTGCCATTCTCGCTGTTTAAAGAAGGTTTATTCCGGGAACGAAGAGTTGAAGTTATTTTCGGATGAAGATGTAGAGACTAATGATAACGCTCCAGAAATGCCGATCAGAGTACCACCTCCCGAGCCTTCTCCTTTTATGTTTGGTAGACCATTAGAGATCCAAGCAAAGATTGAAAAACAGGCTATTCCTAAAGTTGTCCAGATGTGTGCAGATTGTGTCGACGCTCATGGATTACATATTGAAGGTATATATCGCATCTCTGGAAGTGCTTCTCAAGTTCGTTCGTTTATTGAAATGTTTGAACAAAGCAATATACAAACAGAAACACTAGCTTCTGACATTACCGCTTGTACCTCTGTTTTAAAAACTTATCTACATAAACTTCCTACCCCATTAATTCCCGAAGAACATTATAGGAAGCTACTGAAGGCTGAGGAATTTGACAAAGGTTTTGCGAAGAAAGAAATGGTTAAACAGGTTTTGCAAGAGCTTCCTAGTGAACACCTTAGCGTCTTCCAGTATCTACTCCAGCACCTTTTACGCGTTGCTCATAATGCAGACAAAAATTTAATGACTATGAAAAATCTTGCTACTGTTTTCGCTCCAACTCTCATGAGAGAGACAGATATTCAACTCAATTTGAAGAATGTCAATAAACGAAGTGAGATTCTGAAATATGTATTGGAAAACTATGAAATGATTTTTACTGACTATAAAACCTACAACATACCCTCTAATGAACAAACATCATTGTGAACATGTTTCGTTACTGCGAAATGTTTATTAATATATGCGTCTTTTTCTTTTCTTTAATGATTTGAAGGAAGGTCGGAATATAATTTATACGTTATAAAAAGTTAATTCATTAATTCATAATTAGCAAAATGAATTGGTGTTCCTCAGAATAACAAAACCTTACACGATTTCGACGGACACTAAAGATAATCTGCGCTGGTCAGTTTCGTCCAAAAATTGCTTTTCATTTTAAAATATACTACCTAACAAACTTAGATCGCGATCAGTGTATGGATCCTTAGAGTCCTTCTGATCTTCTCTCTCGGTGTCTTTTGCAGACTGGCCTTGTTGATTTTGTGTTTGTCGAGGCTTTCTCGAAAAAATGCTTCCCAATGCGTCAAACGAAAGAAGACGTAATCGTCCACCTTGATTATTCGTGTCCTTTTTTGTTGTTTTCGATGTTTGAGACGATTCATCATCAATTTCGTCAATCAAATTTTCATTTTGATCATAAGTTTCGTATTCATCGTCGTCAACTAGAGGCCCAGCTTCTGGGTATTCATTCAAATACTCGTTGAAACTGTGGACCCTTGATGAAGACCGGCTGCTTTTTAAGGGCCCTTGTTTGCCAACTCGGGATTCCTCAGTGTGAAAGAATCGATCCATTAATTGTATATAAGGGAAAATAAAAAATGCTTTGAAGATGCACTACTGTATCGCATAGCAGCTATATTTATGCCTATCGTGGCCAACTTGGTAACTACATATTCTCTTGACACTTTGTTTAAAGATGAGGAATTTTGATAGATTGTGATTTCCAGAATCAGTTCGATCGTCATTTATTACAGTCTTGTGGCACTATGGCTCAATACTATAGCACATTATTGTTTTTGGTGCAAAGATTACGTGTTCACGAACTAAAAATTTACGTGTAAAATTATACTTAAACATTTATACAAAGTGTCACCCATTCATCTTGAATTTTTGTATAAATGGCTAAAACCGTGTTTGTTTATGTTGGCTATAATTTTGCTAGTCTTCTCTGGGGTAAAAGTCACTTGTATCATGATGCGGTCACGGTGATGTCAATGGCCAATAAATAAAATAAGCGCCTTCGGTTCTCTCGTTATCAGGTTTCATTCGTCTAACTCCTGATTCGTTAGGTTACTTGCTTGAGGTAACTTTACGTTTGTTTCTAGTTGTTGAACTAAGTGTGCTAGATCTTGCTTTGAAAAGCAAGGACTGTAACGTATGCCCATGGAATGCTTTATGGTTTGTTATATAACAAATCATTGATGAATTCTGCTTATTAGACGACGGTAGGCAACGTTGCTACCATTTTATCTAATGGTTCATAGCCGGGTGCAGTTCCTTTACAATAATTATGTTTCAATCACATTGCTAATTATCGAGAGAAATAACAGTTCTTTCATTGCCTGATTTTTTTCAAACATTGATAACTGTAGGATTCGAATCACAATTGTCTCACTTTCCATCACTGCGATTTGTAATAGGTTGGACGTGCCTATTCTTACATATGGAATCACATATTATGACAACTTGTGGACTGCAGATCGGTCTTCGTCATGGCTTATAGAATTAGCGTGAAATTTGCGACTTTTCGAACAGTAATGTATTGTAGTGACCGGTTACGATTGAATGCACATTCAAAACCATGATCATCCAAGGACGATTCTATCGAAAGTGAAACGATTTTCGCGAATCTCATAGCGCACCAAACTTTTATCCTTTACATCTTGTCAATGAGGGATGCCGAAAGTTAGTCTAGTAAATACTAAAGATGATCTTTAGAGGTGACCTGTGAAACTTAAGGTATGAGATAATGATTTATACCGAATTGATACTATATTCCTTCATGGGAACACTGATCATTCTCGATCTCAACCCGGTATCATTAGTGATAGAAATCCTGCTTTAATTTCAACATAAAGGTCAGCTACATGGACGAAACCGATGATGCATAGTGGATGACTACGATGGGAATACAGAAGAGTGCGACGTTTGAAAGCTCACCACAGTAATATAAACATTTTCTTTTCCCTCCAAATTGAATGTTAGGTCTAATGTCTTGATGATCCATTGCTCCTTTTTTGTAGCTATGATTTTGTTCATCGAATATTTGGAAATCATTTTGCCAACGCAGCTGCAATCTTTACTTATAGAGTATGCTTTTTGAAGAGAAAGAATGTTTTAACCCATACTTGGAAAAATCTATTCAGGATGCGAATCCTAGGATGAAAAGGAAGTCACCGTACCAAAGTATAGAAGCCGAAAATGATTTTTGATTATGGGAATAGTTGTATCGGTGTCTGTCAGCTTGTTGCTTGCCAAGGTGAATGCTCAGTGATCGCCAATGCTCTTTTCCTCCCCTTCTACTTAGAAACATTTGAAGCGATCTTTTCCATGGGGCCCTCATTCAAAACCAGAATTTGAATAGAAAGACATGAATGGGCTTATATAGTCTTTTTGGAGCAGTTAAACTATAAATGTTTGTGATTACTATGTATATCCAAAACAAAAATTGAATAAGGACTTTGGCCGTAACAACGTTCCTGTAAATATTCTATAAACTTTGAAGTGCGTTCATACGCAGAAAAATGATTAGATTTTGAGCTATTTTTTAATTGACTTTTGACCTGTACATACGCTTCAATAGAATAACTTGGTATTATAGAAACCACTTTCTAGTATGGTGTATATTAAGAATTCTTTTCTGCTTATTTTTTTTCTTCTAAAAAAAAAAAAAGAAAATCAAGAGATGAACCAAAATTCGTTTCCTTGCTAAAATAGTACTCTCCATGATATTAATGTATGCCTACCGATCATGAACAAGCAGCAGAAGTCCTTTTTAGAATAGCCTTCTTAGTGGAAGATGCTAATTTCCTGTAAAACATTTGAAGTGAATTCGTTCTTTTATATTTCAAGTTTTTCTAATTTAATTATATAATTTAATTTTGATTTTCTGCCGTACAACTTGTTTAGAATCGAATGAGGAACGACTGCTAGAAAACACATTATGACTACCGAAGCTTCAGAAAACCATCTATCTTTTATTCTATCTGACGCTGCTTTTCCCCTCTCTTCTTTTTCATATTCATTTGGTCTGGAGTCGTACTTGTCGCATCAACCCCAAAGAACTACTAGTGCATTTTTCGATTTTCTGCCATTGTCACTAAATTCACTGTTGTACACAAATATGCCAACGGTTAAAGAAACATGGGAGAATCCGGAAGACTACCGGAATAAAGAGACCTTTTTTGAAAGCACCCAGACTTGTACTATCGGACAGAAGGTATCGACCATGCAAGGTAAAGCTTTACTGGGGGTGTGGACAAAATCGTTTTCTGCCTATGTAGCTTCTAATAAAGAAGCAAAGCTATTGACGGATTACGATTATTTGGTCCGACATGGAAAGGCACTCGGCCACTTTCCAGTGGTTTGGGGTATGCTATGCAGAACACTTGGAATTTCTTTAGAAAGAACATGTTATTTATATCTATTAAATCATGCAAAATCTATATGCTCCGCTGCTGTTCGACTAGACGTATTAAGTTCTTTCCAGTATGTGTCCACTCTAGTACACCCCCAAACCGAAACACTTTTGCAAGAGTCATTAAACGTTGCATTACGTCTACAATTAGAAGATACAGCCCAATCTTGGTATCCATTAGACCTATGGCAGGGGAGACACAGTCTGTTATATAGTAGAATCTTTAACAGCTGAATACTCCTCATCAAAACTTGAATAGATAATTGATGCAAATGCCCTTGTATGAGAGTCATGAGAAACAGATTCAAAAAAGCTTTCCTTGATAGGCAATTCGGTAATTGTGTTATTGAATTTTGTAAAGAAGCTTAGCATTTTGGCTAATCTGAATCCCTCTTCCGAACCAGAAGGAAGGAAAGTCTTTAGATGAGATAATAATAATTGTATCTGGTGGGAAATAATGATTTTGGCATCAGTTTCTGTTATAAAATCTTCAAGTTCATCCAGCAATTGCAAGATGCCACCGGTGACAACATATTTCTTTGATATTTCAGCAAGAATCTCTTCACGATCTTTAGAAAACTGAAATGAGTAATATAGAGACAAATCACTGACTGCCCCTTCTAATAAAGCATAGACATCGTCTGTTTTCATAATGTCTGTAGGAGAAATACTATACGTATGTGAGCTTTTTGCATTCGATTAAATTGCATACCTTTCAAATAATCTATGGACTGAAGAAGAAACCTGTTCAACCAAAAAGGGAAGTTGCTTTTTTACCAAAATGTAAACAATTCCCATAAGAATGGCAGGATCTTCCACAGAATCTTCCCTAAAAGTATTATTATTAAAGGTTGCATCATATTTTCTAGAAGCATTTAAGCAAAAGTTCTTGCGTCCCAAGATCGTCAGAGAGGTCTTCGTCAGGACATTGCATTCTGCCATCACAGATAAAGTCGTCAAAAGTCGTACAACGGACTGTAACTTTAGCTCATTCCAAAGGGAAAGCTTCTCTTCTCCATCTTGGTCAGAGGAGCGAGACTTCCTGAGTTTTTGAACAATTAAATGGAGTGGAAGCTGATCCTCAATTTCATTAGCTATGGCATTGAAAACAAAACATGAGCTACTTTGACCATCCGACAGAGCTTTTTGAAAACTTTGACTGTATCTGAACAAAAAAATTAGTAAAAGTAAACCAATGCCCTTCCATGGACACATACAAGAGTTGCAATTCGCGTTGCTCAGTAAACCTGGAGATAGCTGCTCTTAAACTTGAATCTGCATAAAATAAAGCGAGTACTGGAATGGATGTGCCTAAAGCAAAATTATAGCACTTTCTTATGTACCTAGAAAGTGACATAAAGGAAGCAAGTGTTATGAGTTTCTGCTATAAGTTCAGGATCAGCAAGCTCAATGGAAAAATAGTATCGCTTTGTCAAAAAAGAAATATTTTTTAGAGCTTTCAATCTAATTTCTCGTAGATCGTTCGAGCTGGGCCCTAATCCTATTATGTCTAAGGGATTTCACCAAAAGAAAGATAATTTAAAAACGATGAACGCTTTTCAGTACCAGCTTATAAAAACCTTTTTCCTTATGGAATTTATTCTACGGAAAACACTGGAAAAGAACGACTACGAGATTTGTATGTTTCTTGGTAAATGGCGACTTCTGAGGAAAACAGCTGTATCGAAAAGTACTGGAACTATTACAAAGCTACATTCAAAACTATTATTTGTTACAAACTACACTACTAATAGTCACCATCTAGTCGTATAAACGCTAGAAATGCACCAAAGGATAATAGCAGAAATTTTCTTTTTATTGTTTTGACGAATATATAAAGAACAAAAAAAACAAAATTTTTCCATATGCCAATGCAAAATGCAAAACAAGTTGTCACTCAGCTTGGACTTCTACCTTGGCTTCCAGTAGTTGACCTTACCAACAACACCCTACATTGTAGGCTTTTCTTTAAGCGAGACATTTCCGTTTCTTGTAAGGAATAGAATTTAAAGAAGGAAAAACTAACAAAGTAAAAGTGTATACGAAGGGATTCATTGCTGAGAAATCCGAACTGTGAAGCATTGTAATATTTGGTTAAGTTTGGAAGCTACGGAAAACTATCTAGAAGAAGATGTTGGACATCAATTTGTTTCAGGTGGAAAAGGGAGGAAACCCAGATCTAATCCGCGAATCTCAAAGAAAGCGCGGTGCTGATGTTGGTGTCGTGGACCGTGTTATTGAAATGTACAAGGAATGGGTCTCTCTTCGTTTTGAGCTCGACAATACCAACAAGTCTATGAATCGCGTGCAAAAGGAAGTTGGCATGAAGATGAAGGCTAAGGAAGACGCTTCTGAGCTTTTAGCTGAAAAGAACTCCTTGACTGAGAGAAAAAAGAGCTTGATTGAGCAAGAGACTGCCAAAAACAAGGAGATGCTTACTGTTGTCCAGTCCATTGGTAACATCGTTCACGACTCTGTCCCTGTTAACATGGACGAAGACAACAACGAAGTGATCCGCACTTGGACTCCTGCTGGTGTCACCGTTGAGAAGAAAGATTGCCTTTCCCACCACGAGGTATTGACTCGCTTGGATGGTTATGATCCTGAGCGTGGTGTCAAGGTTGCTGGCCACCGAGGCTACTTCTTACGTCAATACGGTGTCTTTTTGAATTTGGCTTTGATCCAATTCGGTTTGGACTTTTTGTCTCAACGTGGTTACACCGCCTTACAAGCCCCTACCATGCTGAACAAAGAAGTCATGGCTAAGACTGCTCAATTAGAACAATTCGATGAAGAATTGTACAAGGTAGTTGATGGCGACGAGGAACGCTACTTGATTGCTACCTCTGAGCAGCCTATCTCTGCTTACCACAGTAATGAGTGGTTTGAAAAGCCTGCTGAGCAACTTCCTCTCAAGTACGCTGGTTATAGTACCTGCTACCGTCGTGAGGCTGGTTCTCATGGACGTGATGCCTGGGGTATTTTCCGTGTCCATGCTTTTGAGAAGATTGAGCAGTTCGTTTTGACCGAGCCTGAGAAGTCTTGGGAAGCTTTTGATGATATGATGAACCATGCTGAAGATTTCTACAAGGCTTTAGAAATCCCCTTCCGTGTAGTCTCCATTGTCTCTGGTGCTTTAAATAACGCCGCTTCTAAAAAGTATGATCTTGAAGCTTGGTTCCCTTACCAGAATGAGTTCAAGGAGCTTGTTTCTTGCTCCAACTGTACAGACTACCAATCTCGTAACTTGGAAATTCGCTGTGGTGTGAAGAAGATGGGTGATCGCGAAAAGAAATACGTTCACTGCTTAAATTCTACTCTTTGTGCTACCGAGCGTGCCATTTGCTGCATCATTGAAAACTATCAAACTCCTGATGGTGTTAATGTTCCTAAGGCTCTTCAACCCTATATGGGCGGAAAAACTTTCTTGCCTTTCACTAAGGAGCTCCCTAAGAACTCTACTTCCAAAAAGGGAAAGAACTAAGTTATAGATAGGTTTGGTTTAGTAAATTTGTATTCATATCTATAGACGTAGAAGCTTTGCTGAAATGGAATAGACTGAACCGGACTCCACCGGCTGGACTAAACGTAGGAGAACATTCCCTTTTATCTTTCCTTACCTACCCATAGTGCAGTGTCCCAGTGTCAGGATAACAATGGTATCGTTTGCTTCTTGGTAAATTCTTATTCCATGAACTAGTCAACGGATTCATTACAAATTCCTGTTTTCCCCAATTCTACATTTCTGTTTTTCTTGTTTTTATAATTCAACCCAAAAATTGCTATGCTCTTAATTTTCTAATACAACCATCTACTTATAAGCCAATTGAGGGACTTGTATAACTGAAGCCTTCCATAAAGCAATGTTTCCCAATTTGATTTCCTTCTCCCTTTCTTTCTCTCTCTTTAAGACTTAAACAATTCACGAGTTTCACGAGTTATAAGAATGTTTCTTTGTTCTCTATGAACATAAACAACGGCAAGGCTCATTGCTGATTTTTCTTTGTTTTGATCTTCAAAAGCAGTCACTATGACCGAGTTTGTTTTTGTTTACCTTTACTAAAGGCCTGATCGCTTTTTATTTTCGTTCATATTTCCAAGTTTCAATTCTTTTCCTTTTGCTAAAAAGTCTGCAGTAAACACGGAATTGATGAAAACTACCATTTTGGCTTTCTTTGTTTACACATGTCTTTTGTCATAAGACAAATAAGGAGATACAACGCGACCTAATGCAACGGTTAACGTACTCCAGAGTAGATTGTAAACGTCAGCCTCATTAGACTGGGGTTGGCAACTTGCAGTCATCCGTTCACTACTTACCTTAGTTATTGGCAACACCAAGAAATTAGTTTGTAGCGGCTTTCAGGGCTTTTTTCTGCCTTTAATTTTGTTTCTTTAAAGTCTCAAGAGATTTTTATCTCTGGAAAGAACGAGACGAACCAAGAATCCGACGAAAATTGTGGGTTGTTCGGATACACTTGAACATATTAATATTTTTTGGAGGAACTTCAGTGTTGAAATAGTAAAAAATGGATCAAGTGGAAGATATATCTTCGAAAGTTGCTTCCTTAGGGGTGAATTCAATAAAGAATGCATCTAAGGATGTAGTCAATATACCTAAACACCACTACTCGGGTCAGGATGCCAACACTGAGCACATGGCTTCATCTTCTTCGAGTGGAGCAGCTTCTGCTGAGAATAATCATGTCAATGGTAACAACGAAGATACCGGGAAACAAACATGGTACGAAGAACCATTAGAAAGTGACAAACATGGCTCGAAAGGCCAGTACAGCGCGCAAATGGTTCATTCCCCGGATTCCTCCGCAACTCCTAGTCGGATTGGCTCCATTGATCATATTGCTTCTGCAACAGAAACAGGAACAGGAGCGGTAGGACAACAGCCCAGCTCATCCTCCAAGCCTCCGATATCCCAAAGTAAATCCAAAGACCAAGCCGCCATGCCTCCCCCAACTAAGCCTTCCCGTGCACCTGCTTCTTTTATGTTAGGTGTATCTCATTCAAAGCCTCAGACTAGCGCCGCTCATTCGCCGATCGTGACTCCAGCTTCTTCTGCCTCAGTCTCCCGAGCGAATTCTTCTTCGAACACTCCTCACAAGTCTACGGCAGCAGCTCCACCAAACCCGAATGGTACAACCGCGAATAATACTTCTGCGCCTGCGCCTGCTCCTGCTGCAGCTCCAACTCCTATTTCTACAACTGCGACTCCTTCGAAAAATCCAGTTTCTAGATTACAACGCATTTTCTCGCAGTCTTCCGTTAATCGACAGAATAATAAAAACAAACCTTCTGGAAATACTAATACCGAGGAAACAAACAGCACAAATGGTAGTGAAGCTGGGGCATCTGCCGTTCCCAACAGCTCTTCCAGCGCAAATCAAAACTCGAAGCCTTCTCGTTTTACTGTATACGATGATGGTAGTCATACCCATCGTCTTCGCCCCGCTAAGCGCCAGGAAAAGTTGGGCAAGATGTTAAAGGACTTTCTTGCTGGAAACAGCAAGAAGCGTGAAGAAGAGCGTGCTGCTAAAGAAGCGGCAGCTGATTCCCAGCACCAGCTTAGCTTGGTTCAATCTTGGATCAACGGCTATGGGCAGGAGAAGCTTGCAGATAAAAAGGACCCCGGCAAAGTGTCTGCTAGCTTTGTTGAGAAGTACGGGCGCTGTCAAGAGGTCATTGGCCGTGGCGCATTTGGCGTTGTACGGATATCGCACAAAGTTGATCCACAGAATTCTAGATCTGAATTGCTATATGCTGTCAAAGAATTTCGTCGGAAGCCGTCAGAGTCACAAAAGAAATATACCAAACGTCTTACTTCGGAATTTTGTATCTCTTCGTCTCTACGCCATCCTAATGTCATTCATACATTAGACTTAATTCAGGACAACAAAGGAGATTATTGTGAAGTTATGGAACTCTGTTCTGGCGGTGATTTGTACACTTTAATTATGGCTGCTGGACGACTTGAACCTATGGAAGCTGATTGCTTTCTCAAGCAGCTCATGCGTGGTGTTGATTATCTTCATGATATGGGTGTTGCTCATCGGGATCTAAAACCAGAAAATCTGTTGCTTACCATTAACGGCAGTATCAAAATTACTGACTTTGGTAATGGTGAGTGCTTCCGAATGGCATGGGAAAAAGAAGCACACATGACCTGTGGCCTCTGCGGTTCTGCTCCTTATATTGCACCGGAAGAATATACAGAAAAGGAGTTTGACCCACGTGCTGTGGACGTATGGGCTTGTGGTGTTATTTATATGGCAATGCGCACTGGTAGACATTTATGGCGAGTTGCAAAGAAAAGTGAAGATGAATTTTATGCTAAGTATTTGATGGATAGAAAGAATGAGAGTGGATACGAACCTATTGAAATGTTAGAACGGTCGCGGTGTCGAAACACTCTTTATAATATTCTCCATCCTAATCCTGGTTATCGCTTGACAGCGAAGCAAATCATGAAAAGTGAATGGGTTCGTTCCATTAAGCTATGTGAGTATGGTGCCGCTGGCTTATAAAATGTTTTTAATCCTAAGTATTGCCAATATGACTGTCCCCTTTTTTGATTCCTTGCAAATGCACTCTATCTTATTATTATTCTATTGTTTATATGTTAATGCATAAATGTCTTTTTGCCAATTGAGATTTGTCTACAGACATATTTATTTTATGTATTGTCCATTGTTGGGGAATACACAATGATCTTGATGCTACTCAGTTTATTTAATAGACATTATTTCTTTTTCTTGAGAAAGGTTTTTTTTACTTGAAATTTGAGATGTGTACTAGGTTTTTCTCTGCAAAAACCGTATCTACATTATACTATACACATGGATGTAGTACGAAAATGACACGAATCATAATAATCTTTCGATTTATATTATGAATCATCAAATCAAGTAAATATCATTGTTCGTTAGAAAGTAAAATGGCCCGATCGTTGTTTGCATAACGATTTTGTTTTGTGTCTGCAAAAACCATGTAAAATGTTGCATTACTTGGTAAACGAGTGGCCATCTTATTCTTCATCTGCTTTTAGAATGTCTTTGTCAATAATTTAATGGGTATGAATAATGAATGAAAAAAAAAGTTCATAATTAATGAAGGTGATTCATTTTCACAACATAAACCATAAAAAGGATAGGACGTAAATTTCCAGGTCATGAGAAATAGATCAAGCTGATGATAGACCAACGTAGAAAGCTGAAAGAAAACTGAATTTAAAGCAAGGATTTGTTAAAGCCCAGTTTCGAATAGTCGTGAACGTCGACTGAGCTGGTAAATGGTCTGAAACTTGAGTACTAAGGTCTCCATAGTGTTCTGTTTGGCCGATAAATCTTTTTTGGATTTGAGACCAGTTAATTCGGATGAGGCCTTTTGTATTGATGTACTAAATGATAAATTAGTTTCGTGTAATTATGACTTTACTTAGGGAAAAGGAATCGATCCATAAACTCTTATAGGTTCCCCTAAGTTGAAGGGATTTCTTACAGCTATAGTAGCAAGAACGCTCGAACAAGCTACAATGAAGAGCTGACCGAATTTACCAAGTGCAAAACCAGCGGCTAAACCAAGAGAACTTCCAGTAAAGATTTGACGATAATTTAGTTTGAAGCGATTCGTCACTCGGACAGCTGCAGAAGCAGGAGCAGATTCACATAAAATTGAGCTAGGTGAAAAAAGAGATAAAGAAAAAAATTGAGGATGGAAAAAATTCATCGTTGACGCTTAAAAATTGAGTACTAGCTGGTAGTGAGAAATCGTGGCAGTAGGTGTGAGAGGATGAAACGTCATGAACATAAACATTCAAATTTAATACAGGCTCCGGAACAGGAATAGCTTTGGCAGGAAAAAGAAAATTAAGCAATTGATTTTAAAAACATGAACCTATAAATAAAGGTGTCAACAGGAAATGTTATCAGCACTGAAAGTTTTCAGTGTACTAAATGAACTGAAGGGCATGAACTAAACATCGAGGTCCTACTGCTTGAGAGAATTAAAATTTTTGAAGTATCGTTTTTGAATACGAAATGGAATGGTAATTGCAACCTCTAGTAGCTCAGCATGATAGTTTTAATCATATAGGCAATCGGTTTCTGTAGATCTCATCTTAACTAGTCATTTCGACAGCACGCACACAAAGTGATTGGAATTTTCATTGTCTGCCTGATGCGAATTTTGCAGAGACCAGACTGGCAGCCTTTTAGTTTCGAGAATAAGAGTCTGTCTAGTGGTGCAATGTCGAGCTCTTCTTGAATGAAGCACCATGGTATAGTATAATATTGTATGGCATAACATAGCATAGCATTTCTGCTTAAATATGTTGTTGTCATGTAAAAAGTAGCATACCCGGTTTCGAAGACATGGTAGTTATTTGAGATTTCAAGTACTGTCAAATTTGCCAAGATTCAATTTGCGTAAACCTAAGAAAGAATATTCATAAAGATCCCTTGTAATCCCATGTTGGAGGTATTCGTCCGTGTAGCAGAGAGAACACTTAATGCCGTGAAAATAGGTAGTCCATCTGACAAGGTGGACAGAGGAAGAACTAGCATAAACCTTTTCTTTTTCATGAATCATTAATCTTTCATGTTACTAGATGAGCCGCTTTGAACTTGGCTTGTAATATTTATAGGAATTCCATTATGCTTTCTCGTCAGATCAAAAAGTCACCATCTGAAAAGATTTTTTTCTTTCTTTGCAAAATAATAAAATAATTACTCAAAAAATAGCATACAGTGCTAGCTATGTAGGTTTACCTAGATTGTTTCTTCGTTTAACAGTCGATGAGACGCGACTTACCAAGAGCCAAATAATTCAATAAAGGAAAACTTAATGGCTGTAAGTACTACTGCTCAGTCTGCCAAGCAGGTGCAAGCTTCTGAAGAAGCAATTAATCAAGAAAAATGTATTAATGAAGGTATGGTTTGACGAATTGGGATGCACCATGTATATGCGAGTGCGTGTTACGTGGCAGATGGGTTAACGACTAGAATATAAAATTTGGAAAAAAAACTCTCCTTTTTTGTATGATTTGATTATTACGAGAGCTTTGGAATGGCCATGTATGTCTCTTCAGTGGTATCCAGAACAACAAATGTGAGTCTATTGAAGCATTAGCTGAAGCTTTACTAGAAGACTAGCTAACCGTTTTACAAAAGGTTTCCTGAACTTGGATATACGGAACAAAATATGCTGTTAGGTGTCCGTGCTGACGCTGGAAAATACTACCTTGCAATTGCTGGCATTCAACTACCTTACCTAAATCAAAATACAAATCCTACTACTATGGAAAAGGATGAACAGGAAACGTCTCTTCGAGTCAACGTCCGCCAACTTTACTCTCATCCAGAATCAGTCAGCCGGGCAACAATTATGCCTCAGGAGACGAGCCACGTTGCTACTATTGGGAATAGCCACAATGATATTTTAGTGTTTAACGGATCATCTTTTAACTCTTACAATCCTTCAGGTGAATTCCCAATTCAACCTGCCATGAAACTGCAAAAGCACAGCTTACCCTGTACGTCTTTGTGCTGGAACTATATGAAACAAGGGCAAATGGTTTCGGCCTCTCGAGATTCCAGCATCTGTCATTGGGACATTGAGCGTTACAATGAAGGCAATCCTTCTTCTGCGTTAAAAGCTCAAGTGTCTACACATGAAAAACCTGTTAATGATGTCAAATACCATTTTAAACATGCAGATATTTTTGCTTCTGTCTCTGGCGATCAACATCTTCACCTTCATGACAGCAGACGTCCAGACTATTCAACAACCCCTTTGAAAAGCATCCATGCGCATTCTTCGGATGTGAATGCACTCGCCTTCAATCCTCACAATGACTTTATTATGGCTACTTGCTCAGCAGATAAAACGATTGCCCTTTGGGATCTCCGGAATCTTAATAACCGCTTGTACACACTTGAAGGACACGAGGACCATGTTAACAATATCAAATTTTCTCCTCATGAAGAACCCGTGCTGGTTTCTACATCTCTCGATAGAAGAACTTTAATTTGGGATCTTTCGCGTATCGGTGAGGATCAGTCCGCTGAAGAAGCTCAGGATGGGCCACCCGAACTCCTGTTCATGCATGGCGGCCACACCTCCTGTACCATTGATATGGATTGGTGTCCTAATTACAACTGGACTTTAGCTACTGCTGCTGAAGACAACATTCTCCAGCTCTGGACACCCTCCCGTTCAATATGGGGAAATCAACATCTTGAAGAAGAAGCTCTAGCTGCTTAAAAAGTGGCATAAAAAATCGATTATGAAGTAATAATCCCAAGTTAAAACAAATATTACTGGTTATATATGGAGTTTGTGAATGCATTTCTATTTACAGATTAAACTTTCTTGAATGAGGACCTTTTCCATTTATTATAAGAATAAATAAACAACTAAAAACGGAATTGTACCCAACAATACGATGATGAACCGATAGGATATAGGTAATGAAACAATGTGTAAGACTTTAGACACCCAATGTTGATTGTTTAAAAAGCATATGAAAAGGCAAACAACCCCGATAATTATAGAAGAAGAAACGTAAAGCTCTAAAAAAAAATTGTTAATAATTGAAAGTATCACATGCATTTACTCACTGTTTTTCCATATAGGTGAAAGGAACTCAGATTTCCGATTTATGATAAGATTCACTCCAACATACTGTAGGCAAGTTAATAGAAAAGAGCAAGACACTAATGCATTTTCTGTATTTGATTTCCCGGCTTGCCATGTTGGAAGAGAAGTTGAATCAAGCTTTACAAGGAGCACATCCAGTAACCATTGTGACGATAAAACCACTCCTGACAGTAATCCCAAGAGGAATAAGCTTGGTTTTTTAAATAAAGTCGAAGAAGGTGCGTTGGAGGTAATTATATCACTTGGTGCGAAATGGCTCATTGCAGCCGACAAAGGGAAAACGATTGCTAAATCCATAAATAGAAACTGAGAGTCATTGTAATTATAATTCCTTAAATACAAAAGAATTGTTCCTGAAAATTGGATTATCGCGCTCATCACCATATATTGAAAACAACGATAGCTGGTGACAATGGAACACCTTCCTTCTAGCATTATTGCTATAATATCCAAAACGGATTTTTTTTGGCTTATGAATGATGCAGCAGCACAAGCTTCAGTATCCGACAATGACACGCTCACATCAGAACGTCTGAGAGCTAAACAATCGTTTGCTCCATCACCACAAAATCCAACGTTACTTTGAAACACTCTACAAAGCTCGACGTATTTGGATTTTTCAGACGGCGACATCCGGGCTAAAACTTTTGTCTTCTTTATTATACTTCTCAGTTTTTCTTCGCCAAAACTTTCAGTGATTTTTCGCAATAATCCTCCAGTTATCGCTATAGCTGAGTTTTCATCGCTTAGTATATAATCAAAGGTCGTATGTTTTGCAGTAGATAAATAGCAATCCTCTTTAACATTGTATAACTTGAACTTTACTTCGTCGTCAGTAGATCGAATAAGCTCATACTTTTCTTCGCTATCTTCCACATAAACGAACAAAGAGGAACCAAAAACGCCAGACTGTCTAGCGACATACACACTCGTCCATAAACTGTCGCCTGAGCATACGGCAATGTGCATGTTTGCTTTGTTAAGGACATTCATCACATTACGTGATTCTTTTTTTATTTTACTTTCAAAGACTAGTAATCCTTCGAAAACTAAATCCCTTTCTAATGATCCACGAGATATCTGTTGCAAATCTGTTTCACTTTTGAGAGGTTTCCAAGCACATGCTAGTATTCTAAAACCCTTGAACGAAAGTATCTCTAATAAGTGATAAAGGTTATTTGGAATTGTCCTCGAAGAACAAATATCCAAAATTGATTCAGGCGCACCTTTTGAAAAGAGCATTGGTGTTTTTTTATTATTGCCGACAGCAATGACGGACATTCTTCTTAAAACAGGATCAAACTCTAACGACCGCGTAACACTATAGGCAATTTCTTGGCCGTCTTTCCCATTCATGACAGTAAATAAGGCATCTCGCGGACGTACATTAAATTCAAACGAATTTATAAACCTTCCGTTGAAATAATTAAACAATGCTAATTCTAAAGGATCACCTATAATGTTTCCATCCACAATTTGTAAAGATTGGCAGCAAGTGCTAATGTTTGAGATAAGTGTCTTTGACATTGAAAATTGGTGAGCATTTTGAGCAACTTCCAAATTATTCTGTGTATCTTTAACATAAGAGTGAGACAATTGCACATTTTCTTCGGTGATAGTGCCAGTTTTGTCAAAAACGAAAGTATCTATATTGCCAGCCGTGGATATGCTTGTAAAAATTAGTAAAAAATGGCAGACGAGTTTATAATGAACTTACCATTCTGGATTTGACGTAAAGATGCATCCTTGAGAGAGTCTATAAACAGCATTTGCAATTCCGATAGAAAGAGTAGCAGGTAATGCTGGAGGAATTAAAATGGTAATGACATCTAGTGATCGAATAATTATATGACTGAAAGGAGCATTATACTTGAATAGGTATAGGGATAGAAAAAAGACAGAAAAAAGAGAGAAGATAATCATTAACTTTAGAAAAGACATCGAATCTTTGTATAATTGTGATACCCTCATTTTAGGGTACAGTAAATCTCGAATTAACTTTCCTCTCCTGGAAGAAAACCCCGTTCGAATAGTAATTACATAGCAAGGCATTTCCAACGTGCTATTCACTTGTAAGAATTTGGTTCCAGCATGAAGTACATGGGATGAAAAAACGTTAAAAGCATTTTTTATGAAGGAATCTAAAGATAATTCTTCAAGAGCATACTTGTTAGCAGGTACTGATTCACCTGTCAACATGCTTTCGTCTACCAAACAACTACCGGAAAGTACTAAGCCATCAACTGGGCAAGTTTTGCGTTCGTCATTTGTCAAGCATATAAGATCGCCGGTTACCAATTCATCTCCACACACTTGTTTCTTTCTTTTATCGCGAATAACTGTAAATGTATCGGACTCGCCAATTATGGAATGTACACGAGCGTCAGAATCTTTTGATTCTTTAATAGCAAAGTATATGCTACATAGCGAAATCATAAAAATACAACAGGAATAGAAAAAAAAATTGTCAAGGAGCCATAGAACGATGGAAAACAGCTGAAATATATAAAAAGGATGCAAAACCTAAAAGACAAGTATTAGTACTGCAATATACGCAAATCAAACGTTAATAGTACCTCATGTATAAGGATGCGCATTATGCTTTTTTCCTCTAATTTTAATAAATTTTGCCCATAAGTCTGTCTAAGATTGGAAACTGTTTGTGTATTGAGACCCCAATTGAAATAATTTAGTTGAGATGCATACAACTGAAAAGCATGAGCCTCCGATGAAAGCATGACCCATTCTACCGTTACCACATTCAAATAAAGCTTCAAACTTTTATAATTGAAACATGGGATGGATTTTAGTACTGGTAATTGTGCATTTGAGGTTGGGATTGTTTCCTTGAATGATCGTTTATAAACCTTCTCTATGGAGCTATTGCCTTTTTGATCAATTACTTCCACATATTCTATGTCATCAATCCCACATGGCTGACTGGTCCAAGACGCCCTATATTGGGGAAACCACAACAGAAATAATTTAAAAAGCCCCAATGAGAGGATTTCGGCTATAGTCAATACAAGCTCCCTTGCATATTTAACTTTATAGGGGTGTATAACGACAGCTTCTTCTTCTGATAAATCAAGCCTCTGGTTCAGTAGGTACGTTTTCGTATATTCTGAAAATTCATCTGATCCTAATTCTTCCAATTGTATTTCAACCATTGTCTTCACAGAGAACTAACCAAGCGAAAATGGGTCTATAATGGCTGTTATAAAGGGGAATCCATCAGAAATTATAAGTAGACGCGCAATCGTTAGCAGTATGAATTGTTTGTGATTTTACAGAACGACGAACCAAATCAAAGAGCTGCAAGGACTAAATTGGTAAATTTTTTTTTCTAAGTTAATTATACAAAAACAAAGTCAATTATAAAAAAAAGCGAAGAAGTAGTAGTATGTATTGTTGATGAATCCATAGCTGCTAAATTCACACACAAACGAAGATACCGATACGCAAGGATGCGTAACTTAAGATAAGTAACTTTAACGTATCATTATAGTGTTTAGCATCCTGCTCCGATGGCAAAGGATAAAAATCAAGCATCCTAGTTTGAACATGTCCTTAGCCTATCCGGTTCTCAATTTGATAATTCAACCCTATCCTCCATTGTGGAGGTGATTCATTAAAAAATAAGAAAGGAAAGATGTCTACTTCGAATCTGGCCTTTCTCAAGGCGAAAGCATGCACAGAAATTGTTGCAGAGCTAATTGCCTCTGAGAATCAAAACAAGGTTATCAACTTGAATGCCTTGAAGATGAGAATTTCGAAAAAGCATCAATTGCCTGAGTCCCCTAGGTTAACTGATATTATTGCTGCAATTCCCCCTGATGCATACCTGAAAGATTCATTGATGAGAAAGCTACGGGCGAAGCCAGTACGAACGGCATCCGGTATTGCAGTCGTAGCTGTAATGTGTAAGCCCCATAGATGCCCCCATATTGCAATGACGGGTAACGTATGTGTTTATTGCCCAGGAGGACCAGATTCTGATTTTGAGTACTCGACGCAATCGTATACCGGTTATGAGCCAACTAGTATGCGGGCTATCCGCGCGCGTTATGATCCTTATGAACAAGCAAGAGGACGTGTAGAGCAATTACGTTCTCTTGGGCATAATGTTGACAAAGTCGAATACATTATCATGGGTGGTACGTTCATGTCTTTGCCGGAATCATATCGCCATCATTTTATTGCCAACCTTCATAATGCGTTGTCAGGTGCTACTACGGAAGATGTGGATGAGGCAGTTCGTTTCTCTGAACAATCAGAAACAAAATGTGTAGGTATAACTATAGAAACCAGACCGGACTACTGCCTGGACCAACACCTTGATGAAATGCTTCGTTACGGCTGCACTCGTCTTGAAGTGGGTGTTCAAAGTGTGTATGAAGATGTTGCTCGAGACACAAATCGTGGCCATACAGTAAAGGCTGTTTGTGAGACATTTCAGCAGGCGAAAGATGCGGGTTACAAAGTAGTAACTCACATGATGCCTGATCTTCCAAACGTTGGTATGGAACGTGATATTTTCCAGTTCCAAGAATACTTCGAAAACCCAGCCTTTCGTACTGACGGTTTGAAACTCTATCCGACTCTCGTTATCCGTGGCACAGGACTTTATGAATTATGGAAAACCGGTCGCTATAAGAATTATACCCCTAATGCTTTGGTTGATTTAATTGCTCGAATTTTGGCTCTTGTCCCTCCCTGGACAAGAATTTATCGTATTCAGCGAGATATCCCTATGCCTTTGGTCAGTTCTGGTGTTGAGACTGGTAACCTTCGTGAGTTAGCATTGAATCGTATGAAAGATTTGGGTACCAAATGCCGTGATATTCGTGCACGTGAGGTTGGTATTCAAGAAGTTCATCATAAGATTCATCCGGAACAAGTAGAGTTGCTTCGTCGTGATTACACTGCTAACGGAGGTTGGGAAACATTTTTGTCATATGAAGATCCTAAGCAAGATATTTTGATTGGCTTACTTCGTCTTCGAAAATGCTCTGAAGCAACATATCGTCCGGAACTCAATTCACAACCAACTTCATTGGTTCGTGAGCTACACGTATATGGTAGTGCGGTTCCTCTTCATAGTCGTGATCCAAAGAAGTTTCAACATCAAGGATTCGGTACGTTGTTACTGGAGGAAGCTGAACGGATAGCTCGTGAAGAACATGGCAGTGAAAAGTTGAGTGTAATTTCCGGTGTCGGTGTACGCAAGTATTATCGTAAACTGGGTTACGAGTTGGAGGGACCTTATATGTCTAAATGGCTTTAAAGTGTTGTATATTTAATTGGAATGGGTTTGATTTGGTAAACGAATATAATTTTTTGAGCAAATTACACATAATATATCAATCTTATTATTTTTATCTCGATGATGCTTAATGTAACGACAGTGAGACAAGTACAAGTATGAAAAGTAACTTCAAATCTGGTTTTGAGTATACATGCAACATATATCCACGCATTCATAAAAAGGATAGCAAAAATAGTGGTAATAATAATAATAGAATAAAAGCATTTTTGAATAAAAGCACCGGTTGAAATATCTAACTTTTACTTACAATTCCATCTATGAACAAGTTGGGTTTATCACCGTCGAAATATCTATCTCTCGTTATCGTCATTTACAGACATATACCCACATCTTTATCAATGTTACCGCGATCGTTGCAATATGCTAGACCACCACCATGCGTACCAGAGACATTATGGTAACCACCAAAACTGCAGAAATTTAACGATTTGCAAGAGTCAGCAAATTAGCGGTTCTAAGCCTAACGAGAATTGTTGGCTTTAAATTTTTCTGAAAACTAACACCAAAAAAGGAACTAGGAATCCGCGTTTCTTATATGGTGTGAAGTGTAATTTTTGTTTAGCATGGCATTTGTTGAGAAGGAGTATAGTAAGAGTGATACAGAAGAATTGTTAGGGAAATGGAGAAAATTAAGAGAAACAGGTGCTACGGAACGGAATAATCTCGCGTTTGCGCAAGTTTGTGATGAATTAAGGAATGTGCAAAGAAACATAGAAGCGAAAAAAAAGGCTAAAGCTTTATTAAAACAATATGCATGTTCTATCAATGAGGAACTGGAAAAGAAAATTTTGAAAGAGATGGTGAAAACATATCGTCATTTGTCACTGAATTTGCCTGTGTCGGGCAATGAAGTATTCAAAGTATTATTAGACGAAGAGAAGAAAACGAGAACAGAAGACGTGAGTGATTTAGAAGATTCGGTGCCGACGAATCTATCGCAAGTACAAAAAAGTGATCTCATTTTTGGAGAGACTGAATACCTGCAGCCGTTATCCTACCGGCATATAATTCAGGCACATAACGAAAAGGTGCAGGACGAGGCTATTCATATTCGGTTAACGAAACGGATACATGAGTTGGAAAGCATGTCAGCGGCTATTGAAGATATACCTAGCTTGCATTTCTTTGGCGAAGATCAAAAGTCGCAGCACGTACACTCTACGAAAAGAAACGCTTTGCTAGAACTGAAAATGTTGCGGCTTGCGAAACGACAAGAGGCTTTACATGCACAGATCCGACATTGCAAACCGTATACCCGCGTTCTTTTGAATACAGCAGATCGCATAGCTTGCAAGCTTCCTAAACCTGCACCCCAAGCTACTCGCCTCACTGAGGCTTTAGAACGACAACAACGTAGCGACCGAGAACGCAGACAGAAGCAACGCCAATACGATTATTTACAAAATATTTGTTCTCATGGACGTGAACTCGCTGCTCGAACTAAAAATGCTCAGGCTAGGGCTCAGAAAGCAAATCGTGCTGTCTTGGCATACCATTCTCATATCGAAAAAGAAGAGCAAAGACGTGCTGAACGCAATGCAAAACAGAGATTGCAGGCTTTGAGAGAAGATGATGAAGAAGCTTACTTAAAATTGATCGATCAGGCAAAGGATACCAGAATTACTCATCTTCTTCGACAAACCGATCATTATTTAGATTCATTGGCTAATGCAGTCAAGGCTCAACAATCTCAAACAGGTGATACTACTTACGACGAAGATTTTGATCGTTCTCTCACCGGCGAAGCCGAAACGAAAGTTGATTATTATAATGTTGCTCATAATATTCAAGAAGTTATTACTGATCAACCATCGATACTGGTTGGTGGTAAGCTAAAAGAGTACCAGCTTCGCGGACTTCAATGGATGATATCCTTGTATAATAACCATTTAAATGGTATCCTAGCTGATGAAATGGGTCTGGGTAAAACCATTCAGACTATTTCTCTGGTCACTCACTTGATTGAGAAGAAACGGCAAAATGGCCCTTTCCTGATCATCGTTCCTTTATCTACACTAACTAACTGGGCTATGGAGTTTGAACGTTGGGCCCCGTCTATCTCAAAAATTGTGTACAAAGGACCGCCGTTGGTCCGTAAGGCTTTGCAACCCCAAGTTCGTCATTCGAATTTTCAAGTTCTGTTGACCACTTTTGAATACGTCATCAAAGATAGACCGGTACTTAGTCGTATTAAGTGGATTTATATGATTATGGACGAAGGACATCGAATGAAAAATACCCAGTCAAAATTGACTAGCACGTTGACGACGTACTATTCTTCTCGGTACCGTCTTATTTTGACAGGAACACCACTTCAAAACAATCTTCCTGAGCTCTGGGCATTGCTTAACTTCGTTCTTCCAAAAATTTTCAATTCTGTCAAAAGTTTTGATGAGTGGTTTAATACTCCGTTTGCTAATACTGGAAACCAAGATAAAGTCGAGTTAACCGAAGAAGAATCTTTGTTGGTAATTAGACGTTTACATAAAGTATTGCGTCCATTTTTGCTTCGTCGTTTGAAAAAAGACGTTGAATCTGAGCTTCCGGATAAAGTTGAGAAGGTAATTCGCTGTCAGATGTCTGGGTTACAGCAAAAATTGTATCATCAAATGAAGAAGCATGGTATTTTATTCGTTGAAGATGCGAATAAAGGAAGAGCAGGTATAAAGGGTCTTCAGAACACTGTAATGCAGTTAAAGAAGATTTGCAATCATCCTTATGTATTTGAAGATGTTGAACGGTCAATCGATCCCACAGGTCTAAATTATGATATGTTATGGAGAGTGTCCGGTAAATTTGAGTTATTAGATAGAGTTCTTCCCAAATTGTTCCGTGTAGGGCATCGTGTCCTCATGTTTTTTCAAATGACACAAATTATGAACATCATGGAAGATTACCTACATTATCGACATTTCCGTTACTTACGTCTGGATGGCTCAACAAAAGCAGATGATCGATCTAAGCTTTTGGGTGTATTTAATGACCCTACGGCAGAAATTAATATATTTTTGCTGAGTACTCGAGCAGGTGGTTTAGGATTGAATCTTCAGAGTGCTGACACAGTAATTATTTTTGATTCAGACTGGAATCCTCATCAAGACTTGCAAGCTCAAGATCGTGCTCACCGAATTGGACAAACGAAAGAAGTTAGAATTTATAGGCTTATTACAGAAAAATCTGTAGAAGAAAACATTCTTTCTCGCGCTCAATACAAACTAGATATTGACGGAAAAGTTATTCAAGCTGGTAAATTTGATAATAAATCTACTCCAGAAGAAAGAGAAGCATTTTTGCGATCTTTGTTGGAAAACGAAAATGGAGAGGAACATAATGATGAAAAAGGAGAATTGGACGACGATGAACTAAATGAATTACTGGCGCGTAGTGATCAAGAGCTGGAAATCTATAGAAATATGACAAAGGAGGAAGAAGAGAATAGCCCTTACGGAAAAGGCAAGGAGAAAGATCGACTTATTCAGGTGGAGGAACTTCCTGAGTTTTATCAACAAGAACAACCGGTTGAAGCTGAAGAGGAGCAGCAACATATTGAGGAATTGGGACGTGGTGCTAGACGTCGTGTTCCTGTAGTATATGACGAAACTGTTAGAGATGCTCAGTGGCTTACCGAAATGGAAATGGAACCAGAAGTTAAGCCAACTCGTGGCAGACCCAAACGGAACTCCAGTGCGGTTGAAGAACCCATTCCACTTGGAATGGATGGGAAGCCCAAACGGAAGCGGGGTCCTGCACCTGATACGTTAAGTACCGAACATAGATCTCTTCTTCGTCGTATCTGTCTTGAGATTTATAACGCTGCCTATGAGCTAAAAGACGAGCATGGTAGACCCATAAACAGCATGTTTTTAGAGGTTCCTAGTAAGAAACTCTACCCAGACTACTACTTAATTATCAAAACTCCTATTGCACTTGATAGTATAAGAAAACATATTAATGGGACTTACTATAAGTCGTTGGATGCAATGGTTTCTGACTTTATGACGATGTTCAATAATGCTCGTACATATAATGAAGAAGGTTCTTTTGTGTATGAAGATGCTAATCGTATGCAAGCGGCTATGGAACAAAAGATTCAGGAGTTAGAGGAAAATGGCACGCTTACAACTTTACGCGGAATGGATTTCGAAGCAATAGCCCAGCAAGAAGACCGATTAGAAAATGAAGCATGAAGTTGAAGCATATCAATTTTCTTCCTGGTTAAGCTTGAGCTTCTGAATTTTAAAAGCAATCCTTCTTTTAGGTTTAATGTTTATAAAGTTATTATCATTTCGGGCGTTCTTTATAATCGCTCAATTTTTGTACACTATAAAAATTAATTATTATAAATAGATTGTTAATGAACCTTAATCCACTTAGAAAAAGAAACTTATTTTGTATATGTAAACTATTTATGTGTTCTTTTCTGTTTTGCTGGGTTGCTAAAAAACGGATTGTATTGTTTATGGGTCATATGGTTTGTTGATGCCGCTCAAGTTAGTAAACAACCGATCGTGGAAGAAGCAAATTTCTCATAAACGCTGAAAATTTGGTTTTGCTTTATATGTTTAGAAAAGAGAACAAACGAAAGGGCGTTTCTCGTTCGCCTGAAGAATGGCTTAAATATGCCAATGCACGATTCAATGAATATAATGTTCTACAACCATGGGAGGATGCAAAAAAGAAAGAAAAGGAAAAGGAAGATGAGAAGAAACCAAGCCATACTAACGTAAATGACAAGAAACTAAATTCGAAAGCGGTACTTCGAAAGCCAGTTTCTCCGGAAGTACTCGCTTCCACAGGATCGAACAATCAGCTAGAATGCAAAGAGAAGCAGTCCTCAAAAGGAGAACCTAAGAAGTCACTACTTTATGGAATTAATCGAAATCTGGCTACTTTTACCTTCAGCAGTTTGTTCATGTTGTAAGTGAATTTCGAGCTTAAGCGTTTTGATTTGTTAACCATAGTTTACAGAACATCAGCGGATATGAGTCAATGGAAATTAGTCACTACAGCGTTCGTTCTCGGAATGGTTTTTGCAAAGTATGGATTCGTTAACAGCAAACATACTTCTGAGGAAAACAGTCCAAATAAAGAGAGTAGAGTCCTGAATTTACCTACGGCAGATGTGAAAAATGAGCGATAAGGGGGAATCATAGTATTGTTGTCCATTAGAAGATCAGGTCTCTATTTTGTGTTATGTGCAATAAAAAGGTCATACTTTTACCCAGGGAAAACTGACGAAAAGGAGGCGTGATAGTTGATTGAATTTGAACAAGTGGTACGATACCGGCTCGACTACTTCATCTTTCCATATACAGTGTCCACGTTTGTTTAGAGCAAACCAACTGCCTAAAGGTAACTTAGATTCAGGAAATCACTATGACCAAAGTGAATTCAAGTGTCATTAATTGTGAAATATGAAAATTCCTTCTTGACAACTCACACACTTTCGATGTAAAACAATCGCTATGTAAATGATGAAATGACACTACCAAGCGCGAAAATTTGGTGTTGAAGCCTAGACAGAAGAAAAATGAATAAATTTCAAGCTTCCGTATAGAAGTAAAACATTCTCTTCACTAGTTTTGCTTAAAAAATAATTTTTAAGTATTCCTTGACATACAATTGAAATTTGCCTTTAACAAATGACATCTCCCTCATCAGCAAGTGTACGAAGAATCAACAAAGTATGTGTGAAGTTAGTGAGAACTATAAAAAGAAAAAAATTGGAATATATGTAGTTGACAACTTATGCTATAGGAATTTGCAGACTTACAGGAAAATCCTATTCCCAACTTACGCTGTTCTTTGGCAAACGACAATCTTTTCCAGTGGAATTGTACAGTTGTAGGGCCTAGCGATTCTGTTTACGTTGGAGGAACGTTTTATTTTACATTAACGTTTCGTCCTGATTACCCGTTTCAACCTCCAACTGCTCAATTTACAACTAGAATCTATCATCCCAATGTGAGTCCTTTCATTTACCTACTCTTTATTTCTGTTTCTTTGAAGTGTTCTTCAGCTTACGCTTGAAATAATTACGGTCGATAGAATCTGCTTGAACGAGTTGCAGCTGCAAGAGACAGACAAATGTGGAATTGTCTATTTTGGTGGGTAGAAGCTAACGAAATTTCTAGTTTGATTCAGAAGGGAATATTTGTTTGCCTATATTAAGACCCCAGACCTTCAAGCCTAGTGTGAAGCTAAGGAGTATCCTTGAACAAGTGATTCATCTCTTGATTGAACCCAATCCAGACGACCCATTAAGCCCATCCATAGCAGAGCAATACAAGAACGATCGTCCTACGTTTGAGAAGATTGCTCGAGATTATGTACAACAGTTTGCCAAGTCATGAAGTAGTAGAAGAAGGGAGAGATGACGAAGAGAGTTTTGAAAACATTATTTTTCAGTTCAAGAATTCGTCAGTGGAATTTCAGCCGATGGATGACCTTGTTGTAATGGGTCTTGATACGCTTCATCCCATTGTTCGAATCGGAGGCATGTTTTTTCGAGGAACTTGGTTTCATTGCATTGGTACGGACATTGTCGTTCCTGTAAGAAATGATATTGAATTATCTAAGAAAGATTTACTTGTTTGTCAAAGAAGGCTAGTTTTGGAACAAATTCGTCTGGTCCCTAAAAAGCAAACAGAAAAAGCGTCCCAGAAGTTTAATTCGGATGCCGCTATAGAAGTTGACCAAGAAAATCAAACTCTCACATCGGTTCGTATTCCCAGTGGACTAGCACAACCTGGAAGCTCTACTACTTATAGTGTGGATCATGACGAAGATATGGGAAATGTTGAAGCTGCAAGTGAGATTTGACGATCAGAAATTGCAAAAATGATGTTGTGTACTATTATGTTATATTAAATATTTGCTAAAGAAGAATGAACCCATGTTTTTAAGGATCCTAACTGTATACATGTAAAATGGAATAGAATAAAGTAAAGTAAGCGAGGGCACATGGACAATAAAAGAATTTGGCCGAATCTATATATTCTTGTCCTTTGGAAGTGATGATTAGGCATCATTGAAAGATGGTAGAGGGGCCACTGGTTGCCAAAAATAATCTTTTAAACTAACCTTGTATTCACCCATACTGGTTTGCCAAACTTCAACTCCTTCTTCTTCAAGACGATCCTTCTGGTTTCGTTCACCGCTAGGCCGATCGCGTTTGGAAATGCATCCACGGCTGTTGATTACACGATGCCATGGGACGTGGGATTCAGGATGCAAGGATTTCAAAGCCTGTCCTACATGTCGAGAATATGTTGGTGCTTCAATGGATTTGGCAATTTGACTATATGTACAAACTCGCCCATAAGGTATCTCACACACTGTGTCATACACGCGACTATAGAACTCGTCCATGCGCATCTTTCCTTTTGTTTCCTGGATTTGTAATTATATAGTATGAGATACCAAGTGATTCTTTAGCTATTTTAGATGCAAACAAATCTTCATAAAATATGAAATACCATTAATCAAATCCTTCCAATAAGTCTTTCTGGAAAAGAACCTCAATGTCAGCAAAACAGTTTAAAATAACAGAGCTCAATGATTGAAGAAATAGACTAAATATAAAACTAGAATATCAAAACCTCCTAGACTTGTGATATTGAGCGTTTAGGGAAACCCGACTGATACTTAGGAGAATTATATTTTCAGCCCAAGAACGAAATTTTAAAATACCTCTCAATGCTGGAGATACTTAAGTTTTCTAAATTAGAAAGAAAACTTTGAAGTACTATAAATGTCGATAGAATGAAATTTGTACCGCCCTAATACCTTCCTATTGACATTTAAAGAGGGAGTCATAGACATTTGCAAGGTACGAACCTCAATACTTAGTCATTTAAAAGCAAAAGCGCAGTTCTCAATTGAATTGTGAAAGGTGGAATTGTTATAAATGAAACCCAAGACGCTATCTCAGCTCAGAAATTTTTCTTTCAGCAGCACGAACAACAGAAAAGAAAAGAAAAAAAAAACAATTACTTTTCTATGCTTGTTTTCGACGACGTTTGAAAATAGCAATGAAGTGCCTTCACTGTATGACCATACATATGATGTTACAATGTAAAAATATGTGAGGTATTCGATTCTTTTTGTATCGTTAAGAGAATTGAATACAATATTTAATATAAAAACTATAGACATTCTAATTCATTCACTGTAACTGCAGTTTTTCAGGAATCCAGTAAAAACCGTCCATTGTTTACTTTTATGGTTTGTTTACACTTTAACGAACTGCTGCACGGTGGAAATTCCTTCGTTATCATCCTTGGAATGAAGCAATTAGGGTAGGGTTGTGACTGATTTTGAGACTAACATTTGCACCAAAAAACACTCTAATATGATTTTTCCAACAGCGTGCTGCTGGAAAAAAATTGAGATTTTGTAATTGGATTCAGTCTTCAATAACAACAATATAAAAATAACAAAAATGTCTGCTCCTCAAGCTCCTCAAACCGCTCAAGCCGTTAGCCTCACCAAGAAGACCAAGAAGTCTGGTGATACTATCAACTCTAAGTTGGCTTTGACTATGAAAAGTGGTAAATATGTCTTGGGATACAAGTCTACCTTGAAGGCTCTTCGCTCTGGAAAGGCTAAACTCATTCTTCTTGCCGGCAACACACCTGCTCTTCGCAAGTCTGAGTTGGAATATTATGCTATGCTTAGCAAGTGCTCTGTTCACCATTACAATGGCTCAAAGTAAGTTTTTAACTTAACAGTGAGATTCTTTCTGGGAGGGTTATGTGTGCATGAGAAACTAGGAAATTTTTGGGTTGTTTTGAACCAACTGAAACGAACCACTGAAACATATGAAACCTTTTGAAACATTAAGTCAATCTCAGCTTCATGCCTACCTAAGAGAATATCATGTGAATTTTTGTCAATATTTCTATTTCGACAAAGATCTTAAGTGGGAGTCGAATTTGTAACATGCTAACTTGCTTTTAGCATTGATTTAGGTACCGCCTCTGGTCGTCTTTTCCGTGTTGGTGTTCTTGCAATCATGGACGCTGGTGATTCCGATATCCTTTCTCAGTAAAATCAACGAATTAAGTTTCTGTTGTAATTGTTATTATAAAAGTTACTGGTTAAAGGTTGAAAAATAACTAGAATAAGATACATTGGGATTCACTTCATTGTATTTCTCTAAACAATTTGGCGATCATATGTAACCTTTGGGAGTTCCCTTTAAGAAATCGAGTAAATGAATTGTAGTAGTATATTATATGTCAATGGTAAGAACTATCATTATCAATGATGCTAAAAATCCGTTTGTTAGGTTTTAAAGCGTGTAAAGTACTTACTGTTCTCAAGTTACTAACGTTGAAGCCATCACTTCAAAACTTTTTAACTAAGAGAAATAATAAATAATATTCAACATATGTTAGCATTTAGTTCATGAATATTCTATTGTGTATAGAAACATTTATTAACCAAAAAAAAGCTCAAATAAATTGAACCAAAAAACATAACTGGAGGTATTCAAAAATTAGCGTACATAACATTAAATTAGCGGAGCGTTGTTCGGTGTAGTCATAGAATTAAATGAAAATCGGAGAACTGTTTTCTTTCTCTGCTGTTTTCATAGCTCTATCGGCGTTGCACTATTGGAGTACGTCTCCTGGTTCGACTTGGTGGTATTATTTACTAGATCAAATTCTGTACCCACTCTGAGTGCATAAACCCAGGGATCCATCAACAAGTCCGTAGCCGTAGCCCGCTGTTCTGGATCTGTAACGAAGCATCGCTTGAGAAAATTTTGGCCCATAGGAGATAGCTGATCATCTTGAGGTATAATGGGAGGATTTAAAGTCGCAATATGAAACATGAGCGAAAAGCGATTATCAACTTTTGGCCAAGGAGGCGAACCAGTAGCCATTTCCACAATGACACAACCTAACGACCATATGTCCATCGCACCTACTTTATCCGTATCCGTACCAAGCAGTAGTTCAGGTGCCATATACATAGGACTACCAGTAATAGCATTATCTCGGTGAAAATTTGATGCTACAGGATTCTCAGGAAACTCTTTTTCATATTCTTCTTTTTCTTGTAGAGTCAATTGCTCATAAATTCTCGATGCGGTAGGCACTGATATCTTTGCTGATCCGAAATCAGTAAATTTCATGACACCATTGTGGTCAAACAGAATATTTTCGGGTTTGACATCTCGGTGAGAAACACCACATGAGTGTATATAAGTTAATCCTTCCAGTAATTGCAAGGCATAAACTTGAATAACCAGTTCGTCCTCTATTCTTCCATAACGTAAAAACTCAGCAAGGGTTGACCCTTGGTATAGCTCCATAAATATATTAATCTTCTCACGATGAACCTCTATACCATAGTAACATACAATGTTGGGATGATCAAGTAATTCCAAAACAATCATTTCACCTTTAATCCTTTTAATTAATGATCTTGAAATCCGTGGCTTATGAAGAGCAACTGTCTTTACTGCCATTAAATCGCCAGTGTCTAAGTTCACAGCTCGATAAACAGTACCAAAAGAACCAGTACCGATAACATCGCCTTGTTGCCATCGAATTGTTATATTTGATTTTGCAGAAGCAAGTTCCTTTAGTAATCTATTTTCCTCACTGGTATCATCTAAAACACGCCCAATTAACTGTGAACGAGTTAAAAGCTCCCTGCGACGAGCTTCAAGTTCGGCGATATGTTGCATAACCTCTTCTTTCATAAAGCTACTACCCTCTTCATCCTTAAACCTTATTTGTCTCGGATTATGCCTGATTAAACGGAAAGGAATCTCTACTCCCGGATTCTCCACATTATTGATGGAACCCATTACATCAAAGTGTAAAAGCAAGAGAGCCATACACTTTCCGACCTTGTCTCTTAATTCTTCAAATGCCTTTCTGTCAATCATTAATATATTTGACCCGTAGGTCATAATCATTGCAAACTCCAACGCTGTTACAGTCCATCGGAAAGTATTTCGGTCAGTCGGGGAGCAATCATCATAAATAAAACCCACCCAACTAATAGCTAGCATAATCATCCTTCTTCTTATTGGTCCCATACTTGACGGGTCTAAAATAGAAAGTCTCATTAAACGTTGTGCAAATTCGATAGCATATGAAAAAGAATAATGAATCAAATTTTGACAGTTACGGCCGTGATAACGAGTGCGGATTAATTGAATAGCATCAAGTAAGGATAATGCTAACTTAAGAGCGTGTTTTTTTGTCCTCGTCATTTCTTTATTGACAAGGGAAGAATTCGCTTTAGAAGGGTTTTCTAAACTGATGGTATCACCAACCAACTCACTGAATAACTCCTGAGCCACAACCAGCTGCTCTCCAGTAACCGCAGTAACCAACCTTACACGATTAGGAGCCATAGATATGGAAACTTCGGGAACATCCAAATCCATCACACGTCCCGTCCAATAGATGGAAGTATTGGGGGAGAGTACAATCACATATGGAATCATCCCCTCGTATTGGAAGCGATTCTGATTAAAGGTCATAGACAGAACATCTCGTAACACGTTCGGAGTGTTCTCAAGCTGCCCAGGAACGATGACATATGCACCTTCATGTTCAATACTTGCAGTATAAGTCAGAACGTGATTTGATTCACAGAGCCGTTGAATCAAGATTGGCAATGCATCGTCACGTATAACATACTCACTTGAATTTTCCATACAAGACTTTAGGGTTCGAGCATAATTCATTAACTTTCTGAAGCGTATCCTGACAGAATCAAGCGTTCGTATGTAAAAGGAAGTAATCATTCCGGGGTCTGTTAAACTTGTTTCTTCTAGTTGATCATTCAAGTACTGATTAATATTAACTAGTATATCACTCACAAAACTGGTCAGATTCTTCGTCATTAGTTGATATCCATTTTGAATAAAAGGACATATGCTCGATAAAAAGTCCCATTCGTCTTCCAAAACTTCTGTTTCTTTAAAGCAATGTAAAGCACACCCTCTGTTTACTTTTCGTTTTAAAAGGTCGAAATATACTTTGAGCGATGACACCAGAACATCATTTAAAGCCTGACTTTTATCTGAAGTCAATTGATCATTGCATATTTGATCAACAAGAACAGCATGTTGTTGCATAATGTCAACAGCTAAGCTCATTGCGCTGCGAAGGTCATAAAGAAGAGAGTCTATAGTAAACGGCGACACGTTTAGTATACTCTCAGCATACGACATGCGTAAACATAGAATTTCTTTTATTAGCTTTGATGGAAACGATACCAAACGCAAATACTCATCCACATAACGAGGCAGATTGCATTGGTTTAACTCTTCACGGTAAGTTATCAAGGTATTACAAACCTTTGTAAGGTTATTGTTCAAGTTAACCATGATCTTAATCTCAAATGAACGAATCAATCCGCATTCACGGCACAAGCGTTCCACAAAAGGACCGTCTGAGATTTGTGCTGAATTGTTCGATAAGTGAGTTTTTTTTCGGGTTATATCCAGATCATCATTTCCAACCCAATTCCGTAAAATGTTGGTTTGTAATAGCAATGCATGTATACTATTAGAGTAAGCAGTAAGGACATCTAGTTTACGCTGAAATGACTCAGAAGCATAAAGACTATGATCTGCAAGTATAGCCCTCCGTGACGGATACAGCCTTTCATATTTCTCTAGTTTGTTCAGTAATCGATCAACAGCCTCTATCGGTGTATCTTGGTGATCCTCTTCCCAACGAAAATTCAGTATTGCTAATAGTAAATCTATCATACCCCCACGCATGTATTTTAAGTTTTCTTTTTGGTGATCAATAGAGCGGTGTGTTAACCAACACCATATTTCTAACCATAACTGCTCAGAATAATTGCTATCATCATCCTTTCGTGAAGAGGCTATTTTTCGAAGACGAAGTTTTTCAATTTTCACAATATCACTCGTGAGAACAGAATTCAGCATATATTGCCATTCAAAGCGTTCTTTGTTCTTAGGATTAGTCATCAAATCATTATCGATGAAGGATGGAAAAGAGAGGACAGATTGCCCCCAATTATGCGTTAAAGTTTCGGATTCCAGATCGGAATCCTCTCCATCAAAAGGATCCTCACTATTTGAAAAGTAAAAACTAATGCTGTCACGATGACTGCGAAAGCTATCTTCACGTCTTCTGGGCTCATGATGCTGGGCAATTTGTGTATCAATGTCCGGAGTAAAAGGACCAAGAGAACTATCCTTCGGTTGCGGTGACAATAGCGATGGTTCTTTAACTAAAGGATGCGAAGAATAGCCATTAACTTTAAGATTATCGAATGGATTTAGATCTGCGTTTTCAGCAGTAGTAGATGAGGCCGATCCAGGAGGAGTGACCAAAGTTTCGTCTGTACAAAGGCCTCTTGCCTGAAAGAAAGCTTTGTTAGAACTATACCTAGATTGCAACGGGGGACGGCTTAAGTGAATAGGCGTATTAAGCTGAGGAGGTTCAGCTGTAGTAGTGTCACCTGGACTAATAGCATATGCACTTGTACGGTCAATATCATCTATGTTAACATGATCAGCAGAAGTGGTTTTTTGAAGCGAATTATGAGTTTCTGGATGCTGCTGATATTCGCCTAGATATGAATTTGAGAAATAGCTATTAGCATGATCAAATCTGCTTTCATTTGGTGTGATAGGTAAGCCATTACAAGTATCAGGAAGTTGTGAAGATCGGCGACTTGTACGAGGTCGCCGTGGTGCTTTGAAAGCGTCTTCGGATTGAGCATCGGTAGCTGCTTGGGTAGAAGAGCGACGACTTCCAGGTTTTCTCCTTGCTTGTGCACCAAATACAGACGCAGAGAACTCTGAAAGATAAGTCAGCGATCGACGATGGCTTTTCTCAAAGGATCCATCTGAATGGTCTGTAGCTTTAGGAACGGGATGAGCAAAGGAGCTTCTACGAGAACTTAATGTGTTCGCCTGTAATTGACGTGCATTCTGCATGTTCAGGTTGAAAATATTCGAAGCTTGTCAAATAAATAGGGCAAAAAATAGTTCAACGCGGTCTGATAATTGGTCGTAAAATACACTTATTAAAGGAGGACAGACTAGCAAGACGATTAAAGAGAAGATTATATAAAGTTCCAAATTCTTTACTTTCTAAAATTATCGGAAGGCTAGATCAATATAAGCCTTGTTAAGAGACAGTCAATGTATGTCAAGGGTAAGGACAATGAATGCAATTCGATGACTATTAATTAATATCTTAGATAAACACTCGTGTTATGTTTCTTACAAAAAAATTGTCGCCATTCAAATATAATCAGTAGTGAAATGAAGATTTTCAAGCTGAACCGAATTTATACTTATAACAAGAATTGTCTCGAGATTAAACAGAATTAAGACAAAGAATTAATAATAATTAAGAAATAAAGTCTATTTGTCTTAAAAAAATGGTGGTAACCGGCTTCCTGAACAAACCCTTCAGATTCAACGAAATATGTGCTGAAAGGAAGTGCTAAACGGCAACTAAGGAATGGAGTTGCTCAGGTTTTATAATGCAGACTATGTCTAGCAATGAATTATACAATACATTATGAAATAGATTGTCTATTATAATAGTTATTTGTCTTGAACAAAAGAGAAAATGAATTTATTCAGATGTTCAAACGAGTGTTTATTGATTGACATATTACAATAAGTACTATACAAGAAACCAAGAAAAAAATCCATTTTATCCCTAAAAGAGGTAAGGTTATACATAGAATAAAAAGGATACGTTAGAGGTTTCGTCAAAGAAGGAAAGTCAGGAAATGCAATTTCACGACCTTAGAAATCATTAAGGAAAATAAGAGTTTGGAAAGGAAATACAGGCAAGTACCACTTTTTAGCATAGATAATGTAGGGAACAACGTATTTACCAAAGGAGGAAAGGGCGTCAAGACCTAAGAATGCATTAAAAGAGACTGAAATTGAGACTGCAAATATCTCACATGCTGAATCAGTTTCGGCAAAATAGAAGCATCAAGCTCAATGGAGCATGCATTTTCTATGGGGATATTCAGTTTGGAAAATAACGTTTGAGTTGTCTTGTCGGCAGAAAGCGAAATGTCCGAGTCGTGATGAGACTGTAAAGGATCCGCTAGGGTAATGATGGCTTCTGTATCTTGTAAAAGCGATGGATCCATGGAAGAAAATCTAGGATGACTCTTTGCGGTCTGAAACAAGAGTTCTAGGTCTAGAAAGTCGTTAGCTGAAAAATTCTTTTCAAAATAGAATATTAATATTGGCTCGTAACCTGAAATCCATTATACCTTGCATATCTTGTTTGAAATTTTTGATGCTTGATAACTGTTCTTGTACTGCCACACCTGTTTTATTGACGCTCTCAGGTATATTTAAGGCGAAGCTAGAATCAACTTGGAAATCCTCATCCCAGTCGTTTGTCGAAGAATCTGCAAATCGGAGTAAATCTGGACTTTTATTTTCAGTGTTACCGTTCAATGTATCCCCCGAAAGGGAGAGCTGTTCCCAGTCAGTATCGGTTGGTGAATCTTCCTCTTTTCTAAAAGGTATGTTGAGTTTTGCAAGTTGGAATTCATCTTCGAACTTGCCCTTATCCTTGACGCTGTCCTTCATGTCTTCAGACATCTTTGGAGCGGATTCGCATGGTATAATAGGAGAAGAGCGAGTATTCTTTGAGGCAGATAATGATTCAGAGACGATTGGTGTATGTACTGTAGAAGTTTCAGAAGTAGCTGCTATGGAACCTTTCGATTTGGCTTTCGATTTCCATTGGTAAGCCTTCATTGAAAGAGAATCGAACCTCCGATGACGAGCACCGGATTTCTCCGTTCTATCATCGAGTTTTTTGCACTCTTTAGCTTCATTAACAGTTGTCTTTTCGACTGAACCATCCTTCTCAGTAGCAAATATACTTGATGGGGACTTTAGTGAGGAAACTATTCTCCTAGAAACCTGTCTAGAGACATCTCGAATCGACTCAAATGTTGACGGCCAGCGTCGGCTAGGTTTTCTCTCAGAACACTCTCCTTCCATATCCTTCCGCATGCCTGCAAGGTCCGTACGTGTTCTTGCATGTCTTTGCGGAGGCATTCTACGGTTCATCTCTATACCATAACTTTTTCTCGTTTTAGGTTGTGCTTCCTCTGACAGACCTTCATGTTTACGGTTCTTTTCAGAAATCGTTTTGGACTTGCTCAACATTCGCGTCTAAACAATCACTTTTTTTATGCGTGCTTCTAAAACTCGCGACTCGTTTCTCATAAAACTTGCAGCCAAAACCTTTCTGTAATAACAAAATACCAAAATAAGACAAAAAACTAAAAATCGTCAGCAACCCGTGCCTTTTCGTTGTTTGTAAACAAACGCGCTCGTGTTTTCAGGTCGATGCCACATGGATTGAGTACTCTATCGAGACATCACTAACCACTTTTAGAATGCTCACTGCCTCTCTGCAAATTTAAATCAATATTTAAAAAACTACAGTATGAAAGACAAAGGCAGAAGAGAAAAAAGACCAAAGAAAGCAATTGAATACCTATTCCCAATACACAGAACCTTACATTGTTTGCTCTATCAAAGTTTTCTTGTCTGGTGCATGCTTATTAAGTTACTACAGTCAGTCATCACCAAGAGCGAGAAGTGAATACATTTGAATAGCTCATTTTTTAAAAAGAAAATTTTCGCTCTTCTTACGCCGTCAAACTACCAGCTAAATTACTATTTATATCTTGGAATTTTACCAAGCCCCTCCTTTCTCCCTCTGCTTGAAACGATATACAGTTTTCTTTAAACATATTCTACAAAACCATCCTACAGTACAATCTGCGCAGATCTAAAACAAAAAAAATTTATAATCAACCAATCCAGCCTTTTATTGTGCAAACATAAGCAGACAACAGTGCGCTAGAAAAACCAAACATTCTTCTAAGCAAAGACACTACAACTCATCCTTGGGGATCAATACCGAGATCTCCCAAGCGCACACATATAAAAGAAGTATTAAGAACGTAAGGCAAAGAAAAAGAGATAAATTAATAAATGGTGTTTCCAACCTATCGAATCGTAAGAATAGGAAGCAGACAAAGAAAATCGATGGCGTCTAGTGCACGGAAACTTTTAAAACACTTTTAAATCAAATCAGCAATGTTCATGGGCATCTCTTCAATGTGGGTGTTGTAGAATTGCTCAATTTCACGCATCATACGAACATCTTCGTTGGTAACAAAGTTAATAGAAACACCCTTACGTCCGAAACGACCACCACGACCAATACGGTGAATGTAGTTTTCGCGGTTAGCAGGGAGATCATAGTTAATGACCAAAGAGACTTGTTGGACATCAATACCACGAGCAAGCAAGTCAGTGGTAATGAGGATACGAGAAGATCCAGTACGGAACTCGTGCATCAAAGTATCACGTTGAGCTTGGTCCATATCACCGTGCATGGAAGAGACAGTGAAGTCACGCTCAGTGAGTTGCTCAGTAAGCCAGTCAACCTTTCTACGAGTGTTGCAGAAAATGACAGCTTGAGTAACTGTGACAGTCTCATAAAGGTCGCAAAGAGTATCGAGCTTCCACTCTTCCTTCTCAACTGCGACGTAGAATTGTTTAATACCTTCCAAGGTAAGTTCATCCTTCTTCACAAGAATACGGATAGGGTCACGCATGAATTTGGTGGTGACTTCCAAAACATCTTGAGGCATAGTAGCAGAAAGCAAGACAACTTGAGCACTAGGGGGCAAAAGTTGGAAGATGTCGTAGATTTGATCCTTGAAACCACGAGACAACATTTCATCAGCTTCGTCAAGGACGAACATTTGAACAGCGTCAGTGGGGAGGGCACGACGTTGAATCATGTCGTGAACACGACCAGGAGTACCGACAACGACGTGGACACCAGCTTGCAAAGCAGCCATATCGTCACGAACAAGAGTACCACCAATACAGGCGTGGCATTCAACATTCATCAAATCACCCAAAGCAACAACAACCTTTTGGATTTGTTGAGCAAGCTCACGAGTAGGAGCAAGGATAAGGGCTTGGCATTGCTTCAAGCTTGTGTCAATCTTTTGCAAGACAGAGATAGAGAAGGTGGCAGTCTTACCAGTACCGGATTGAGCTTGAGCAAGAACATCGCGCTCACCCAAAATAGGCATGATGGCCCTTTGTTGAATAGCAGAGGGACGCTCAAAACCATAGGCATAGATACCACGGAGAAGCTCCGGCTTCAAACTCATGTCATCGAAGGTATCAATAACCTCATCGTAATTGGTGTCAATAACCGAATCCTCCAGTTGATCTACCATCTTAGCAATTTGCTTCACTTGGTGGTGTGTTCTTGTTAAAAAAGTTTTGCAGCGAATTAAATAATGGAGTTGACACACAGTCACAAAGCGAAACTTTGTACCTCAAATATACATCCCAGTGTGGATTACAAATACATGATACCATGTTTAGAAATCTATTAAATATAATAACAGTATTTTTCATGTATGTTTAGATTTTTCAATATTTTTTTAAACGTATCTTAAGTGGCTTTAAACTTGTGGCGAGTCTTATTTTCGGGCTCAACTGTTTAAGGAAAGAATTCCAGCCACGATATTTTAAATAACGTATTAGTGTAGGATTCCAATTTATGGATAGCAAGGTACAGTGAATGCATTCTTAACAAACAATAATCTCTGAGTTACGACTGTAGGATTTTCTATTTAAAAATAAAGAATCATGGTATTTTATTATTAAAACTAGCAATTTGCCAGCTCTCGATAAGTAGATAATCTTTATTAACAATGAAACGATTTTTACAAATCCGATTGAAACTGTGTAACCAAGTCAAAACAAATCTTTAAAGTGTTTCTACCTTCACAGCAGGATGCCTTTGTTAAACAAAGGAAAGTTTGAAAATGCAATGAAAAAAGGCATGCTGTGAAGCATTAAACGTGTAAAAGAAAGAATCATAAAATGCAAATTCTGTAATATTAAGATACAACCGATAAGACAATAAAAAAACATAAAAATGAATGATCAAACAACAAAAGAAAGCCACGAGGACGGTCGATGAAAGGCAATGGGGAACGACAACATCGTACTATCTTTCATGATTTTTTTGATAAGCTAAATTTTACAAAGCAGGACCTGCTGCATTATGAGATGGAAGGACCAACGAATGAACAATATCTCTGTCTTCCGGATTAATCAACGAACTTCCTTCAGTACTATACAAGATTTCTCCACCCTCACTAATTAAGCCTCGGCCATCAGTTAGAAGCTTAATGTTGTGACCTTTGATAATTTGAACGAGCTCTGTTGTTTCAGTATGTCGAACTTCAATAAAATCTGGCTCAAATCCTAGAATATAAGGATAGCAAAGTGCAAAACTTAACGGCTGTCCTTCCCAATGAATCAACCAACCATGATGACTACGCCAGCCGTTTGTATTTACAAAGAATGCAAACTCAGAATAGCAAAGTAAAAATTCGCCCTTCAATCGAAACATTTCAATAGGACGGACATTCTCTTTTTTTTCTAAAAACCGAAATGAGGTATCCGCCGGATTTAAAAGTGACTGAAATACGGCACTTTCGAGACTGACAATGTCAAAGCCTTTCGTACTACCCACACAAAGCTTTGTCTTCAGAAAGTGAATAGACAGCGCTTCCATTGGCATCTGCAGTTCCTGCTAGGTGTTAGTTTCTTCTGGCATTTATTTTTTTTTACTTACAGTAAATATCTTCAAGGTTGTAGATCCTCCAAATGTCTTTTTCAGAGACTGAGACCGCTTATTTTTTGATGTACTATCCGCTTCAAAAATCCGGAGCGTGGTGCTTAAAACCGTAGACTTTACAGCGCATACAAGCACTCTTTGTAAACAGAACCCGCTTTTTACAAAGCTCACATGGCCCGTAATGCGGCGAAGACTCTTTAAACTGACCTGTTCTGCAGTATCAAGTAAATCAAGGGAACACTCATACAGTGTTTTATCAGCTACAATAAGCAACAAGTTATGCTGTTCAATCAAATCAACTTGCGTAATGTTTGTTAATGGAATCTTAAGTCTTGGCCCTAAACAAACACCGTTGCTCCCTTTTCGTGACGATACGTATAAGCCCCTATAAGAGCCGAAAACCAATTTTCGTCCTGCATCTGCTTTCGTTAGTAATTTTCTAACAGTAGTATATTTAGAACTTACCATAAGTAACTGCAGAAGTTATTTTGTTATTATAGAAATAAGCTTCATTACATAAACCGATTGTTTCGAATATAAGATGCTTTGTAAACAATGCTTGTTGTTGGCGCTCAATATGCTGCTTCCATTGGTCCCGTGCTATTAAAGTACTCAAATACAAAGAGATTTGAAAACCACGAGTTCCAAGAAGCTGCAGTTGTAGGCCATAAGATTTTAAAGGAGAGGAGGTAGTCCCTTTAGCAATTAGAATCGGATTTGTCAATATCGTAGAAGATGGACGACGAGAGACGGAACCGCGAGTTGAAACATCCTCCATGCAAGAAATAACCAATAACTCCAAAGGCAATGGTCGCAATTGCAACTTATGTTGTTCACGTTTTAAACCGAGTTTTAATTTAGTCAATAGAAGATAATTGTCTAAAAGGAACATATGAATATCACTTTCTGTATCACCATTAGTATATCCAGTAGCTTTTAATCTGACAGTTCCTTTGAAGATAAGCAAACGAGAGTCATCGAGCAAGGCAAGACGTTGTTTCTCAAAGTCGCTGCATGAAAGTTGCTCATTTAATTGGAGTAACGCAAGACGATTCTCAGTTTTACCGGTTTCGTAGTTAACCTTGGTTAGAAATTCACGTATCATTTCAATGACTTTCGGGATATTTTCTAAATCAGGGTTACCTTTTTCAGTGTACTTTAAAACCCCATTTAATAAGAGTGGATATCTTGCTAGCCTGGTAACTGGCTTTGTTAAATACCCATTAAGTTCCAACTTCCTAGATTCACGAAGTCTTTCAACTTCATGAACGTACTTGGCAAATGCGGGATTGGACCCTTTTTCCCTCTCAAACTCAAATTTTGCGACAGTCTGATTAGAACCATATCTAATGAACGGTTCAAACTTGGGGACATAGTCTAAAAAGATATCACCAACGCTATGAACTACTGGTTGTAAAGTCTGTACCCTATTAAGTGCATTAGAGAGTCTCGAATTAACAGCGTGCACCTGCATTATATTATGGAAAACCGTTCTAATGAATGGTTGTCGAAACTTTTCGGGAATTACGTTAGAGGTCGAAAGGGGTTTAATCCAAAAATCTCGGATATACTCTATATCACGAACGAAGTCGCGTTCAGTATAAATGATTTCAAAGATGATTTCTTGTCTCTTCCATTCGCGATTATCTATTTGCTCAACGATATGCTTAGGTACATTGTCTGACCAAAGACGATGCTCCTCTTCTTGCTTATCCACCAAGTAAGAAGCACCGGCTTTGAGAACAGGCTGTACCTTCATATGCAAACGAGCTTGTTGCTCTAGACGGCGAGGACAAGATATAGAATAGCACAAACGGTTTTTACTGCAAGTTGGAGAGTAACAATCAGTAAGGATCGTGAATACCCCTTTCGGGTCCTTTTCTGTTTCAGCTTCTTCAACAGAGTCTGAATCTTTCATCAAAGGAGTCGCGGAAGTTAAATAAGGCGCATGATTAAGTTGGGTAGAGGTAGAGGTAGATGGGGCATAGGAATTTTCAGACACAATGGAATCAACAGAGTCAGATGTCGAAGTTCTCTTCTCGGGGTAGACAAAATGGTTTTCATAGGAAGCGATAACTGGCGATATCGACGCCATAGCTTCAGGAGGAGGGAGTGTTCTTCGAAATTGATAAACTTCTTTGCGAGAATCACGCAAACGATGAGAGTAAGTAACGTCATGGAACAGTTTTTGAAAATCCAATGCTCGTCCTAAAAGTAATGCTAAATTTCTATCATTCGTCCGAATAATCTGCAGTAAAACATCAACAGCTTCACAGCCTAAAAATGCATCCTTGTATAGTAAACCATCTTTAACTCGATCGCCAACTATGAGACGCTTTCGGAACTCCACTGACACCTGGGACAAAAAAGCAGGATGGACTTGTTCTCGGTAAGCTGACAAAGAATTCGAAGATGTAGGAACAACAGAAGGCAAACTAGATGCAGACTTGGAACCACCATGGCGTCTTGACGAGGAAGCAGAAGGGCCCTCAGGATATTCCGCAACAGGCGTTATAAGGCTTCCGCTACTTCCATGCATATGAGGATAACTTCTGTGACTTAAAGAGTCAGGTGGATGGGTTGTGGTAAGCTTATAGTAGTGTTCAGTGACATTTGATTTCCAACTTGAACTATCATTGCGAGGTTTTACTTGAGACGAACAAAAATCGTCTACCGAGGTAGATCTACGGTAATAAGCAGCACTCTCATTAGTAGGAAGATCGCCGTTCGAAAAACCATGTCTGTGGGTTCCTGAGTTGGGACCAGAACTGGATTCAGGACGTTCGATATTTCGGACCATATCAGTCAAAGATGCTGCAGAAGAAGACGCACTCGACATACGGCTCGAAGCGCTAGATGTATGATTCGTAGAAAACTTCTGTAGAGAGGAATATCCTCGAAATTTGGCAGGCGTTAGACGAAGAGAGTCGCTACTTTCAGATTTTAGACTAGTCCTGTAATGTCCTCCATTACCTAGCATTTTTTGTGTATATTGTAAGGAATAGTAAAGTTGAGAGGAAGAAATTAGAGAACACGTCAAATCCTGAAAGAGCTAGAGAAGTTATATCACAAGGAGGGATCAAAAAATCAAAAAGAGGGAAAAAATATTAATTACGGTTAGAAGACGATACAATAATGATGGTTTCGAAGCATAGATGACCAAACAAAATTTCTGAACCAGTTAACGACAATGTTTTCTGAAACGACTTTCTGAGCTTACCTCCTGTTCTACCTTTTACTCCTTTATGAAAGGAAAGAAGGATAAATTTGCAGGTTTTCCAACCACAATTGTTTTCGTATGTGTTGTGTTTTCGACAGGACAATTTGTATACACGTAGACTTTACGCTAGTGTAATGGTTCCTCGTTGACTGGTTCCGTGTTGATCTGAAATTCAACAAACAAGCAGGTGACCATCAAAAACAACAAAATTATCTATAAAGATTTAAATAAGTTTAAAACTTTTTATTCTTTACTTCGCTGAATGAAGCCTGAGTACATAGCGTTGACTTTTGGATACTGTAGGTAATTTGGCTACTCGAGATCGAAGAGGACTTGGGATTTGTAAGTCGTGATCTTTTACATTTTATTTTTTGCTTACTTTCTTTTTGTTTTTTAGTACTTTGTAACAAAAAGGATCACCAGAGTATGCAAACATGCCAAAGCTTCGAATGAAAAACTTGTTACTTGCATGCATAAGTATCGCTGGCATGATTTTTATCTTCAACTATGTTGGGATTGAAGGCATGAAGGATTTAACCGAGCTCTCTATGCCAGAAGACTTTCAAGAAGATTCCAAGTCAGGAACGGAAAGCGCATCGGAAGAAATGCATGAAAGCGAAGCGGAACTTGAGCGTCCTTTAGAAATTATTAACGATAATGATGAATACGTAATTCGGAATCCTGCAAAGCAATCGAACATGAATGAGTTTGATGAAATTGAAGAAGCAAAGAAGATGAGAGTATATGATCCACCGGATGACGATAAATGGGAAGATGAATCTGTGTGGATTCCGCAAAAAATTTGGCAAACAGCAAAAAACCCATTTGAAAGAGATGTTTTAAAGTATACTCGCTTTTGGCGAAGCAATCACCCCAGTTACACTCATTACGTTTTGGACGATGCACAGTGTGAACGTCTTGTAACCAGGAATTTTGGAAATCCTTCCTTTTCCAAAATTTCTTCTGCCTATCAAATGATGCCTTTGCCTGTTCTCAAAGCTGATTTCTTTCGTTATTTAGTATTGTTGGCTCAGGGAGGAATATACACTGACATTGATACAACTCCCATCAAACATATCCGCGAATGGATTCCTAGAGAATTTGAAAAGGAGAATATCGGTCTAGTTGTTGGCATTGAAGCTGATCCAGATCGTCCAGATTGGTACGATCATTATGCACGTCGAATTCAATTCTGCCAATGGACCATTGCAGCAACTCCGGGACATCCTGTGCTTTGGGAGTTGGTTCATAAAATAACGATGGGCACTTGGTCTCTTCATGAGAAGGGCCAGCTTTCAGAAGACAAAGACGCCGTGATGGATTGGACAGGGCCTGGTATCTGGACGGATTCTGTGTTTGATTATCTAAATTGGCGATATGGTCCCTTTACATGGGAAAACGTGACAGGAATAGAAACTCCAAAGCTTGTTGGTGACGTATTGATTCTGCCTATTACTTCTTTCAGCCCTGGTGTTGGGCATATGGGTTCCAAGTCCGCAAATGATCCTACAGCCTATGTAAAGCATTACTTTAGTGGCTCTTGGAAAGGTAATTAAAGGGGCATCTACAATTTAGCTATGATTGTTGTTTATTGTTCAAAAGATGTTTCTCACTTATCTATCCATAAAATGAAACTAGCTCTTGATACTTTTTTCTCTCTTTGTTTTTTCTCTATAATTTTTTGAAACTAATAGTTCTTTTAATTACATCTTTATTAAACTGTATGTCGGAAAAGAAATGACTGTAAAGTCTCGTTGGATGAGAGCTAGTAGCTGTTTCTTTGGTTCCTTTTTTTTTTCCTTCTTCTTCAACTGAACTTTTTCAACGTCAGCAATCTATAAGATCCATTTTTGTACTTATTCTCCTGTAGAACTTGGGAATTGTTTGTTTGTTTACGCCTAAAATGTTGTTTAATACACCTAAGCAACAGAAATTCCATCCCAGGTAACAGTAAACAAGTAAATGTACGCATTGAGCGATCCATATACCAAAAGTATGTAGAAATGAATTGGTTCCAGAGTATATTATTCGTTGCATTTCTTCCGGTGGTCCTTGCCTCAGTATTAATACGGAGAATTGCATCGAACACTATTCTTGCCAGGACAAACAACGCCTTTAATGCCTCCCAGTATGGTTCCATTTAGTTTCATTTATTAAATTTTTATATAACCTTGGTAAATTCTGCCTTTATAGATGTTTCAGAAAGTAATTGAGAAATTGTTACCCCGTGAATTGCTTTCAATATAAATGCTTTGTTTACACACGCGCATCCTGTCCAAAGCACAACATCTTTGGAAGAGGTAAAAGGTACCGGTTCTAGGAATACTGATAATATCACCAGAAAACTTTAAAGATAGATATTTAAATACGAGAAATTAATCTTACTTAGAGATTCATGACTTGACTATTCAAGGTCAATTGCTCTGTTAAACCAAATTCTCAATTTTCGAAACCGAATCAAACCTTAAAGACAATGGATCAAAAGAAAAATAAAACAACTAGTCTCTTTTCTACGGGCTCTCCTTTTATTGAACAAACAAAATTTGGTGTAAGGTTGAGTCCTTCCTATAACACTAGATGGTCAGCACCATCGGACATTCTTTTTCAAAAATTTCATGGAAATATTAATGTTCCTAAGAAAATGGATGATATAATTCAATCTCTTTCTGAGTTAGATGCGAAGCTTACGGAGCTTTCAAAACTGGTATTACCGATTGGGCTTCAGACAGGAAGTGCGATTAACCTAGAGGAAATTCAAGGGCTTTTCAGAAATGATTGGGTATTGAATGACCCAAAGTATTTAAAATTCAAAGCCTTTGTTGAGAATCTGAAACAGGGTCTCTTAACTCTTCAGCACAACAAGCAAGGTACTTTGAAGGAATTATATGAAAACAATACATCAACATTTATGGCCTCCAATCAGTGCACAGCAAGAGATTCTGAAATTGATCAGCTTCAATCAGGATCGCCAAAACGCCGGTCGTTTACCTTGCTGGACGTCAATGATTTGGCTACTGCAACTTATTTACTTAGCCAGCTTTTGTTGGAATACGGTCATTTAAGTAACTGGAACCATTCTAGAGATGCCATGGTGTTTGAATCTATGTCATCTTTCGCCAGAGAAATTGATAAATTTCGTAAATCTATCAACTATAGCATCATTCACACGAAGGAAAGATATCTAACTCTGGAAGTCGAAAATTCTCAAAGGAGTAAAGAAATGAATGTTGTTAAAGAATCTCTTCTTCAGAATGAAAAAACGCTTGCTGCCAAAGAAAAAAGATTAAAGGATCGTCAACTTGAGATGCGGGCTCTTCAGCGAAAGATTGAGAGCTTAAGAAGCTTAAACTGGGGCCTAACTGCTAGGGTGAACCAACTGACGAAAGAATCCCAAGAACATCAACAGTCTTCCGAAGTTCTTCTGAGAAACTACGATACTCTAAAAGAAGAATCAAATCAGCAATTAAAGGACAAGGAAATAGAGAGCATGAAATTGACAGAGCTGGAAGCCTTGGTAAGGAGTTTAGAAGACGAGAAAGCAAGCAATTTAAAAGAGGAGAATGAGCTTCGAGAGACAATAATTCAACAAGAGAAGGATATGCAACAGCTAAAGAACTCACTTAACTATGAAAAGGATTCGAAAGCGTGTTTAGCTATGCAGTTAGAACAACTTCATTTACAAATTTCCCAACTAAACAAAGATATTAGCCTTAAAAACGACGATCTTTCAACTGCGAATATGTCTTTGAAATCAAAAAATCGCGATATTGATGGTATAAAGGAAGAACTGACCAAGCAAAAAGCTGACTATATTTTTCAAGTAAATGCAAATAAGCAAAGATATGATCTCCTGCATGAAAGTTTCCAAAAGGAAAGTCAGGAGAAGGCTGACCTGGATCTTCAGAACCAGTCTTTGCATAATGAAATTATTCTTCTTCAAACTGAAATTGAACAGCGCGACTTTGAAATTTCAAAATTGAATGAGCTATTGAATAGGGATGAAACACGAAGGGATGAAACCAATGAGAAACTAAACCGCATGTGTCGAGAAAAAACTGATTTAGTATCTAAATTGCAACTCCAGAAACATACCTACGAACTTCATAAGGAGAAGTATGAAAAAGTCTTAAGAGATCTGAATAATAAAACTCAAGCTGAAATTGAATTTAAAAAAGAAAAGAGCCGTTTGGTCTCCGAATTGGCTTGGATTAAATCAGAGAAGGAAACAATGACTTCCGAAATTGCTGAGAGTACGAAGAAGTTAGGAAGGTTCCAGGAGCAAACTAAGGAACTCGAAATTGAGCTTTCAAAGTTGCAGTCCAACCATCAGGAAGTACTCTTTAAGTATAATACACTAATGAATTCATCAGAGGCAATGAAAGAACAAATCAAGGATCAGTCAGTGTTTCAAAGAGAAATTGAGAATTTTAACCAGCAAAAAGACACCCTTCAACGATTTTTACTTTTTTCAGCTCAATGCTTTGAATTGGATACCAATGCGGATGTGAATGAGTTTTTCAGAGATCTCAAATCTGGCATGAAATGTTTCCAGTTACTATTTAACATGTATAAAAGGTTATGTAAACAATGTGATCTTCCTTTTATAATGAGTACCAAGCAGTTGAACGAGAAAGAATTGACTAAAGACATACGGATGTTGTCAGCAAAAGTTAGCACTTTACGGGAGTTGTATGTTCAAAAATCCAAAGAAGTAAAGAAATATGATCTAGCGCTAAAAGCTTTCATTGATGAAAAGGCCTTGTTGGCTAACAATGCAACTACAAGCATGGAGTCTCCATTACAAGGAATGGAAAATAAAATCACAAATCATGAAAGTCGAGTAAGTCAGTTGATTAAAAGCTTTGATACCCCTCGAACTTCCCCTATCAAACAGTCCTCGTTAGAATCGATGCTTAAATCACCTCCATCGTATGAAGAATCAACAAAAGCTCAAATTGAGCAGTCCTCAAAGGACCTTAGACGGGGTTCTGTCGCAATTAATCAGACATTATTGAGGGAAAACAAGTTTTTGAGGATTTTGGTTGATCGCCTTAATAAACTTACCGGAAACACTCCATATGCTGATACAGAAATGCATACGGGAGTTGAATGTTTGACATATAAATCACTGGAAGCAGCCTTCGAAACACTTTCCGATAGTAAACGATCCCTCCTAGTTGATTTGGCGGAAACAAAAAACCAACTGCAAGAAGTAAACAAAAGGTATCGAGATTTAAGCCTAGTTTTAGACGATGAATTTCCTCCCAAAGTGGAACGCATCCTGGATAACTTCTCTCCACATGGTGAGCAAATCAGCAGTGAAATTCTAGTTCGAAAGTGTCAAGAACAGCTTTTAGAAGAGCTACGCAACGTTCGTAGCTTGGAGAAGTTGTTAACTGAAGAAAGATTAAAATCTAATGAACTTTCTATTCACCTGCAAAGGCAACACGAAGAATTAGAAGTCTATAAATGTAAAGGAAAGGTGGAGTAGAACGTACTACACTATCTCTACTTTATGGAAACATTGGCAGTGTTTTCGTCCAGTCGTTTAGAGATAAATAACATATATGTCATTAATTTTTTTCGATAACAACATAACATGCATGTATTTAGATATATTCTTTATTTTTCAAGAGCGATTATCCTTCATCTTGAAGAGATTTCTTACGGAACCATTTGTTTACCACTGCACTTCGCTATGTCTCATTAGAGTATTTAATGAATCAAAGCTTCGTCGTTATCGTATAAGTCTAACCCAAACAAAACATCTACATTTGACATTTACACATCTCCAGATAGATTTATATAGATGAGTAAAGCAGTAGATCTTAATGTTTTGCGTCAAAAAGCCTTAGAATCCGCAAGAAAACAGTCCGAAGAGGAGTCAGATAAAGAGGATGGAGAAATAAGTGAAGACACAACCGAGTCTAATAACAATGGTATGTGCTATTTCTGAGATGGGACGTAATGTAGAGGATCCAAGCTATGTTTCGTTATTCATTTTCCCTTGACGTATATTTTCTTATAGAAGGGAGTTATCGTGAGGTATCCGCGATCTCCGTAGTCTTCATTGAAAGCCCTATAAAAGACATTCAGTTGTTTAACCAGTTTAGTCCCAGTTCCTCCTTTATTATATCCGAATTCTGCCCCACCACAGCCTCCAGTAGACCGGTATGTTTGTATAATAAAAAATAAAATAAGAGCAAAGCATTCGATACCTTGACTGGCGTGTTTGTTTGCTTTGTGATTTAACGCGATCGAATACAATTACTAATGGCTTCAGGTTTACACCCACAAATACATTTCCTTTTCCATTTGCACCGCCTTTTATGCTTCCTTCAGCATTCTTCCTTGGATCACAACCTGCACCGCTCGCGCCTTCGAAAGAAGCTCAAGAGAAAATGAAGCCGCGTCGGTCATCCAAGCCAAACAACGAGACATCCTTTACGAGTGGTCGCAAGTCTAGTCTTGTTAGAAACAAGACTCCTCGCATAGAAAAGTCATTGGAATCCCGCCCGATTCCAAACCGGAAAGACTCCAGCAGTATATTATCTGAAAGACATGATGAAAATAAAGTGGTAAGGGTTGAAACCGATACTGGTTTATCTGACGGTTTACAAACATCCTCAAAACAAATTGAGGCGGAAAATGCGATCAATCAGTTAGTTGGTTTTGGTGTTAAATACAATGATTTTGTTGCTGAAGGCATTCATCCTTCTGTTGTACGAAGCCTTTTCTCTAAATTAGGCATCGAGCTTCCTTCTATCACCGTGCCTCCCTCTGCGGCAACTTCTGAAAAGACCGATAAGCCCTCTGGTGTAAAGCAACCTCGAAAGTTGGACTTGTCTTCAGATGATTCAGCGATTCTTCCTGGTGATAGCGGGACACCAACGATACTTCCTCAAAGAAAGCGTCTAAAACCATCGCCTCGTCCTATTGTAGACGAATGGTTAAATTCATCAAAGCCATTTGGAATTTCAAGCCCTCATATCGTTATTGAGCTTGATTCTGAAGATGAGCTGGCATATGAAAACGACAGCTCCTCAACATCTGAAGTATCGATTTCGACAGACCAAACAAATTCTTCTCGATTAGATTCTCTTGCTTTGTTGCGTAAAAAGGAAGATGAAATTCGAAAAATGACCGAGATGATTATGAAGTTGGAATCTTCGAAGAAAGCGACAAAAACTACAAATGTTAAGGAAACACTACCTTCGGATATCAGAAAAGACACTGATCAGAATGGTTTATCTTCCAAGTTAACTGCCAATACTTTAGATAATAGCGGAGCGAAACGTCTGACCCCTGATCCAGAGTCAAGTTCTTTATCAGAGGTTGGGGGCCCAGTTACCGTCTCAGAAAGTCACAACGTTGAAGAAGAATATGCTCCTTGGCTTAAAAGTGTAGATGAAACTGAAATTTCAACGAAGTTACAGTCACAGCCAGCAGAGAATCAATCGTTAGTGGATCAGAAGGATGAGCTGGCTAAAATTAATAAGCTTATTGAGGAAGAAGAAAATGACCTAAGTAAATACCAAGCAATTGTGAATTCAAAGAAAGAAACTTTAACAAAGCTGTATTTCAGAAAAAAGGAAATGCTTTCTAAGGTTGGAGTTGAACTTTCCTCGTTGCTGCATTCTGAGTCTACTAAAGGCGATGTTTCTATTGACAAAGACAAGATGCAAAATAACACTAATATTAGCGAGAATAAATTAAACGTGAATGGTACTAGTATGGAGTCTAAAGAAAGTTCTCCACTAGTCGAGACTATTCGCGTACCACCGGTTGACTACATTTCTCCTTTGTATAGATTTAAGGCTTTTCGTTTTAACAGCCAATTTTTGGAAAAGGTTCCGGCTGGTTTTCGGTCTATAATGTATAGCAATAAGGCTGACCCAATGAGGATAATGTGCAAATATGAAACTACAGGAGGAGTTTGCAATGACGAGCAGTGTGAGGCATTCCATTTTCGGGATTTTATTATGACGGGTTATGGTACTTATTATGTTGGACTAATTACTAACTCGACGTAGATAACGAAATTATTGACGAACTGGCAAAACATAACGAGGGAACAGATGACGAAGAAAAGGAAAGCTTTAGCAAGGCTGTCCAAGATGTCGTCACTAAAGAGAAAGAGAAGGAATCCGATTTTAATACGATTTGCCAGGCGATCGTTGATACGCATAATCGATGGAAAGCAGAACGACTAACGATTCCCATTGCCAAAGTTTCGATTTGAGTTTCTATTGTCTATCATTAAACATTTCAAATTGCACGATGACTAAACACTTTCTGTATGCTATGCGTTTGTTATAAGTCTACTGGACACGAGCGCTTAAAACCTCCTGCATACTATGAAGATACATAATTATTTTAGTGTAATATTACTTAATATCTTAGGGTAATTTTTGGTTAGTTGAAAAGAACATTGTTCTGAAGTCGAAAATGACTTGTTAAGTTCATTTTTTTTTTTCTTTTCAACATGGTTAGACTTTAAAAAAGTCGCATATACGCAGATACAGGACATAATGAGTTGTTTTATATTTAATAAAGATTATAATAATTGGTATTCGAATATTTATGACAGCGTAAAAGGGAGAGATCAAGAGTCCATATGTATAATGAGATCATTAGTATATTTTCCAAAGAGAGATTCGAGAATCCTTGCTGGCCAAAGCGATGATATTAGAGTTTGAGTAGAAGGATAAAGAATTGATGGTAGAAGAATGGTATTTTAAAACAGCTAGAGGAAGGAGGCTTTTACAGCTGTATATACGACTGCGACCATCCCAACCTGCGGTAGCAATAATTTGATCATCCTGGCGAACTTGCAAACATTGTTGACCACAATGCTTTGACCGTGTTACTTTGGGCTCACTTTGAAGAGAGTGGTTTATTAATGTAGAGTGCAGTACGATCCGATCGTCTGCACTAGAAGAATATAATGCATTGGCAAGTTTATTATACTTCACTGACAATACTGGTTGAGAATGAGATTTTTCAAAATAGCTCATCTCCCAAACGTCTTGATAATTGAGACAGACGTTCCGCGCATTGCTTAAATTGCATTGAAACTGAGCTACATGGCCACTTTCGTAACCAGCAGCCAGCAAAAGATGCTCCCCAGAGGAAATTAGAGACGTGCACATTAAAGCACCTGTCTTTTCATTATTCGTGGTGGGTCTTATTTTATTTTGAAGCCTTGTCCCATAACTGTCTTGATTCGTGTTCTCCGATAGTAAGTCTCTTGCTTCATAAATATCGATTTCATCAACATTGACGGTGTTTGAAACTGCCAAGACCTTTGCATATTTATCATAAGAAAATGAACAAAAAGTCAAAGCATTGATGTGAATGCTTGAGTAGATGGTAATTAAATCGTTGCTATTATAGGAATTCATTTGAGAGAGAGCATTCTCCTGTGATTGCCTGCGGCTCAGTTCAGACAAAGGTAGAGAAGAAGTAATACGATCAAAGTTAATTTTCCAAACGCTTAAGCGACAATCTCGACTTTGCGTACACAAAATGTCATTATCGATGACTTCCATTCCCAAAATATTTTTTGAATGAGCGTACCAAGCCTGCAAAGGGCGCATATCTAAAAGGGACCAACAAATAACAAACCCATTTTCGTCGCCTGAAAAAAGATGATTTTTCTTATCGAAAGCAACGGCAGTAACACTAGATGAGTGTCCACGTAAAACGTAAAACGGCGTAGGCACAACCATGAAAGCTTCCTCTTTTTTCTTTTCGCTTTTCAATCTATCAATCTTTCGTGTTAGTGAGAACTGTTCATTTTATGATATGTAAGAAAAAAAGTACTCTTTGATGATTTGGGTCTAAAGGGTAAGAGAACTATGCCTGGCAAGAGTTGCCGTGAAGATGTTAGTGAGACTTGAAACCTCCACGAAGTAAATTTATGTTTATTAACTACATTATATCACAAAAGGTTGATTGTTTTTGTTCTTTTTTGGAGGCGGATTCATAGGTTGATTCTCGACATCTTACAGTTTCTCTGAAAAAGTTCTTGAATACGACTTGTAATCTAGGAAAAATTAACTTGGTTGGTAATTACCTATATCTTTTTCTTGAGCGCTTGCAATTTTCATTTTCACATTGAGATACGAACAAACATGGAAACCTCATATCATTCAAAATACTCAACATTGAACCCAACCTTTGAAATGTGCTTCAAGTAAATTTGGAGAACTGACGGACATAGCTATTTTTGTTTTTAAAGAAGAAGCTGGATTACTGAATAGTTTTTTCTGTAAATCCTTTAGGAAATGCAGCATTAGTTATGGAATCCCAATTTTCATAGGGTTTAAAAAAACTTATTATGATCTTTGATACTCTGTACGAACAGAAAATATCTAGCACTATTATGTCGACATAACAAGCTTGTCATCTGTGAAGAGAATATGAAGAGATTCAAGTACCAAACATTTCGATACTTCTTATATGTTGGCATTGACGCCGAAGAATGCCAAGAGTACAGTAGATTTCCTCATTAAGTGAAATATATTGATACCCTTTCTTGTGGAAAAGACTGCTTGTTATTGAGTTGTAACAAGTCCAACTAGCTTTGAAATCCATCATACGGGAACGTATATACGCCTTCGAACAATAATGATAAGGTTCACAAAGTACAAAGTTTTCTGAGATATTTTTCTGAATAGTTCTTGTTGTCCAGAATAAATCAAGCCTCAGTAGGGAATACTGTTTACTAAAAAAGGCGCCTGATGATATGGAGAAGTTTTGGAAACTTGATTATAATTGTACTTGATCTGAATTCATATACATACTTTTATATTTTAAGAATTCTTAGAGAAACACTTCAAAGTAGTGTTTCCTTTCTGAATTCCGTTAAACATATTCATTCTGGATGAACCATAATTTATTCCGAATAACTGTTTCTCTCAACATTGGGACTTTTTTACTGCAATATGAAAAAGGTTTTTTTTTTCTGGATCCTGAAACTTTTGAACTCGTTAAGTAAACCTTTTAGCGTTCTGTTTATTTCTGTGTGTTTCTAACATTAACTACTGCCAAAACCTTTTCATTGTTGTACATTCACCCTTTTTCAACTGGTTTTCTAACAAAATTACCGCCCGTCAAGTCATTTCTTAAACTTAAGGGCCCGTTACTTGCCGAGTAACAAGGAATAGTAGAGAGGTTTCAATATATCAATCTTTTCTCGTACAAGTTTCTAAATTGCAGTACGCCAGGACATTCCTTGAGGAAAAAAGAATGCATATGTTATAAAAAGACTAGCATCCTTGGTCCTTAGCGTCCTCTTTTGGCTTAGAAGCAAAAAATGTAAATAGTAACCCTGGAATATGACAATTAATACAGGTTACGAATTGAAATAAAAAAGAGGAAAGAACAAATGTTGAGGAAGGTTAGTTTGCTGGTCTCAATTACCATTCGACAAAAGGATATGGCCAGAAAATAGATGTTGTTTCTGGCGAGCTATTTCTTCAACTATCATTAAGAATGAGAAAAGTTAACATCTTTTATAAGCCAAGTTTTCTGTTCCAGTAAATTGAAACAAAAAATGACACTAATGGCTAAACAAATCCTACGGTTGCTTTGGGTTGGGTTTAAGAATTGAAACTACTCTAAACAAAACACTTTAATAACTCGAGAACAATCTTCAACTTGTTACAAGACGTACGAAGATTAATGTTATGAAAACGAATTGATCAACCTTTCAAAGATTTTCTTCTTGTGTCTTTCATATTTCATGCTGATAGCCGTTCTTCTTACTCTTGTGCTGTCTTGGATTGCTACTACGTACCTATATTTTCATTTAAATGTTGTTTTTTCTGTCATAAAGACGAAACATTTATTTCCTTTAACTTGGGAATTCCAAAAGTACGCCAACAAGTGGGGAGAAATTAGTTGCAAATATTAAAGATTGACATATGGCTTCTGTATTATTTTCTTTAGGTTTTACGTTGTAAAGTTTAGGACTTGGCAATAGATACAGTACTCAACTGTTGTTACATAAACATGGTATAACAATAGCAAAGCAGCTTTTTCATTCAATCTAAGCTATTCATTCATAATTTAACAGAAGAGAGATTTCCATAGAAATGCGTATTTTTTCCCGTTTTTCGTTTGAATTTAATACCCATATTGGAAATGAACCCGTTTAAAGTGATGTTCCCGAAACGAAAGCAGTCTCATATAAACAAATCTTCATTGGATGCACATAAATAAGGATTGAACATTAAAAAGAGAATCATAAAACGAGCGATGAATTTACTCAGAGAAATTGTTGAAGGCAAGAACATTAGGAGTTCCTTCGGGAATTCCTTCGATTTTATCGTTCAAGGCATATTTGAGCATATACTTCTTGAGATCAGCGGGCTTGTGAGCCAAAGAAGGTTCAAGTGAAATGAAGTAAGCAGCCAAACCAGCAACATGGGGAGAGGCCATAGAAGTACCAGAAAGTAACATAGAAGCCTTGTTAGATCCAATCCAGTCAGAAAGAATAAGGGATCCAGGGGCAAAAATGTCAACGCAGGAACCATGGTTACTAAAGGAAGAAATGCCATCCGTCCAAGTCATAGAACCAACCGTCATGGCGCTACTCACACGAGAAGGAGAAGTGTTGCAAGCATCTTCAGCATCATTACCAGCAGCAACGGCGAAAAAGAGGCCACCATTGATGGCAGCGCTGACAGCAGAATCTAAAGCTTGGCTGGCGTCACCGCCAAGAGACATATTTGCAACAGAAGCAACGGAATCGTTGTCATTCTTGGATTGCTTGAAAGCAAATTCAATCCCCTTGATGATATCAGAAGTACTTCCGGTACCATCAGCACGCATTACCTTGACAGCCACGAGCTTAGCATTCTTGGAGATACCAAAGTTCTTTCCAGCAATCGTACCAGCGACATGAGTGCCGTGACCATGGTTGTCTACGTCCTTCTCGCCGTTAGGAATGGTAGCTCCCCAAGTAGCGCGGCCGCCAAAGTCCTGATGATCTACGTTGATACCAGTGTCAATTACATAAGCAGTAACGCCCTCTCCGGCGGTTTCATTGTAATTGTAGCGAGTAAAAGTAGTCAGACCCAAGCGATCACGGTGAGAAATGCGAGCAAGGCCCCAAGGAGCAAAGCGTTGCTCCGTTGTGATGTGCATGACATGATCAGGCTCGACTAAAGCAATGTCGGGGTGCTTCTTTAGTTCGTTCACAAGCCAAGGAGAGAAGCGGGCGGCATATCCCATGAAGGAATCGCCAATTTCAAAGGTATGCTTGAGGAAAAAAGTAGACACATCTTGCCAGTCAAGAGAACGTTTATGGTGCTGGTGTTGAATCCACTCATGATGGCTATTAATCTTGGCTTTGTCAACAGAGGGCTTAAACATAACAATGTAATGATCGTTGGTTACCAACGATGACCCTTCCACGTCAACGTCATGGGGGTTTTGAGCAGGATGATTAAAAGAGGGAGGTGCAATGCCATTGCCGCTGGAAACTGGGGCATGAACATTTGGAGAGAACGAGTCATCATCCATAAAGAGGCGCAAAGGATTAAACGCAGTAGAGATGCTACAAAGCTGAGCAGCAAACACAAGCCCAGCGGCAAAGGAAAGCTTCATGATACTGGTGAAGAAAAAGTTAAGGGGTCTACAAAGTAAGAATTCAAGAACGATCAAAAAACAGTAAAGAATGAACCTCAATTCCAATGAAAGAGATGTAGAATGGTTCTTTATGCAACTTACGATGAAAACAGAAAAGAACAAAGGTGAATGAATGCCTATTTTCAAAACAATGCAAGAGTCCTACGATGTGATGTGTTTTGGTTAAGTTCAGAATGTCTCCGATGTAAGCATTTATAGAGTTCCAAGGAGGAATTGTTTTGAAGCAATCTTGACGTAGACAATATTGTAGTTTTCAATTTTTCTTTCTTTTCTTTATATTCTCTATTTTATTTTCCAAAACCAGCTAAAACGGATCTTGACCTCGAGAACTGATCTTTTTGGTTTCATGTAAACAAACAGACAAACAGACAAAGCCAGGAAGCAGACGAGAAATTCCCAAGCCAAAGCAAAATTAGGATTGAAAAAGAAAAGAGAAAGGAAAAGAAAAGAATCATGGCAGAAATAACCTTACTCAATTACTATCTTTTTGAACGCTTCAAGTGTAAACATTCTTGTTTTATATCCAAGCTTGCTTTCTTTTCCATTCCTTTAAATTCTGAGTCGAGTTTCGTTTTCGTCGCAGTTTTTCTTAATTAGTTTACTTTTCTTTTTGAATTAAGCTATACTTTCGACTCAAATTTCTCTCGCTTCAATCTTTTCTTTCTTTCTTGCTTTCTTTGTTTACTTGTGAAATATCGTCGATTTTCCTATCAGAACACAATACGTAAGTAGCCTTTATTCATAGTGGCGGCTCGTACTTTAGATAAAGGCACCTTTAACGATAAGAAAAGAACCAAGGGACTCTCTCTCTGACTAGAGCCAAATAGTTGTCTTCAGACAAAAGTTGATATTCCAATTTAAAAAGACACAGTAAAGTGTACACGCTTAATTTTAGTTGTAGAAGAGTTGATTCATTGTCTTACTAGCTTTAACCTTTTTCTGGTTTATAATTTTAATTTTTCATTTTTCATCCAATTTCTATTGTTTTTCTCCTTTCGGCTTATAACGATTTCCTTTGATTTTCGTTTCTTCTCTTACTTCTGTTTCGCTAGTCTTTTTGGAGTTGTTTTTTTATAATGTCAGAACAGAATCCTCCAGGTACATATCCCAACAAGGCAGCCGCTACAACGCTTGCCGTCATTGGCACCGTTTGCTGGTGTGTCCAATTAATTCCCCAAGTCATCAAAAATTATCGTGGAAAATCCACCGCTGGTCTTGATACTTTGTTCATTTTTAGCTGGGTGATCGCCTCAATTCCTCTTGCTGTTTATAACCTGGTCCAAGACCTTAACATCGCTCTTAAAATTCAGCCTGAACTCTTTCAACTACTATCTTTGGTCACCTTTTTCCAATGTCTACTATACGGTGAAGGTTGGTCGGCCCGAAAATCTCTTCTCGTCGTTGGCCTATTTGGTGCTCTTTCTGCCGGTTTGCAGGCCATGCTCATTCTTACCGTCCAACTGGGCATTCGTCGTCATGTCGAATGGCCTGTCACGTTAATGGGCGTTTTATCCACAATCCTTGTCAACATTGGCTTTCTTCCTCAATATATCCAAATTTTCCGCATGAAAGCTGTCCAGGGAATTTCATATATCTTTTTGACCATTGATTCTATCGGTGCTCTCTTTTCTTTCATTTCATTACCGTTTGATCGATGGGATGTGCTTGCTGCCATCGATTATGGTCTCGTCTTCGTTTTAGAGATGGGTCTCTTTGCCTTGGTCTTAATCTTTAATGTTTTGCTTCGAAAGAAACCTGAAACCTACAGTGAAAATGAAGACGCTCAAACTGGAGACGATGAAGAAGAAGAGTCAAAGCCGACAATTCTTATTCGAAATCCTAGCTCCAAATCTGGTTACACCGTCAATCCCGAAGAAAAATCAATTTATATTCCTTAAATAACCTTTTTATGTTCAGCTTACGGGGTAATTACAAGTCCATGATCCTCTCGACTTGCTCATTCGCTATATTCCGTTATTCGTGATCAGAACCATGACAAGACTGATCTATGTCTTTGTGAATTCTGATTCCTTTTAATTATTATTCCCCTTTCGCTTTTGAATTTCGTTTTATTTATTGTCTTTTGAGTTTATTTACTATGTATTAAGGCTTTTATCGGTGGCTAAATAAAAGTATTTTATGGTACTAATTCAGCAAAGTGAAATGTAGCTTTTCGATTAGAATTTAGGATTTGCTTTTCATTTTATGTACGAGTGACTTTTTATACTAATGATTGCTTAAGTCGATCTTCAATCAAAGACCAGTTGATACTTTGAAACCATGTATCAATGTACTGCTCGCGTTGAAAGAGACCAAAGTCTGTAAAGTAAGCATGATCCCAAAGACACAGATTTAAAAGTGGAACATGGGAATAATTGCGCGGTCTAGTACTGTGATCAGGAACAGAAGGAACGAGATGTGGATCATTGGATTGCCATCTTGTCCACAGAAAAGGAGTTCCTGCTTGAAATGTTCGAATCACCTGTAGTCTGTTATAGTCATCTAAAACCACCCAAATCCATGCGGCACCGAATGTATTGGAAGCAAGTTGCTTTATTTTTGACAGCAAGTCCTCTTTTGACTCAAAATTTTCAAGTACCACTTGTTGAATAACAGGATTACTTTCAAATTGGGTCTTTGAGTCTTCTTTAGCCTTTTCAGCTCCTATTAAGGACTCAAAAAAGAAATGATTGTTGTATGCTTGACTTGCAAACTGGAACGTAGCTGCATGTTCTGGAAGTACAGCCGTTTGAAAGATAATGTTAAAAATAGAATGATCCTCAAGCTCGGTTCCTTTCACTCGATCATTCAAACTCTTTACGACAAGTCCCTGATGCTCATCCCAAGCGACCTTCACTCCACGATCGCTAAATAGTGGGTTTAGTTTTCTCTCAGGGATCTCAGGAACCGTATGATAGCATCTGAAACGATTCCTCTCTATTCTGCTAGGTATGCTCTTGCAACATTGCAAAAAAAACGAATGTGGACTTTGGCAACGAACGCCGTGAAATGCTGAAGGGATTCTCAAGAAATTCATCGAAAATTATTTAAAGAATAGAAATGCTACTATAGGAAACTAAAAAATGGGGGAATTAATCATTACTTTACCAAACCTCTAAATTCAATGGTGACTGAAAATGCAAGCTTCCGGTAAGCGGTTCTCTCCAGCAAACGTCAGTTCGACATTTAAAGGGAAGATAATTTCCATAATTTTTTGCTTTGAATAAAACTTATTTTTATTTCTAAAAGGAATAATCTTTGTTTACGCTTCTATCAACCACTTTTTTCTTCATGTACATTTACGTACAATAGCTACTCACATAGCATTGTCTGACACATTACTGGGATAAACTTACTAGTTACATTCATTAAAAGTATATTTCATTCCAAAAAGTCATCATAAATTCATGTCGGAACGCAATTCCAGTAGAAAAAGTAAACTTCGTTAAATCATAAGGTAACCGACAGCCTTCCGTTCACAAAATCATAATCAAAGAGATAAATAGTGCAGCAATTATACTGTTAACACTTTGCTTATGTTCTGGTGCCTTGGAGACTTGAGCATCCTCTGTGTCTGGTGAAGGCGAAGCAAAAGACAAAGAGGAATCTGAAGCTGGAGTAGCAGCGTCTGTATTAATACCTTTGTAAAATCTGTCTTCTGTAGGAATGCTAGGAGAAGGACAGATACCAAGCTCATAAGCCTTATATTCTGGATACAGAATCATAGGATCACCATTGCGGATAATAAAAACTTGACGGTTGTCTTCCACGGGAACAGTCTTGCAAGTGATAATGTCAATCCATTTGTGTTCAAGGCTAGAAACAGTATAGTGAAAACGAATATAAAAGGATCCCAGGTTATTAACTACGGTGATTACGTCTCCACGCTGGAGCAACATTACTCTGTGATCTACAATGCTTATATCGGACTGAGAGCTTAAGAAAGCGTCTCCATCTTCACTGTTGATCATAGCATTGCGGAAGTTGTTGATTACCGAGGTAAAGTAATAATAAGGATTTCTCCTAGGGAAGCCTTTCTCCCAAAAAGCTGGGCGATTATAAGGCTCAACACTACCTCTCAAAGCAAGTTCTTGACCATAATACATAATAGGAATTCCGTCACCCATAAGAACAAAAGCGATCGCGTTCTTGAGAGCAGCGGGATCACTGGTGACGGATGCCATCCTTGATAAGTCATGGCTTTCAACAAAATTTCCCAAAGTTAAAGGGTCACGACAAAGTCCACGTATGTCAGTCATCACATCAGCCAAATCGACGATTCCATCAAGATTGCTAGAAAGGAAAGCTCTTCTGGCCGCATCCTCGGCTGGAAAATTCATTAATCCTTCAATTGAGTTTTGCCAATCGCAAATTTCAACTGGATTATAAGACCACAATTCAGTCATGCAAAAGACTCCAGCAGCCTTGCAAAATTCTGACACAAATTCCTTGGGAAGATGTTTTGCTGAATCAATGCGAATTCCATCTACCTTAAAGGCTTTTACGAATGAATGGATGTATTCTTTTAGTGTTTCCTTGACCGAAATCAAGTCCGTATTAATGTCAGGCAAGCTGGAATTTTTGCACGGGATCATGCACTTCTCGTAACTTACCTTTTCATCATCAATAACGGGGCAGGGCTCGTGGTAATACTTTGCTTCGTCGAAAGGATAGTATTGCGAGTAGTCTGTTTCATTCGTCCATTGAGGACCCATGTGATTAATTACTACATCAACCATCAAGTGCATGCCACGCATATGGAGTGCATGGGAAAGCTCTCTCAATTCTTTCTCAGTACCGAAATGAGGATTAAGACGATAGTAGTTTTTGGGCCAATATCCATGGTAAGCTTCACCAAGCCCTGATTTCTCAGGAATCTCGACCTGTTGAACGACAGGAGAAATCCAAATTGCTGTGAAGCCCAGCTCCTGAATATAGTCAAGATGATCTGCTATTCCACGCCAGTCTCCTCCACAATGCTTTTCCAAATGAATGTTGCAGTGAGGAACCAAGTTGCTTGGTGCAAATCGATCAGTCAAAACAGAGTAAATGGATTGCTTTTTCCAGTCTTCAGCACCTAGTGCTAGGACCGGGGACACAACACCCGACATGAGTCCGATTGACAATCCAAAATTCTTTAATGACAACTTCATCTTTGTCGAGTGAGTGGACCGGTGAAGATTATTTCCTACCGAGCGCCCTTATATGCCTATTTTTGTCAACTGTAAACAAATACAGCGACCGGTATATCAGACACAATGCGTAAACAAACAACCATAGTAATAATAGAAACATTAAAAAAAGTATTTATACGAGTATTACGAGTCCAAGACTATCGGAGGCCATCCGAAAGCTGAATTCATAGATTGTTGACCATCAAACGTAAACCCTTCAAAGAGATGTTATGGCGTCCTTGTTTTAAATAGGAACTTAACCAGTTGGTATTTATATAAGAGATGCAATTATGAAAAAGCTGCGGGTGATAAACCTCATCCATGCATAGGTCTTTTCTCTTTGGAAGTAGTATTTCCTCGTACAGTAACGGTAGAAAGCGAGAAATATAATATTTAATAATGAAAATGGTTTTATTCCTTTTTCAGCAATATATATTCCAAAATACACGTTCATAAAGGCTGAAAGCGCTTCCAGCTCTTCTGGCGATTTCAGCAATATCCACTTACTGTACGCACCACAGCAATGAAACAAATTGTGTCGAACAAGACCGATTCTTGATTTAAAATAATTGAAGGCTGGTTAATATAAAAGTTTGTGCTTTCCAATTTGTCGATACTGAAGCAATTACCTATTAATTAATAATTTCTGAATGGTAGGAATGTATAGACAACGGATCCCTTGGTAAGCTCAAGAACATATTCGATTTTGACCCAGTTGCTCATTTATTCCTTAGGATTGATTACCTTGGTCTATTCGCTGCGTATATCGGCGTTTACGCCGAATTGATTATTCGTGTATTTATTTACTTGATCCCAGATCAAATTCGAGAATGGGGACGAAAAAGGGTTATTCGTATTTACCATTATTATATTAGTACAAAAACAACTGAAGGAATGACTGATGCAGTTCAAAAATGCAGAAATATATACGAAATTTGTGAGGCTTTTGGCTACAAAGCCGAGGAGCACCTCTTACGCACCGAAGATAATTTTGTCCTTTGTCTGCACAGAATAACACATCCTTCCAAAAAACAAACGAAAAAGCGAGGAGTTGTTTACTGTCATCATGGGCTCATGACGAACTCTGAGCTTTGGGTGGCAGTCAACGAACCAGAACGAAATCTTCCTTTTGTTATGGTCGACAATGGCTATGATGTTTGGGTAAGCTAATTTGCAAAGTGAGGAAAGGATTTTCAAGTCAAGAATATACCTCCTTTCATCAAGACAAAGCAATCTTTAAATTTGAAACGACTGTATTTTACTAACATCCTTTAGCTTGGCAATAATAGAGGAAACAAGTATAGCAGGAAACATGTTGTGTACAAACCGAAGGACGAAGAATTCTGGAATTTCTCCCTAGATGACATGGCCATGTTTGACATTCCTAATACAGTAGACTATATACTTCATGAGACTGGAGAGAAGGAACTTAGCTATATTGGATTCTCTCAAGGAACCGCTCAAGCATTTGCTTCATTAAGTATAAACAATTCCCTAAACGACAAAGTCAAAATCTTCATCGCCCTAGCTCCTGCCTTCACTCCGAAGGGATTTTCGAATCATCTGGTTGACTATCTAGTTAAAGCAAATCCAAAAATAATGTATAATCTATTTGGCATGCGATGTCTTTTACCTTCTGTGGCTTTTTGGCAAAATATTTGTTGTATGTGGATTCTCTTCTTTTTTGTATCTCTATTTCTAACACTATGCAGATCCTCCTATCTTTGTAAAAATTGTGGACTTCTTTCTCAAATTACTCTTCGACTGGGACTTAAAGAATATCTCACCAAACCAAAAACTATGTGGTTACGCTCATTTATATTCTTTCTCTAGTGTCAAAAGTTGTGTTCACTGGCTTCAGATTATCAGAAATTGCACATTTCAGTTATACGATGATGATTTGGCACTCATTACTGGCTTTACTTCACGCCATTATCAAGTGCCTTTATTCCCGACAAGCAATATCAAATGCCCTATTTTATTACTATGGGGAGGAAAAGATACTCTTATTAATATGGAATATATGCAATCTGCCTTACCACCTCAGGCACAGGAAATAGAGGTATGCTATATGACCATTAATGATCTACATGAACTAACAACTTTAGATTGAGCATTATGAGCACTTGGACTTCCTTTGGGCAAATGATTTGAAGGAACAAGTTATTCCAAAGGTTCTCAAGGCACTGGCTGATTAAACCACTTGACACTACTCAATGGTGCTATTTAAGTAATTATGAATATATTTATTTACAAACCAATACACACTATAATCCATAAATCTTTGCGACAAATATCTTTCTATATTAGCTTTCGTAAACAGCATATTGTACACCTGTTTTATCTTCTTGTTGAGCTCGACTCCAGGATATAATGAACCGTTTTCCACTTTCACTTGGTTGAGTAAAGGCAATTTCCTTGTTGGAAATCTTATATCCATAAATAAAATGAGATGTCGCGCAATCTAACAGTGCGCGAGCAATTCCTTGTTTCCGACGTGATGGAGTAACCCAAATCCTTGATACTCCGAGAATAAATCCATGTTTTAATTTGTTCTCTTTGATGTACACAGCGGATGAGAAAAAAGTTTTTTCATCTTCTTTTTCACTGATCACATATGCGGACTTTATACGCTCAGCTAATAAAAGCCCGATACATTTTTTCCCAGACATAAATAAGAAAATGGAATATTTATCAATTCCGATAGTTTCCATGGGTTCACCGGAAAGTTCTTCATTAACAAAGTTTACTGCGTCCTCAGCTTTCTTCTGGTCCAACAATGCACTTTCGGCAGTAACCATGTAGATTGAGTCACCATTTACAGAGTAGCTAAGTCTCTTAATCGGCTCTGCTTGCATATTTAGATCAATACCACCTAGTGTACGAGAATGAAAACGCGAATGCAAATCCACATCTTCTTCAGTTGCTTTATTGTACTCCATGAGACATTCTGAACATGTGACAGTAGTTGACCCCAGGTCCAAATGCAATTGAGTAGCACTCGAAGAATTTGAAGAGTTATTGGGACTGGTCTTTTTACGCAATGTAGATGGCGTGTTTTGGTTTGCAGTAAAAAAAGCATCAAGGAAGGCTTTTTTTGGCGATGGACTATCCATAGGCGCAATAAAATGTTTATTACCAGTTTTTCGTCCATATGTCCTGCTTTTTGCAGAATTTGCCGGCTTGTCTGCACCAGCAGAAGATGTCTGTCGTTCGAATAATCTTTCATTGCGTGATAGATTAATAGCAAAGTGATAGTCATCATGCTCTCTCTTCTGAGAAAAAGAAATATTATGTCCACATTCTTTACACGTATATGACTTTTGCGCAACAGAACTTGAATTTTCCGAAATATCCTTAAACATTCCAAAAACGCTCCTTTCCTTATTAGGAGATACTTCTTCTGGCATTTCTTCAGTTAGACATTGCGAAGGAGGTGTACTGTTTGCATCCAGATGAATCTTCGAGCTGTCATCTAACATAGGGATCGGCTTTGGAGTGACTTTGTTGCTAGGACGTAAAAAAGATTCTATACCCCTCGAGCTCTTATCATTTTCTACTATGTTCTGAAAACTCACTGATAGATGGGAGATTGGATATACATCGTACTCATCTTGAAGTTGCCGAAGAAGCTTAAGGCAGTGATTCGCAATATAATCCACAGTAATATCGGCATCCAAAGGGATCTGGGTTGAACGTGATTTACGAAGAAAGCCAGTGAGAGCATGAAGACACAAAGTCTTAGGTCTTCGAAGACCTTCTAATTCCAAAAACCTAGAATGTAAATCGGAGCCAAACACACGAAACCAATTAGTAACTGCATTTTCATCCTTCAGTTTATTGTGACTGAAATTTTTTGCAGAAAGCATAGATTTTATTTGTATTTGGGTTGTAATTTCTGTATCATCAAGGCCATGACACATGTTCCACACAAGCCTACCGTTCACCTGTCCAAGCTTACCCATAATATCATCAAGCTGCATAGACCATACATCAGAAATAGAGTCTGTCCCAAGTATCCGAACCACTTCTTCGCCAAATTTACCGCCCAACATTCTTATATCAGTTATGCTCAGCGATCCAAGATAATCCTTTATACCACTGCGACATAAAACTGCTTGTTTATTCGGTTTGTTTCGAGAACTAACGAGCTTTGCAAGCATTGGATTAAATGAGACGCCAGCAGAACATGTATAATGTAGCGATTTGTAAATATCGTCCCGGATTTCTTTCACTATTCGCGCTGCATAATAAAGGAAGACATCATCCCAGTCCTGTTCATATTCTCCATTAGTATCACCTTCTCGTCTATCAATCAACAATCCATAATCCTGAGTCCACAGGAGCACCGGAGCAGCTGGAAGGGGTGTTTCCAAGTTTTCTGGCGATGTCTTTAAAAAAGGGTAGTCCTCCAAAATAAGTCTTTTCACTTCAGCCGTGAGTTCAATAAAACATTCATCAATACTAGCCTTCTTCACGATAGGTGCATGCTTTTTTATGATGTTTAAAATTTTGACACTTTCATGTCTATATGGATCTAAGCAAGCCTTAAAGTTACTCGGATCCGGATTTTCGTGATACTTGGCTTCTGTATCGCCCGCCTTCCAAGTTTTCACGTGTGCAACTTGAAGTTCAGGACACTTTTTCTTGGCTTCTGTGATGGTTTCATGTCTTGAGACATTTGCTGCACGAGCTGGATAATTGACAGCAATAAGGCCTTGCCATTGTTGAACAGCAAAAGGAGTAGATGGACTAATTCCTAATCTCACAATTTCCACTTGAGCATAAAATGCATCCTGATCGATATGAGCTACTACCCTCAATGGGCAACTTCGAGACGCAGGTTTATCACAGTACTCCAAATCTCTCCAACAAAACTTGCTTTTCCTACTTTCCATTCAGTTCATTACTTTTACTAGACTTAGAAACGTATAGAAAACGAGTGTATAATGTTCCTGAATACTAGAACAATTTTCATTGAAAGAACAGTGGTGGGAATAGGATAGGCCACCGAATACCATCTGAAATTTTGAAAGAAAAGGCACTAAACAAAGTGGGTTTCATATTAAAAATGTAAACTATTTTTCATTTACTTAGTCTTCGTGATGGACTTACAACTCATTTTTACTTTTCACCAAGTCATCATAGATTCATGAATGAAGTTATTAAAGTCATACATTTTTATGTCAATCGTAAACACATTACTTTCAATTTTTCTTAAAGCGAAAGCGAATCCAGCGTGGAATTCGAGGATTTTTCATACGAAGAGCGAGCGTCTCATGGAGTCATGCCATGCCTTCATATTTTTCTTGTAACAATGTAATAAGCATTACTTAGTAGTAAATGTGGAATGAGCAAAACTCTCTGCATCAGGAATGGACATATTTACAATATCCGTATCGGAGAAATTCGTTTTGGCATCGTACTTGTCAAAATCTGCTTTTTCTGTCCGCTTCTTAATTTCTTTGTTTAATTTCGCCTTGACGGGGCTATGGAAAACAACCATAGACAATACAATATATATATGGATCAAAAAGCGTAGTTTGCTCCAAACATAAATGGAATCGCTCAATGTTAAAAGAAGAAATGAAATGATCAAATAAGAAACGGTGATATTTGTTGCGACTACACCGACGAAATCGTAGACTTTTTTGAATGAATTAGGCGTTTTCATGTCTTGTTGAAGAAAAAAGGGACGAATGTATCTTCGATGATACTTGGCAATAGTTTGAACGAACGCAGCAGAAACAAAAGTCGTGTAATAACCAGGAGAGACGCCATGCCAGAGGGCGCTAACTGTAAAGGTGCTTAATGTACTCTTGAATCCAGGGCGCTTTCCTTTCTTGGCAACTCGCAAGTAGACATAATTGCGAAGCCATTTGTTTGTATTCTTATTCCAGGCTTCCAAGGCCCCCTTGATATTGCTAGCAAATTCAAATCCAATGGGGTCGATATTTTTGACGCGATCCCAACGTGGACGCTTTAATTCGTCTACGCCATTGTAACCGATCCCAGAGAGGATACATGCACCATCAGACAATTCCCAAGCACCGTAATATTTCATACGAGCGATAAAAGCCGTGAGTATAACATAACCGTACTTTTTCAGCAAGGAAAAGGAGGCAAATTGGGGGCTCAAAAGAAAACTAAGAGGAAATAAAGACGTACCAAAAAGAAATCCAAGGAGCCAAAGAGCACCACGCCAGCAGCGACCCAGAGCCGGTCTTAGACTGTGGGGAGTAATTTGTTGTTCTAATGGATCTTGGGGACGATCAAACATGCTCAAGGTGATAAAATGCTCATAATCAACATAATCAAAAGCCGGACCAACCAAAAGAGAAGGAAAGAAAAACACATAACCAAGAAAGAAAAAAGGACTAGGCATTTTTGTTAAACGACGTTGCTTTTGGTAATCCGACAAAACCTAAAAAAGTTAGCATTCCCTTGTTCCACAAATTGAAAAAAAAAATAAAAAATAAGATTTTTCATGCTTCCATACATTTTCAGGTTGACGACCATCGTGCACAGACCATGCAAAGGCGGTTAACTTCATACAAAGCACCATTTGGGATGCAGTAATGTCGCTACCACCTGAAGGATAGAAGTACCGACAAACATGACTATTTATAGGGTTAGTTAGCCTCTACAGAACAGAATGTAAACGAAGACAAGTACCTGTAGAATGTATGGCTGAGGATTACAACAAAAACCATCCATGGCATATACGAAGTGCGGACCAATGTAGCAGTAAAGTAAGTAAACAAAGCATCAAATAAGAGGATATAAGTACCACCAGTTAGATGATGAACGGGGATTAAGTAGAAAAGACCGACGAGAATGCAAAATGTATTTCGGAGGAAAGGAGATTGAGGCAACCGTTTGAGAGTGCCTGAAAGCGGATAGGAAGACAATAAACAAAATGGGATTTTTATCATGTCACTGGGGACACCTAACAAGGAGCCCAACCAGTCAAACGGAACATCTATCCATTCAAACATAATTTCCTGAGAGGAATGGAAGGTGTGACACAGGATACAAGTACTTTAACCAACGTTGCCAGAAGCAGATTCTCAAAATGAATCTCCAGCTTTCAAAGACTGCTCCTTTGATAAATCAATCAAAACGTAAGCGAAATGACCAAAGCCGTAGAAAGTCGTGAAGACTAGGTACAACCAACACCAACAAAAAATGCTTATTTTTCGTTCTTTTTTGCCAAACTTTTTTGCAACCTGATTACGAAAGGTTCAATCAATCTTCTAATGAATAACAAAAACTTTGTCTCCAGAATAAGGACGTTCGTTCACAATGGTAACAAAATCAGTATTACTATGCTGACATTCAGTTGCCTTTCACTGGAATAAATGGGAAAACCGAATGATTTTCCAATCTGTGTTTGTTTCCATCTTCTTAGGAAATCCATATTACGCAGTTATGCAATGTCACTAAACAATTTAACGGAAGCGCAAAATGCTATAACGTGCTTTGGAAACATTTGTTAAACTGTAAACAAACATAGCATTAACAAAAATTAAGAAAAAATTAAAAAAACTTGCAGAGCCAGAAATCCAATTCAATTCTTTCCAGTATCTTTTCCAAAATTTTGTAAGTGGTTTGCTTTGTTGGTATCCTCTTTTTTGGGCTTTTTGCTCCAGGATAAGCAAAGGTCCTGCCTATAAAGAAACAAGAAGAAACTGTTTGGAAATGGTCAACCAACAAGTTTTTACCCTCTGTCAAGTATGATCTTTTTCATAAAGGAAGGAATAGTAGGTAAGAGGAGGGTGGGAACGCGTTGGTCTGAGGGAAGACTTGGCCTTGTTGATGGGTACTACTGAACATCCTTCCAAAAGTTGTGCGAGATATTTTACATCTTTCTGGGTTTTACTTTAATTTTTTCCTTTCAATCGAAATACATCGCTAGCAGAAGAGATTACATTTTTTGAGCGATTCTTGGCTCAAGACGTTGAGTTAAGAACAGGAATAGTTGGAATTGGCAAGAAAGCTTTGGGAAATGAGCAGTATGGGAACCCAGGCTTCTTCGGATCCACATCTAAAGGAGGAAAAAGAAGAAAAGAAAACGTCGTTTTCTTCGGATGAATGGTCAATCCTGGAAGAAACTTTGCTGCTAAAGGCAATTTGCCAAGGCTTGCGACCAATAGGTAAGGAAGAGATTTGTTGTCATGACACAGAATGCCTTTGTAAAATGAGTTTAAAAGAAGACGTTTTTGCCTGTATCGGCCAACAAAAGACAAACGTCCGATGAATGATAGAAAATGGTCGTTTCCAGGAATCAAGGTTTGTTCTAACGACTCTCTCTAGGAACTGAAAAACACTTTCATATGATTGGAATGTTACGAATGATTCATGAAGGATGCCAAACATCCACAAAGCGTGTCCAAGACGTTTGGAAAAAATTAGAAACACTTTACAACTTACAGGAATTTGAACGATTGGTATGAAAAAATAGAAGAACTAAACAAATGTCGCTAACAAAATCTTCTCAATTAGGAAGCCGTTCCTTCACCATCTGTTGGTGAAACGCGTAAGCGCGATAGAGAAAAAGACAACATTCAAGAGGAACATCAAATAGATTTTGAACTCCCAAAATACATTCTGAATACTACAAAGCTTCCTTCCTCGTCCGCCTCCTCCAAATCTGCCCTTAAGGCTGGTGGCATAGGCGAGAAAAAGATGACTCGATCTAGCTTGGCTGCTGCTGCTGCTGCTAATAAAAAAGAAAGTTCTGCGGATCTCAATGTGAAAGAGGAAAGGGATGAAGATACCTTGGATGAACCAGCTGCTAAGCAATTACGTTCATCTTCCATGAAACAAACAACCCCTTTGAATATCCACGATGAAGGTTCTTCAAAGCAAAAGCAAGCAGAAGAGGAGGAAAATAACGTTTATGAAAAACATTCAAAAGAATCAAATTCGAGGCCATCAAACACGCAAGCTGCTGCTCAAAAGCAATCGGAGCTTGCAAATACATCTCCTCCAGCTGTTCGAAGAAGCACCCGGAGTCGGAGAACTTAGCAAGACTACGAATGTGTCGATTAACTATGTGCATCTTGTTTATATCTCTTCCAACTCATTTGAGGTTTTTTATGCTTTATACAATTCGGAAAACAGCTCGTTTTAATATATTTCTCTTCCTTTCTGTCCTTCGCCTGACACACAACTTTAAACAGCACCGATAATCACCAAAGGTGGTGACGGACTGACTTGACGAACGAAGATTGTTGAAAACCCAACCAGAATCATCCATCCATATTTTGATCAAGCAATTCGATTCGGTTTTCTTTTAAATTCGCTCAAAGCCATTCCTATTTTGTTGCCATATATTTCAGTGGGTTTCCTTTGTTTGAACTATTTCCCATCATTTCTTCCTTCATATTCAAGATCAAGAGCAACAAACAACTCCTAAACCCGTGATTAATTTTCGTATTTCTTTTTCTTTTGCCTACTGATGCTGCTACCCCTACGCTTTGCTTTTCTCATTTAATCTGTTTATCTGTTTATTTATTTAAGACTGTTCGTCTACAGTTGCTATCTTCCTATTTCGTCAACGATCCTATGTACTTTGGAGGAGCTCGCATGGATTTCCACGCAATAAAGGTTCTGGATTAGAAATTAAAATAGATAATATTATAGAAGCGCTTTATCAAATGATGCGATGCTCTATGCTCACCAGATAATAAAAATATATAAATAGACGTATATGCGTGTATCAATCATGAAAGCAATTCATATTTATCAGACTAACAATAGCAAGCACTATATAAAAAGACAAAGAAGGATGACAACAAAACAGTGGGAAAAACATGTAAAATAATACACAGCACAGAAAAGTTGGTTGCCCATAAACGTGGAACCTTACAAGGATTTGCCGGAAAGATACTATAAAAACAAGAGCAATACAATAAATCAAAGTCAGGCCTGCTGGAGAAGAAAATGCAGTATGACTCTGCTCTGCTTTTAAAACGAAACAAACGAATACAAGGGAAAGAAATAAACGTAGAAAGGAAATCCTATTTTTGACAATTCATCAGTCAGCTTCGTCTTCATTTGAGCAAGAACTTTTTGATTGGCACAGATGAACATATCGATAGAAAAGACAACTTGTACAAATGCAGAACAGCATCTTTTATTCATTTAGTTTTTCTTCTATGGGTACTGCCGAGAGAAACAGATGAAAGCAGAACGATGATACACACATCAAGAATCATTTTCTTTTGGTATTGCGAACCTTGCAAAACAATAAAGAAGGTTGGAACAATTACAAAATTATTAGGAGATACAGAAACAATAAATACGACAAAACTAAACGATACAAGCACAGCTTATTGAAGACAAAAGAACCTTTAGCTTCTTAGCTTTCTCTGTCTTTCAATCCTTAGGGGAATCCATCCAATTCAGGATTCTTTTATACAACCAAAACAACGATTGTGGACAAAAAAAAAGAAGTTTCTTCGGGCAAAAACTTTTTTTCTAAAAAAAAACACTTTCCATGATGGAAAAAAATAACGAAACCAAACATTTTCTAACGGAAAGGGACACATATCTCATTGAAGGAGTCGTCATAAGAAGTTTTCAATGGTGCCGACCATTGCATGTCTAAATGCAATCAACACATAATGTTATAGATGCGGTTGAAAATGCCTCTCTTCGGAGGACTATTCTGAAACGCTCCAGCAAACTTCTCAGGATCCGAATTCTGAGCCTCAAAAACGACATTGCTATCTTTATCTTTTTGCTCAATCTCAGCATTATTAGAATCCGCTCTAAAGCTCTTCATACCCACTATATCATAACGGCCAGTAACTAGATCGATATCTTTTAAAGGAGTATATTTGAATCCAACAACAAAAGGACTGATGATTAAGAAAACAATGAAGAACGCAGGACCCAGAAAAGACACAAAGAAGTCATAAGCATTAGGAGGGTTATGGGAAAGGGGGAAAATGGAAATATACACCAAAGTACACAATGCTAAAAAATTAATTAAAAGCCCGTAATAACTCATATAGAGACTGCCTTTAAACTGATAGGGCAATATAGTGTCAGGAACATTTTGAGCTTTCATAGCATGCCTAAGGCGAATATGCGATAAGAATGTCAATCCCCAAACGAAGAATGAGCCACCACCAGATACAGCCGACAACCAGTCAAAAATAACCCCTCCCTTAGGAGCGGCGCCAACATAACTCAGACAAGCGAAGGCAAAGGAAAACAAATAACTAATGACAGGACGACCCTTTTGATCAACTCGGCCAATAAAGCGAGGTGCCCATCCTTGACGGACAAGAGCAATGCCACTTCGAGAAGCGGCGAAGACAGCACTATTGCCAACTGATAAAATCGAAACTAAGATAATAGCGTTAAAGATATCAGGAAGCACTTTTATACCACTGTTCTGGATGGCAATAATGAAAGGACTCACATTCCCTAATTCGGGATCGTTGTAAGGCACAACTAAGGTAATCAAGAAAATGGTGATGAGGTAGAAGAAAAGTACCCGATAAAAAACCTTTTTGACAGCGGCAGGAATAGCCTTTTGAGGGTTAGTAGTGTTTCCGGCAGCGGTACCAACGTTTTCGGTACCCATAAGGGAATAAGCGGAAGCAAGAAAGACAGAGCAAAAACCTTTAAACCCATTTTTAAAGGCTCCAGGATCATGCCAATATTTGGCACCGATATAGCTACCTTTGGGAGCAGCACCACAGTTAATGATGATGGAAACAAAGAAAAAAATAATAATAGATAGCACCTTAAGGAAAGAGCTAAAAAACTCAGTCTCGCCATAACCCGCAGCGCCCATGGCATTAACAAGAACGACATAAGCCAGAAAAACAGTGACCCACACGGCCGTATTGGCATGCTGACTTTTCCAAAAACCAACGACCTCAGTAGCAGCAGAAATTTCACTAGGTAATGTAGTAAGCCAAAAGAGAAAGTACAGCCAGGATGCAGCGAAACCAAGGTTTTCACTACAGAAACGACCCGGATACATGGCAATACTAGGTTGGTTAGGAAACACACAGCAAAGCTCGCCAAGGCATATAATTAACGGAAGAATCATGGAAGTAAGGAGAATAAAATTAATCATAACACTACCTGGACCAGAGTTTTTGAGAGATTTTCCGACGGCGACATAAAGACCAGTACCAATACAAACACCGATGGCAATCATTTGTAGGTGACGAGGCTTCAAAAAGTCTTCACTATTTTTGACGTCTGTATTATCATTATCAGGAGCAAGTTTATAGGAGCGGAAAACGTCTAAAACTCGGGTACCAAAAGAACTCTTTCTGTAAGACTCGACACTACCTTTATCGTGAGAGGTTCGTGAATCAAAATCAAAATCTGAAGCGGTTTGTTTTGTAAAGTCGTTGGTTTTGTCATCTTCCTTTGGAAAAGGATGTCGCTGCTGAAGTTGAATGGAATCAGGAGGGGGATAAGGAGATCCCATGCTCATGGAAGAGGAATTTGGGTCCATTTTTTAACAATAAAACAAAAACACAAAAATAAAACGGATGCAGGAAAGAATAATCAGTCCGAGTCTATTAATCCAAGGTAAACGTGGTGGACAAAAATAAAAGACGCCTTTTTGCAGAAAAAGTAAATAATTAATTTAGATTTTGTAATGGAAAATCTTAAATAAGAATGCAGGTAATCCAAACCTGCAAGTGAAGTAAGGAAAGAACGAAAGGAAAAGAAATTTCAATAAGATCAATTAGTTTTAACAATGAAGAAAACAACAAAGCTGGAGGGGCAAAAAAAAGGGAATTTTCAGGTGTTGAAACCAAAATGTGAAAAAACAAGAAATGAACAAAAATATGGATACAAAATGGCCGTTAATAAACCTTTATATAGCCTTTTAATTGCTATAATACGAGAAATAACTGACTGACTAAACAGCAATTTTTCGTATATACCACGTTACTGAGGAAATAGGTAAGTGAGGAAGAATCAAAAATTCAACCATATACCTAACTAAGCTAAAGTATCGGATAACGATCTCGTTAAAAAACGTTAATGATGTCAAAAATTACCTTTCTCGTTATAAGAACCGTAAATATGACCAAGGCAAAAACGTATGTAAGTGGCAATAGGAAATACGGAGCACAAACACGAAAACACTAAAGAAAAGCTGCGAAAAAGAATAAACAAGAACCAGCGAATATAGAGAATATGGAGAAGGAGGAGGAGGAGAAGAAGAAGAACAAAAAACAACTAAAAAAAGAGAAAACCTGTGTTGGGTTCTTCGTTTATTTATATACTCAAAAGAATCCGCCTCGACCAGTAGCGACCAACTTTGATAGAAGTGTCAGTGACGCTATCTCCCGGGAAAAAAAGATAAACGCCGAGATAAGAACGTACGAGCCATTGGGATAGATAGCACGAGGATGTAAACAAAAAGAAGAAGTAAATAAAAAAAAAACACATACCAAATGAATGACAGTAAACAAACAATAAAATGGAATTCATTTTGACAAAGCATTCAAGTGTCATGTATAATTTCTTTTTAGTTAGAAAAAGATTGTAATGGTTCTATATTCTTGCTGGAATTCTTTTTCTTCTAATGAGAGAGAGAGAGAGAGAGAGAGAGAGAGAGAGATTAGACTGTCTTCTTCCACAGCAAAGTAAACAGCAGATGGCTAAATCTTTGTAAAATACAAAAAAAAAAGCAAATTACTAGACTTTTTATTTTCTACTTTTCGTTTTCCCTTTGAGAAGCTTTTTTTAACGAACTTCGCTTAAAAAAAAGCTTAACCTACTACACATCATCATCGTCTAGGTCAACCAAACCGAACATGTTTGTTTACAATGTTAAAACCACCCTCTTAATTGCTCTATTCTATGCTGGGAATGTCTTCCAATCCAAGTAGTTGTTCTTACTCCCGTGATCTTTACATAATGTAAAACTCTCTCTTGACAGATATACCTTCTCAACATGTACTGTTCTTTCTCCAATTCTTTGCGAAAATCAACTGATTTGCTGTTCATATCATGAACTACATTTCGGTCATGCTATTCATCATTCTTTTTTTTTTTATCATGCAATTTCATTACTATCATTAGTATAATCATCATCAACAAGAGCTTTTTATGTACAAGTAATTCTGACAATTTCCATATTCAATATCATTAAAGAGACCCATGAAGCATCAACATCGCTTCTGCTGCCATTTGATCTTTTCGTAACATCCCTTTTGATAAACGGCGCAACGGTACCGCATTTCCTTTCCGTAAAAGTGCTTCCGTTCCAATGCCACGCCAATCTTCTTCGTCTGTACTTTCTCCACCACCATCCAGAACTTGATCTTCATCCAAGACAAAAGGTGGCATTACCGAATCATCTTCATTGTCGTCTTCATAAAAGTCGTTTTCGTCATCATCTTCATCTTCTTCTTCATAATATACACCATTATCATGGTATTGTCCACAAAATAACGAAGGCGTTTGTTCTCGAGGACTCACCAGACCACCCAAATGCGCCGTGTAGCTTCCAGGAGTTTCCTCTAATGATGCAAAAAAACTAGAAAAAGGTGTCTGCATCGAATGACTCGTTACCTCCTTGTTCGACTTTTTATGGTGAACCATCGTGCTTCTAGAATCTGCAATAGTTTGCTTGACCGGAACATCCATATCTGTATCTATTTCCATATCATCTTCCTTCTTTGACACTTCTTCTTCTTTGGGCAAGGTCGATTCTGATTTTTCTATCCTTTGGTTATGGGAAGGCGATTTGGTGGATGTTTGTGGAATGCTGACATCTCTTTCTTGATCCTTCTCAAAAAAGCTAACATTGGGCGCCGAGGACGAAGGTCTCTCAATGGATGTAGAAACTGCGTCTTCCCGAAGAATCCAACGCCCCCAACCAACTTTGTCAAACATGACCCCCTTTTGAGATTCGAGCGCCTTTGTTAAAGCCCTTCGTTGTTGTGTCGGACTTAGTACATTAAACATCGGGTATGTTTCGCTCAACATCAACATTAATTGTCGAATGGGTAACGAGCCATGCGTAGAAAGTATGGTTGGTAAATAGTGAGTACATAAAGTATCAACAACTGTAGACGAATTATTCCCTTGCGACAATTCAGAAGAAACCTTCGTTGAATCTAAAGGAACACTTCCCCTTCGGCCGTCTAAATTATCTCGTTCCGTAAATGGAATTGGGTTATTCCCTCTCTTTCCTTCATTGATAGAATGTCTCAATTGCGATGAGAGCGTAGATTTCGGTACTTTCCGCAACTCTTTTGTCTCGTATTCTTGAGGTCTATGGCCAACATTGCTGTGGCCTTTGCCAGACATCATCGCACTTATGCCACCAGTGGTCAAGGACGCAGAAGCGCCAAAATTGCTTTTAGAAAACGACGATTTCTGACCATACTTTTCGCCAGAGAATGCAGATCCTTCACCTTGCGACATACTCAGCTTGATTTTGTTTCTATCGGGTATATATTTATATATAAGTTAAAATCAACGAATGTATTTTCAATAAATATTTGAGAAAATGCGGGTATTGGAAGAGAAAGAGCGTAAAAATCACAATTGAGAGATTAAGCGCAATATTTTTTTAGAGGGCGTCAGTTTTTGAAAATAACAGGTTAAAATAATAAGAATTAATAAAAAAAGAAAGAAACGATAGCGGATGGAAAAAATGGTAATAACTCCCTTCACAATCTATGTATATACGTAGGTGAAATAATGGACCGAAAATTCCACGTATCCAGTAGATAATAATTTGTAGCTTAAATCCGTATTCAATAGGCGCGCAAAAAAACAAAAAACCAAGGATAATAACAAATTGCCTTCTGTTTTGTTGTTTACAAGCGTCGTGTTCTATATATATTCGTAAACAGAGAAGGCAAATATTCAGATCTCACCAAAGACTCGGTTCCTTAAGGTAATTAACACCCTAAAAAAAGAAATTCCAAATGATTATGGCAGACGGCAAATCCAATTCCCATATATATATATATCAACAAGTCAACGGTTCGGCTTGCGGCAGAAAACCTCCCTTGTCTTTACTATGTAATGTAAGATCAATCTGCCCCGCTAGTATAGAAGCTTTAAGCCAATAGTGAAAATTATATGGACAAAATGGAATGAAAGAAGTTCGGGGCCGAGATTCAAAGTTGAACAAAGAGAGAATAAGGGTTTAGCACTTTGTGGGGTTACTTGTATATTGAAAATAAGTAGAGTTTAAGTGTTGATTCCTGAATGAAAAAACGTTGCGATACTTCTTTAAATTTTCAATAGCTGATTTTCTCAGTGTTCGTGTTTTTGCCTGCTGTTATTTCTTTCCTTCAGAGTCAAGTAATGGATGGGAATATGAAAAGGTAATCACTAGGCCCGAAACCAATTCGTAGAAATTTTAGCGTTTTCAGTTTAAGATCTGCTTCAAACACGTTTGAAGATCAACAAATTAATGTGGAAAGATGGCAAACCGTTTAAGTTTAATCAATAGATGAATTCTTCAAGAAACAGATTCACACAATTCCGATTTTCAGACGCTCTCTTAGTAGTTCAAGCAAACAACCTTTAGAGAATACTTATTCTGTGATTAAAATGAATAAGTTTTCAGTAATTATTTTTTCAGACGGTTTGAATATTCAAACTCGCAATCATGCAAGCGAAGAAAGTATTTATAAACAAAAAGAGGAAACAACTAGTCGATCGTTTATTGAATCTTTTAAATTTCTAAGGTGTTTCTATAGCTCTCAACTTATGGTAAGGTACAAAAAGAGGGTAAGTACAGAGAAGAGGGAAAATTATATATAGTGAAGGATCTACAGATCCACAGCAGGTGAAATGTAAACAAAGGATCTGCATTCCCTAAATCTTTCAATATCAGCAAAACTTGCCCAAATAAAAGTTCCTTTTTCTTCCAAATGAACAAGACTTTTTTGCTACTTTTTGTTCACTTTATTTCTTTTCTGTTTTGTAATTGTTTCTATCGTATAGATTTTCATTTGCTTCATTCTCTGCAATACCTTCTTTCCTGCTATTTATATATCTTCGCACATTCTTTTCAGAAAATTTATTAGTATAAGATTAGATTAGAACGGGTTTAATAGACGTAGGGGATAATGCGATACTTGACTATTTGGCAATATTTATTCCAATCCTCTCCATATTTCTGATGGCACTTATGATCATCTCTTCCATACCTGTGTATTAATAGCACCGCAAAGTAAGCAACGTAAAAGTAAGGAATAGCGGATCCAAATCCTACTGGTAAACACCAAGCCCAGGCCATCAACCAATCGCCGAAATAATTGATATGGCGGGATTTTCCATACCATCCATCAATAAGCAGCTTGGTCCCACGTTTGGTTTCCATATACTTTAAGTTTTTGACGCTTGGGTCGGTAGGGTTATTACGGAACATATTCTTTTGACTGTTGGTTCCTCGGAAAATGTAATAACCTAGCAATTGAAGGAAGATGATGGCAATTGTACAAGGAATTCCAAGGTCCACTGGATGAAAAGATAAGTAACGGGCTTGGAGGCCATAAGTAAAAGGCACCCAAGCCAAGTTACCTAAGCAAAGCATATAACCCAAACCATCAGTGGTTACATCCATAGTAGTCAGAACAGCATTTTCATAAAAGAGAGAATCTAGAACGTACCAAGAATGGAAAACTAATACCAGAACCATGCTATCGGTGATTCTTCCATTCAGCAGAACGTACTGCCTGCATGCAAATGCAATGTCTAAAAGAACCCACAAAATTAAACCCGGTCTCAGTTCAGAAAAAACCTTTATATCAAAATTTCCAATCCGAGGATTTAGCAATCGCCCAATAAACCAGTCATACACTATATTTCCCGAATTTCCACCTTCGGCCAAGCGCTTTTGACCGATGAAACTAGAAATGTAACAGTATATAGAAAGGAAAATGGAAACGATATAGGCAGATGTCATCAGAGGTAAAAATCGACTCCAAATCAGCTCCATGCATTCAGGTCCTTTCATATAAATAAATCCACTAGTGACTCCCAAAACTAGACTAGCAGTAGCAAATCCGTTCATTTTGTAATCGAGACGACTTCCTTTTTCATCAATAGGTGTACCTTTCACCCATTCTCCTGGCAAGACATGCCACGCCAGGATAAGTGCCCCTAGCCAGCACAAGTACAGCTGAAACGAATACACATCAATAAACTTAGCATCATAAATCATAGACAGTATCTTCTGAGGATATGCTGGGCAACCATTTTCATTGCAACCAAAATAAAGTCCAAATAGTACCACTGTTGTAAGTAAAAATACGGCTAAGGCACCAGTGGGTCCGAAAAACTCGTATTCAAATTCTTTTGGTTCCTTCTTGAAGTTTCCTGCTTTCTTGTTCATAATTTCGTTTGCTTTACCCGATGCTTACTAAATATGCATTTATAGTCAATTGGTTTGAGTTCTAAAAAGTCAGCCCATAATTCGTATACTCGATCTTAAATTCACCACACATTCATAATATTTAAACAACTTTTTTTATTTACATTAATATAGATAGAAAACAAAATAAAACAAAAAAAAAACAAGACAAGACAAAAACAAAAACAAAACAAAACAAGAAAACAAAAAAGCTAACTATTTTTAAGGCAATAGGTGATAGGGGAAACGAAAAACGCATTTTCTATTACGGTTTTTCTCAATAATTTTGTAATAAACCATTCCCTGACTTTGATTTTCTGTAATAAAGTCAAATGGGTATTTTTTAGGAATCGATGAGATGATGGGTATTGTTTCCAATAATTGTGTTTTATAAATATGAGAGACTCCAAGATCAATACGGTAAGCGTCTATTCCTGGCTGTAACAAATGGATGCAAAACAATATTCAATGCCAATATATGAGAGAAAAACTAAATGATAAGTTATGTAGTATGTCAATAAGTTACAGAAGAAAGAAACATCTAAATAGCGAAATATTTTAACGTTTGTTCCGCGTCATGTTGGATAAATCTGAAGACCTTTTAGCAGATTGATCGATTCCAGTTCCAGATGCAAATGAGGGGTATACTATCGGAGGCACAGGTCCACTAGACATTCGTCCACTGGGTATTCCATAATTTATATGTGCATTATCAGAGGACATAGCATTTGAGCTTAATGATGCAGATGGCCGAGGTTGCGAATAATATGGCGGGATAGGAAACGGATACACAGGATATTGTGGATAGGCGGGTCGAAGCGTATTCCCAGTATAAGGTGCTGAATATGGCTCCGAATTATAGGAAGGATATGGACCATAGCCTTTATCATTATGATAGCCATTAGGAGGGTAATACCCTGTTTGCTGCAGCATATGATAATTAGCTTGAGTGGACAAAGGTGCTCCTCCATACTGTGGATAACTTGGATAGGAAGGATAGAAATATGGTTCGCCATTTATAAAGGAATAAGCCGAAAATGGAATATTCGCTCCATCTTGAGAAAAGTTCAAGGGTATAGGCGCCTGCATGTCCTGAGAAACATCTGTACTGCCTTTTGGCAGTTGGTTGGAGTATGGATTGTGAGACGGATGGTTAGGATAATCCGTTCGAGGGAAATTCATATCATACGCAAGCAGCATATTCTTAATTGCATCTAAAATTGTAGAAAAATAAGCTGATCCTTGGTAAATTCCAGCCAATATGGAGTATCCTTCACGGGCCTTCAAGATAAATGCGTTGGATCTTGTTGTATCTTCCTTAGTTAAACTCGCAGAATACACCAAAGTCATTAAAGCATAGTAGCCTGCATAGAGATTAAAAAACATCTTTGGCATATTTGGCGATCTTGAAAGTTTTCTCAATAGTTCCACAATACGTTCAGCTGACTGCACACATTTCAAAGCAAAGTTAGAAGGCTTCGTTGGTTTCACATTAGGCTCCTCCAGGGGATCCGTAATATTGTGGACAAAGGGCCTATAAAAAATAAGCTCAATTTGTCGAAATTTTAGCTCCAAACTTATAGCTTGAATCCACTTAGGAGAAAACTCAGGAACTTCGTCAACCTTCAAATATCTTGCCAGATTTTTCCACCAACTTGTCAGCCTGTTTTCGTGTTCTCTAACTGCAGTAAGGGAAACACGACAGCTAGCACCATTGCTTGACTTTATGGGATAAACTTTTCGAACAAAATGGCTTAAAATTCTAGAAAGAGCTATATGCTGATTGAATACTTCCAAGCTTCCGCATTCAGATGCTACTACGTTGGCAGGGATGGCTTCGTTATCTAAAACAAAGTCGTAGGAATTCGGCAATCCTTGATCAATTTCATCATCTTCAATATTAAGAGGAAGTCCGATAATTGTAATTGTATAGCAGGACATTACATACACAGAATAAAACACACGCTTCCGCAACCTCGTTTCCGGAGACGTAAGAACGTCAGAAAAGTCTCGATGAAGACCAAGTTCATGACAACAAAATAATGCAATATTCATAAAGCTGTAGGCTTGTGAAAGCCTTGAACTAAACAAAGCGAACAACGCAATAGAAACAAGGATCTGAATGACTTCAATATCGTAGCTTTCTTCAAAATGAAATGCAGCACGTATGTAATAATAATACCCGTATGCTTTGTGATAAGGATAAACGGAAGCACCAGTAGTTGAGGAAAGATATGTATAACCAAGGCATAAAGTAGCCGCCAACAGAAAATGAAAAGTAGGATCCTTCTTTTCTGCGTGGTAGTATACGTGCAGCCTTTCATAAAAAGTAGGAATATGATGAAGATGAACCAAAAAGTGATCATTTAGAAAGAAATTACCTGTAACAGAACGGGCTTCCTCATACGAAGGAAATTGAATCTGCGGGATAAAGTCCTTTCTGTCATCTCCAGCTGGTGTTGGAGGAAGATAAGGGAGTGCAGAAGGATCACCACGAGGACTTGCTTGGGTTTGATTCTGGTTAGTAGACGAGGAACCCCGAGCGATATTCTTGTGAATATTTTGCATAAAGACATATCCAGAAGAACTGCCTCGGTAGTCTGCGTTTCCGTTATCCCTTAGACTTAACTGACCATATCGATCAAAAATACTGTCAATTTCATCGTACGAAGGACTCTTCATAAGAGAAGCCTCTTTCTCGGAACGAACACTTTCAGCGTCATAATCGAAGTTTTCATTCGGGATGTTAAGAAAGTTTGGAAGTTTAACATCTGGAATGACCTCTTCAGCCATTTTTTTTAGATATTTGAGTCGAAATTCTAAAAATTGAATGTATTTTTCGGGAGAATGCAACAGACGTTTAAAAGGCTGGCCATACGTACATTCTGTTTATAAGAGGTCAATAGGACTGATCTGTAAAGATAATTCAGCATACCATAGTTGTATGTCCTACAATTTGAACAAGGCTAATAGAAAAAAATATTGTTAGCATAATTGAACCTAAAAGTTCAAGAATAATTTTTGGTCTAGAAAATCATGGGAATTGAAGTAACTGCACCCTTCTATAAAAGAAACCGAGTTTGTTGCGCGATCTTTAACTAAAATGTATCAAACCCTTACTATGTAGGGATCATCGACTCCTTACCTTTTGTTGATCGCATTTTATCTTTCTTCGGTGGCATTCATCGCAAGCTCTAGAGACACGCTGTCTTCGAGGAGCATCACCAGAAGACATCAATTGATTAAATTCGAGGGTATCAAAGGCTTATTGCAGGTGGGAAAAAAATATTTCTACCACGTGATTGGAAACCCACTTCGTAAAATACGAGGCTAATAATGCTAAACAGATTGCGAGACTTCTTTATTTAAGGTATCTTCTCGTTTTAACGGATTATAACAAGAGACGCCTTTTATTACCGCTCAGTGGTGCGAATTAAAGACAGATTCTTTAATTGTCGCTAGTTGACGAATCTGGCAGTAAATAGGCAATGGAATAATTTAAACAGTCGTTTAAAAATAGATTTACCTCCTTCGCGCAATAGCAACCTCTCTATACTATAAAGCACTGTCTAACGAGAAATGATGATATCGCATTAATTCGTTATTAGAACGTCTCATCCAGCCTCCGTTTTGTGTAGTATATTTAACGTAACATAACATTGCAGAGGACCCTACAATGTATATAAATAAATGACTGGTTTGTTTTAAAGAGAAGGGAATTTAGAGAAAGACCATAGTTCCATGCTTACATAGGAAATATATCCATTGACATCAATTTACATTTTATGTTGGCCGTAAAATCTGTTTAAAAGCGAATATTTGAATCATTAAAAAAAACACAGATGAACGTAAGCAGAAAGAAGAGATTTTCCTTGATAGAATAACATTAGAACACGAAAATTTATTTTTTTTAATACTATATTCCTCGAAACCAGTAAATATCAAAGAAAACGCACTGAATTCTTCATTGTTCGGTTCACGGAAAGGTTGGTTCATATACGCGCATTTGGACCTTGCTTTAAGGAAAGACTCAATATTAATGGCAGCGAATTTTTCCGATAAAACTTAGCCAATGCAAATTACAGGTATACTCAAAAAAAATTATTAATTAGATATTATGTATAGATTAACGCGATAGTCTCTGTTTACTTTGAAACGTACTGCCAGCGGCGGATAAACGAATGTTGACAACAACAAACAAGTGTAAATAAACATACACCAACAGCACAATTGCTGTATCGTTAGAAAATGTCCTCTCATAAGCTAGAAAATGATACAGGGAGTTACTCTGAAAATGAAGAAAACAAAGAAGAAATGGGATTGAAAAACCAAAGGAAAACAGAGCCCGAAGCGGACATTCAATCGAATGGACGTCTTGAATCGCGAATTTCGAAATTGACTGTTCCATCTCACGAAATGAGGATAGTGGAGGATTATTCAAACAAAAAGAACGCCGAAAGGCACTCTGGAGAGATACAGGCGTATGCTAAATTCGCTGGTAGCACGTGGACGTATTATGTCAAGAAGATTCGACTTATCCTTGGACGTGAACCGGCGAACCAATCTGCGAAAGGGAAAGAAGAGGATAGCGAGGTAGTGGACATGAACTTTGGACCTTCGAAGGTTGTCAGTCGCAAGCATGCCGTTGTTGAATACAATATGCAAGACCAGGCATGGAACTGTACGGTTCACGGAAGAAACGGCGTTAAAGTGGATGGAAAGCTTTACAAACCAGGAGAGACTGTGAAACTTTCTAGTGGGTACGTAATAATTGTTAAGCTTTGTTAATTTTGGCAACAGCGGCAAAAGGAAAGTTGGGGTTTATGATTCATGGGGAAGAAAAAGTAATCATTAAAGGTAGTGTTTAGAAGTGATCTTCGAACGCGTTTTACAAACTGCAATATGCTAGTGCTGTAAATAAGCTTCATTTGCTTGGGGATTTGACCCCGCTTTCCCCAGGTTTCCTCTGACGGCTGTTATCCCAGAATAATAAAGCAGTGTTTATGAGAAAATTGATATAGTGCTAACATAATTAGATCAATTCTCGACGTTGCTGGACTGCAAATGATGTTTGTTTTGCCGAATGCCTCTGAACAGAATATTCCTGAGGAGAAAGCTGGCGAGTCGAATGAAGAAGCTGAAAAGTCGGAGGAATTTTCAGCTACCGTTGAAAATAGCGTTTATGACAATAGAAAACCTCCCTATAGTTATTCTGTAATGATTGCTCAAGCCATTCTTTCCTCTCCCGATTGCATGATGACACTTTCCAATATTTACAACTGGATTTCAACTCATTATCCTTATTACCGAACCACAAAAAGCGGATGGCAGAATTCCATTCGACACAACTTGTCTTTGAACAAAGCTTTTAGAAAGGTGCCTCGGAAGTCCGGTGAACAAGGCAAGGGAATGAAATGGTCAATAGAGCCTGAATTTCGGGAGGAGTTTATCGCAAAAACTAAGAAGACACCTTACAAAAAAACACCTCCTCCATTTCTTTGCACACCTCCTTTCACCTTGAAGAGAGAACACTCAGACCCTGAGCATACTTCCCCTCCTATACCTACCCCAGTTCGCAATCAGTCTCCTTCTACTCCCAAAAGAGAAGGTTCTCCCTTGACTGAAGAAACTCCCTCTGAGTCAAAGGACAGGGAAGGTGGCTCTTATAAGACTCCAACTAGAGCTGTACTGTCCGATATAATAGCTAGTCAAGATTATTCTCCTGATCCCAGTACAATTTCTCAACCGAAGAATGCTGCGTCTGCTTCTCCTGCAGCAACTGCGGCTTATTCCACTTCTTCGCCTGCACCCTTCTGGAAGTACGTGGCTGTTCCAAACCCCCATGATTGGCCTCACGTTGGTTCTTATGATACGATATCCCCTTACAGAAATCCTTTGAACAACCATATGGTCTATTCTCAGATGCCCCAGCCATCACCAAGAAAAATTGATGAGCAAATGCATGACTTGCAGGGAGTAGATCTAGCAAACGGTTTTGAAGGAATTAGCTCATGGCGAGAGTCAATGGTCCAAAAATTACGTACTGCCAATTCAGGCAGTTCCGCGCCTGCTTCTCCGTTAGGTGCTTCTACATCTCCCGCGAATCCCCCACGACCTTGGGGAAGTATTTCTGAGCCAATTTCTAATCACTCTGCGGAGGTCGAAAATAAACAGCAGCCCGAGTCTTCCGTTGGGACTGGTACTGATAATGATCACGCAGTTCGTGCGATTTTGGACGCCAGTGTCTCTATGGAAAAGCAAAAGAATGTTCAGCAAACGACTGAATTTCCCCAAACAGGACAAACAGCTCAACCTGCTTTAGGAACAACAGCGCAGGCAAGTGTTGAAGAACATCCATCACCTCAACGCTATATGCAAGCATCAAACGCTGATGTGAGAAGCAACATTTAATGAACTACTACGGTAACTCTTCTACCTGCTTTTATGGATTATGTCTTTATTTTTGAGACAGTTTTGCCAGTAATGCTTGTATGTGTATTGTTAATGCTTTGATCGGGTCTGTACCAAAGTGAATTTCTTTGTTTGCTTTCACGTTCAATCTCGTGTTCTTTTTGGGAATGTTTTTCCACTTAATGTCATTGATGTTCTTAAAATGTCTTAATTAAACACTAGTTTTGCTTTGGATGATAAACCGGTTTTACTTCGGTAAGCTCTAATAATTTTCGTTGATATAAAATTGGTTAATTGCTTTATGGACAAGACTTTCGTGGACTGCTTAATTCTTCTTGACATTTAATGCCTGAGCCCCTCGTACTGTTGGAAGTCAACCAACGTTTGCACACAGGCAACGTAACATGAAAGAATGAAGAAATAAGCGACGGAAAGTGTACTACACAATCCTGTAGTGTTTGTTCTAAGTTTAGACTTTAAAAGATATTGTTTTATTTGTATTTAGAAATATATAAAACTACTGGACAACTTAAAGGTTTGTTTTGTACTTACCATGAAAAAAAAAAATAGATGGTTGTTTCTCGTTTCCAAGGTCTCAAATGAATCTAAATTCTTCTAAAACTGTCCTGACTTTCTTATGTTTGCAGTTTTTTAGTAAGACTATTCTCCCTTAAATCGTAGCTAAATTCTTTTAAAGAAAATAATTAATGAACTATTCTAATACAAATTAAAGTAGTTGTCATTTTATTTATTTGTTTATACACAGGATAAGCATACCATACTTTATGTAACTTGCAAGGAGCTTCAAAATTTACCTCAAATACCGATCCTATCCTATCCCTCAAAGCAAGTCATCTACTTTAGCGTAGTATTACGTATTTATACGTACTGTCATAAGCTGCTTTAAATTTGAAGTTTGGACCTTGTATAAGACAGTCATACCCTACCCTACTTAGCACTTGTGACTGCTAAAGGATATACAACTAGAAACATTGTACTGTGATTTTGACACAAACCCATACCATGTCTGCCGCCGCATTCACTATCTCCAAGAAGAGAAAGGTAAGTAATACCTAAAGAAGTTAAGAATAAATAAAACAAAGGAAGTGATGATGATGATTTCCTAATTCTGGCACCTCTTCTCCGATTGGAATGCCTTTTGTGCATTTTAATGAAGTGATCCGAACGGACAAAAATCTGAATGTTCTTAATAAAGAAATAATGAGACAACAGTAGTTTTCATTCACGTTTGGTCGCTTTCTTGTTTATTGGTTATTCGATGACTTCGATTAGCACTTTTTTTATAAAAGGTTGATCAGTTCACTAACCATATTAGTTCGTCGCTGATGGTGTTTTCTACGCCGAGTTGAACGAGTTCTTCACTCGTGAGCTTTCCGAGGAGGGCTACTCCGGCTGTGAAGTCCGTGTCACTCCTGCCCGTTCGGAGATCATCGTCCGTGCCACTCACACCCAGGATGTTCTTGGAGAAAAGGGACGCAGAATCCGTGAACTTACCGCTTTGGTCCAAAAGCGCTTCAAGTTCGCTGAGAACACCGTTGAATTGTATGCTGAGAAGGTTCAAAATCGTGGTCTCTGTGCCGTCGCTCAATGCGAATCCCTTCGTTACAAGCTTTTGGCTGGTTTGGCTGTTCGCCGTGCTGCCTATGGTGTTCTTCGTTACGTTATGGAGGCTGGTGCTAAGGGTTGTGAAGTCGTCATCTCTGGTAAGCTTCGTGCTGCTCGTGCTAAGTCCATGAAGTTCGCTGATGGTTTCATGATTCACTCCGGTCAACCCGCCGTTGACTTCATTGACGCTGCTACTCGTTCCGTTCTTCTTCGTCAAGGTGTTTTGGGTGTCAAGGTTAAGATTATGTTGCCTGAACCCAAGACCCGCACTAAGAAGTCTCTTCCTGACGCTGTTGTCGTCTTGGATCCCAAGGAAGAGGAACCTATCACTAAGCCTTACACTGTCATCAACCAACCTGCTGAGGCTGCTGCTGCTGCCGGCCAAGAGGTTGTTGCTGACCAAGAAGCTGCTGTTGCCTATTAAGATGTACATGGGTTAGTGGCACTTAATTCCATATAAAAATGAAATTGGTTTGATATTATGGATTCAGGAAGGTGTTGTATTGTAAGTCGCAATGTAGCAAGGATAGTAAATATTTGGTTGACGGCTCTTTTCATCTGTTTGAAAATTAGTCTATGGTATATGAATGGATTTGTCTAGATATGTCTTAAAATAGTGAGTATCGGAAATTTTACAAAAGATAAGTAAATGTAATTTATTTCTTGGGTATATATGCATAAATTCGTCTGTAATATGCTTCACTTAGGATGAGGATGTAGGCCGTTCATTTTCCAAATATCGAATTTTATCGTTTAGTCGTTCATATGCAGCATGGACCTAGAGGCTTTAAGTTATTATATGACACGGTTTATTTTTCTGTAAAAGCTTACGTTTGCATAAAGTTTCTGGGCCTCAGCATTGGTTTGTTGCATATACTCATCTGAATGTAAAAGGGACTTTGCGAATTGCTTTTTAAAGGCAGGTAAATCAGGTAAGGAACATTGACTAACTTCCGTAGCAAGATGGTTTAGATTTGAATTTTCCTCTATAGTATGAACGTCAGACTCACTGGAATCAATATCTGCAAATAGACATACTTTGATATTTGTCTTCATATTTCCTAACGTACCGCAGACAACGATAGATTTCAATTGGAATATCATCTGTAACTATAAAGATGGTAAGTAAAGTACATTCTTATAACACGTTTTCTGAAAGCAAGAGTTACATTCAACAAATTCACTGGCTACGTCTGCGTCAATGTCGCTCGTATCTGGTATCGAATCTGAGGAATCCATTGAATCGATTCTGAAATTTTTTTTTTTCGTATTTTATAAATAGAGAACTAGTTATATCGCCCGCAAAGAAAAAATTGTCTTCAATAAAAAAAGAACCTTAAAGCGAAAAGGACCAAAACCGTACTAAAACTTCAACAGGAAATATTTATAACTTTTCAATATATTATTAGAAAATAGAATTACACGCTTTATTAATGTTTCCAAGTTTTACCTGATTTCTACCATACTTTTCAGTGGTAGCAGGAACAGGTCGCATCGTTACTTACTTTCAAAGGTTAAAAAATCAAAGATGGCTTTTCTCATCGTACTTAAAAGAAAATAAATGAACAATGGAAATAAAATCTCTAGAATAAACAAAAAAAGGTAAAAAAAAATGAAATAAATTCAAGGATAAGTGTTTATGGTAGTTTCAGACTCCCTAGTTCCTGAATTGTGTTGTGTAGGTAAATACTCATTTGTTTAATGTTTAATGTTTAATGTTTAGTAAACATAGTCCAACAATAAAAAAGAAGAGAAGAAAAATAGAACGTCTTTACCGAAGAGAAAATGAAAAATTTCCTTCTTATAAAATCAATTTCGCGCATTTATAAGCAATACCTCTGCTCTTTCTTGTTTTCTTAGCAGGACTTTTCTACTAACGTAAACAAACCATAAATAAAATGACGCTCAACATTTTCTTCCATTAAATAAAAAAAAGTATAACTTAAGAAAGAATTTCTTACATTACTGCTTTTTTGTTTGAAGTTGAAAGGATTCATTAAATAGCTCTCGCGTTTTGTCTTTTGCATCCACCGTAAACAAATGACTCTTTCGTAAACTTTGCCAAAAATCCATAATATATTTCATTATAGCGGGAAAATTCATCAATATAAAAAGCATAAGGCAATTTTTCTATTGAAATCCATGTTTTTGTAAACGGGAAATGCGCGTTTTATGTGTCGCTGAAAAAAACTCAATAGCTAAAAGTGTAGCAAGCATTTTAGGCGGTGGTCAAGTGAAACGGGTTTGTGCTTCTGTTTTAAACGATTACTGACAATCTAAATATAGAGAGACACGAAAAGCAAGTACATTAAGAATTATGACTTTACATTTGACTTTGGAGGATATATTGGTACGGCACAAGTTACAATGACATCCGTTTCAGGCCATTTAACGGAGGCTTCTTTTCCTTCTGAGTATAACAGTTGGAGTTCTGTACCTCAGGACATTCTCTTCGATGCGCGAATCGTAACCTCGGTTTCTAAAGTAAGCCATTTTACCTCTGCGTTCAATTTCATTGACTAACAATGAATAGAATGCTAATGTCCTTGCTGATAATATAAAGAAAGAAGCAAGGAATGCAACATATTTATATATCTGGACAGACTGTGATCGGGAAGGGGAACATATAGGAATGGAAATTACAAACGTTGCAAAGATCAGCAATCCAAGGATTCATGTTATTCGAGCCGACTTTAACAATTTGGAAAAAAGGTATGATACTTTTTGTATTCACCGTACAGAGATCGATTAACATCGCTCCTAGACACATCATTCAGGCGTCGAAGAGACCTAGAGAGCTGTCGAAAGATGCTGCAGATGCTGTGTCGGCCAGAATTGAGCTTGATTTTCGTCTGGGCGCTATTTTCACGCGCTTACAAACATTACAACTGCAACGTGCTTTCGAGGTTCTTCAGAACAAAGTTATTAGCTATGGACCGTGTCAGTTTCCTACGTTGGGCTTTGTTGTCGATAGATGGCAAAGAGTAGAGGATTTTGTTCCTGAAAACTTTTGGTCCTTGAAACTAGTCGACAAACGAGAACGGCAAACCGTTAACTTCTCGTGGAAAAGAAATCGTGTTTATGACAGATTGGCGGCTATCTTGTTTTTGGAAAATTGTTTAGATGCAAAGATTGCAAAAGTTGTCAAAGTAAATAAAAAGCCTGCTAAACGATATAAACCTATTCCGCTATCGACCGTCGAACTTACAAAAATGGGACCTAAATATCTTCGTCTTTCTTCTAAAAAAACACTTGAGGTAACATGGTTTAGTAAATGAATATCATACAGAGATTAACATGTAAATAGTTGGCAGAGAGTCTTTATACGAATGGATTTGTTTCCTATCCACGTACCGAAACTGATCAATTTGACGCAGGCATGGATTTGCAGGGAATTATTGGCAAACTGGCGCCCAGTGAAGACTGGGGGACTTATGCTCAAGGGTAAGTTTTTTTGTTTACAGTTAAAAGTTGGAAGCCCGCGAACCAGGATCTTGCTAAACAAAAATAGACTCTTAGACGGAAATTATCGAACTCCTCGGAAGGGAAAACATAATGATCGAGCACATCCTCCAATCCATCCAATCAATCTTGTTCATCGTTCTGCCTTATCTAGTCAAGACCATTGGAAGGTTTACGAACTTATTACCAGAAGGTTTCTAGCATGTTGCTCTGAGAATGCTATTGGCGCAGAAACGATTGTGGACCTTCAGATGGGCGATGAGTTCTTTTCTCAAAAGGGATTAGTTATCCTCGAGCGGAATTATCTAGATGTTTATCCTTACGACAAATGGACTGGAACAGGACAGCTTCCCGTTTATCAAGTCAATGAGGAATTTATACCTAATGTACTCAATATCACCGATAGCGTTACCACTTCGCCTTCGTATTTGACCGAGCCAGAGCTGATTTCATTGATGGATGCAAATGGAATTGGCACGGACGCAACTATGGCTGACCACATTGAAAAAGTTCAAGAACGAGAGTATGTAATCAAGAGGAAAAAGCGTGGTGCGGCCACAGAGTTTGTTCCCAGCTCTCTTGGGATTGCTTTGGCAAAAGGTTATGATGAAATAGGGCTTGAATGGAGTTTGACTAAGCCATTTTTACGGAAAGAGATGGAAGACCAACTAAAGAATATTGAAAAAGGGCAATTGGATCGAGATGCACTGGTACAAATGACGCTGACTCAGTTTCGCGACGTGTTCCATTTGACCAAACAAAGGTTTGATTGTTTAAAAAACGTAAGTGATTTTAACAAAATCCTTTTATTTATTACTGATTTCTTTTCATCAATGTACTAACCAAAATATTCACAGAGCTGTCGGTTATACCTTATTGAGCTTAACGAAGGCTAATGTGTCTCTAAAAGAAAAAAATGACACTCGTAGACATCTGAAACTTCTTCCAATACTCTCCATTTTTGTGGTTTCGTGTGGAAGAAAATTTGCGTATTTGTTTATTCCTTACGAAATAACGCATTATACTTGAAAAATGATGCCCGACAAGCAGCAATCCGTCACCGTTCATTATGGAAATCAGAGAATTCGCATACCAGTCGACTTGAATGAAACCCTGGAACGTTTCATTGAAGATTTGATAGAAAAAGCAGACATTAAAGAAAAGAAAATTAAGCTCTTTTACGCAGGGAAACGATTGAAGGGAAGAAGTACGTCACTGGCCAAGTTTGGTCTGAAGAATAATAGTAAGGTCTTGTGTATAAAACCGCATAAAAAGCAACTTCCTGAAGATGAAAAAGAAGAAAAGGGTGTTCAAGTTGAAGAACAGAATCCAGCATTTTCACGCATCTCGGACGAAATTCAGGCCATTGACCAGTATGTCAGCAAAGACCTTACACCTATTTTTCACACTTATGTTCATGAGAGTTCCGATGATAAACAGAAGAAGTATAAGCAAAAGCTGATGGCTAATGAGCTATTGCTACAGCAACTGTTGAAGGTAGATGGTGTTGACGTTATGGGAAGTGAAAAACTTCGCGAGAAGCGTAAAACTCTTGTAGCGAAGATCCAAAAAATGCTAGATGATATAGATGAGACAAGCAAGAAATTGTCCATTTAAATCATAAACACATGTTGTGTATTGTTACAAGGGTTGATTCACCTTTTCGTTTCGTTTCGTTTCTAGAAAGAACTCCTCCATATTCCCTTTATGTTATTCTTTCCTTTTCTCTCTTCTACCCCTTTCTCTTATGTTTTTTGAAATGATGACATGAATTTATGACAATTCGGTAGATTTACAAAAAAAATACGCCCGTTTTCAATTTTTGACCATGCAATTTACGCTTCTTAAACAGTTAGAGATATAAAACGTTCGAAGCAGGCTTTACGAAATGCTTCGCTTTTATTTTTAGTCAAAGAATTAAATTCACTATTTGATCCCATGTTATAAGTAATCATAATCTATATATATATATATATACAAAGCATGTTTAAGAATTGTCGACCTCTAATTCACGCCAAGTTGCACCGATCCAAAAGATTCATTTTTTATTTCTTTTCTTTTTTCGCACACGACTGAAAGGCTTTACGGAAGAATATCAAAAAAACCGGACCCCTCAAATGTTAAAAGAGATTTACTAGCCTCTAGCAGTTTTGTACCCGCTACAGATGCTGCTTTGACTAGCGAAATATACCGCTCACCAGTTATAGCTCTTCCAGTGGAAGCGTACCCACCTCCCATACTAATGGTTCGGGTGTAGGAAATTGTGCCATCAGGTAAAACACCTACCGCGTAGGTAGCTTGAGCAACGTTGGCCTCATCCACCGTTGGATCTATGACCAAAACATGGTCAATACTACTTGCAGTTATGATAACAGACAAGTTCTCCAAACCTTGCAAAGGAAGAGCACTATCCCATTCTGAGTCAACATCATATTCCTCAGAAGGCTCGAACTTGCTACTTCCTAACACCATTTCAGTAACATTCGGGGTAGAGATTTTAGGGATTCTAGTTGTTTGTAAAGCTAGTGAAGTAGCTAAACTTAATGCAGAAATAATGTTTTCGTTAGGGACAGCACAGAGCAAGACAATTGCGTCTACATGAATCACCCATGCTCTCGAAGGTGTAAATTTTAAGTAATCTACAGGGAGTGTATCCAGAACGTCCTGCAATGAGCTTGTAAGAGATGATGGAAGGATATCTGTTTCTCGATTCTGAATAGTAACGGCAGGAGAGCTAGCAAACAAAAGTTAGTTTTCTTTACAACCACGATCACTAAAGAAGATCCCAAATTTCTTTTTTGTTTCTACAGCAAAGCAGGAAGCTTCCTTTGAGATGTTTCATTCCCCATTTTTTCGATACTTACACTTCAACAGATGCCTGAAATGTTCCACCGTGAATAGTTGCGTCACCAACTTCTGCCTTAATTCCAACTAAAACCTCAATTGTAGAACCCCATTTTACACGAGCTGATCCATGGGCTCCAGGCAGAATGTTTACTTGTCCGGACAAAGCGCGTAGCTGGTCAATGGAACGACCATCATTCCGAATTGGTGGTTCAAACGCAGTCAACGACTGGCGCGTGTACGATAGTTCTGGCAAGGACAATTGCATAGGATTGGTAAACGACAAACTTGATTTACTTGAAAGTTGAACAAGTCTTTAAATAAGGATCAATCTTAAAGTTTGGTAAAATAAATTTACGAACTCTGTTCCATCACGGAATTTACTATGTCAGGTAAGTCAGAATTGAGATGAAAAGATTCATTGAAAGGAGTATTATTAAGATAAAATAAAATAAAGTAAATAAAGTAAATAAAGTAAAATAAAGTAAATTGGTTCAAATTTTTGTTTACAATGCTTGTAGAGACATAAAAAAACAAGAGCATACTCACAAGCGAAATCCTTCTACCTCATTGTAGTATTATGAGTTCAAAGAGTATGCTAGATCATCATGAAGTTGTGCCTACAATTAGAAGGCTTATGAATTAGAGAAGTTTATGGACTGGAAGGCAAGGCTTCGTAAGATTTGTCTTTCACTCCAAAGAGCTGGAATTTGCGACCAGCATAAATCCCTGACAAACCCAACACCGTTAATCCAACAGGAAGCAAAGTTAAATATAACCATTTACTGTGTTGTCCGTTTCCAGGATCCGGTAGATTTGCTGAAGGATTGTTAGGTAAACGTTGAATATCATTATCCAAGAAAGCAGAAATCAAAGCCTTCATCTCCATCGGATGATCATAAGGGACCATATGACTGGCTTTCGCAATACGAGCAAACGTCAAATTTCGAGCCTGAATATAAGTTCCAGCTGGGTTTTCGGTATAGTCCATGGTTTTAAACCAAGGAAACCAAGAAGCGTTCCCGAAACCTACTTCGCCATTCCATTCAAGAGATTTTAGCAAATCTTCACCTGACAAGTAGTTACAAAGAAAGTCATTTTCTCCGTAAAAAAGCATGACCGGAACCTTAGATGTCAAGTCTTTAATGATATTCGCAGATGAATCTAATCCTTCACGAGCATAGCCATTTGCGACATCATTGCTACACTCTTCCCACTCTTTTACATATGTAGTGTTTACATGCAACGCTTCCATTACCTCTGGCTTGCTTAAGTAAGGGGTTAAATTTTCAAGGTCCACGGGCCAGTCCATGCCACAAAGAGGATAACTAGATTCCAAGCTAATATCATACATGTTCATACATGTTTTTCCAGGCTTATCTGAAACCATAAACATTATATCATATAGGAAATTTTCGCACTTTTCAACGTCGCCTGAGCCAGATTCCATTTGGTCAATGGCCAACATGCAATCCGCCCAAGAATGGTGAAGATATTGTCCCTGTTCAGAGAACAAGTCTAATCTCCCCTTTTCTACCAGATAGTTCAGGTAAGTACTGTAATGGGATACAGGTTGTATCCATCCATTCCCAATAGCCAAACCGCCCAAATGAGCCAATTTCTTTTCCACAATCTTGGAGGCTACATATGGAATATACTGGCCTGCGTAAGATTCGCCGGCGATATACCAAGTATCGTTGGCTCGTTCAGGAAATTCAGTCAGGAACTTTTCAAAAAAGACAGAAAACTCTTCGGCCATTTTCTCATTGTCACTCGTGAAATTATCGTCTAGCGAGTATGAAAATCCGGTTCCTTTGGGCTGATCGACAAATAAGAGATTACCCAGGTCATCCCATCGTCCAGGATTTAGTTGAAATGTATTATTTTCTCCAATTCGTAAAGGTCCAACTTCCATTAAGGAACCATCTTCTGAAGAGCATCCAGGACCGCCATTCAGCCATATAATCTACATAATATGTTAATCAACTGAGCCAACTTTCACCAAGAATTGTTCAAAATGAACAATTGCTGAAGAAACGTACCGAACGGTTTGTATAACTAGCATTTGCTGACTCAAACATCCAGAAGAAAAGATCACCATTTAGCTGTTCGCTTGGTCCTAAATGACCAGAATACATCTTCTGCTTATAGTCCTCAGGAATACCCGGGAGAGTATCCACAAGCCAGGCTTTTTGTTTATCAACAACATCTGCCACAGCAAGTCCAAATAGAGCAATCACACTGCTAAGAGCAATCCAATTTGTAAAAGAAGAGAGCATCATAAAAAGAATGTATATAAAACCACCATACACAGCTCAATTGCTCCTCCAATTGAGGAACGAATGATATAGGGAAAGAACAACTTACATTGGCTTCATCCCGAATATGCTCCCTGGATGATCGTTAGAGCTCTGTAAAGCAGAAAAGGCAAGAAGTAAGAAAAAACAGGATAAAGATTAATAGCAAGTTTATATGAAGAATAACATAACATTTTTATTGTAAGCGAATCTAGTATGAATGTCTAAACAAAAAAGAGGACACAACGATAAAGTTCAGTTTTAACTGGGATATATGTACAAGAAAAACATTCAAATGTAGGAATATAGAAATTTAAGACAACAACAAAACCATTAGATAATTTTATTGGAAAATTCGAGTAGCTGAAGCGAATCGCTCAAGCTCGGTTAAGGCAGATCTTGAAGCAATGCTTTCTTGAGCGAGTATCACGCCGTGGTACAAAGAATCTGCTAGTCCAGCAACATGCAATAACATAGCAGTATTCATCAAGACATAATCCAAAATGGGATGGTTTTTAGGAAGCAAATTAGAAAGTAGCCTTTGAAGGAGCACAGCATTAGCAGAGGGAGTACCACTAGCAACACTTGATAAAGGATGGTAAGGAAGATGAAATGATTCAGGAGTCAAAATCATTTGAGTTATTTGACCATCCTTTACTAGCCAGGCATGGGTAGGGCCAGCGGGGGAAATTTCGTCTAAACCCTCCTCACCACAAACGACGAGAGAGCGATCGGCACCAAGAAGCAAAAGAGCTTGAGCAAATGTGGGTCCAAGGGTTGGGTGACTAACACCAATAATACGAGCATAAGTTGGCACGGGGTTGAGCAAGGGACCAACAAGATTGAAAATGGAAGGGACACCAATTTCCTTGCGGACTGGCGCGACAACCTTTAGCCTTGGATGGCATTGAGGAGCGAACAAAAATGAGAATTTCGATTCATCTGCGATGGATATCAGATTTTTCGCAGTGACATTGAGCAAATCACAACCAAACGACATAAGGAGGTCAGCAGATCCACTGGAAGAAGTAGAGGCTTTGTTTCCGTGCTTACAAATGTGTAAGCCTGCACCAGCGGCAATAATAGCAGAAGCAGTGCTCACATTAAAGGTATTATGACCATCGCCGCCTGTGCCAACAATATCGACAAATTTCGGTTGCATAGAAGAGATACCTTCAATGGGAATCGAATACGACCGAATAATATTGACCGTCGACATTAGAACTTCAGGTCGCTGTTCAACCCTTGTTAAGCGCATGGCGGTAAGAAAAGCACCGATCTGGACAGGATTGGACTTCTCTTCTAGGATATCACGAAGTGCATGTTCAATCTCATAAATAGGAATATCCAAGCCTACCCTATCTATGACTTGCATAGCTCTGCGAACAGCAGCGCTTGATAAACTCATATTGAAACAAGAAGGAATGTCGCGAGAGAAAAAGAACGAGTTATCAGAAAATTGAAAGAAAACGAATTAGAGAAACAAAAATAAGAAAGGCACTAAAAAGCACAAAATAGAAAACCCTAAATGTTGGGAGCAAACAAAAGATAAAAACTGCGGATGTTCCCAAACCACGTCTTGATTTAAAAGGAAGACAAAATAATACGGATTATTAAAGAAAATTAGCTTACAAAGAACAAGAACGTTATAAGCCCAGAAAACGAATTTAAACTACCAACAGAGAAAAATCGCTTTTACCAAGTCGAAACGCTCTTTTTTTACGGTTGAACTTTAAGAAAACAAAAAGAAAGTGAATTCGACTAATAATCACCAACAAAAAGGGGTTTTTAATGCTTCCTTTGACCGTTGGAAGAAAAACACTAGGATGTTCTATTAGGAATGGTGAACCAAAATGGAAAAAAACGCGTTTCCATTCAAGTACTGAATCTATGGCTTCTAAATGAAGTGTAAGAAAATAGACTTCATGAAATACAACATTTGGTTTTATTTTTCGTGAAAATCTAAAAAACGACCTCTTTGTAATATGATAGTATGGTACTTATGTTCGTAATTTGATATATTAAGAGGATATTTTGTTTTTGGAGAGAATCGTCAGGACAAGTTTGAAATGTAATTATTTTTTTCTTTTTATTTTAAAGAATTTATTTTTTAGTATTTTCTTTGGTTTCTTGAGTGGTTTCTGAAAAACACCAAAACGTAAGTACAACATACTACGACTTCAGAGCAACCTTGTATTTTCGGCTAAAAGAAGAATTGTTTCAATCAAATACGTTTATTTGAAAGATCTCTTTACTTTATAGTTATTTTTCATTTATTTTTTCTTTGTTTTTTTGCTTTCTGACACTCTTCTTGCTACCGTGGAATTTCACATTCCTCTTCCAATCCATCCTTAATCGTTTCTATTTGTACCGGATTCGCACCTTATGTTGCAGAACTTCACATTTCGAGCTCTTAGACTTGGGCGATCGAATTGTCGACCCACAGGTGCTCTGAAGACTCTCGGTTTTCGTTACAAAAGCGATACATCATCCTCTTTGCATATGTTTACGCCTGTCTGGAAAGACCAAGCAGTTAATACGGTTATCAAATTTGTTCCACAGCAAATGGCATATGTTGTCGAACGCATGGGTCGCTTTTCTAGGTAAGAAATTGTAAGAATACCACTTCATCATCGCTAATACTTCTTTTCAATACTAGAATTTTAAGCCCTGGTGTTGCTTTCCTTGTTCCTATTGTCGATAAAATTGCGTACATTCAATCCCTAAAGGAGCGAGCTTTGGAAATCCCTACCCAATCTGCCATTACTTTGGATAATGTCTCTATTGGCCTAGATGGCGTCCTTTACATTCAGGTGTATGATCCATACAGGGCGAGCTATGGTATTGAAGATGCAGATTATGCCATTTCGCAATTAGCTCAAACGACAATGCGTAGTGAAATTGGACGGCTTACACTTGACCATGTTTTGCGAGAACGACAATCGCTGAACGAACACATATCGGAAGCTATAAACAAAGCTTCTGAAAATTGGGGAATTCGCTGTTTGCGCCATGAAATCCGTGATATTCGTCCACCGGAAAGTGTTGTTATGGCCATGCATCAACAAGTATCTGCTGAACGTCAAAAGCGTGCAGAAATCTTAGCATCTGAAGGAAAAAGACAGTCTTCCATCAATGTTGCTGAGGGTGACAAACAAGCAGAAATTTTAGACTCTGAAGGCCAAAAGATTCGAACCATTAATGCCGCCTTGGCAGAGGCGCAAGCAATTCGTGAAAGGTAACATATTCATATATCTTTCCTTTATGATGCGTAACTAACTTATTTGTATAGGGCTTTTGCTACAGCAAAAGGAATTGATGTTTTGTCAGATATGATTGCCCAAAAGGATCATGGAGCCGATGCGGTTAATCTGCACGTTGCTGAACAATATCTTAAGAACTTCGGAAACCTTGCAAAGACTTCCAATACCATGATTCTTCCTGCCGCAGCTAATGACATCTCTTCTATGGTGGCTCAAGCATTGTCCATCTATAAACAAGTGTCGAATTCTCCAGCATCACCAAATCCCTTACAAAAGGATTTTTCTTCTCTCAAGTCGAATCCTGTGGAAACGAATGAGAAACGTTAAATATTGGGTTAGCGATTTCTTGTCATCTTCATGAACCTACATACATATATGAATAAACATTTGACATGCTTAAAAATAATTCAATTTCTCAAAAGCAAAATTTAATAAATTTTAACATGAAATAAACTAGAATAACTAAATTACAAAAGGCACGTACATGACCCTTCCACAGATTGGCATGCCATACAAATAGACTTTTGTGAGAAAAAAAAGGTAAAGAATCATTAAACGAGTGCGAACATGATAAAAATATATAAATACACAGAAACAAAGATACAAGTAAAAAGAGAATCTAAAAATTAGAAGCATAAGTAATTTGTGGAATTCCTTCCTGCTTGAGCTCAGGATCATCTTGAACATTTTCATCATTTTCTTGGTTGTTTCTTTTATTAGCCAAAAGACGAGGTCCCCAGATCCGCGCTACCACCATCACAATGGCAAGGACAAACACACTTCCCACAATTACGCCGGCCAAAATTCCAATAAGAGCACCGGCACTGCCGTAGGGGGAATAAGATTGAGGAACCAGAGAGGCTAAACCGCTCTGCGCAGGTATAGTAGAGGCTAAAGAAGTAAATTGAAAGATTGTCGTCATGACTGTGGTAGGTTGGATGGTCACGTACTCTGTAACGAATCCATTTGTGGCATTTCTTTGAGATGAGGAAACAACAGTTCCTGAAGCGTCGGAAGTACTGATGATATCGGAAACAGAGGATGAAGTTTTACCGGAGGATGAAGAGGAAGATTTTTGATTGCCGGAACTTGAACTTTGTCCTATACTACTGGAAGAACCTGATAGACTCGTTGAACCTGCTCTACGGAACAAAGACGGAGACAGTGTTGTAAATACATCGTTTTGTTTATGGATCGGAGAGGATAATGAGAGTCTGGGTGAGGCCTGTGTAACAAGAAAGAAGACTTTCAAATGAAAAAGAAACAGCAAAAAGCAAAATAGAAAACGCATGCGTTTAGAATAAAGGATAGGAAAACAGCAAATTAGGTGTAGCAGAGGACGGGATAAAGAAACACGTGGATTACGAAAACTTCAAAAAGGAAACCTTTGTTGTTTGAGTGTATAACGTAAAAAAAGAATGACGGTCTCAATCGAAAAGAAAACAACGATAGAAAAACAGACACAAGAAATTCTGATATCACTGAAGGGAAAAAAAAGGTCAAATAGAAATTTCAAAGAAGAAACGATATTACAATCGAATTTCAAAAAAAATTCACCACTGTTCTTTTGAACTTCTTCTAAACCAGTACTCTTCTTTATGCTGCTTTCTTGACAGAATAAACCAAATATATATGGGAAGATTGAACAAAAAAGCTAGATTAACGTATGCAAGTGGATCAATTTAAAATTCTACGAGAGATTTTTTTCCATAACATCTCCCAAAACACCTGCTATTTCTTTGTTCCCAAAAAATCAGTTCAACTGCATGAATCCTTGCTATTAAGATGAAACGGCATATGCGCTAAGGTCAACTTAGGAAATGCTGCTAATGACCCCGACTCATCCAAAATTACCGAGGTTCCCGAAGTCACCGAGCTCACCGACGAGTCATGTACCTACATCAACGTATCTCGTAACTGGGAATAACCATCCACCTTTGGAAACAAATTTGCTTGTTCTGGCTAGAAAAAAAGTAAATATTCACTAAAACATTAAATTCTAATTATTTAAGTATGTAAACAAGGGCTTGACGAAGTTTGTGTCTTTTTCTGTGATATCAGAGGGCTGGATAGTGGATATTGAAAGCATTAGTATAGAAGATGATGGACAGCCTCAGCATGCTCCTTTTAGCTACTTATAGTGAATAATTTCAAAAATTTAATTACTAACGTAGCAGGTTTCGCTAAAAATAATGAGCATCGAATGCAGTGGAGAATTGTACTTTTATCCTCCATTTACGACTATGTCGAAGGAGTTAATTTCTGTGTATAATCCAAATCCGGAACCGGTCATCTTCAAAGTGAAAACGACTGCTCCTAAACAGTACTGTGTTCGTCCCAATTCTGGACGAATTGATGCTAAGTCCAGCGTCAACGTACAAGGTACGTTTTCAAGGTTTATAGTGAGGAGTTAACTCCTTGTTTTTGAAAGTCATTTTAATAAAGCCTGGTTGCGTTTTTTGCCTGAGCATGATTGACCTAACCAACTTTTAGTTCTGCTTCAAGCCATGAAAGAGGAACCTGCTCCTGATTTTAAATGCCGTGACAAATTTTTGATTCAGAGCATGGCAATTGGTAATGAGAGTACGGAGGGTGTTGAAAACTATCAAGAATTTTGGTCTGAGATGGAAAAGCACAGAAATCCTGTTCACGACCGAAAAATTCGATGTGTCTACTCTGTAAATCAAGCCCCCGGCCCTGCATCTTCCGAGAGACAAAACGAAAACACCGCTGATGCTTCCCAAGCTACCGCTTCCTCCGAAGCTGCCAATATTGGACCTGGCGGCATTGCTCCTACCGCCGCTGCTCTCTCCTTGGAAGAGACCAAAAACGATGTCAACAACGACAAGACTGATGCTGCCGTCGACGATAACTTGCGCTCTGCCGTTGACGATGCAGGTATTAGTCAAACTTCTGACAAGAGTCCAGTCAATAATACTGAGCAAACTAGTGCTCCCATGGTAGCAGATGATACAGAAAACAAGGCTCAAAATACTGTGGATACTAGTGCTCCTGAACCAGTTCGTCGCACTATTTCTTCTACTCCTCCTTCTCATCCTCCTCCACCTGTGCCTAAAGAAGAAATGAACAATTTTGTCCAACAAACAACGGAAGCAACCCCCTCTGGTGATGCCGCTTCCTCTACTGTTGGTAATGACACTCGTGAAGCTATTCAGGGAGACCAGGCTGCTGTCGCTCCCTCACAAGAGAAGGATGCTGTTGCCAAGGAAACAAAGCCTACGTTCTCTGCTGAACCTTCTACCGTTGCCAATGCTGCTATGACCAACACTCCTGGTATTCCACCTAACGTCGTGGTTGTCCTTTGCCTCATTTTCTTCCTCATTGGCTATCTCTTTTTTTAAGGACGCCGTGTGGGTCAAGTAGTGAGTATGAAATGATCTTCCCTTGCTGATTTGAATCGAAACTTTTATGCAGTCAAAGTCGTTTATTCTATTATTAAAGTTACTATCGCTCTTTCTCCCGGTAAACAGTGTACTTTACTCTGGTACATCCATTGTTAATACCTTATTCTTTGAGTCTTCTACATAGAAAACCTTTTTGCTTGTCTATTAAATAATACTACTCTATAAGTAGAGCTGAAATGAACCAGGTTCTCTTTATATTATTGCCGAAAATATGCACTTGAAGAAGGACTAACTAGCGTTGATGATTACAAGTTGAATGAATTTATATTTTCACCTCAAAATCTTAATTATTTTATTACTATTAAAAAGAATTTTTAACTGAAACATTTGCTCAATGGAATAGAAGTTCGTAAACAAAAATGAGGGCGAAGACAGGATTAGGAATCATAAAGGATGTATGGTATATTTATGGAGCGAGCAGAGCACCGGAAAACGGGAGACAGTTGTTTATTCCTTTAATTTTTCTAGTTCGGAAAGTACAGGGCTGTTGTATCTCCGGAAAATATTTGCTTTGTAAGGGTGATCAGGACCATCATATATATGTAGTCGATTCATGCGCATGTCCCAAAGACGATTCTTAGGAAGCATTCCTCCCACAGCACGTCTCAAAAGCTCCTTGTATCCTCTCTTTTTTGCCATTTCTTCCATCGTCCATTCTTTTAAATGTCCAGGTCGTCCTGAATGAGAGTAGTATTTATGTTGTTCGAGTTTGCGACCAGAAATTCGAACATTTTCACAATCTGTAACTACGACAACGTCGCCACAATCCGCAGCAGGATGGAAAATAGGTTTGTGCTTGCCCATTAACGTTATTGCAATATTCGACGCTAGACGACCTAATGGAATACCTTTCGCAGAAACATGATGCCAAACTTTTGCATAGGCCAGTGCCGTCTAAACTGAGTTAATAAGAGTTCTATTGTCAGAAAGATTCTATTCATACCTGTCCATTAAGTGTAGACATAGCAATTCGTTATTTCACTGGCTAAAGGCGCTAGTATTTTTAAAGAAATGATTTAACCAATTTCAAAAAGTCAAAAATAAAAGATTATGGAAGAATTCTGCAAGTTTTTCGATACAAAATTCTCAAGGTCGGTTTGCTCTTGGCAAACTTGTTAGTAGCAAGTTGCAACGCATACGAGACAGACAGGTTGTAGGATGATATTTGATGGTTAGAAATAATAGAAATAAGTGTATATTTATTGAAATTTAAATTATATAGAAAGCAATAAATTTTATTTGAAAGATTTTCTTTTCAAGCTACTACGATATGCATATTTATGAAAAAAATCCATCAGCATGGTAACATAAAGACTAGAAGCAATCTTCGGACCTGCGGAAGAAGCGTTCATTTAATTCAGCCATTGTCAGTTTTTCTGGACCATACACAAAGCTTCTACTATGCATAAAGGTGCTAAGGGAAGAAATCGAGGAGCACAGGTACCGATTCATCTCATGTACGAACAACGAACCATCTCTTTCACCAAAAAATTCGCTAATTTCATGAAACGTCTGTTCCTCTAAAATGGATTGCCGCTTTAAAAGACCTAGAATATACTCACGTAGAAACGTCGTTTGCTCTTCGCCCAAATAATCAAACACCATCAATTCCGTTGCAAGAAAATCGACTGCTCGTTGCTGCAAGGAAGGATCGGAACAAAACTGGCTGGGAGTAAAGCCCCGATAATATTTGATGTTTTCTGGGCGAGAGGCCATTGAAAGACTAAGCCATTCTTTTTCATAGATTCGTCGGCGGATGCCGACGATATTGATAGTGTTCTCAGAAAACCCTCCATAAACAGAATCTCCAGCTGATGAAGAAGCCCTACTTCCTTCTTTTTTTGACTGTGACAAAAAGGAGTGAGGATACCACTTTTTCGATCGGCCAGGTCCAGTAAAGTCATAATAAACACAGTCCACAGACTGCTTGCAAATCGGACACGTCAATGATTTCTCTAACCATTGACGAATACACTCATAGTCAAACTGATCATGTTGACAAGGAGACAACTGAGCCCGACGGCCATCCTGTTCCAAACAAATTGCACAGTGTCTACGAAGACGCCCTAGTCCATATTCCGATTTTAATCGCTTTCTCCTAAAAAGTAATCTCTTTTTGTCCTTCTCCATGTGCTAGAACCAAACTTGTAGTGTCAACGATGATCCATGAAGGCGTCTAAGATACCATTGGCGACAAGAAACTTCTCAAGAAAATACCTATGAAATTAAATTTAAATAAACAGAAATTCAGTAAACGAATTTACTCTAGAAACGTTTTTAAGCAGTTGGCAAAAAGTAGGTTTGTGTCTTATATATAAATAAATACCGCTGCCTCGTAAAACAACCCTAAACAAATAGCACGCTTGAACACGCCTCGCAATTATGTAAACAGTTCGTATCAAAAAAGTAGTTAGCCAGGGATTATTGCAAAGAAGAAACGTTTCAAGAAGAAAAATAAAAATTTTATTGAATGAGTTTTAGGAGGAAGGTCTTATGAAGGGTCACATGTGAATACAGCATTAGGGATCAAAGCATAGCATCATATAGGCCCCTGAAGTGAAAAGAGTTTTGTTTTTCATGGAGAAATAAAAAAGCATTCAATAAACAAAACAACTTAGTACCTAGTAAAATGGTTCATTACCATTTTACTATCAAGGAGTTGCACCTTCGACGAAGGTGACATATACAACAAACCTTTATATTAGGTACTGTGTGTCTATAACTTTCTAATATATTCACCATGAAACTAACTTCAGTTATGTCAGTTGGGCTGCTTTGCTATCCGCTTGGAATGCTAATAACAGAAATGACAACTGGATTAACTATGATGATAACGACGCTCTATCTAAGTATTATTTAAACATGACTGAGAAGACTTGGAATAATACTATAGTTGGGCAGGTAGTAATACCACTATATCAACCAGTATTTATGTTTTATGACAATGAAGATACACTCTAACAAGACTATTATGACAACAGAGATCAGTACAAACGAGATACGGATTAAAGTAATTAGGAGAGTAATCGTCAGCCTGAACACGGCTTAACGAAACGCGACTCTAGATGTGGATAATTCTGTTCATTTATCTTATCTACCACTTACACTTGTCTACGGCCATACCTAGGCGAAAACACCAGTTCCCGTCCGATCACTGCAGTTAAGCGTCTGAGGGCCTCGTTAGTACTATGGTTGGAGACAACATGGGAATCCGGGGTGCTGTAGGCTTTCTCTCTTTACTTTTTCTACTTTTTAAAAGTTATTGGATTTATCTTTTATTTTACTTTTGCAATTGTCTTGGAAGAGATCGAACTGTTGTATACTTGCTGCAGATCGGTTACTTG